GGTAGTATGCGTTGGAACCTGGCATATCGCACGGCATCCATGATCCATCCATCCTGCTCGCTGCCGTGGGCTGGGCGGGTTTCTTCCAAAAATGGGGGGACGACCGGCCGGCGTTGATGCTGGTGCTTGTTCCGGTGGTGACCCGTCGGAGTGGTGGCAGCGGGAACACCGGGACCCCAGGACCCTGATTTTCTGCGACCAATGCAAGAATAGGCACGAGAAGGGTGATTGCGAGATTGGTAGGTTGGAACTAGTGGTGAAAACCTCGGAGCGACGTCCGAAGGCGGGATCCTGTCGTGTAAGCCATCAGCTAAGGTAGCAGCTGTGGCAGCTCAGCTCAGCCAAGTCCGAAATCCTTCATGGTTGTACCGTCCGAGGTCGTAGGAATGGCACTTGAACGGTCTGCAGAAATCCTTCGTGATTGTACTATGTAGTTTGGACGATAACACCTGCACTAAGGTCGGTGGGGTTAGAATTCGTCGTCCATGGTAAAAGTAGAAAACCTACTACCGTGGGGGAGAAAAAACTGGCCATGTTCGTGTCGGTGAAGACAAAAACAAGGCGGGAGTCCAATAGCGTGGAATTGGATGCAATGCGTTGGGATAGGACGAGATTAGGATGGAGGGTAGGGAAAGGGGTCCTTGGGGACGCCGGAGGGAATCCACCGGGCCAGCAGGACGGACGGGATGGGAAGTACATGAAGACGGGAATGGAGAATGTAACGGGAGATGGACCATTTGCCCGGGCAGAAGACCGGTGGAATGGGAATGAGAATGGGAATGGAATCGGGAAACGTGGAAAAAAGATGGGAAAATTCGAGAAAATCGAGAAACGCAGGATGCAACATGGGACATCTTGTCATTGGATGTGAGCACTGGGCACCGAGGCCGAGGAAGGAAGGGAGGGAGGGGGCAGCCCCTCACTGCACCTGCCATTCTTTCTCTCCCTTGGCTTGGAGAAGTCATGGACGGGAAGGAGCATGGGGGAGTGAGAAGGGAAGTCGCACCTCCCTCAGCTTAGGAGCATGAATATCCTCACTCCCGTCCTTCCAGCTTCCAGTTGGACATGGAGACCTTGGGCTGGGTTCAAGCCAATCCAATTTCCCGGAACACCATGTGAGCCGTCCTTGACTCGACTCGTTCCCGCCTGTCCCCTTTCTTGTCCTGACTTGGGGCTCATGACAGCAATAGTAGCGGCAATCTCGTCTTTTGGCAAGATACCTATGCAAGCGCAACTTGCTACGGGCACTCCGTAGATATTTCCAAGTTCACGATGCACGCTATTCCTCTAGCAACTGGAGCAAGACCCAGCGTGCCAACAACTCGTGATGGCCCTAACGAAACAAAACTTGGAACCAACCCTCCTCACTCGAGGGCGGAATGTTCATTGCCATCTTGCATTGGATCGTACCCAAGATAGGCACTGCGTAGTGGCCGCGTCTCCCAAGTTTCAAGTGTGCCTGATTGTTGTCGTCCAATGTCGAGGCAGCCGCGCCGTCCAGCTAAGCAAGTTGCGGTGACCCTGCGTGATGCGGTGGAAGAGGAAGCCACCTTGGGTACTGCGTGGTGTTGGCCGGTTGCGCCCCGGACCACCCAATGTTGTCTTCGGCGACGGTCCGGCATGATCCCTCGCTGCAGACTTGCATGCGTGTCCCAAGTTGATGGGACTGGGCAGAATAACCAAGTCAAAAGGCAGATTGTGTCAAGCCAAATTGGTTGATCGAGAGCTCTGAGCCTGTGCCCCAATTGCGCGAGTCGAGTAGAGTTGATGGAATTGTTCTAGGCCCCGAACATGATACGGCGCAACGCAAACCATGGCGGACAGATAGATGGACACGCAGGTCGTGGCCTGTAGAGTTTGCGTGTATCCGTACGAACATCCGTACCGCGTACGTGAGTGTGTTGCGCAGCTGTACTGGCAGTGCCCGGGAGCCCCAGCCCAAGACGTCAGCTGAATTTGATGACGGGTACCTGACCTGACCTGACGGTTCGTACCTATCCGTACAATGCTCGACTACGTCATTCCCGAGAGTAAGTCCGGCAACAGGGGGCGAGAGTTTGGGGGCAGAAAAACGAAATGAGCTCTGGAGTATCCGTAGTGGTATGTCGCATAGTGCTGCCTGTGAATGCGCAGTCGAAACCGAATATTCGATTGAATTGAAATGAACAACCCAGAGTTCAGAGCTGAGAAGCTGAAGATGAGCTGTCGTGATTGTCTTCATCTGCCTTACCTAAGTAAGTAAGGATTTGATGAAATGGCCGGTCTGGAAGGAGCTGATCACCTCTTCCTCCCCTGGAGGCGTACAGGGCGTGCTTCGGTATCGAAGGCGGCCAGTGCTCCCACACTCAAGGGGTACAAGGGCGCGATTGGCTGTCTGCCGGCGTCGAAAAGGGGTCCAGACTGGTCGACGTTGAGATGATGATGCCGGATTTCCAATCTACATGGGCCTTATGACGTCGTCCCAATGCGGACCCACTTCCCAAATAAAGCTCTGGTGAGGTACAGGGAAGGTACTCTTTCCGTCCTCCTTGTGTATTGTTTCTCTGCAACGCTGCAATTGCCATCAAACAGCAGTAAACTCGACACAAAATACACACCAGTAAGTCCGCGGATGAAAATACTGGTTGCGGTAGACAATTTTGTTGAAAGTGTCCCGATTCTTGGTGCGTTGGTGCTGGTGCGGTGCGTCTCCTCTCGTCGCTGCCTTGGTCTGGGGCTTGCCCTGTTCGCGCTTCGCGGTTCCCTGTCTTTTTGGACCGGCCTGCCTTGCTTTTCCTGTTAGACCGAGATGCCTACCAAGTGCCAAATGCCCGCATGCTGGGGTCCTGCAAGTCCGTTTGGCAGCTGTCCGCCGTCTATCCGTCCGCAGGTGGTGGTATCCGTAGTGGTTGAGGCTTACACAGCTCTTTGCTTTTGGCGCGCATCTCACGATCCAACGGGCCAATCTATCGCGACGTGTTCTCGTTCACCTGGTGTAGATGCCTTGAAACATAATGGCAAAAAGAATACAATGGCGCGACTTGGTCGCAACAATCGACGGGTCTAGATGGCCATTTGCGCTATGCTCGACCTCCTGGAGGGCGCACAACCGAGAATCCAGCCACTCAGAGCCCACAGAGCTGACCCGAACAGAGGATGCGCCCCCGTTCTATGACGAAGTGGACGGAGCCGGACCCTGTGGGAATCGTGCCGACTCGTACAGTCAGCAACTGGCTGACATAATCCCTTCTTGCACCGTCAGCAGCCATTTCTATGGCATTCAGTACCGCGCGGCACTGTCACGATATCCGCCGCCGCCGCATTTCCACCAGCTTCCAGGCGCGTCTTGCACAGGTCTGAGGTCAGGGCCCCCACACTCTAACCCCAACCTGCCGATCATTCCCATCCAGGACGACACACGACCTCATCGGACATGACACCCTCTTTTCGCCCTTTCCTTTCCTCTCTCCACTTGCGCCCGCGCCGCGTTCTGTTTCTGCTTCCAGTGCTCTGTTCTTGTGTCTTGCGTCCAGTGCCATGATCACGCTTTTCTCAGGGCAGCTTTGCGACTTGCAGCGGGTTATCAGGTACCGCTTGGCTTGCCTTACACCCTCATACCTTCTAACCTCAGCTAACGTCCAGTGCTTAGAGCAAAGACGGTACTTGGTTCAACCACCTTCGTTTCTCAGAACCATTGGATTCCCGCCCACCACACCCTCTCTGTAAACACGAGAAAAGAAGAATACTGTGTGCTCCCATCTAATTGGAAAAACCTCTGCGTACATCCTAAAATACCAACGGCCTAGAACCGTCCACCACTGCCACCACAACTACCCGTATAGACCAAAACAACAGAACCAAAAGCATTCAGACTCGAAAACGAAAACCACACCAGCTATCGCGAGAACCACTCTTGCAGCCGCGACAGGACAGAGACACCACCCGTTTTCTTCCACGCCTCTCTCACACCCTCGAGGATCCTTCCCTCCCTGCCGCCAGGGGGCCCCCCTTTCCCATTCCCAGTCCCTTGCCATTCTTTCCCTTCCCTCTTCCCAGCAGAAAAAAAGGGTCCTTTTTTTTTCTGCTCGACCTGCTCGCGACCTGCTCTGCTCGCCTTGTCTCCCACACACCACACACCACACACCCCCGGATTCGCCAGGTCCTCCTTTTTTCCCTCGTGTCCGTCTTGTTCTTCGATTTCTCCACTGTCCATGTCCATTTGGCCTGGCTTTCTGGTTCTCGTCAAACTGAATTGACCTCTGCCTCTGCCTCTGCGCCTGAACCAGCTAGAGCCAACTGCCAACTCACTATCCTCAAAACCCCGAGGCGTTTTCGTTTCCCGAACAACACTGGATCTCATTCTCGGGACGCCCAACGCCACCACCCTGTCCCGTCCTCTTCCCTGTCTCTCTGGTCCTGGTAGACTGCTGAAGTAGCTTCCTTGTCAGCTCAGCCCAGTCAAGTCAAGTCACATTCATCCAAGAACCCCGTCCCGTGTCCCCAAAGACCAAAAGACCTCCCCTCCCAGGAGTCAGTCAACCCGGAACTCAGGCGCAAAGACCAACCAAACCAGACCTCTACTTCTACCGCTGCTTCTATTCTACTACTACTACGTCTCACTTGCGCTCTGAGGTGCTCTTCTTCCTTACCGGGTTCAGATCGCCACTTCTGCCGTCACGTCAGAACCCCCCCGCAACCTTCTTTTCTCTCAAAAGGACCCCCCACTGCCTTCCCTTTTTTCCTTTCAAAGAGCCTCCCGTCTTTTGTTGTACACCCTACCTCCCTTCCCCCTTCCCTCCGATCTGTCTGAACCCTAACTATCCTACCTAAACCAAACCGTCCCGCCAAACGCCATACCGCAATGGCGCTATAACCGATTCAAGGCCTGATCACTTGGTCCCCCGGCGGAAAAACACACATACATATCCTCCAGCGCTTCCGTCATTCACATTGGAACATCAAAGCACCGAGCTGTCGACTATTCTTCTTTCATCGAAACACCTCCCTCACCTACACTAATCATGCTCGACAAGAGGAGCACTGACGGGACAACATCCGTCCACTACACCATGAAGACTCCTCATTCCGCACCAAGGCCGTCGCCTGGCCTACGCCAGACACATAGCCACTCCCACTCACAATCCAAGCTCTCCGTCTCAGCGGCAGCAAAAAGTCCAAAGCCCACCACGCCAGCAGCATCTCCTAGGATGCCTTACTCCGTCGGCCAGCCTTTGCCTCCTCAGAAGCTATCACCAGCACGACCAGCCGAACCGAGAGCTGCGAGCCCCAACTACTTCGGCCTCGTAGTCGAGCAATCAGTCGACCCCAGAGACTCCTCGGTGATGCCACGAGACAACTGGAGCTCCCCGACGTCATCCGTCAAGTCCTTCGCCGCCGCCCTGCCCAAACAGGTCCCCATTGATGCTAACCCCGACTATGAGGCCTTCAAGCGCCAGGCAGACTTGAACCGTGGCAAGGGATTCAGCCTCTCCTCGTCACATTTCCCTCAAGCACCGCCAAATCCTACCACTCTCCGCCCTCGCCCGCCAAGATGGAACACCCACGCAAGCGATTCTGCGTCAGACTTTCCCCTTCCGCGGACGACAAAGGAGAGGCCTATTAGTCGCATGGAAGTTGAGCAAGAGCCCAGTCACGACTCGGCCTACGTCTCGGCAGATTCGAAGCGCAACTCTGAGGCGTCGATAAACCCGCCGCCCGTGTTCAACCTGAACATGCCGAGCCTGAACATGCCGAGATTCGAGTCCCCGAGACAAACGGAGTCGCCCTTTGAGCGTAGAACAACACTGTCGAAAGTCGAGGATAGACACCCGAGGATGTCAATATCTGAGAACAAGGTCGACCCGCCATCGCCCCGTACCTCGGCAGTAAACCAACCCAGGGCGGAAACGTTGCCACCGACGATGGAGAACGGTCCCTCCCTGATTTCGCCCGCACAATTGAAGGATCTAATCGAATCCGACGGCCCTGAGAAGCAGCTGCTGCTTTTGGACCTGCGAGTCTCACAGCAGTATGCCCAGGCGCGGATTGACGGTGCCCTCAACCTTTGCATTCCCACGACTCTACTCAAGCGAGCTACTTTCAACTTGACCAAGCTACAGCAGACGTTCCAGAACACTACCAACGAAGAGCGGTTCTCAAAGTGGAAGGCGACGAAGAACCTGGTTGTGTATGACGCTTATTCGGCGGACAAGCGTGATGCCGTGTCATGTATGAACATGATCAAGAAGTTTGCCAACGAGGGGTACACTGGCGGCACTTACATTTTGCGGGGCGGCTTCAACGCCTTCGCCGACGCATATCCCGAATTCGTGGAGGAGGGATTCGCTCCGGGCGCGGGCAGCACTTCTCCATCTGCGGCAAACGATGGTAACCGACCCGGCGTTGCACCAGTCATAGGAGGCGTGATGCTGCCAATGGCCAGTAACAACCCTAATCCGTTCTTTTCCAACATTCGCCAGAACATGGATCTTGCGGATGGCGTCGGTCAACTCGACATCGCTCGTCCCAATGGCCTGGAGTCACCTACATTGCCCCGATGGCTGCGAGACGCATCCAAACCCAGTGACCATGGTAAACAGGTTTCAGACAAGTTCTTGGGTATCGAAAGAGAGGAGCAATCTCGGATGAAAGCGGCCTACTCCATGTTCGGAGGAAACCAGAAGGACAAGAATGCACCGCAACTTTGCGGAATCGAGAAGGGCGGCAAAAACCGTTACAAGGACATCTTGCCATTCGAGCACGCGCGTGTCAAGCTTCAGAAGCCGGAGGGGGCGTGCGACTACGTAAACGCCAGTCACATCAAGGCATCCAGGAGCAACAAGAGGTATATCGCGACCCAGGGTCCGCTCCCCGCGACTTTTGATGTAAGTATCCACCCCGCTGCCTTTCCTGGTGAAACATACTAACATTCGTCAGGACTTCTGGTCTGTTATCTGGGAACAAGACGTTCGCGTCATTGTCATGTTGACTGCCGAGTCCGAAGGTGGCCAGCTCAAGTGCCACCCCTACTGGCAGGGTCGGGACTTTGGTCTGATCAAGTTGAAGCTGCTCTCCGAGAAGAAGGTGTCTCTTGACATCGACAAGCACCGCAACAACCAAGGATCAGCTGCTCCCTCGGCAGCCGCGGCTGCAGCTGCGGCAGAAGCTGGACGCCGACGTGCTAACACCACGATGACGGGATTGGCTGCTGCTGCGTCTCCCGCGCCGCCCCCAGGCGAAACGCCTCATGTCATTGTTCGCAAGTTCGCTCTCTCGCACTCAGCGCATCCTTTCGCGCCTATGCGCGAGATTACTCACCTGCACTACCCTTCCTGGCCCGACTTTGGAGCACCCGCCCAGCCGTCTCACTTGCTCGGCCTTGTGAGACTGGCGAATTCCATGCAGAGCTCGGCCAGGCCTGTTGACACCATGGCTGCCGTTAGAGCCTCCCCGGATCCCGAGTCTGCCGACGAGCCGGAGATGAACTCGAGGGCCAGGCCCATGTTGGTTCACTGCTCGGCAGGCTGTGGCCGGACGGGCACATTCTGCACGGTGGATACAGTCATTGACATGTTGAAGCGTCAGCGACTGGCAAAGACGAATTCAAGGCCGGTGCGAAAGAGGGATTCAGACGGCGACATTAAGATGAGTGGTCAACCTGAAGACACCTCTCCTCGCGAGAAGACCTTCGACTTCAACCCGAGCAGCCGTCGATCTAGCGCCGAGGCCCGCCGTGGCTCCCCGGACAGAACTCCTCTCGACACCAGCTGGCTGAACGAAGACGGCGACACCCTCGACCTCATCCAGAAGACTGTTGAGGATTTCCGACAGCAACGATTGAGCATGGTTCAAAGTTTGCGGCAATACGTACTGTGCTACGAGACGATCGTCGAGTATGTATGGAGGCAACACGAAGAGACGAAGATGGGAAGAGCTCGAAGCGGAAGCCTGCAGCTCAGAGGGGACAATTAATGATGACTCAACTAGAAGAGAGATCGTTGAGCAAACGGAAGGACTCGTGTGGAATCGTAATCGATACCCCTGAAAGGCGGAAGGTGCCAGCATCAGCGAGTAACAGGAGCATCTTGCATTTTGTTTTTCAACGCAATGGGCGATACGGACATAATAGCCCGGAAACAGGGCTCAGGGCATGAGGAAAGGCGTTTGGGCATTCGAACTGCATATCTTACGACGCATGGGTTAAGCTTCCATGTGCTTTCTTGGCACCGGCATGTTTGGATCTGACTACGGTCGATCCTTGGAATTGTATACTAGAGACATGATCGAATATGAACATAAAGCAGCTGCTATGAGCGGCTGCCCTGTTGACAATGAATTAACTCCATGGATGCCGTGACGAGACTATGCTGACGCCTGTCTACTAACAACGAAAGACTCCGAAGTGGTAGACACCAAACATCGTGCGGTTACGAATGAGCCTGGAAACCTCTGACTTTAAAGGCGGACCATGGCCGCCTCCGCTCCTCACGACCTCGACGCCGCTGCCGCCGTTGCCGATATCGTCGTTCCAAACTCCCCGCAGCGAGACTGTTCGGGCCTTTCACAATGGCGTCCAGCCACTCCAACTCTCGACACTCGCTAGGGCAGTTCAGGGTATTGATCCGCGCCATGGTAATCCCGCGTTTTGCTCTGTAGAGAATGAGCTCACAGAGTCCCATTATCCAGAGTACTTCAGGGAGATCGACTCACTCTATGACTTGTGGATGGATTTTCTGCGCTGTCGTCGTCGCTGGTTCGGCATGTCCTTTTCGCCGTCTCCTTCTCTCAGCATCTGTTCTAAAGAGGCCGTGTCATGGCTGGAGGGGATAATTCAGCTGGAGACTTGGCCATTTTGATGAGTTGGTATAGAGAAAGGGAACTTCCTCTTTTGAGAAGGTGGTTGGGGTGCGGCGGTTGAGAGTATGCTTCCTCGGACTTGGTATTCTGTGCTGTGGTAAAGAGGCTTATCTTCGAATGCTATGTGTCTCCTGTAGCTGAGCTAGTGAATGGAATATATAGGGGGCGTCGTCCAACACAAGGATGAATCCCCATGTGTAGTTCAGCTTAGACTCTATACTGCGAACGCTGCTTTTCTTGACAATTACCTCGCATGGTTGAAGGTGGGTTTTGACACAGCTGAGCTAACTACAGAACCAATTCTGAATCCGGGACACCGAGTATATCATGTCTTGAAGTTCCTTTTTTCTTGACACTCATCCTCCGGCCAGCGGACATCGTGCAGGTTTCCTCCATCTTAGAGAACATGAGAATTCCAATCGACTCCCAAGTTGATGCCACCTGATCGTGTCTCTCATAGCGGGCTCTTCCTCCGGTATGGCTTGGGTAGCATGAACCTCGCCGGTTGTCGTCGTTGTCGTCGTTGTCGTCGTTCACTTATACATCTGGATAAGGTCGTGGGCAACACCATCTCTTGCCACGATCCACTGCGTGGCTGACTTTCGACTATCTCACAGCAGCAGTCAGCATCTTGTCTCACGGAGACTTGAACATGGAACAGCAATTATACAAACCTTCCATCAGGTTGTGTTGCGGGATTCTGGTGTTGACGGCGCCCCCTTTTTATCCCTGAGAAGAGCTATCTAAAGAGGGAGGAAAATGTCCGAACACCTTGCCGCCGCTGATTTGGCGAGCTTCCGAGGCAATATGACTAACTCGTGTAGTATTCGAGCTCGCTGTCTGGCCTTATAAGTAACCACTTTCATCCCGGACCGATCTGGAAGTTGGAAAGGACAGAACCACTACTGCATGAGCTCGCTCGTCTGCATCCACTCGATTCGCTTCCGTTTGAGAGCACACGGGCACCTCGACATCAACAATAGTGCAATTATCAGCAAGACGTAGTTGGCCCGGAGACAGATGCGACATCCTCACCTGTTTCTCTTCATTCTTGGTCGGCGTCGTTCAGGGGTTATCACAACAGAACAACCATAAAAAACCGTTGCGAGAACAGTTTCTTGACTGTAGCTCGAGGCATCTATTTGAGATACGACGCATTCTACAATGGTTTCGATGGTCTCAAAGCCGCCAGAACACAGTCGACGTCGATATACATGTCCTTCCTCCGTGCTTGGGGAAAGATGTCGTGTATGAGGTTTTAAAGATTATATAACAAATCCTAAGTTTTCAAAGTCACCCTACTTTACGTCTAACTAGAACAATTCTATGGAGCTAATTGCGCTAGAAAATTCGTAAAGCACGTGTAGAATCAGCTGCGTGTTTGGGTCGTGAACCCCGTCGACATTATTTATATTGAGCTCATAGTGCAAGCGATAACATCAGAAAGCCTAAGACACTCATGGAGCCATGTTCCTCTTAGACTTGTGAGATGCCCGCTGGCCATGAGGATGCGGCGTCCCGCAAGCCCCTGAACTGGTATACCTGAGATCACTCCATGTCTCGAGATCATCACAGCTAAGCATCTCCCGTCATCGTCATCATATCTCCTTGATTCAGCTGAATACCGATCGGAACGACGTAGTTAGTTTGTTGCCACTTCACATAGAAAGCCGGTCTCTGAGATACGAGGAGGGGCATGAGTTTAGTAACCCAAGCAAGCACAGCAAAGGTCAAATATGTTGTATTTGTTTCGAAAAAGAGAGGCTGAGTATCCCTCAGCCCCTGAGATATAAATATGCTATTCCTGTGAGAAGCCTTGCCGTCTTTGCTTTCAGGTCGCCGGCCCCCGACGCACGATCTTCGCCTTCATGTATAGGTTGGATCCGGCACATGGATAGATTGCCAATACAAGTCAATTGAGCCAAGTATACACGTCCATGTTGTTATGAGAGTCAGCATGGAGGGGACTTAGTTTATTTCGTGCGTCGCAACATGGCTGGCAGGGTGTCGGGGCGTCTAGTCTCGAGTAAGTTGTCACGTTTGAGCTAGCCTCAAGGGCTTTGCTTCGGAGATATAAATACCAGGATGCTACAAACAAGGGTGTCAGAAAGATGCTTTGTCTGCGCTTCCGCTACGATTGATTCGAGCTACGACGTCTCTAGAATCGACTCTGTTCGTGAGCCGAAACTTTCGTGCGGTATCAACGTTGTTGTTTACTTGCTTGCAAATGGATGCAGAGTCGATGATAATGGTGCTGAATCCGTCTTCTGTGTAGCGCCATTCGGTAGTGTCGTCCATCATCTCTGATTGCAATGCCGAACGAACCGAATACTCTGAGAGTTAGGTTTTATTGTGAATCAGAAACGCGGCAAGTTTGTTCATCGTGCTTCGGGAGACGACCTGGACGGGTTTGACCAATGCATTTGACCAATGCATTTGAGTACCTTGCTTCACACCCGTGAGAATAACAACAACGACACAAAAGGTGCTCGCCCAGAACGATGCGATGTGTTTTATATGACTACCGGCCTTGGGAGAATTTGCGGCGCTGAAGATCACTCACAACTTGCTTCATCTTGCAAACGCCAACCCAACCTAGAGACCGCTCAACAGAAGAGAGAGGTAAAAGACTGTTTGAAGTTTAGTTATTACAAGGGATGTAGGCTCTAACTTTTATCTGAAGGAAGCGGGAAGCAGCACGCTTGTATCAAACCCTTGAGTATCCTAAACATCACAACAACTCATTCCGCTACAATCAAGGAGCAATACTGTTGGATCAGTGGTCACGATAGAGTATTTAAACCGTCCTTAGCTTTGAGTATGAGATGTTCTAACAAACACTGTCGGATGTTTGAATAGCCATTGGTTATGACTTGATAGCTTTGTCCAGTGTCAAGCAATTATCTCTTCTACCCGTATGCCTACCGTAGGAAGATCGCGCTGTAAGACGAAGGCGATACACGTCTACTACCATCCGTCCCTGTCGATCTCCTTCATCCGCTGTTGGTCACGATTGAATGAGCCAGGGATGAAAAAAGAATCATGAAGATTGATGGTGTGACGTCGTCTTGGTAGAAGCAAGCGGTCCGCATGGTCCTTGTATACAGATTTTGCTGGTTATATAGACCACAAGGAACTTGATCCCGAGAGTTGGATATTGATTACCCAAAAACTTAAGCGTCATAAATATATGACCGCTGGATTCAAAGATAGATGGTTAGTCCAGGCTGCGAGGAACAGAAAAGATCAGTGAACAGAGGCGTTCGTTGAATCACTGCTTTCATCCGGTATCATGGGTTCCCGCTTGCTTGTCCGAGCATGCCCAATACTCCACGCTCTGGTATCGGCAATCCCTCACCGTTTCCATGGCTCTGAAGCATTTGTTGTGGCTAAGCGGCATATTGAGATCTCAAGACAGAACATTCCATGTTCCCATGCGTTTCCTTTCATTCTTTAATGGTGATGGGTAGGTGGGAAACTGTTGGAGCGTCCTAGGCACCGCGAACGAAAGCGAACTACCATTGCCGACATGATCTTATCGAATACTCGAATGTAAGATTCAGGAGAAACGGCGGTGACGGCGGGCCAGGGCTGGGCTATGAGGAAAGTACTATTGCATTGCGATTTTGGAGTAAAGTACTTTGCGTTGGAACTCACAAGACATAGAAGACTCGGCGCGGATCAGTCAAAATTAGGAACAGGAGATGAAGAAAGTGCTGGCTTTGGCAATATTCCTCTGAACGGCTTGGAGCTGGACTTATTTATGACTTCGGACCTTCTTAGCAGCCATCGTGGGCGTACTGGACGTCAAGATTGCCCCCAATATGATGCACGTTAATGGGAATCTAGTGAATGGGTGCTTTCTCCGTAGGTATGACATGATGTCCTCTGGGTTGTGCGGCACCGTGACTTCCAAGTCTCTTAGACCTCCTCGTCTTCGAGAACATCAGCTATGGCAGTTTGCTGGTATTTATGCGAGAATGCAGACGCAACTCAGTCAGCTAAGCATGCGATACCCACGTCCGTTGTCGTCGAATGTTCTCATGGCTCAGATCAGAAACAAGTGACCCCTAGAGCGTAGAAGCCGATGCGCCAGGAGGTAGCATCCACATGCCGGACTGTAAATTTAGCAGACCGTTTCTCTGTTTTCTTTCGTCTCCCGATTAACACGCTTGCATAGACCAAGGACGATGATGACAAGGTGCGAATGTCATCTTGAGGTTACGACAGACCGGCCGCACTCGCAGCACAACAGGTGCCGTCTCATACTCGTCTTAACGAGCATTACACAACAGCTTAGTAGTCAGAAGAAGTTCGGTACCTGCGGATTCGTGTGGTAGTCTTGGTTTAAGGTGAGTAAAACGAGCGAGCGAAGGAATCCTATATGTCCATAAACAAGGTGTTTGTTAACCACGCATACAGACAGGCAGGCACCCAATAAGATAGACAGCAAAAGACGAAAGGACCAATAAAGGCAAAAGTTCAAGCACACGGGTTCGAACCCATGTACCCTACGAAAGCCTCTGAAATAATAGATATTTAGGATTTCATACCAAGTTCATACTAACGGACCAGGGCGTTATACCTCCAGGCCATGTGGCCCTTCATCAGGCTTGGTTGAAAACTTTGGGATCAAACTCGAATAAAAGGGACTGGAGCAGGAGAAAGGAGCAGGTCGGGTAGAGCGGGTTAGGTCGTTCTTGCCTTTGCGGGATGTATGGCACCCGGGTGGCGCCTGCCTGGGTATCGCGGGTCCGGGACAGGCGTAAACCAACCAGCCTTTCTTTAGCGGCAGAAGTCTGAGTTAGCTATCGGAAATGGTTGTTCGCGCAGACAGTTCATGAATTCTTTGGTAGCTCGGTCGTTCTATATGGGACCATTGCGTCCAGCTTTCACCGCATACTTGCGTCAAGATTTTGAAACCCTTTTGGGACGCTTACAGACATCCCTATACGGATAGTTCACCACAAAACACACTTATCAAGTTGACTGGATAAAGGTGTGGAAGGGTAAGTCATCGTGGCTGATTCCTGTTCTATGTAGTCGTACATATTAGCCGTACAAGCGGCCACTGCATAATCGTGGGCGCTACTTCCACCCCCGCCATTCCCAACTCCCGCCAACCCAAAAAGAAGCCGTCGTTGCTGCTGCCGCCATCGTACCACCTCTCCTCTTTCCCCTTTTTTGTTTCGCTTACTTCCAGAGCTTGCCGAGGGACACCTCCTTGTCGTCGTGCTTGTTGAGAATCTTGGCGGTAGCGAGCTCGAAGTCCTCCTGGGTGACGTGGACTCTGCGCTCGCGGAGGGCGTACATGCCGGCCTCTGTGCACACACCCTTCAGCTCGGCACCGGAGCAACCGTTCATCTTCTCGGCAATCTTGGTGAGGTTGATGCCTCTCGTCAGATTCATCTTGCGGCTGTGAATGCGGAGAATGTCGGCACGGGCCTCGACGGACGGCGGGGGGAACTCGATCTTTCGGTCAATACGTCCGGGACGCAGCAGTGCGGGGTCGAGAATGTCGAGACGGTTAGTGGCCATGATGACCTTGATGTTCTTGGTAGGCTCGAAACCGTCGAGCTGGTTGAGAAGCTCCAACATGGTGCGCTGGACTTCAGAGTCACCTCCTGAGGAGCCCTCGACACGGGAAGAACCGATGGAGTCGATCTCGTCCATGAAGATGATAGAGGGCGCGTGCTCGCGGGCCATGACGAAGAGCTCACGAACCATACGGCTACCCTCTCCAATGTACTTCTGCACCAACTCGGAACCGGACACACGGATAAACTTGCAGTCGGTGTGGTGGGCGACGGCTCTTGCGAGAAGGGTCTTGCCGGTACCGGGAGGACCGTAGAGGAGGACACCCTTTGGTTGGGCGATACCGAGGGACTCGAAGAGCTCCGGGTGCTTGAGACCGAGCTCGATAACCTCCTTGATTTCCTTGATCTGCTGATCCAGACCACCAATCATGTCGTATGTGCTGTCGGGGACCTTTTCGACCATCATGAGGGAGACGAGGGGGTCGACGGATGAGGGGAGCATCTTCTCGAGCTTGTAGCTGTCGGAGAGGAGGGTTACTCGCTTGCCGACGGTGAGCTTTGTGATGTCGACGCTGTCGGAGACGTCGACGACTGCGATAGGAGTTTAGCATGGCACCATGGAGGAATTGGCGATGACATGGCCAGACGTACCGTATTTGCCTTCCGGATGCACCTTGACCAGGACCTTCTTCGTGCTCATGACCTTGACGACCTCACCGACGTAGGAGCCGGGCTGCTGCAACAGACCAAGTTCTTCTCTCAGCAAGCGCACACGGGAGTTGTAGTCGTTTCTTTGAGCTTCGAGACGGCGGAGAACTGCTTGACCCTTGAGGATCTCGAGCTTCATAGCCTCGATCTTGTTCTGATAGTAGCTGTCGAGCGCCATCGTGACGGATGCCCCGTGGGAGGATGAAAACGGTCGGATGTGTTGTCGATGGTTTGCGGGGTATCGGGAGGGTCAATCGGTGTCGTCGAGGTGTGCAAGGTGGTGGGATGGTTGACGGTCGCCGGGGGTTAGGTGTGGTGATGGAAGCTTGTCGTGGTGGAAGCTCGCAAATGGATTCGGAGTGACAGGGCTGGATTGGCTGGCTCCGTCAGTCGGTCCAGTCAGCAGGCAAACCACCGTCGACGCGTTCGCCGGGACTGGGTCACGTGGGAGCTGCCTTCCGGAAGTGTAGCTCGAAGGCGGGGCTGTGCTTAGTCATGAAGTTTTTCGGAAGGAGGGATCATCCGATGACCGACTTCTGGAAGGCGTCCCCTGGCAAGGTCCGTGCGTCAGAATTATGTTGTTTGGCGGCTGCAAGAGAAAAGAGGCGGAATGCGCAGTGACGTTTGTACGCCTCAGTTGGGAAAGTGGAGCACAGCACGAGATGCGCGATGTGGATATCAATGTCGAGCACCTGGAGCACCTGGACATCAACGGCGGGGCTTTGGGCGTCGAATCATGGACAATCGGTGGACACGGCGAAGAACATGGAAGACTGAGAATTGATGCTTATCTGATTGTCTGATATCTACAATAGTGCCTACTCAACTACCCACTCCATCTCACTTGTCACTATTTCATGCGGCACAGAGAGAAGCAGAGCGCCCGAAGCGACGAGGCAAAGTATCGCCAGTCGCGGCTCTCTTGCGGTTGCACCCTGCTTGGCAGCGGCGATTGAGCGGTGGACTCTAGCTTCTCTGGATCTTCCGCGGCCGGGCACTAAGCTGATTGGGAGGGAGCTTTGGCGGAAGGTGTCTGGGCGATAGCACCATGATCCATCATCCATGTTCCCAACAGCTGCGAGTCCACTAGTCCTCCACTAAATTGCAGGTCTACCTATCAACAACCCGCCAAAGGTAACGGCAGGCTGCAGAATGATGGGAAATGTAAACACCAAACACACTTGGGCGCAAGACATTGTGCAGGCCTTCCTTTGGTTTCTGATGCGCACCTCAGGAAACTCACGTACGGAACGATCAAATCAGAGACCAAGGATTAGCATGAGATGGAGAAAGTAGCAGTCATACAGTGACATTTGGCCTTGCTCACGCTCCAAAAACAGCATCTTCCATGTTCTTGATGCCTGCACATGACCGCTTCTCGCACACACACACTCCTGACTCAAACATCACCACATAAGCCAGGTGAACCGTGATTGCTACGGGAAGCCGGGAAATAGGTTTGGCAACTGACAATCCGGGGGAAAAGTATCATCGAGGATTCCGTTGGTCTAGGTACACATACACAAAGAGAAAAAACGGGCAGCACCACCCAACACATCGGACGAGCTGCGCCTACTACCTTTGCCTTACGCCAGCGACGTCGATAGCGACGAGCACGAGCGGCAGCCGCACCATCAGCCAACCTTCTTCTTCCTCCGTCCAATAAATAATCTTACCTTCCCATAGTACGGAGACCGTCCTCGCAAAAAAAAATAATTGCGACTAAAACAAAACTTCATCGCCAGAACAGGCAAGGACCAGTCGACATCGCATCGACAGGAATGGACCAGACTCTTCATTGTCTCCATCGCTGAATTGCGCAGTCTCGCCATCGCGTCATTCCTCCTGACCCTCCTTTCTGTCATCTCTCTCTTTTTGGTGTCTCTCTCCGTGTTTTTATTAAGTTGTTTACTCGACTGCCACACCACGGATACCTCGACCTGTGCACCTGCACCTAGGTACTACACCTCCATTTCAATCTCACCTTGCTGACCGATCCGACTTCGACCTCGAACACGGCCTCAGTCAGTCCTTTCTTTTCTATCCACCATCTCGCTACCCGACGGCGACCTCACCACCACGCCGACCCATCTTTTGGGACCCCCCGTGGAATCCTCGACATCTTACCGAAAACTTGGACCACTCGCCCCTAATAATATCTTACCTACCGAGTCCTTCTTGATTCTCGGCTCGACTCGAGTACTCGACAGCTTTTCCAAGTTTCGTTTCTCGCCGCCGTTTCAACCACAACACAAGAATACCTAAAATTCCAAGCCCGAAGCCACCCAACGCACGCCCGACGCTTCCACGCTTCCACCCCCGTTGCAGTCGGCACTAATAACCCACATCTCCGGCACCCGCCATTCACATCTCTCCACCGATCTTTCTCCATTCTTCTCCAATATCGCTGAGCGCTCCATCGTCGCCCACCATGGATCCCTCCACTGGGCCCGACACGCCCGCCCATTCGTCTCGCGATACCTCGACAACCGCATCGCCCACCGACACTCGTCACCAGCCTTCAAGGTTCGAATCGTACCAGGTCTCACGCGACGACGGCCTGTCCGAAAGCTTCCAGTCTTTCCAGTCCACCGACACGGTGCGGAGGCGCCCAGAGGCTGGTTACGGTACGTACGATCTGCTGCATGCCCAGAAACCTAATGCGTCTTGGTCGTCCGAGTTGCCGACTCGCCCAAGCCCAAGAAAAACATACCCCAGCTGACATCCACTCCGCGCGCCACGTAGGTTCCGTACCAACTTCAGGTTCTACCTCCCAGTATTTGGGCGAGTCGTCAGCCCATGATCGTTCTCACTCCCGTTCCACGCAAGCTACCAGATCTCCCATGATGGGTTCCGAACGCCCCAAGGCCGCCAACCGTCCGCGGAAGCCCCCAATTTCCCGTCGACCATCAACAAACCCTTCCGCGCCCCATCGTGGCGAGATCTTCTCCGTCGACGACGACATCTTCGAGGTCGAGGCCGATGCTGTTGGCCGTCAAGAGCAACAACGAGGTTTCAGCACGCGCCGCAGACCCCAGCTAGCCACTACCCTTTCTCGCGTCCAGTCGTCTAGGAGCGAACACGGCGATGACGACGATGACGGTCCCCGAACCCCGAGAGCTGAGGATAACGCACCCGAGCGCTCCGAGCACGAACCGTCGGTGAACCAAGACGAGGATGAAGAAGCAGAGGACGACGATGACGGCGACGTGAGCGACGCCGAGAGCTTCACGCTCAAAGATCGCCAGCAAGCCATCAACGAAACACATCCTTTTGGTATTAGGTTATGGAAGCCGGCTTTGTACAAGAAGGATCGTTCCGTGCAGAAGAACGCAGAGGGCGACATCCACTCGTCCCCGGGCGGAAGAGTCAACAACTGGCTCCTCTTCTTCAACCTGCTCTGGACGTTGCTTTTCGGCTGGTGGATGGCGACGTTCGCAGCTCTCGGCGCGCTCATTTGCTTCTTGTTTGCGGCGACTGTTAGTGGCAGAGAGTACGGCAGAGTTCTTTGGGGACTCGCAAGCTATCTCTTCTACCCCTTCGGCAAGTATGTGCGCTTGGAGCAAGACGAGGCCTATTTGGACGAGGACCAAGGCGAAGGACGAAGCATATCCGAGTACGAGCAATGGCAGAGTGGCGACCTCGAGTACGGCCGTCTGTTCTTTGGCCCGGACAGTGCGGACCAGAACCGCTCAATTGTCGGCCGCTCGCGGCGAAGCATCGACTCGGAGCCTAGTGAGACGGACAGCCTCTTGGGCCGGACCAGGCGCAGCGAGCGGAGTGAGACACCCCCGAGACTCAAGCGCCGGTTGTTCGGACGTGGCCAGTGGAACATCGGACGCATCGTTTTCTTCCTGTTCTTCTACCTCTTGCTGTCGCCATCTCTGATCTTGGTCTCTCTCATCTGCTGGTTTTTGGTTTTCACCATTCCCATGGGCAAAGTCACCATGTTGCTCTTCGACCACCTCCGACGACACCCGCTTGCTCTCTCGTTCGAGTCCGACATCACTCTCGCACGGACGGCCGATGCGCCTCACTCATCTATTCTGCTTTGCACCTACCGGGCAGTCGGCACCAAGTACTGGAAGTACACTATTGACGGAACCAATGTCTTCCTGATCAACCTCATGGGCGTCGTGTTCTTCGTCATTATTGACTGGATTGTCTTGGACCGGGTTCTCGGCTTGCACATCTTCATCACCTCGCCAGCTTTTCTCTTCATAGCTGGCCTGTTCTCCATCATCCCGCTCGCCTACTTCATCGGCCAAGCTGTTGCCTCGATCTCGGCACAGTCGTCAATGGGAGTTGGTGCTGCCATCAACGCCTTCTTCTCCACCATTGTCGAAGTCTTCTTGTACTGCGTTGCCCTTAGCCAGGGCAAGGGCCAGCTCGTGGAGGGCAGCATTGTGGGAAGTATCTTTGCCGGCATTCTCTTCCTCCCTGGTTTGTCCATGTGTTTCGGAGCTATTAAGCGCAAGACACAGCGGTTCAATGCCAGGTCTGCCGGTGTCACTTCGACGATGCTTCTGTTCGCCGTCATTGGCGCTTTCGGCCCGACGCTGTTCTACCAGATTTACGGCACCCATGAGCTTAACTGCCTAGACTGCGTTAACCACAGCGGTGTGGGCGACGGTCTTTCGCCTGTCGGGGATGGTCGTGACTGCCGCCGCTGCTTCTTCTCTCAAACCCCGACTCTCGACGACCGCTTTTATCTCCAGGCTGTTCGACCGTTCTGCTACTTCTGCGCTACGCTTCTCTTCCTTTCGTACATTGTTGGACTCTGGTTCACTTTGCGCACTCACGCTGCCGTGATTTGGAACTCTGAGATGGACGAGAAGAAGCACGAAGAGCACGCCCACGCCCAGTCTATCGCAAGGCAATCAGGACCTCACTCTTTCGCCGAAACCAGTGGCGCCTCTATCGATGTTCGCGACTCTCACTTGTACAAGCGAATTCTTGGTCAGTCCCTGAAGCAGGTTGGACTGAACCCCAAGGGTGATGATTCTTCTCGTCAAGGCTCAGTTACTGGCTTGGGACTTGCGCCAGGCAACGGCAGCGTCAATATTCCCCATGTCGTACCCCCGAAGTCTAGCGACAGCGACCCTGTTCGTTCTGTCGTTCACATTCCCGGATTTTCAGAGGCGGAGAACAACGCACTGGTCCGCGAGGTTGCCGAGATGGCCGCCACAGCTGCCACGCTTGCTGCTCGGGAGCGAATGCCACGCAGAATCTCAGCCCAACCCGGAACTTCAACCGCGCCGACTCCACGACCCCCTGCTTTGAGAACTGCAACCTATCCCGAGACCGAGGATCACGCCGCTGCAAGTGTCGCCCAAGTTCCCCACGGTGGACACGATGCGCCCAACTGGAGCCGAGGCAAGAGTGCCTTCATTCTCATGGGTGCTACGGTTCTCTATGCCATCATCGCTGAGATTCTGGTCGATACTGTAGATGTCGTCCTCGACAGCTTCGTTATCGATGAGAAGTTCCTTGGTATCACACTTTTCGCTCTGGTTCCCAACACGACGGAATTTTTGGTAAGTTCTTACGGTTTCGATCCTGAAATCAGATGCTAACATTTTGCAGAACGCCATTTCGTTCGCAATGAACGGCAATATTGCATTGTCCATGGAGATTGGTTCAGCTTACGCGCTCCAAGTCTGTCTGCTGCAAGTTCCCGCTCTTGTGCTTTACTCTGCATTCTGGGGCAATGCCAACGGTGTCGAAGACGTGGGCAACCACAGCTTCTCGTTGCTGTTCCCTCAGTGGGACATGGTTACTGTTATTCTTTGCGTCTTCCTGCTCAGCTACATGTACGGAGAAGGAAAGAGCAACTACTTCAAAGGCAGCATTCTCTTGTTGAGCTACCTCGTAGTTGTCGTCGGCTACTACTTGTCTGGATACACGGAAGATATCATGAGCGCGAGCCGCTTTGACATCATGGGTGCTGACGGGCAATACTCGTCTTTCAAGACCATTGGTCGGAAGCGCAGTGGCGTTGCCTTCCAAGTATAAGGAGAGGGGTTGCGAGGGGTTGCGATACGGAAGGAGCAGCGAGTTATTGGTACAGCATGCGTTAACTAATATGAGTTGATAAGGGAAGGGTACTCGTCTGAGCTGGTCTGCATAGGCCGGTTTGTTGTTGGACATGGATCACTGCATTATATTTTCTGTTGGCAGGCGGCTACGATGGGACGTGCGGGAGTTTCGGAGAACAGTACATACCTAGATTACCCTTTCGTTTCCTTGCGGAATACTCATTCCTAATCATTCTCACTGCTGGTGTCCTCATGGATAGACGTTGACATCGTTTCTCACCTTGAATACTGCGTGATCGGGCACGTTCTCAGCTTGAGCATGAGTCCGGCCCCAGCATGACGGCTGGCTCTCCGGCCTAAGCCAACTGACCCTCGAACCGCCTCTGATGCGATCTAGTACATTGGAGGTGATCCTCCGCAGGCCTAGCTCTAGTGGTGGAATCAACCCCTGTTCACGAAGCCATCGCACATCGGCATCGCAATCGATCGTCGTTCTCTGTGGAATGAAGGCTTTTGACCATCGAAGCGGGGTATCCGGGGTGACGAGAGGTGTGGAATGTGTGGCTGGCGGGGTTGGTGCGGTGACGCATTCTCGAGCTAAGCCAACGGCGAATGTCTTGGATGTTCGCTTTTTCTGAGACCGTGGAGTCGGCTCTTGCAACAACGGCTGTGGCTGAGGTGAGTTTATTTCGAGATGTTGGGTGAAGATGAGGGGGACCGGGTATACAACGTCTTAGTGGTGACTATCCCAGACGAGAGTGAAGTAAGGATTATCGAAAGGTACGAATTTCTTGATTGAAGAGGTCTTGTGATAGCATAGCATCAATGGGTGAGACGGAGACATGAAGATCTCATTAGAAAGGACTTCTACATCAAGACTACATCAAGCAGGTTACAAAAGGGCCCCCAATTGCCCTCAACGACACATCCTGACGATTGATTTAGGAAAATCCCCGTTTGATGGACCAACAGAACTTGTCAGGAGGCGGGGTAGGAGGTTGAGAAACTTAGGTAAGTCAGCTTGGATCTTCAGTCGCGACTGGATTCTAATTGCTGCGTCTCTTTTTCGGTCCGTTGGTTCGCCTTACACGGGCGTATTTAGGCAACATCTCCTTGATCCAACAGCTGCGTCACAACTTCATCCTAATCAACATCGAGCACAATAAGAACTCGCCAGTTTGATCATATCGTTTCCCTAAGGAAGTTCTGAAATCGGAATCATCACAGCAGTTCTCGGCGATAATCTCTCCTCCACAAGCCCTCTCTTGGCACCTACGCACATCGCCGGCGAGATAGTACGTCCGCCGTTGTTGGTTGATATCGATTCCGAGTACCAACAAACAACTACCAACAGCTTCGCGAGCGGTATCCGACTCAAGTCGCCGAACAAAGTCGCCGTTTTGGAATCGCTTTTCTCGTTTTCAGCCGGCAATCGCGGGCAGAAATCTTCGAGCTTCAACAATCACAGCTCAACTCCGGGCATATTCATCATGGCATCTTCAAGTATAAAGAAGGACGACAACGGCAACAGTAAGTCCAAACTCCTATTCATCATCACGGACTCAAGCACATCATCTCTACACCACTCCAAAGCATCACCATTCCAAACACGTCAACTCCCAAACCCCTCAAGAACACAGCATGCGCACCACCACCGTGCTCGCCTCCATCGCCACCCTCCTCCTCCTCGCCCACCGCGCCCAAGCCTTCGACATCTACCTAATGAAAAGCTCTGACTGTCCAGAAGAGGAAGACATCGACGTCGTCTGCGAAGACACGGACGTCGGCCGCTGCTGCAACGGCCACGTCGGCGTCCTCTACAGCTCGGCCACGGCCACCGACGACAAGGAGGGCGTCGTGCTGTACGCGCTGAACCAGGGCCAGCCCGCGGACTCGCCCAACCGCTGCGGCCTGCAGATCGCGAGGGACGACGCCTGCGCCACGGTCGACATCCCCATGGGCTCGGCCGCCGGTGTTCTCGGCAGGTCGGAGGAGGAGGAGGAGGAGGAAGACGACAGCAGCGAATCTGAGCGCCGTCGTCGACATGCCCGGGACGTCACGCCCTCGAAGGATGCCACGCCCGAGAAAGAGGAGGAGGAGGCCGCGCCGAAGAAGGAGACTTGGATCGAGAAGAACAAGAAGGTCAAGCGCGATGCTTCGGGCTGGATCCAGCAGCAGTTCACGTCGTATGCTGTTCGCAGCAAGACGCACATTTACAAGTTGTCGCGCGACTCGGAGCACGCGCCTGCTTTTGAGGCCTTGACGGAACGTCAGGAGCGTGTTGACTTTGTTAAGCGACATGGTGTAGCTCAGCGCCGTTGAGCTGAGAAGGAGAGTTGCCGAGCAAGGTACGCATAGAAGAAACGGGCAGCGGATGTTGTCTTTTGCATGGTTTCGAAAGGTTTTCTCCATTTGTTTTGAAGGATCACGCTCTTTCGATGGGTCGTAGATATCAGGATCGTTTCAAGTTTGGTTTCGTCGTCGGTCTTTCGGATAGTCAGAATTAGCACTGCTCATTGTCATCATGACGAGATGTCCTGTGATTTATGATATTATGACTGTAAGTACTCTAGATCTAATGCAATTATCGTTTGGATCGTCTCTTCTTCCATGCGTATCATATCTCTCAAGCTACGCCTCGCTGTCATCTTACATCCGAGATCATCTGTTTGTGTCCATCATTGTCACCAACGTTTTCCTTCATCCTGGAGCGGCCTCCTGCCACGAGAAATTTAGCAGTATTCTGATGCTCTTGCTCGTTAGAAGCAGGGTTTAGTGATATACAGCCATTCAATCCTGTCTTGCTGATGTCTCCATCATGCGCAGCCAGAAGCTTGACTATTTCCTCACCTCCATCCTCGTAGGCCCCGAAGGGCTTTGAAGTCATGCCGTCCTCGTCGTCTTCTTTGCCCTCATAGTCTCCTCTGTCGACTGGTCGTTTAACGTGTTGCTTGAAGATATCCGGCAAAGAATACCAGAATTTGTCTTTAACACTCTGGGATCGGAGTGCAGTGAGAACTTCTCGAACCTTCCCAAGGATGATGGCGCACATCGTCGGAGTGCAGAGCACGAGATCATGATCAAAGTCGCAGACGAGGCCATTGATGAGTGGTTCTCGAATGACCTCGCCACATATTTGGAGCGCGTAAGCCCACCCTGCTCTATCACCACGGCTGCAGTCTTCGTTGGGGTCAGCCCCCTTTTCCAGCAACATCTTGACAATATCCGAGCTCCCGAGAAGAATGGCTTTGGTGAGTGGCGACTCCGCCATGGACATCTTGTTGGCGTCAGCCCCATAGTCCAGAAGAATCTCGGCGATGGCCCCCTGACGCATTGAGATGGCGCGGTGGAGGGGAGTTTCCATGGGAGTCCCGCTTTCCCTGTCGACTTTTGCGCCTTTTTCTAGCAAGAGTTTGCAGACTGTCTGCTGGCGACAGATGACAGCATATAGCAATGGGCTTTCCCCTGCGTGGCACCCTTCTCCTTCCACGTCTGCGCCGTTTTCCAAGAGAAGCTCCACGAGAGAGATTGGCGAGGCTTTTTTAATGGCAAGCAGGAGAGGGGAGTCGTTTCCGAGACCGCCCTTCACGTTGACATCTGCATGCCAGGTGAGCAAGAGTCTGACTGCGTGTTCATCCTGTTTAGAAATTGCTCGTAGCAGAGGGGTTTCCTCCAAAAACCTTGTGGATTCTCGGATTATTCCTGCGCCCCTATCGAACAGCAAGTTTTCCAGGTATCGTTTGTTTGACGTGACGATCTTTCCAAGATGTAGAGAGTCTTCCGGGGAACGACGACCGCTATTAACATCTGCACCATTCGCAAAGAGAAGTTCCATCGCTCGGTGATTTTCCGTGGTGATGGCTTTTGATAGTAGGTGCGTCTTCAGCTGGTCTACTTTGCTCCTGTCGTCGAGGCCTACACAAAAAGAGACCAATGTCTTGATGAGGCTGTCCCGAGTATCGTTCATGACCTCTAGCGACGAGGGTTCCAGAAGACAGCGGAGTGACGCAGGAATCTCGGCTCCGTGCTCGACGAGCAACTTTGTGATTTCCTCGTTTCCCTCGTCGATGGGGAAGTCCAGGATGTGACTGCCGTATTCGTGCGGAGCATTGACGTCCACCTTGCCCGTCTCGAGAAGGAGTTTCAAGCATTCGCCGTCCCCGTTTTCGACAGCGACTTGGAGCGGCGTCAGATTCTCCTCGTCGTCGCGGAGATTGACATCTATACCTTCGTGCTGGACCAAGAGTTTGACTGAAAACGAGTCCGTCCAGAAGACTGCCCACCAAAGGGCCGATCTTCCCAGGTAATCTTGCGCGTTGACGTCGATGTCTTCTGCACTGAGTAGCAGTCTAATGATGGACCCGCCGCCTTTATCGCCCACGGCGCAGTGCAGCGGTGTTCTGCCTAGGCTGTCTTTGGCATTCACGTCGTAGTTCCCTCGGAACTTTATGGAATCCTCTAGTTCGTGGAAGACTGCCGTGTGAAGCCATATAGAGGATGTAGAGGAGCTCTGTGATACGAGGGTCTCCTCGTCGTCTTCGAATACTCGTGCCAACAATAGGTGGCCAACCAATTCAGAATTCGGGGTATCGAAGAACTGCGCTATTGAGTTCATGAGAAGGTCCCTGAGCGGCTGGGAGCTGTCCTTTTGATTATTCTTCGATGCCCGGCGAGCGTGGAAGCCCCATGATACAAATGCGTAGAACCCGAAAGGGTGATGACTTCTGAGCCAGTCATCATTAAGGTCGTGTACATTAGTACCGAAGTCCATGAATGAAAGATAAGTCAGACATGAACGGGTGATATCCAAGTCGGCCGTCGGAAACCAAAAGTTACGCTTTCGATCGAAGTACTCTTGCGCCGTATAATGAACGAGACGTATGATTCCAGTTGACTGATCAACCGTGACCAAACCGGCGCATACTGATTCGAGATCAGCAAGGCGGAAAAGACGGTCCTTGTCAATATACTGATCCCCGGGCTCCACGGCCAAGGCGTCGATAATGGCAGATGTTTCCATGGGCTCTTCCGCCGAGGACACCCAAGACAGGACCTTCATCGCCAGATCGACGTGGTCTTTCAGCTGGCCTTGGATACGTTCCATGGCGTTTTCATAGGCGAAATCGTACATGAGATCATCGGAGCCAACCGGAAACCGCTTCAGGGCGTCGCGGATACCTCGCGAGTTCATTTTGCCTTTGAGCGAGTCGAGGTAGAACGCTGCAAGCATGAACCTGCCCAAGGTTAGCATGTGGCTGGAGGCGCGATGTATGGAAGTCGCAAATACCAACATTCCGGCAACAGAACGCTTAATGCTATTCTTGATGTCTTGCATAAGCGATACGTCTTCCAGTACGAAGTATGGCAAGTCGCTGATCTGAGCGTCGACATACGCGTCTATGTCTTCTCCCTTGGCCCTGATTTCGAGGTCCGTGCAATCCACATCCTTGAACAATCGTTCCACCGCTGGTATGTGTCTTGATGTGGCCATTAAATTGACGTTGTGGTTCTCTTTGATATTGAGTATGGTGGCGAGAAGCCTCGTCCTGGTACCGTTGTCCGTAGAACACTCATCTATGGCATCGATGACGAAGAATACCTTCGCATACGATATTACAATGTCAACAAGCGTCGTCGACAGCTCCTCGGTCGTTGGCCGCGTTCTCCTGAACTTGTGACGTTCGTAGAGATTTGTGAGGCTTTTGAGATCGGATCCATGGCTAAGCTGTGCCACCAGACTAGCCAGAAGCTGGGACAAGTTCTGCTTGGCGCGAAAACCACAGTACACGAAAGCGAGGCCTATCGCAGGGCTGGCTTCTATCCGCTTGTGGATGTCGTCGATGACGATGGCCGCGATGGTCGTCTTTCCAGCACCCGGGATTCCGAGGCAGAGCAGCGTCTGCTTGTCACCGTCGAGCCAGGATCGATACTGCACCGAGTCGAGGAACCACCTTCCGGTGCCCTGCTGTCGACGGCTGAGGTTGAGACTGTGTTGGGAACCGTAATCCACTTGCTGGAAACCCAGATCTGGCTTCGTCAGCCAGGCTAGAATGCTTTCGTGTTGCTGCTCTTCCTGGTGCTGGAGGAGTTTCTGGGTGTTGTCTCTGGCGATGCGTGTGTTGTATGCATTCAGCGCAGCGATATTGGAACAGATCCGGCTTCGGAGTTCCCGGATGTCTTCGGGCTCGAAGGTCAATCGTTTCCATGCTCGTTTGAACTTGTCTTTGGTATCTGTTTTACCGTCTACAGACTTTAACTCGCAGTACTTATCGATGGTTTCGGTCAATTCGTCGAGAACACTCTGACAGTTGGCCGTGATATATCTCAAATCCTCGTCGTCTGGGTGTGGGGAAGCAGATTCACGGGATTCGTAGACACACTCGGAATCCGAGAGGATGATGGAGGGATTGCGAACCCTGTCTGTCGTGTAAGAAGACTGAACTCACAAGGGCGTAGAGTTGTGAGTACAGACCACGCTCTCCGCCGTAAGCTCGTGGGACTTACTCGTCAGCGATGGTCTTGAACTGGCTGGGCGCGCCCGCGAACTTCTTGCGCACTTTGTTCGCCTGTTGGTAGACAGCAAGGAAGTCACCGACACCGAAGCCGAAGCTCATCGCGAGGTATGAAGTTTCTCGTTTTCATTTGGGTACATGAACGGCAGGAACGAAGGTAGACACGAGGGCGAGATGGCCTGGTGATACCCCGCCTTGCTGCGTCGCCCTTGCCTGCAGCCTAAGCAACGAAAGATTGGAGGCTGTGGTGCTAGCTTATTACTCCTGCATCATTCATTCGGCAGCAAGGGTTCATTGGCATTGCCCGCCAATCGGCTTGGTTGATCTGGTTTGGCACTGCAGAAGAGGCAGACGATGCAGCACCGTTAGGTCAGGCCTGGTCAGAGGTAACCTGGAATCCTGGAATTTTCCTCAAACAAGATAATCGAAAGCATGGCGCAACTGTATGGGATCGTCTATTGTGGCTCTATTCGGTGAACGCAATGGCCCGTACCCGTAAGCTCGACCGAAACCCCGGGACGGATGTGTGGCCCCGCATACCCCGCACCGGCTCCGATGCCAGCCAAGGTTTCGGCGTCCCATCCGTGCGGCGTCCCGGATTGAAAACCGCCTCAAAAGCAATGCTCAGGGTATGCTGTATGCGACCTAGGTTTATAGCAAAACGCTCAGCCAAATGACGGCGGCGAGCAGAAAATACGCAAAGGAAAGCCCTTGTTCTCCCCACCATATAGGTCTCTTGCGGCGCCCACCCGGCCAGCAGTCAGCCAATCATTCACGTGGCCCAGTCCCGTCTCCTCCGAATGGTGTAGTTGGTTCATCACGTTCGACTGTAATGGTTCCACCAAGATGATCGAAAGGTCCCTAGTTCGATTCTGGGTTCGGAGAACGATTCTTTTTGACATTCTGCAGCTTTTTTTGGTGTTCCTTCCTTCATCTTGGTTGTGCCGCTACCTGGTCACAACTCGTGCCTGGACGGAAACGCAGGCCGTCATGCCATACCCCAATGCGAGAATCGTTACTGTCAGGCCACTTTCATCGACGGCTTCTTACACCGCCTCTCCAAAATGACCTAACCCGGGTCGTTCTCGGGTTTAAAATGCAACCTTCCGACTTTGTTTCGGTGGCTGCATGTTATTTGCCATTTGAATGCTACACCGAGATGATGATTGGTCTTTTGGACTGGAAGTGTCGGATGTCTAAATAAAGCTCAGGTCATATTGCTTCCATTGACACCGGCAGATCAATCGTATGCCAGACTAAGTTTATATAGAAGGCCGCCTCGCCATGCCGGCTGACTGCGGTGTGTATTTGTATGGTGTTAAAAGCCCGCCCCCAGAAACCAGAAATAACATTGTCCTTTTCATTTAGCACTGTACTTAAAGGCCCATCCAGTTTCCGTTCACGCTCCCGCCCATGCCCTCGAAACCCGGGACATACCCATTCCCAAACATGGCCGAAAACTCATCCAACGCCGGAGGTATTGGCGACAGGCTGCCATCGAGCCCGAAGAACGGCATCGCCGGCGGAAGCGAGGCGGTTCCCTGCCTACCAGTTCCGGGCGCAACATGTCCACTTCCACTGCCGTGCCCATGGCTGCCGCCCATCCGCCAGAAGGCCGCGGGGTGCGGCGGGATCGGCAACCCCGTGTCGTGGCTCCTCTCACTCCTTGCATCGTGAGCCGGGGTATCGGTCTTCCACAGCATCTCCCACTTCTTGAACCGCGCGTAGTCGGACTCCTTGGCCGACGCGGCGTCGTCGTTGGCGTCCAGCCTGGATATGGCGCGCTCGAACGCCTCGATGAGCGACATCTCCGACTTGGCCGACTCGCCGCCAGTGGACATCTCCTTGAGCATCGCCAAGCCGTCGCGGAGCGCTTCGCGGAGACGATCCGTCTTCTTCTGCAGGCATTGCGTGATTATGACGAGGAGGGCGGCGCGACAGGAGCTGAACTCCGTGTAGGATGCGCGGGCGAGGCCGATGCTGTTGCGCAGGAGCCGGCATGTCTCGATCACGCAGAGGGCGGCGTCGACGCAATCCGCCACGAGTACTGCGCGGGGGTGCGTTTTGCTGGCGGAGCTGCCTGTCCGTGGTGGCACGGCGGACTCGGCTGGGGAGCCGGAGGAGCTGGCGGTGCTGCGGGTGGATTCGCGGGGGAAGATGAAGGGGCGGCCGGCGAACATGCGGACGAGGCAGTATTCTAGTCTCAGGTGCATATCGGGGCGGAAGACGGCAGAGCCTGGACTCGGATCCTTGCAGAAGGTCGATTCTGGGAGGTTGTTCCACCAGTTGTGCAACTGAGCCTTCATCTCTACCAGCCTCGCCATGCCGTCTGGGATCTCGTGCTTTTCGAATGTCTTGAAGAGAGAGCTAGGGATCGTCAGTTATGAGCTGTTAAGATGCCATGCGAATGCTTACATTTGGTGGTTGATTCGGCTCAATGCCTGGTTAAGCTGAAGGGTAGCTAACATGTGCGCAGTATTTGGTGGCGCCGGACCGGGCCAGATGTCTGGTCGGTCGACCGGCATCTCAGCGTCAACATCAGCAGCAGCGATCGAGAGTGGCCTCCCGTGGAATATGCCGATACGCCTATAACATGTCAGAACCTTCCTGCCCCGAGATCGAGTCTGATACATACTTCTCTGTTGTATATGCTGTCCACCAGACCCGATTTCTTGTTTCACGAATGACTGGGTCAATAAGGTCTCCAGGATACTTCCGATGCATGCCGTTCTGGATGGCAAGCTTCACCGCGAGATTAAGATATACATAAGATAACCCGGATGCATCAAGAGGAAGGGTGTAGAGGCCAATCAAGAGACAGGCCTGTACGCTCTCCAGACTTGAGATTGTGATTACATCCGGCACGAGCCTGCAAGCTTGCTGGTAGAACATGATCCCGATAGTGTCCTCTGAGAACGGGCTGGACTCCGCGGGAGCTGTTGGCACTCTGCCCCTCTCATCCCGAGAATCAAGGTACGCATACTGGGTCCCAATAGCGAAGACGATTAAGATGATGCACATGGTGCCGACATCGCGGCGGGTGAGAGAAGTCGGGTTCTCATACACCAAGTCCAGCTTCTCTTGGACCCAGTGGCGCTCAACGTAGAAGTAGCTGGTCTCGGCATGGTTGAAAAAGGCATGAACGAGGAAGTCTGCCACATATCGCGGCGGCAGTGATGATAGTGATGCGACGGTGTTGGAGGCTGACTGCAGTTCTTCGGGACGATAGTATTCCTTGAACTGTGTCTTGGGGCCATCCGGGGTATCCTGAATGAGGTAAGCATGAGACCATCCGAAGCCGACAGGATAGACGTACATTGACGCATTGCTCTATCCATTGCTTTATTCGCATGGAAAAGTTCCAGTGAGAGAACTCGCCGGAGTAATCTGGAGCGGGTCAGTTTTGACTTCCGTCGGATTCAAGGTTTAACTTACGTGTGATGTTGTTCTCTAGAGGCTGAACCGTAATCTCATCCACTTGGAACGAATCGGAACTCTGTGATTTCACTTCGATCTCGGCGTCGGCGTCTGGCTCCATGGTTGTATCCGCATCAGGTCGGGGTCGCGGAGGGTCCGGGCCGGATCGTCCTTTCTCCACGGAGTCGGCGAGGGTCTTCAACGTCTCAGCATCTAATCGAGACTGGCCGGTGTAGTGAGCGAGCAGCCGCTCCATATAGGCCATCCGCTGCCTCAACTCGGAATCCTCCTGATGAGATTGACGGGGTCTGTCATGTCCGCGAAGTGCCTGGTCAGCCACGTGTCGGCGCAATCCATGGGAATCTAGACATTGTCGTGACTCATGAAAAAGTGTAAGGGAAAGTTTACCTTGCCGCATTCTCCGACCCGGGCTCATCTCTGGTCGTCGGCGTCAGGAACTCGCACTGCCGGCGCAGGCGGGTGCACCGCCGGCAAGGGACTCCGCCGTCGCATTTCTCCTTGAGCCTCCGGCATCCATCACAGCTTGGTCGCGTCAGCATATGGTACTCTTGTCACCGAAACGATGAAAGGCAAAGCATGAGATTGGGGAAGGGCTTCATCGTACGCTCGAACTGCCCGTTTCCGCTCCTTATCCGCGACGCGCCGCTGCTTGTGTCGTTGCAGGCGCAATCCGTCTTCGGGATCCATCTACCTTTGGTCCGGATGGCGATAACCGATAAGGGAAGGAGGGGGAAAAGGGAGATAACACGGCGCAAGACGCCGCCGATCAGCTGGGCAAAGGCCCCGGGCCGGTCACGGTGACGGTTCCAGGTTCGGAGCGTGGAACCCTACGCCGGAAGTGGAAGTTGGTAGCGGTAGCGGTAGGGGCGAGGGCCAGTTTGAGAGACAAGTCACAGGAGTCAGTCGGGAATGTGTTCTCTCTCCCTTGTAAGGTGACTGAGAGTTTCCCGAAAGGCGGCGGGCAAGGAAGGTATGCGGGTGGGTAAAGTGAGAGAGGATTTGGCGGTTCCAAGATTGTGTGAGGAGCTAAGATAGGCTGAGCTGCAAGTGCCAGTGCCGCGCCTTTCCTGGGAGGGGTCAGAGGTGGAGGGGCTGAATTTCGGCGAAACCTGTGCCGCTGTCGGGGGTCGGAGGGTCCGCTTTTCCCAAGACGCGGGGAAGCCGGCATACTCCCGGTTCGGAGCCGTCAACCGCGCTGCCGAATCAAGTAATCTCATTGGTGCCTTGGACTTCACCTACAGCATCTGCATGCGTTGACCAGCAAACACTGTGATCATGTCCACTTATAGGAGATCCCGATGTGTATGTATGATAGATAACATTTTAAACATCAGTCGATTGGGTTCAGCTCAAGGCCAAGGCCGGCGCAAGTGCTATGTATGTGTATTTCATAGCACATCAAGACGGATACCACTTGCATTGAGTTTGATCATCTATGGTCAGACTTGACCAGAAGCTCTTGAGTTGGCGCCTCATGATGGGTGGGGCGCAACCATGTCAGCGGTGGTCTCTACATGAATACTTGGATGGATAACCCGCTGCCATCTATGGACCGCCAGTAATTTGTATCTTCGATATGAGAAACCGCGCTGGGTTGTGCCAGAGATTCCGTAAACTTTCTTAAGACCGCAGGTTACGTATCTAACACTCAATTCCAGAGCTTTCCTTGGTCACCCTTCAAGCTTCTGAAAACAACCGCAATACGCATCTCCTGAACTCAATCTCGCAGTCATAACAGGGTTCGTTTCGTTGGCGCCATGAACATGGAATACATCGAAGGTCTTACCACATCACAGCTGTGTGAAGACACGGCACTTCTTGATTCCGAAAGAAATACCACCTCATGAATTCAAGGGTCAATCGGGCTTGAGCGAGATCTCTCGCTCACTTTTGAACGTTGTGAAGTCTATCATAAATGGCTATGTCGACTAGTTCAAGGCGGGCGTTGAGTAGTGTGCCATCCACCCCGACAACATACTCATCAGCCCGTCGACCGGTACCATTGGCGGCGGAAGGTCGAATGAGCCTCTTAATTCCATTATCCATTCCCGACATGCAGCAAACGACTGCAAGCGTACGGCACCTTCATGTTTGAACCACTCTAAAGGTTGGCCCGCGCCTCCTCATCACTCACCAAGTTCGGCACCATCAAAGTCTATCTCCTGGAGGGTTGATTCCCATTGCGATGGAGATACAACGAACGAGAGCCGATGGACTCGAACATTCGGTATTTGGGGACCTTAACGATCCCAGATACACGACTAGGGCCAAATAGACCGCGGGAGATCGTGGACAAGGCCATTGTCTACCCGCAGCCTCACCATCCCGAGACCATATGAAGAGGGCCCTTGAAGATGCATCGCATCTTTCTGGCCGGAAGGCCAAAGTCCCAAAGCAACTCAGAGAAGATAATCAACAATTACTTGAGTGCCCAGCACCTTCAACCGTCGTCTTCAACTCCGGGGGACACCTCGGATCCCCAAGTGGCTGCAGGTATCGCTGGAAGAATGACCGCTTGCAACGCCATATAGCACTGAATATCTGTGTCATGCTCGCCGGGACAGACAGATCATTGCTGTTTATTCAGCTAGTAAAATGCAAATTGAGATTTTGGATACTATTGAGTGAAGAATAAACCGTTATCATCCATCGTTGCTATCATCTTTATTGTCGTCTACTTTATTAGCTTATATTTATACGGCATGTAGTAGGTATTTGGAAACCCAGTAAGTCTTAAAAACGAAGCCAAGTGCTCTTCAGAATCTTAAGCTTGAAGATACATACATGAGGACACCAATACGGGTAGTTTCAATACTCTAAGGTTCTACTCCAGTACTTTTCCTTTGCTAACCAAGTCATCACTAACCGCGAACTGGGACTACCTTCAAATACAGATAACACGCCGGCATGCGACTAGCTCCTTCTGAGTTGTGTGGCATCTGGTCCAGCTAGTTTCGCAAGCTGCTTGGAGCCAAGTAGGGTAGAGCCGGCCGGGGTCCGAGACCGGAGCCCGATCCGGGCACGGCCGACACGGAACCGGCAGATTGCCGGTCCCAGGACCCCCCAACCCCATCTGAGATAAGAGTGCATGCATATGCAATCGGGCAATTACAGCGTATCACGCGCCGAAAATAACATCGGCGTATGCTTGCAAGAAATGTTGGATTATTACTCATGACGTAGTCCTGGTTGGCTGCAATCATGCCGCGAAACCGAACGCTTCATACTGCCCGGCCTTCGGAGGCGGCTATGATCTTCCGTGCCATCTCCGGCAGCTCATCCGCCATCACGTCCATCTCGCCAAACAAATCCACGCACGGCTCCTTCTCATACACGCTGCACCACGCGCCCTTGAACCCGCATCCCTTGGCCGCCGATGCATCCCACATGTGCGCCGCGGCAAACCACGCCTCCTCCCCGTTGAAGCTCTCTAATTGAGTCTTGTACGCCCTGGGATCCGGCTTGCCCAGCCCGTCAGCGTCGCAACTACGCAGGTTCTCCGCGGGCATCTCGATGCCGGCCCTCTCGAAGTAGCCTCCCACTCGTTTGACATCACCTGCGGTGAACGCCCAGACCGTGAAGCCCGCCTCGCGGAGAAGCGTGAAACATTCCTTAATGCCGGGCCGGGCCTCAAGCTCAAGAAAGCGGTCCATAATGAAGGCGATATCATCGTCCGTGGCGAGCTGCCGCGGCTCGGGCACGCCGGCTTGGTAGAGCATGCGGTAAAAGAGGCTGCCGAAGATGTCGTAGAAGCGGCGATAACGGCCTTGGATGCTTAGATATGTGTACTCGCGCTCGGCGGCCTCAATCCAGGCGAAGCCAAGTAAAGCGGGCTTAATATTGTATTCAGCCAATTTGGGCCCGAGGCGGGTATCGATAGCGCGATAGATCGCATCATAGGACATGCAGGTGCCCACGATGTCGAAGACGACGTGTTTTCTGGGGGACGACATCTTGCTTGCTGGGGTTGTAGCGGTGATTCGTGTAAGTTGGAAGGGCGTGTTTGCTCTGCAAGAGACTACTGTGTAATGTTTGCCTGCTGATTTATACGTCTTTCTTCCAATTTTTGGTTTGACGTTGTTATATCGGGATGCACTGGATGGTCCATATCATCAATGCATCATTACTACCTTATCTCCATGTCTTGGGGCCGCGGGGTTGGCGGGGTCCCTCATCACCCCTCATCCCAGCCGGCTGTTGCGGGTCCGAAGACCGGGCAGCTCTCGGCGACGTGTTGGAGTATCCATGTTATCCGTCGGGAAACTGATCATTTCCCGGAGCTTTTTGATAAGGTGCCGGTCAATATCGTGCTCTTTCCGGTCCGTGTCAGCCCCGTCAAATCCGGAACCACTGGAATGTGCCGGCCGACCGGGAGGAGATTGACCTGGTCCGGGGACAGGCAAGCTGGGAATAAGCTTGTTCTCCGCAATCTGCCTTCCCGTGAACGTCCTAGATAGTACTCAGACCAACTGCAGAAGGTTACCTACCTAAGCCAACAAGCAACCTAGGAATATGATCTTGCAGATCACGTCCGAATGGATTGATTGCTTTGGTTTGAAATGTCTTTTAATATTTGTTTCGTTGCCTGTGGTTGGCAGTTTTCATTATGGTATCGATGCTAAAAACAAATGCCGGGGTGACTTGGCCTCTTCGGCACAACCTCCCAGTTTTAATCCATGCTATGCTTTATTCAATCCAAGTTTTCCGTTCATGCCATGCTTTTAGTTAGTTTACAAAGACTCGAAGGTCTTCTCGAGCGCAGAAATCAAGAGGGGAACTGCGGCGAACGTTAGATCATGATAATCCATCTCGAGACCTCGGGTGAAACATACTGTGAGCCTCCTCGAAGATCAACATGGGACGAAGACGAATAGTCTCCTTGCCGCAGGCACCAATGTTGACACCAAGGCGCTTCATGGTGCTGGTGACAGAAGCCGCGCTCTGGGTGTCGAAGGCAATGTAGGTGCCTTGACCCTTGCCACGGAGGTTCTGGACGTGGTCGGGGTATTTCTCGGCGAGCTTCTCCATCTCAGCGTAGAGGGCAGCTCCGACGCGGGCCTGATGGTAATTAGTAATTTGACCAAGGGATGGGAATGGGAATGCGAGGTCTGAAACTTACAGTCTGTTCAACGAGGTTCTTCTTGGTGATCTCGTCGACGACGGCCTTGCTGACGATGACACGGGCCGGGTCACCAATCCAGCTGGGAAGTGTTAGCGTACATGATACCGATATAGAAGAAGAGCGTATCTTACGTGTTGAACTGGCGGTAAGCCTTATCGGGGACCAACATGCGGTCACCGAAGAAGTAGCCGGCAGTCTGGGCCTTCTTGGAGAAGGTGACGATATCGGGAGGGGAGGTAAGGTTCCAGTGGGAGTGACCCCAGAACTTGCCAGTGGCACCAAAGCCTGAGTCGTGTCAGCAACTTGCCCGAGTATAAGTATCCCAAGAAAACCTACCAGTCTGGACCTCATCAACGATCAAAACCACGCTGTGCTTCTTGGTAATGTCACGAAGTCCCTGGAAGAAGGCAGGGGAAGCGTGGTTATCACCACCCTCGCTCTGAATGGGCTCAACAATAACAGCTGCAACAGGGCAGTGCCAGCTGGTGAAGAGCTCCTCAACTTCCTTCAAGCAGCGCTTCTCCTCGGCGTCGTTCTCAGCAGCATACTTCTCAAGCGGGTACTTCAGAGCAGGAAAGGTGGCTTGGGGCCAGTTGAAGGAAGGGATATCGAGCTTGTGAACAGCCTTGGAACGGGTGGTTGACAGACTGCCGAATCCACGGCCGTGGAAGGAGTTCTTGAAGCTGAGAATGGCCAGCTCGGGGGAGCCGGGAGAGGTGTTGTGCAAGCATGAGTGGATCTCCTCGTGGCTCCAGTCGGCCTCGCCACGCTCACGACGGCGGTAGAGCATGAAAGCGGCCTTGTAAGCCAGCTCGTTGGCCTCGGATCCGGACTGAGCGGTGAAAATGTGGTTCAAGCCCTCGGGCGCGACCTTCATCAGGCCGTCCTGGAGGATGTCGTGCCAGAAAGCGGAAGGGAAGTTACCGATGGCCGGGCGGTTGACCAGGGCAGAGATCATCTCGGGCGACTTAGCGGCCTCGATGAGGGTGGGGTTGTTGTAGCCAACCGGGATGGAGGCGATCTGAGAGTAGCTGTTGGGTTTGAGATTAGCGAGTTGCGGGGGACGTGAGATGCCGATGATCTGCGGCCGAAAGGCGACCTACACATCCAGGTACTTGTTTCCGTCGACATCGACGATACTACCGTGCGTTAGTGAAAGTGAATCAGCACTGTTTTCGGTACCGCGTACTAGTTGTCGTGGCTCTTCTCGTAGTCGACGACGAAGTAGACGGCACGAGCATCGAAGAAAGTATCGAGCTTCTTCTGGCTGGCCTTGGACATAGGTCCAGGGACCTCCGTGGTAACTGAGTGCTCAATGACGGCCGGCATCTTGACTTGTCGATCTTGAGTTGTCTCGGGTTGAATCTCGCAGAAGATCTTGGTTGGAATGAGATTCTGATTAGATTGAGAATCGAGAGAGATGATGAAGTGAAGGACACTGAGTATTTATCCTCCGAAACCCCTCCCGTGAGCTTCCGTTCGTCCCTTCAGACTGACAACCGGGGACGAGCCGGCCGGTCCCGAGCCGGCCCCATCCGGGCCCAGACGCTGGAGCATGCCCCACAACCATCTCCATCGGAGCTAGCATGATCCATCTTTCTCCCGCCCGATTGCGGCTCAACGTGACCACTAAATTTGCATTGAGGCGTTTCGTCTGGTGTTTTGTGTCTTTCACGTGGAATTGGTCCGATTCTTTACCACATCCAGCGGGTTGATATGTGTCATGCTCCTCCGCCTTGGACCCCACCCCGGGCCCGGGCCGGTCCCACTTGTCCCTATCTCTGTTCCCACACCGGCATCGACAGGCACCGCGATGTCGCAATTATGGACGTTCGCCGATTCGATACCATCGTGAGGGGCTCATATAAACCGAAGACGACGAGACAATTTCTCGGGTTGCAGCCGTTGATGCTTGAGAGATCAGACCATTTCGCTGCAGGGGCAGACTTAAGTGCATCGATCTACTAGTTGTTTTTACTCACAATGGCGTCAGGCGCACCCCAAGTAAGCTGCATACCCGGCAACCCGGAGAGATTGTCTCAGTGGCTAACCATTGATCTCAGTTGAAAGATGCTTCTCTCCTGAAGACATCCTGCTATGTCAACGGAGAATGGATCAGCGCGGCATCGAGCAAAGTCTTCTCTGTTGAGAGTAAGTTTCCCCCTTGAGTCCGACGGCGAGTTGCGAGGACTAGACTAAGATGCAATCCAGACCCTTCCACACTCGCTGAAGTTGCCAAGTGCCCGGAATTCGACGAGAAGGACACTGAAGCCTCCATCCTCGCCGCCCACGATGCCTTCAAAACCTACCGCAAGACGCCTGCACGAGTCAGGGCACGCTATCTGCGAAAGTGGTTTGACCTGATGATGGAAAACGCAGAGGACCTCGCCACCATCATCACCCTCGAGAACGGCAAACCGCTGGCCGACGCGAAGACCGAAGTTAACTACGCCGCGTCCTTCTTCGAATGGTTTTCCGAGGAAGCTCCGAGGATATACGGCGACACCATCCAGGCGAGCAACCCCAGCTGCAGGCTCGTCATCCTCAAGGAGCCTGTCGGCGTCTGCGGACTAATCGCTCCTTGGAACTTTCCCGCTGCCATGATCACCCGGAAAGTCGGTCCGGCTCTGGCTGCCGGCTGTACCGTGGTGGTCAAGGCCCCTGCTGAGGCGCCCCTGACGGCGTTGGCGCTCGCCGAACTCGCGCATAGAGCCGGCATTCCCGCCGGCGTGGTCAACGTCATTACGGCTTTGGATAACACCGTCTCCGTGGGCAAGGTGCTGACGACTCACCCGATCATTAAGAAGGTGTCGTTTACAGGCTCGACAGGTGTCGGAAAGCTCCTGATGAACCAGTGCTCATCGACCTTGAAGAAGCTGTCTTTTGAACTGGGTGGAAACGCCCCTTTTATCGTCTTCGAGGACGCAGATCTCGATACTGCCCTTAAGGGCTTGATCGCGTCCAAGTTCAGGATATCAGGCCAGACTTGCGTGTGTGCGAACCGCATCCTCGTGCACCATTCGGTTTACGACAAATTCACCAAGATGGTGGTGGACGCGATCAAGAGCTTCGTGATTGGTGACGGATTTGCCGACACGACGACTCACGGCCCCTTGATTCACGGCCGCGCGGTAGCCAAGGTGGATGAGCACGTCAAGGATGCTGTTTCCAAGGGCGCGAGGGTTCTGCTCGGTGGCAAGCCTCTGACTGAGATCGGTCCCAACTTTTTCGACATAACGGTGTTGGCTGACATGAAGCCCGGCATGAAGGTTTGCTCGGAGGAGACTTTCGGCCCTCTAGCTGCCTTCTTTGCCTTTGACTCGGAAGAGGAAGCGATTGAGATGGCGAACGACGCGGATGTTGGTCTTGCGGGTTACTTTTTCAGCAGAGACGTGTCTCGATGCTGGAGGGTAGCAGAAGCTTTGGAGGTTGGCATGGTTGGTGTGAATATCGGTAAGTGCTCTACCAAAACGATGCCGAGACAGAACAAAGACTGACAGTTCTCGCAGGTGCCATCAGCGATCCGGCAGCGCCGTTTGGTGGAGTCAAGCAGAGTGGTTTCGGTAGGGAGGGTAGCAAGTACGGCATTGACGAGTTTTTGGTGACAAAGATGGTTATGACGGGTATCGAGTAACTGAATAATGATGTGCTTGTTTTAGATCTTAGAGAGCAATCTAATGGGCGAATTGATATGATTGCAATGCTTCGCGTCCCTGTGTTGCTACGAGCACGAATCTAGATTTGCCGACGATCACACATAGCACAAGAGAAGCTGGTCACAATACCTCGGTCGGATGAAAAGACGTATCTCTGCTCCGTTTCCACCCGCCTTCGTTACCCTGTGGACACCGACGTCACTTCTCGAACTACATCCTCAAGCGTTGCCGCGTTGTGGGCAAAGGACGTCAGTGACCAGTTCCCCTATCTTGGCTGACAAATACTCGAGGTTCAAGAAGACAGGAGAAAACGCTCAATTGAGAAGGTGGCTCCTATGCGTGGTTCCGGCTGCATTCATGTTGCCATAAGTAGTCTGTCGTGCCACCAACATCTCATCGAAGCCCTGACGCCGCCGTTGCATTGGTTACCAAATAATCCCCAAAGAACCAAGTCAATACTTTCGTTCTTCAGAACGAGTCAAATGAGCTGCTCTTAAGGCTTTACTCAGAGGACTCAATCAACAAAGCCCTTCGTTAGTGGAACCTGGTCAAGATGCAACATCAAATCAAGGTTAACTCCGAGGTTTATATCTGCGGCAACGCTGATCATCAATCATCCCTTCTCGGCAACATGCGGCCTGCTGACACCTTGTGTCCATCTTTGTGGATCTCCGGAGATGGTGTCACCAGGGCATCCATTTCATGATCGTCTTGACGGAGACCGCGGGAAGGATGAACTGATAAACTGGTAAACTCTACGGTCTCTTCAATATTCGTGCTGTTCCCCGTCGACTCAGCAAGGGCACTTAGATAACTGCAAGTACGAAAACAGGCATGTCGCTGTCCAGAGTCTTCTCACTGCGCGCAAAGTATCTGTCGGCGGCTGGCCCCTGGTGTAGAAGGGTCAATGCAAGCACCACTCTATACAGCCCGATAGTCCCCGCGCAAGCGATCAGGTCCATCGATGCAGCCGGCAAAGATGAATGCCTTTCCTCTTTAGTGGTTGTGGAATGAACAGCATATATGGTGTAGTTCAGTTACTAGAAAGAGCAGGTCGGAAAACAAGTCCTAAATCGACCATCCTCCGACTACGCCATTAGTCGGAAATGCAACTCATGCACTTTATGAGAACTTGTATGCTTTTCTAAATCCCTGCATTAATGGTTCGATATGCGACCTGGCCCTGCCAGTACTTCGCTTTCGCTTTACCTCAACCAATAGGAGCCTCTACTACCGCTCTCGGAGCCGTTGGCCTGCAGACGAGGGGGAAAGAAGTTTGGTTCTAGGGAACTACACCATTCATGATGGAATGGTGTACCCGACCTTACGTGAAGATTAGATGAACACATTACCATTAGGAGAATCACGCGATTTCCCGCGCGGTTGATCAGCCGAATGGACTTACAAGGAAGCAAATATCATCCGTATACAGATGAACAGGAGATGGCTGAATACATATAGCACCGCGTGCCGACAAAGATCACCACAGTTGATAAACCACACATCTCAACCCCAGCCAAACACTCTTTAGCGAAACCAACGCCTTCGTTTCATTGCACAGCCGTCGAAATGCGCGCCTTCGCCGTCTTTAGCCTTCTCTCCTTGGCGGCCGCACTGCCCACTGCCCCCGCTACCGGCGACTCCCTTGCCGTCGTCGAGCGCAACGTTGCCGCAGAAATCGTCGCCCGCGTCCCCGCTGAGCAGGCCGCCCAGGATGCTCCCGTCCTCGTCGCCCGCGCTCTGTACGACCAGACTGCCGCCTGGCCCGCGACCTCGGCCACCTTCGGCGGCATCAGCTTCCAGGTCGTCGTCACCAACCTGAACAACGGCAGATACAAGCTCGAGTGGTACAACACGGACGCGGCCAACTCGAACCGCCAGATCAAGCTCACCATCAACTCCGACTCTGGCGCTCGCGTGTTCGATGTTGTCACCTCTCCTCGCGCCAGGGGCAGCAGCGAGGTCGCCAAGCAGGGCTCAGCTCTCCGCGTTATTCTTGATCAGCAGTAAGCTGGCAGCGGCGCGATGAACTGTAAATAGTTGGAGTATTCTGGGAAATATATATTCACTTTGAAAATTCCTACGAACAAATGTTTAAATGACCTGAAATTTGTTTGGAACTGTGAGAAACACGTTCGATCAACCAGTTTACGTCCGAAAGCTGAAATCTACTAAAGCTATTTCTACGTTTTGTTCTTCCCCGATTTCAGGTATTCTCCCAGAGGCATAACTTAATACTGGCATTTTCCATTGTCACACCCCATGCCAATACAGCAGGGCTTGCCCCCTACAGTGCACGCAACTGGTTTCGTGAGCACTTTTCCAAGTCAATTGGATTTCTCGAGAAACTCACGTCCGAACTGAAGACAGTTGGGATTTTTCTGTCTAGCAACGAGAGAGCCTTCAACAGCCGACTTGGTTCAGTCAGCAAGCATATCACGCCTCTCGAACGTCGACGGTCGAGCTTTCGTATGGCGAATCAGGGACTTACCTGATCGACTGCAGCAGCCGAAACTGTCATTGCAGAAGCAAAGATGGAGAAGACTACGGCGAATCTCATTGTGATAGTGTATAACACGCTGTGTTCAAGGCTCTAAAGGGAAAATGATTCTAGAGATGAATGAAGACTTCGGAAGAGGGAGGACCTATTTATACTCGCAGTTGGTATTCTCGTGCTGGTTAGCTAAGATATGTACGAAGCTGAGCATATAGTGCAACAAGGGATAGGCAGGTTCAGCATTTGGATGCTGAGAAGCAGCCGCCGGTACAGACTGACTCGGGTGTCGTTGGAAGTAGGTCGCTGCTAGAGAGACCCTTGCTTGAGTCGTCGGTTGTGCAGCAGAGTACGTAGCGGTAGAGGTTGTTTAAAGTGTAATTTACTCAACACACCCGTGTCACTGTTAAGGTTTAATAGACTTGTAAGAATCCGAAAGCGAACTAGACGCCGAGTATCGTGCTCCACAGGCGAAATACTCCTTCAACCACACGTACAGTACTTCTTTGTATGAGTCCACGGCAAGACTCGAAATCAAGCAGTACAGTACTTCTATAGAACCCAGTTACTGCGTTGAATTTCAAAGCCAGCTTGGGTCGCCCTCATTATGGAGATGAAACGCCGCTACGCGTGTAGTTTTGCTGCCACTTGCTGTGTATTCTGATGTGGTCATCTGGAGGAACAGGCTTTCGCACGTTCTGTTAGTATATTAATCAAGAGACTGTAAAAGCAACCGTGGGGTCGATCGAGTTTTGATTGAATTAGATGGATAACTTATTTATCGCTTACAAATACATTCACCTATGTCAATTGCTATCATCAAGTGAGCAAAGTGAACTGTTGACTGGATGTGCCCAATGAAACAAAAGGTTCCAAGCAGACCAGGCAAGTCGTGACATAGAGGGCTGTCATAACTTCAGTACCAATGAGGGAGCCTAATGTTTCACACCTTCAAGTTATTGCAAGTTCATAGACTACTGGGTACCATTAAAACGTTACTGTGTGTTGCCCAACTAATGGTTCTTAGTCTTCCCATTGTTGTGGTCCAGCCATACAGATTCCTCCAATCCCCAGGTGCTTCTTCCTGCATGACAGCTTTTCGGCAGCCTTTCCCATATCCAAACTCATGAACCCTACAGTTTCATCTAATTTTGTCTCTTAACTCATACGACCGTTAAGAACGCAAGCTCGTGACAACTGCCAGATCTTGTTTCAACCAGAAGAAGCCCTGTCTGCCACAAGCGTGAAGCTCTTCCTTGATTCGAAGTCAGCAATGACTCTTCTGAGTCTATAGCCTGATTTTGACACTTCAATGGTACTGGTGTCGATCAAAACACACATGCAGGACTTAGCCCGAGTGAGAGCTACTGTCAGATAGTCCCTTTCTCTAATGGACCCGGTGAATCTTCTGGATCTGGAAAGATCGACAAGAACGAATTCCCGATCAATACCGCGCATGCCATCCAAGGTGAAACTCTCAATGTCCTGTATGCCTGCAGAGCCGATGGCGGCTTTCCACTGAGTCACTCTGAACTGACAGGGCGCAACCACAGCAGCTGTGAATGCTCGGCCTTCGCCCTCGGGATGATCGCGAAGGAAGGCGGCCCGTAAAGGTTCGAGAAGTCGCTCAAGAAAGCAAATGCCCTCCTCAATATGGCGAGTGCTGTATATACCGTCCAAACTTGTGTTTTGGATCTATGTAAAACCGCGAATGTCCAGCATGACCACACTTCCATGGTGATGCTCGTTGTAGTTCTCTCTCATGACCCTCCGAAAGGCCTTTTTAGTATTCTCGTTCAACGAGGTTTTCATTCCCCACTCTTTTTGTTTGTAGAATACGCATGCAACTGTGTCAACGATATTGTTGATAATTCTCCGGTCAATGGGAAGCCAGTTGGTTACGAGACCGCATGGAGTCATTCTTTGGAGAAGTGAGGTTGCTAGTTGAGCAGCAAAAGGGTTGTGGACTTCGATCCCCTCCTCCTTGGTGGAACCTCGGAGAAAGGTAGGTAGCGTTTGCCTGTCGATGTTACCAACGACAAAACACGCCAGGGGATCTTGACCAGCGATGAGACTCATTGTATCGGTCTCCCTGGCCCGGCCGGCCACCTCGTGAACGCAAATGTCGGCGTGAAAGTTTCGAGATACCCTTGAGTGTGACACAGCGACTGGTGTGCCCACCACGACATGTGCCGTAGACAGAATGTGGCCAGCAAGATGTTCAACCTGTTCTTGGAAAGTTGCATCGACGGCAAGGGTTTGAATAGGGTGTTCAACCAGCATTTTCCGCAGGCCCCTCTCGGTTTCTGAGAAGTCATTGTCTTTGAGTAGGCCATCGACAATGAAAGTTTCCAAGGTCAGCTCCTGGACCTTTGTATTGTGAGCTTCGAGGGGATGAAGCGGAATGAGCTGAGCAACCCTTTGGATCTCATCAATTGCAGGCTCGGTGTCAGCTTTGACACTGCTCGTATCGATACTCGAGGTTCGCTGTGACCATTCCCGAATCACACCGCTTGCCAAGTTCTCATCCTCGTCAAGGAGACGAATGACGCGAAACTCGCAAGCTTGGGCAGACTTCTTTGCCATCTGGGTGTATCTCAGACACATGTTGTCGCATACCTCGTGGCTGGAAGCCTGCAGTAGGACCTGTGCATGGTCCTTCTTATCAGTGCCCTCTGTAGGGCATAATTTTGCCGTCGACCTTTCGTGTTGTTGTTTTTTGAAAGTGCGACGAAGTGGGTTCATTGCAGCCCAAAGTGTCATGATCATCGATATCGTCGTCTTGCCCGAACTTGGACATCCCGCGATCGGGATGAAGAAATACCGAGAGAATGCGCTGGTTTTGATGACGTTTTGCTGCTCATTGGACAGCGCCTGGACGTGACTGCGAATCCATTCTGGGAGATTCTTTGTAGAGGACAGCAATTCCTGAATGGCGGGAATCCTGGAATCAAGACGGCGCAAATTCCTCGGTCTCATCGTGCGATAATCTTTAATGGCATCAATACAGCCCTGACTGGCGTGCACTGAGCCATCTGCTGATTTGGGACCCAGTAGCTGCTGGAGCGCTTTGGCTTGCGATTGAAAAGCCTCATCGGGTGTTTTTGGTCTCAGCTTGACGTCCCGGTCAAATTTCCCGGCAAGGAGACGGCGACGAAATTCGTGAATCGGAAAATGACGCTTGTCTAAGGGGTCTGAGGGCGCCGGAAGCTGAAGGATGCCATTGTTGTGTGACGCAGGCGTCGATACGACGTAGATTTGACGGGAATCATGACACAGAGATGAGGCCGCTGAAAATCGCCTTATTTCAAACCATTCCTCCGGGTGTTCTGCGCCCTGAGAGTATGGAGGCCCGAGATATATGCTTGTTCTGACACTGCGCACGAGGCGGGCGTCATCTGCGGCGAGCTCCAGCACAATGAGGTACTGTTTGTGGGTTGCAGTGCTGCTGAGATCCAACGGGATGACGGCTGCTTTGAAAGTCCCGCTGGCTGCCTCACTGAGGCGTATTCGATGCGCATGGTCGTATGCTAGGCCATATTGGAGGTATACGACGTGTTGATCCTTCGACCAGAATTGGGGTGTCGATTTTGCCGATGCAAAACAGTCAGGCAATGGAGCAGACCTAGGGTTCTGATCGAGCACCCGGCTTCTTTGGCCTTTGGTACCAAGTGCCCCAAACGTGCCCGATGGCCGATGCTCGTTTTTGCGAGACTTTTGAAGTGATGCAATCCAAGTGGCAAGCTTATGGGCATAATCGTCTGATTTGATGGGAAAGAAGATGGTGAGTGTAATGTCGCCCGTGATGCTCTCAAACTTGGATTTCATGTCCCGCAACCGGTCATCCACCGGCCGCCAGTACTCGTGACTATTCCAACTCCGGCGATCGAGCCACGATAGCCTTCTGCATGTTAGAGTCATTATAGTCGCTGGCAATGATGGGTTCGCCATTTCGTCAAATGCCCGGTAGATGGTCTTCAACGCTCCAGAGTCCAATACGTCTTCTGTGATGCTGTTGATGTCTGGGCTAGGAATGACCACTGTGGCAAGAAGTTCGAAACCTTGCCGCAAAGTCGATAAAAGGTCCAAATAAATGAGGCAATGATCATTGACGGGAGTATACATGGATACACGCCAAAAGAAAGCTCTGTCTGGTTGATGCGGGAAGGCTTCGTCGCTGTTGAAAACCTGGGTGTTCGGTTCGCCAAGGAACTCGCCCTGGACCTTTATGATTGCGGGCAAGGTGGGTGATTCAAAATCCATCGCCCGGTTATTCGTGATGCGCTTCGTGATGGTTATGTCAATTCTCAAGCCTGTTCAAAGTACGTGCTTGGCGTCAAACTTACCTGCAGTGGCTGGGCCATCTTGAATCAGCCTCCAATGACTTGAAAAGCAGATTCAGGGTATGATGATGGAACGTGGAAGTCTGCGTGCAAAGAAATGTTCCAGCGTACACGTCGACAAGTGAGTCAACAACGCGAGATGCGCCGAGGGAGTCGAAGAACGATGGAACGCGTCGTCGGGAGAGCGAGAGCCCAGGAATGCGACCGCCAGTCTCCAGAGGATGCGTGTGAGAGGAAGCCGCGTACGAGGCCAGAATGAAACAACGATGATCGTAAAGAAGAGGAAAAAAGCTGGATTCTGGTGATATGTAGTTATTTGACTAGAAAAACTTGAATCACGTAGCTGGCGCTGCTACTGCATACAAGATGAGGTTGGACGAAGAGGCGAGACGTTGGAATAGCAGTGGAGATCTGCTCAAGCGGCAACTGGGAAAGGGAATGGATAACGCATTTGCTGATGCATCGCATGATGTGTGCCTTCCACTCCTTTAGTTTCCGACACAGAAATCTCACACGGGAAAGAGCTGTCTTTAGACAACCCAACAGAAGGTGCTCGAAACGTTCTTGGTCGAAATGATTTGGGCGCGGATCTTGCCTTTCTGTCAGGGAGTAGGAAAGAACGGGAAGCACCAACTGGCCTTTGCTCCATCGTCTGTTTTCGTATGAAGAGGCTAGATGTTGGGAATCAAGTCAAGCTTTGGATTGACAACTAAATCGAAATGGATGGCATGAAGACGTTTTGCCGGGGTGACGAACCGAAACGCTTGTGGTCTTTCAGACCCTTTCTTGCTTAAGGTCTATTCTAACTGGAATGTCTGAGTATGTCCTCGGGTATTCAGATAGCCAAGACACTTGGGAGAATGGGAAGAGACTACGTACACAGTCATCAATCGCGTGCTCAATACCTGCGAAAAGAACAACAAGAAGGCACTGAAGTAGGCTGAATCAATATCATGCAGTTGAATTCAATTAGAGGACAAAACTGGAATGACTACGCGTGATGCATCAAGCATTGTATTTACGTCCTCGACGGTAAAAGTTAAGATATGTACATGAATCTGTCGGCCACCTTTGTGTCCCGACTCATCCCCTCATTCCCCTGTGTTTGAAACTGCCGAGCAGTTTCGATTCCCCGAGCCAAACCATGATCACCAGCATAAGCTTAGATCTTGCCGAAGCCAGCGTTGGTGGAGGCAGCCTTGGCGTCGTTGGCGGTGCCGGCAGCAGCAACGTTCTTGCCGGAGAAGCTGGACAGGATGCTGGTGTCGGAGCCGGTGAGGGAGCCGGAGCTGCCGTAGGCGTTGAGCTGGCAGGCGTGGCCGAGACCGGAGGAGCAGGCGGCGTTGGTGTTGGAGTCGGGGCTGGAGAAGACCTTGCCGGCGAGACCGGTCTGCATGGCGGCCTTGACGTTCTGGAAGACGTTGCCCTCGAGGACGACCTTGGCTCCGGCGTCAGCCTCCATAGCGTGGCCGGTGTTGTCGTACTGACGATATGTTAGCGGTCTTCTTGCAGACGTTTGGGTTGTAATCAAGAGGAGTCCATAGCGGCTGCGAAGATGCATGATGCCAGACTACTACCAGCTTGTGCCAAAAGCCCAGTAGCAAAACTGGGCACTGCAGCTGCGATCCCACACCTCTTGAACATCAAACGGCAAGAACTTACGAAGTAGTTGTTGACAACGTGAGCCAGACTAAGTGAATACGTTAGATTCAGAGCGTTCGAAAGTGTAGATGAGGGATGACTTACGTGTTGCCGGCAATCTTGGGGGCGCGGCCGCTGGTGTGGTGAATGTAGTTGCCTTCAAGTCCTGGTCAGCGATGCTTGAGTGAATGCTTGTCTGCAGCAATGCTTACCCTTGACGGTGACCATGTCGTTGCTACCGGTCAGGTAGATACCCCAGTAGTGGTGGTTGTCGCAGGTGGCAGACCAGGAGGTGGAACCGTCAATCTCGTTGTTGGAGATGGTGACGCGGTTGGAGGCGCCGTTGCCGAGGACGATGTGCTGACGGCCGATGAGGGAGGTCTTGACGTGGTCGATCCAGACGAGGTCGGTGCCGTCCAGAGAGATGGCATCACCTCCCCAGACGTACTGAGGGTTCAGGTTCGTGATGTGGACCTAAAACCTGGTTAGAAATATTTCCACGAATACAAGGGGAGCGCATACTCACGTTCTGAATGATGACGTTCTTCGCAGAGTTGGTAATGCGAAGACCCTTGCCCTTGATGACACCCTTGGAGCCCTGTCCGATGAGGGACTTGTTGGAGCCAACGATGAGAGGGTTGAAGGGGGCCTTGTCGTACTTGACAGAGACCTGGTAATTGTTAGTTGATAGTCCTGAACTGTTATGCCCGAAGTAAGGGTGGTTGGCCGGGTCGACTCGGCGATGACAAGTCACCGCTTGGTCCGAAGCCCGGATCCGGTGGTACGTGCGAGGCCGTCCAGCATCCCGGCGGCCCCGGACGGTATTCCAAGATCCACCATCGGCCGATTGGGGAGAGAATGTACGGATATCGAATGAGAAAATACGTGCCTTGGGAGCGTTAGGCTGGTAGTTGGTGCACCTAGAATTTCAAGTCAGCCTATATTCTGCTTTTCACCCGGCAACATCTGCTCCTTCGATCTTTCCAAGGTCAAGCAGACTCGTGTTGATGAATCAAACATACCAGTTGTCCTTGTTAATGGCAACCTGGCAGGCAGATCCAGTGCCGTAGGGCGCGCAGCCCGTCTCGGAGGCGGTGCCCTCGGTGCCGGTGAAGTCGAAGGTCTTGGTCAGGACGATAACACGGGCCGAAGAGTCCTTGAGGTAAGAGGCAAGCTCTGCGGTAGTCGAAGGGTAGACGGGAGTGGCAGATCCACCGCCGGTAACGCCCTTGGCGAAACCCTCAGCGGCGCCCTTGACGGCGTCAGCGGCCGAGGCCAGGGGAACGATGGCAGCCAGTGCCGCGGTGAGGATGGTAGAACGCATGTTTAGAAGCTTTCGGGACGAAACAGAATTGTAGATACAAAAGAACGAATGAGGAGTCGGTAGTGAAAAAGAGAGACTGTGAAGAGCGAAAGCTGCTGGAGAAAGAAAGGATCTTCCAAGTCGATTAGAGCCGGCTGAGGTCGACGATATATGTTTGTTGGTTTCTCATCTCTGAGCTCGGTTTCGCGTGTCTTAGTCCCCCGTTCCTCTTCGCCCCCTAAACCGCCCTGCACAGAACGAAGAAACCCCCACCAACGATAGGCTTCATCTTACAACATCTCCTCTCTCGGCTCTAGCCCTCTAGGGCCAGAATCTGTAATCGGCCGAGGAGGAAGGCAACGACCACCCACACTACTTTGCGTGAATCCCATGGCGTGCGTGCCGGAGCCGACTTGTTCAAGGGATAGAGTGGTGGAGTCGGTCCACTGATTCGTGGGGTTTTGAAGTCCTCCGTAACCCCTTCATCTACCACGTCACCCCAGTTGCCCGTTGGCGCCGGGTTGTTGGTGATAGCACCGGCGGCACCATCCGAATCGAGCATCATAACAAGCTCGTCAGACCGCTGCTATAGTCTTCCATCAATGAGCATCAAAAGTGACTGATTGCACGTCTCCGCTGGTAGGGCACGTGGAGGGGGCAGAGCCGGGGCTAGAGACTGCCAGTGATGGAACCCAGGTTGCCTGAATGCTTGTCACGGGGTGCCAGAAAGCTGTCACGAACGGCACTTCACGTCTAGCGCATGCAGAATGGCCCTGTAAAGGCTCGTGGGCCCGTCTGCAATGTCTCTCATCGTAGGTATTTCCGCCACTCAACATGGGGTAAGCAGGCGAGATGCGCATGGAGGCACAGTAGCGCGCTCTACATGCCCCCGTAAGTCGTTCCGATGAAACGGTTCGAATTTCCCGTGAAGACGCATTCTCGCAATCAAAACATATTCTTCCGTGGAAGGTTCGGCATTGGACACGGGGCCTAGCCCCCAAAGAACACCGAGGGAATGAGAGAATGGGGGCTTGGAACAAACTAAGAAGCTTCTGCAACTTAGCCTCGGTCGTTCTCCGTCACATTGTGTGTCTCCCTCAATATGGATATGATCTGTTAAGCATAAACCCGCGGCTCGCGCATCACTCACATCGTTCTCCAGTCATTCTGGCCCAAGCTCCCTTGACTGGCAATTGCTTTTACGCTTCCCACGCGTTCCCGACATCTTCCCAGCTGCCAGGGTCATGGTCTGCGGATAGGGGAAAATGAGAAAGTAAAAGAGATTGCAGACTGTTTTGCTTATTTGCTTATCCGCGTGTTCCCCTGATTTGTTTTGAGTCAGGATGGCGCGGGAAGGCGACTTGCTTGAAAGGGTTAAGCGGTGTGTGGTGAGGGAACCGGCGCGAATACTTTGTGCTATTTCGCGTACGACGTCCAATCCAAGCTTCCAGGGATGTGCATGCCATGCCGGGACGCATCGCCGAGGTCGTCCCAAGGATATGCATGCCAAGAATCAAATTGAGCCTCAAAGCCCAGCCCACAAGATGCCCCCATTCAATGCCGAATCTCTCGAGTTTCCGGGAGAATGGAATGGACGAGCCACATGGAAAATTGATGTGTCTTAAAAGTGGGTGAAAGGTGGCTCCGTTCAATTCTTCAAAGGATCGCCCGAGCCGGTGAGATGGAAACTCAGTGGACCAGCCCATATTAAAGCCCAGTATTCCCGGCATCTTCCCCTTTGATCAGTGACATTGGATCTCGGCCGACTTTGCCGGCACCACGGCCAACATCGGCGGTCAGATAGGCGGATAGAAGCGAGCGTCAGCTCCAGAAATCAAGCACAGCAAGTCCGTCTGTGAGACTGCGATCGACAAGAGACCTTCCGCTGACGGAAATGCGGTTCCATGGAACACGGCTTTGTCAGAACTCGTCAAATACCACCCAAAGTTGCATTTCATATATTTATATTGCCTATCTGGCCAGAACCCCCTCACTCCGCCCTACAGACGGGCTCCTGTGGTCCAAAAGCAACGTCCCCCATAGTCTGGCCCAGCTCGTAATTCCCCAGCAGCCCAACTCATACGATTATTCTGTTAGACTTCACCAGGGACTCGAGTATTCTCAACAAATTCCCTCTCGCGCTCCAAGATGTCTCGCTCGGCCTTGGTACGACCCTCCTTGGGAAAGTAAGCGAAAATGATCGGGATGAGCGCGGCCAGTATCGTTCCAAAACCCGTGAAGGCGCCAGTGGTTGCGAAGCCCTTGACGAACCGCGGCCCGTCCGACGACGGCCAAAGCCGACTCCCATAGACCGCCGAGAGATTGCCGACGGAGTTGACCAGGGCCACGACGACTGCGCGCTTTTCCGCCGGAAGCGAAATGGTTTCCGACGTCCAGTTTAGCATCAGCGGCAGAGCGGTGTACAGACCAGCGATGTAGAAGCACAGCATGGCGTAGACGACCTTCGGGTTGGAGACCGTCACGCAGACGATTGTGCAGATGAAGCTGAGACCCATGCATCCCGTGATGTGCCATCGGCGGTCGCTGGTCTTGTCTGCGGTGTAGGATAGGACGACCAAGAACACTGCACCGACCATCCAGATCGGGATCGTCATGTACTGCGCCATGACCGACGTGTATCCCATCTGCTTGACGATGGTAGGGATGAAGTAGGAGATGGTACAAGACCCCAGGTCCATGGTGAAGAGCACCATGAAGATGTAAGTTCGGGGGTCGGCCAGAGCCGCCTTCAGCGACTGCCAGTGTGTGAGACGTTGACCATGTCTGGCCGCGGTCGTATTACGGTCGTGAATCATGCGGACCACCGCAAGTTGCCGTTCCTCCAATGAGAATCTCTTCGTTGTCTCTGGGAAGTCGAGCAAGATGAACTTCAGCCCGATCGCGAAGAAAACGGTGCAGACACCTTCGATCAGGTAGAGCCATCTCCATCCTCGGATTCCACGAACGCCCTCCATGTTACCAGTGATGGCCCCGGCCAGGAGGCCACTGACGGCGCCTGAGCAGACACTTGCGGTGTAGAAAATCGAGAACCGCTTTCCTATATTGCAATTTCGTGTTACCATGGGACATCGTGGGCGATTTATGGGTCTTGGCATCTACCGCCGGCAACGGAAAGACTCACCAATTTCTGCCTTCTTGTACCAACAAGTCATGACATATAACACGCCCGGAAAGAAACCTGCCTCGATGCACTTTCCCGAGAGCGTCAGCAACAATGTTCATCCAGGGGAATTTGGACTTGTCCTTACACCCAAGAAGAATCGAAGAGCGAGCATGCCTTCGTAATTCTTAACAACAGACATGACTGCGCAGATTGACCCCCAGATCATCATGATACCGGGCAGATACCAAGACGGCCGGGACCGTGTGAGAATCATGTTCGATGGGACTTCGCAGATGAGGTAACCGATAAAGAAGATCGAAAGCAGCATGGCATATTCTGCGCATATTAGTGACGGAACTCCGCAAAGTTGGCTTCTTCGTTCGTATGCAATGACTTACGAGAGTCGCTAAGCTTGAGGTCGGCTTCCATGCCCGCCACCTTGGCGTTGCCCTGCCCATGTTTGTGAGTGAATGTCCATGCCAGAACCCTGATTAGTCAACTTACGATATTTTGTCTGTCAATATACGCTAGAATGTACATGAACCATAACGTCGGGCCTAGGCATGTTTTGTCAGAAACGATGAATCTGTGGGTTTGAGCCAAGGACAACTAACCCATGTACATGTCCAACTTCCTCACCAAAGCCTTCTCAGCCGCGGAGTCTGGAACGTAGTTCTGCAAAGCCTGCTCCAACTCGAGTTCGTACTCCGACAGGTTCACTTTCGTCGTGTACGCCTCCGCCATATCGGCATCGGCGTTGTCAATGTCGGGAGCATCCTTCGGCTTGATGTCGGCCATGGTGGGCAAAAAGGTCGCAAACAATCTAGAAAACGAGAGTGCAGCAAACTTCAATCCGGGCAAGGCAACTCAGTTTAAGACCGAAACAGGAGCGTGGCTATTCTCATGTTATAACTATTTATCTATCCTTGTTGTTGGCGATCGTTTCGGCATTTGTTCTGCCACCGTGCCCAGTCTTCCATCACTTTTCCGCCCGTAGGATTGGCGTATGCCGCGTATCTGCAACCCCGCATTGGTTATCTCGTTGGGAGTCGCAGAGTCAAAACTCCGCGACACGGCCGGGATCCCAAGACTACGCGTTATCTCCAAGGCGAACCTATCTCTCCGCTAGAGGTTTGCTACGACGTCTGCTGTATGTTATCTACGGTCCCACAGTAGCTCAGTCACCCCCGCGTTTCCACATTCCAAAGATACGGTGCTTGATCAGCGGGGTTCTTTCATACCAGCAGACGGCCGATACTGCCCTTGGCGGCGAGCCGCGATTCGTTCAATTCAACCCGGGTATCGACAACCAGCGAGGAAGTGGGGCCGGAGCGGCGACCCGGCTGGCCTGTGCGCCGACCGGGCCGGTTCGGGTGGGATGCCAAGACCTGTCAGCAAGCCGGTCTTAATGGTTGCGCATGCAAGGGGATGCGAACTGCTGCACGGTCATGAAAGGCCTCGTGGTCTGGAAAGGCCGGAGTAGTATCTGAGTTTCATCCGGCTGAGATCTGGGCATTGCAGTCGAAACTGCCGGTTGTCAGCCGTCCGCTGTTATCTCAGGACAGGTTGATTAACCGGGCAAGGCGACTGATATGCTAAGATCCAACTGGGTAAACTTCATGTTTTCCAGATCTGGAACTGAAGGGAATGGCCTTCAATACGCTGTTCGAGGTGTAATCACCTATTGAGCACCCCGAAGTGGCCTCTTCTACTATCTTAGTCAATAGTGGTTCAAGAGGCGAGCTCAAGACCACCATAATGAGTCAGACAATCCTCATCTGGAAGTCATCAGACAATATGTGCTTGTAAAAGATTGTGTCAGAACTTCATCATATTTATATTTGTATTACCTTGCATTCAACCCATACATGAGGGTTGATACCTCCTAACAAGATTTCTCACCCTCGGACGCGTGCAACATGTACGGATAGCCATTGTGACAGTCTGCCGACTTATACTTGTTTGTCCCAACAACGTTCGTCGTTGAGGTGCAGCAAGGCAAGTGCTCCGGCGTCGGGTGGAAGGGGCCCAGTTGAGGACCGAGGCCGGCGGTCCGACAATGACGATAGCAACCCAATATTGAAGCCGAGGTGGGGCTAGCGGGTGAGGCCCCCGAAGAGAGTACCGGCCCCGCCGGCGGTGAATGGACATCCGTTCTCAATATCAGAGACTGAAAGCTGTTTCCGGTACACTCGTTTCAATCTTTGATCTCGCTATGACACGATTTTGCAAAGACTTTCAGTAACGCCGCGAAACAACTGACTTTTCAATGTCCCGGATGCGTTCTCGAGAAGTCGGAAAACGGCTATGTCTATTTAGCGGCGGTGATGCAGTTGACATCCAAGACGAAGGGGTGAGAGTTCGTGATGAAGTTCAACCACAGTACGGCATCAAGTGATGAATGATATATCCTCTCCAGTAAGTGCTGCGGTAACAGCTCACAGCAGAATGTGAAAGCTAAGCCAAATCAAGCCCATTAAGTAATCCCTCAAGTCATTCGAGATCATAGTTCCGAATTTGGTTGCGGACTGCTCATAGTCTCATACGTGTCTTTTCCGGCCTGCGATGGTGCCGGAACTGAGCAAGCTAGCTTACACCCCGTAGCTGCCTCATATGAAAGGAGATGAAACGTGTTGGAAATACACTGCGTGAGTAAGATGTGGAGATCAGTTCTCAATGATAGATCATCAAAATGTGCCCGTCTTATGCGAATACTAGCAATGGCTGTTAATTGATGCGTTCCACGGGTTCCATGGAAATTGAATGCTGGCACCAACACAGCAATACGAGTGCTTCGCATGGGCTAGGACTTAACTTTCTACTCGCCACGTGAAGCAACGGATTCTAAGTTTGGAGGAAAGAGCCAACTTATCACGGCTCGGATGAAAATGGGAGAATTTCGGTCGATGGCCAAATGCGGCAAGTCAGGCGCCCACGCGGGATGAAGTGTAGACCGCTTGACAGTGAACGTCGAAAGTCTCGACAATGTCAAGCCACCCTAGAATTTGCAGTATGTCGAGAGCTCTGGTCTCATGGACGAACCAAGCGGATGAGGGGCGCGAGCTTCCCGCTCCGATCCGAGGCATCCATGTTAGCCTTACGTTCACTCCGAATCGGCAGTTCGCACTTCAAGATTATCTGTCATGGTTCCAGTTTCCACGGAGCGTTTTTCCTAGTCGTTGATCCTCCGCCTATGAATACCCGGGTAATACCTGCCAAATATGATGCAAAAGCCTCATTACGGCGCCGCCGGACGGAGGCTCCGTGAGGGGGAGCTGGCCTAGCACCGCAGTAGTCCAGCTCATCCCATATTTCAGACCGGCCTCCCACCACCTCGAAGCCCAAACTTTGTACTCTTGATAGTTATTCGACTGACAAACAATAACCAACGGTGTCGACATGGATGTACCTGACGGGCAGCGTGCATTAGGTTTGTCAGGACGCCCTACTCCTCCGGCTCCTCACATGCGACAACCAAATAAGCTTCATGAATGCACGCCGGAGCCGATGTGCTTGTTGGGACGGCGAGAAGGCGAGTCATTCTGACGCGCGTGCGGAGTTAATGGCTGCACCAAACGAGACCACTAGGACCCGACGAGGATGAAACTTTGGGGAGGAAACTCTGTGAAGACCTGTCAGCTCGGCGATCCCTTAAAGCTACAACATCAGCCCATTTGAATGTACGTATCTTTTATCATTCATAGGCAATATATCACCCGTTGAAGCAATGAACCGACTCAGGGTGTGAGCAATGCTTTTCTTCTAAGAGACCATTTGCCTCATCAAGTCCCCAATGCATGTCCACGACTATGTTCGGGAACCTCAGCGGTGTCGGCGACTTCCCATCGGACTACACTGACGAAGGTCTACCGATTCAAAATCGGAAAGTGACCATCATAGCGGTTATCGCCTCGTTTTTGGTGCGCGTCCTTTAACGTTGGCTGGGTGTCTTGTTACTCATCGCTTACAGGCTCTGTCTTGGTTCTGTGTCGGTCTAAGGATATATACCAGAGTCTGGGTCACACGCACGTCTGGATGGGACGACTTTGTGGTTGTGCTTGCATTGGTAACATCTCACTTGCACCATACAGCTGGGCGATGAAGACTGACGGCATAAACCAAAGATTTCTGGCTCGGTGAGCGCGATAGGGCTTTCCCTCTGTAAGTGTGACCCTCTTTCTAGACCTTTTGCATTAACGGAAACGAGCTATTTGATTTTAACATGATACCAGCGATAAATCACGGCCTGGGCCACCCTCTAAAAGAGGTTCCCGACAGGGACAGAGAGATGTTTTTCATGGTCAGATTCGCAACCTCAGAACTATTAACAAAGAACGCAACTAGCTCACCTCGAACGCAGCTTTTCTACATCTCCAACGCATCGTTTTCCATGTCGAACGCCCTAGTCAAATTATCCGTCCTTCTACAATACCTTAGACTGTTCAAAGACCGTATGCCTGGTCTGAGGCTAATATCCTTGTGTTTAATTCTTATCGTTTCGGTATGGGGCTTCGTCTTTTCCTTCATGGCCTGGTTCCCCTGCTACCCTGTATACCAATTCTTCCGCCTGGGAACCGAATCCGATTGCTACGGCTACGGCTCGACCAACCCCATAGAGGTTTACAACGTCGTGGTGGCATCCAATGCAACAAATATGGCGCTCGACTTCTTGATTCTTCTACTTCCTATTCCGTTGTTGTTCAGCAGCGACACCATACGTCGCACAAAGCTCGGCCTTTTTGGACTGCTATTCCTCGGAGTACTGTACGAAACCCGTACCTCACAACGTTCATGTCCGGCATGCTGTTTTCAATGGCTAACCATTAATCTCTAGAATTAACGCAATTGCCGCAGCACGCATAGTTGCCAACAAAGCGACGTCGAACCAAAAGCCAGACCCCACAAGAGTATTCCCGATCATCATCCTGCTCGGCGAAACCGAAAACCGACTGTCCCTCGTTCTCGCATCGATACCAGTGTTTTGGCCGGTGGTTACTAAGACGTGGAACAATTTCATCTTCGTCACACACGAAGTGAAGGTCGAGAGCACTCACAACCTTCCAAGCATGATGGAACTGGGTAGAATTAGTCTGAGGGATCATCAGACTGGGACAGCAACCATGACCGCGACGAACGAAGACGAGGCGACAGAAACTGGATTGCGGCATCCAGGACGGTTGCTGGAAGTCGATCGATACGTCAGGCAGCTGATCAGTCCGTTTGCTGAGGGCAACCCTGCCAAGAAAGAACCCACTGTTAGAGAGAGAGAGGAAGTTCAGCGCGGCTTCAACGAAGAGTTAGAGGGGCACAGCTTGCATTTCGAGACAGTTCCGGATATTGCTCAACCAGAGGGATCGCCGCCGAGAGTAGAGTCGCGTGGTTCAGAAGCACGGGCAGCAGGATAGATCGCGGAATTCAAGATATAGTATTCCTAATTACTGGGCAGAATCTTTGATCTGAAACCTAACTCAGAGCCCCTATTTCCAAGAAGAGGTCTGCAACTTCAACCACGGCAGCAAAACATCCAAAAGCCCCTGTAAGTTCTCGGGGAACAACGCATGAGATGCGTCGTCGACGAAAACCATCGTAGAACGGTTGCCAGCCAGATTAGTGGTGTAGTTCCACTGATCCTCCTTCCTCCAAGGATCAAGAGTTGCAATGACGTCCAGAATCTGGGTGGTGTTTGCCCCGAGTGTATCCACCCCGGTGCCGGATACAGCACCGACGGCCTCCGGGTACCATCCCGTCAACCAGACCGAGGCATTGTGACCAGGGGCAAAGTAGCCCAGCTCTAAGGCGGCCAGTCTATCCTCAACCGAGTTGGTGTAGTTACTGGCAATGGTCGCCGTGGCGCTGATGGTGGCGTTGGGGTTAAGACCAGTACTGATGCATGCAAGCACTATCGAAGGTACTTTCTCCGGGTAGGTTGCGGCCATGTACTTGGTGACGCGTTGGCCAGCGGCATGGCCAAGGACAACTGCCTTTCCATTGCCAAACGTGTCGATAACTGAGAGGACGTCGGCACCCAGTTCACCCCAAGTGGTGTCCACGGGACCAGTTGACTCGCCCATCCCACGGGGTTGAGGTCGAAGGACGCGATATCCAGCTCCGGCGAGGGCGGTGGAAAACTCATGGAAGTCTTCGATACTATCGCGAGCGAAAGAGGGCCAGACAAGTAGTGCTGGGCCGTTTCCCTCGACCAAGACCTGGATCGTGTTGTTAGACGCTCCGGTTAGGTATTTGGTGGTGTATGAAGACGAGGCCATGCCCACCAGAGTGGCAACGGCCAGGGAAACGATTGGTCTGACGTGCATCGTGGAGTAATAATAGTATATCAATGGTTTCAACGAGTGACAAAGAACGAGCGTTCAGAAATAAGACAAACTTTGGGTCAAACGACTCAAGCGAAGACTGGAATCTTTGGCTATCTGATTGTCATGGCTTCTTGCGCAGTAACTTATATGTACAGTAGTAAAAGTCAACAACTCCTTTTCTAATGGAGTCAAATCAACTGTTTAATCTCTTTGAAGCCTCGAAACAAGATCTACTTGGTGTCTGCATGACGAATTAGAGCCGCCGAACGGAGCATACGATGGGATAAGGTTTAAACAGTTCTTGGCACCTTTCCGCAGTGGCGGTACTCCCGAACGCTGCTCGGCATTTGCGAGGAACCGTGGGGTTCTCGAACGATTGGAGAAGTTCCCTCAGATGTGCCCAAACTTTCCAATATGCCTCGTGCAGTATGTTCAAGCTTCTTCGATCTTGACGAAGCGGCTTGCAATACGAAGGGTCTGTTCAGAACGTCAACATCGCAGAGAATGGCTTTCATGACGGCAGCTGCAAGTTAATACCGTCAAGATAGGCTCACATGCCACGGCCCCTCAAAACCTCACAGCAAACACAAGCGTATCAACTACTCCCGAGAAATCCTCCTTAGCTGAAAGGGGCTTTTCGTTTGCCCCTCCCCCACCTGCCCGTGTGCAATAAACTTAGTTCACCATTGCATTCATGAAGACGGGCGCCCACAGTCCCACGCGGGCGGCCGAGCAGAATTCTACGGGACGGAGTTCTCGGCCAAGAATATGTGCGTAAACTCCACAAATTAAGCATACGCAGCGTTGAGAGGCACGCGAGTCATCCCATTGATACAAGGAAGACCCGTGAAGCAGTATGCCATGTGTCTGCAATGACCACATCCGCTGTGCCAGGAGCGTCGCCCAAAACCAATTCTTTCGGCGACGACTTACCATATGCAAGTGCCGAGCGTCTCAGTGTTCAAGCTTTGGGTTGACACATATCGCAGCGTATCATGTGAACATGATCAGGATTTGTGACCCGATGAGGTGAAGTACTAGTCCTTCGTAGACATTCCATATGATTTATCGTGAGGTCCATGTTCTTCCGATCTTCTAGTCACCATTCCATTGTTCACCACTTGACTCGGTTGTTTGACTAATACCAAGGTGGTTCGAACTTGCCATTGCATTTATTACGACTCATCCATGGGTCCAATAAACAACCGGCAAATAGGTCGTGATTAGTGAACTGAGTTTTCAGGATAACACTACACGAATATTTTTTGCTCGCCCCATTAAAAAAGGCTGAGCCACTCGCCGATGCTGATGTGAGAAGTCTCTCGGAGCCTTTTCCATTGCGACTGTTATTGCTTATGGGCCTATCAAGATACCTTGCTAGTAGTTATCTGGGCTGTTTGACGATAGTGAAACGCTGTAAAACGATAAGTCGTATGATGAATATGTGTAATGAAAAACAAAGGTCCGGGGAGAGTGATTCAATGAGGGCCAGCGAATAGGCATTACTTCGGTTTATATGTCATGTTTGATCTCTAATGGTAATAGCCCAAGCTCCTCCACACACACTTCATCGATCAGACTCGGGTGTTGAATGATCAGACTCGGATTCGAGGCGTGAGTCATGAACGCCCATCAAAGGTGACTAAAATGACTGCATTCCAAAATGGGTATTTAAACTCATCAAGCACTCCTCATGATATTCGGCTTTCGCGCCTCAGTGAGGCGAATTCTATGAGATGCTTGCCTCAGACCTTCTTCATCTTGAACCCACCCGCCTGGAAATATCGCGCTGATGCAAAAACGCCTGCCGACGCAAATATTGACAAGCCACAAAATAGTTGCAGTCCGAGATAGTCGCCCCCGCGTGCGTCAACTATCGCACTGGCAATTGGGCTGCCGGTGAGAGCACCAAAGGACTGGAAAGCGAAGGCGGTCCCCGTGCGAGCACCGATCTCTCTTATGTCGGAGATTTGTGCGATGAGTGTTGGTCCGATGGATGTCAGGCCCGATGAGCAGAACCCAAAGGCTGCTGTGAATACCAGGATGCCGGCGTCGTTCTTGATGGGGACCCAAAGGGCTAGGCAGGCAATTCCGGTGAGTGTGGCGATTAATATCATGATGTTATATCGGCCGATCCTGTCTGCCAGGAGACCTGGCACAATTCGTCCGACGATCCTGTGTCCACGCGGTTAGTAGGTTGCTGAAACTGGGGGGGAGGGGGTGCTAATCGCTTACCCGACGGCATGCATAATTGGTAACAGGTAAATGACTAGGTCCTCATCCATCCCTTGGGCCCTGGCTTGAAGAATGACGAAATTGTACGGAACAAAAAGACCTAGAAAGACCAAGAAAAGGCCAAATACAGTTGACATCATGGTTGGCTCACGGATGCCCTTGAAGTATGTCTTCATATCTACCGGCTTCTTCTCCGGCTTGAGGCGGGATCTGATCGTGAAGTTGGCAATCGTGAGCAGAAACAGAAACATGAAGCCAACAGTGCGGATAGCCCACGGGAACCCGACTCGGTCGATCATCTTGGGGATCATAATAGGCAGAATAATGCCGCCGAATGATGAGCCGGACATCATCATACCAAAGGCAGTGCCACGGCGCCGGTGGAACCAGGTAACGAGACATGACATTGCGGCACTGGTCACAGCGCTGGCCCCGATCGGGCAAACGATGCCTTGAGCTAGGAAGAAGTGATAATATTTAGTGCCCAAGGATACCATCATCATGCCGAATACGTAGGTAATGGTTCCGCCGAACAGAATCCATCTGGGGCCGTATTTATCGAACGCGAATCCCCACTGATCTTACAGTTAGCTTGCATGTCAACAAAGCCGGTGAAGAGAGGAAAACGTACGACTATGGGCAAAAAGTTCATCGTCCATTGCATGAAGCTGGTGATCCATGACACTGTAGATGACGAGTACTGGCGGAGCGCATGGTTGACGTAGTAACTAGTCAGAATCAGTAACTTGAAGACCAAACCGACTTTGAACTGAAGAAGGAATGCGTACGTTTGGAAAACGCCAATGCTATTACCGAGACCGTAGGTGCACACGAGAACACACCAGGACCCGAACAGTACCGTCCAGGCCTCTCTGCCTCCCTCGGGAAAGTCGTCTGCCACGGCATCGGTCTCCGGAATTGTAGTTACGCCTTGTTCGATCTCGACGGGCTCGGGGTGGCGTTCGGGCCCCACCTCCGGGCTCGGGCCGGAGGCGGCGGTGTCGCGTGAGCCGTCAGCCTGTCCACCCGTCCCAGTTCTTGGCGGTGGCATCGTCGCTTTCCCCATCATTCACAGCGCGGAGCTTCGGGAGAGTATCGGGACATCTCAGAGGCCGGAGAGATGCAGTCTTTCAGATTTGTTTTCGGCGGAAGAGCCTTAAGTACCCCGGATAGAATCTGGAGAAGTTGGGGTGAGAGTGGGGGCTCGCGGGGAGTTGCCTTTTGCGTGCTTTCTATTACCTAAATGTGGATTGCAGGATGAACGAATTTCCACCATTTGTAACCGATATTACGACATCCTCGGATCGCGCAACAATGAGCCGAAAGACTTTCGGCCGGACAACGCCTCCGGCCCGGGCATGGTATCCGAGCTCCGGCCCCAAGAGATCTGCCAATGAGGAAAATGATTTGATATTGAGTTGACGAGGATCTGTTGATAACTTTCCTCAATACTCTCTCTTGATTCGATCATTAGCTGCAGCAAACGGCCCGAATGCCTTCACATAACATTCCTGCTGAGAGAGAGCGTGTACTACCTTGTCGCCTTCCGCACCTCTCGGACGACTAGAGCCAGCCTCTCGATCCCTTCGACAATTTCCTCTTCTTCATGCCACGCCCAGCAAAGTCGGGCGCCGCTGTAATACGATGCCCTGCCTCTGGCCTCGCTCAGGGGATCGTCGGGGACGCCAAATATCTGACCAGGGCCGATCTTCAAGTTCAGCTCCTCAAAGGCAACGCGGGAAACTTCTGAAGTGAAGTCTGCGCCGCTATCTCCAAAGCTTATGTAGAGGAAGAAGCCGCCGGCAACGCCGCTCTCCTGGATGCTTCGTTCCGCAACAATCTCAACACCCAATGGGTACAGAACGCGTCGAATTGCGTTGACCATTGCGTAATACCGTTTCTGGTAAGTAGGAATCAAAACGTCGTTTATGTGTCTGGTCAAAGCACCATCTTGTAAGACCTTCTCGACAAACAGAGATGAGAAGTGCGCCTGGCCGCCTCCGGAGGCCGTGGCACCACTGCTATGGGTTAGCTAGAACACCGTGACGAAGCAGAAAGGTTGTCACGTACACAGTCCGGATCGTTGTCGTGAATGTAGTGGTCGCTTCAACCCAGCCAAGCCTCATACCGGGAGCAATGATCTTCGAGAACGATCCATTGCTGACGGCGTTCCCGAAGGCCGAGGTGCCTTCCAGTTCTCGATCAACGTCTACTAGTCGAGGAGGAGGTTTGCTTAAGTTTTCGAAGGACCCGCCCTCGTTTGCAGGCCAACGAAGCACGTCATACACATCATCTGATATGAGCAGCGCGTCGTGCTTCCGAGCCAGCTGCACCAATCGCTTCCTGCTTTCCCAACTCATGGTTTTGCCACTAGGATTCGAGAACGTGGGGATGAGATAGACCACATGTCTATAAACCTTAGGGTAGCCTAATTGAGTCGACTTGCCCGGTGGAGATGTCTTGCCGGGCCAAGAATCATCGACATCCCTAAGGGCTTCAGCCAGAAAGTCCAAGTCAACACCGTCTTCTCCCTCCGGAGCGCCTCGAATGCGTCCCACTAAGCCTGCGTCTCTGAAGATAGGACACGCCAGGAAGTAGGTCGGCTCAACCATCCAAACTGTGCGCGTATATATCGGGTCTGTGAATTTTTGCAGAATTGTTGCCAGTCCGTTGGACGCGCCATTTGTCTCGCCGATTCGTGAGCCTGGGATTGTTCCAGCTGTCGGCGCATAGAAGTCATTCAACCATTTGCCGATAAGGTCGCGTAGGGGGGCCCTTCCCAGCCCAGCTCCATATCTCAAAAGTTCCTTCGCTGTCTCTTCATGACTGAAAAGCGATGATGAGGCAGCTTCAAGGTCTTTGACAGGATGCAGACGAGGAGTGGGCCATCCTCCCTGGAGGTTGATGAACGAGCTCGGTTCAGAAGTTGTAACTCTCATGGTGAGGAGGGGGGCGGTGGATGCGGGACGAGAGATTGTGGCATCGCCGCTGGGATCGATCTATGTTAAATGGAAAAGGAGATGGCGTTTTTTATCGGCCGCCTGGGATTCGTCGACTTGGATGACGAACAGCGGGGCCAGATATGCGAAATACCGACTTTGAAAGCTGATAGCACACCGCGAGTCTGGCAATCCCGAGATGCTATTAAATCATCCGCGCTGTAATGATTATTTGCTCACTTGTGCGCAATCTAAGGGATGTCATTATCAGAACACTAATAAGTCAGATTTCTTCAAAGCCTTTCTCGCCGGAATGAGTGAATGAGAAGCAACGGAGCCGAGTCCCTGGTCGCGGAGATGTGGATCCAGGTGGATTCCACGCCGCCGGCAACCCGGCTCCATTTCCGGTTCCCATCCGCCGATCTCGGACCTTTGTAACTTTCCCCAAAACAACGCCTGACGCGGTGGTCATAACGCGATTGGGATTGCGTCTGGGACATTTTGATATCTCGTGTTAAGAACGTCTAAAAAGAGTTGTCTCTGCTCTTCTTCGCAATGTCCAAACTTCCGCCCGCCTCTGGGCATTTTGTCGTCCTCGGCGCCGGCGTCATCGGCCTCTCCACGGCGATCACCCTCCGAAGCAAATTTCCCTCGGCGCAAATCACCATTGTCGCCGAGTACTTTCCCGGCGACTACCACATCGATTATTGTTCCCCATGGGCGGGCGCCAATTGGTGTTCGTCCGCGAATGACAATGGTCTTCTCGAAAGTTTTGACCGAGTCACATTCCAACGCTTCCAGGAGATCGCCAAGAATGTCCCCGAGGCCGGCATCAAGAGCTCTCCCTTACGGATGATATTTGATCAGAAGATCGAGGATGCCGGAATTCTCAGCTCAGGTACAGGAAAGCTGTGGTATGACGATCTAGTGGGCGGGGCTGTGCCATTGAAAAGGGACGAGTTGCCGGAGATTGCTGTGTTCGGATTGGACCTGCCTTCAACATTTGTTATCAACTCTCAGATTTATCTCCAATGGTCAGTTTCCCCTATTCGGCCAGACTAAGCATTTCGATTTACTAAGGATGCGTAGGCTCTTGGAACAGTGCAGGCAGGGGAAGGTAACTTTACTTCGTCGCCGGATCAAGCACATCAAGGAGGGCCGTATCTCGCCCGATGTCAAGGCCATCTTCAACTGCACCGGCTTGGGATCGTATCATCTTGGCGGAGTGGAAGACAAAGCTATGTACCCGACCCGTGGGCAGACAGTGCTCGTCGAGCAGCCCATCCAGCCCCTCAAGCGAATGTACTTCAGATCCCCTCGCCGGGTTGACAACGACACTACATACGTCTTCCAAAGGCCCCTTGCCGGGGGTATCGTCCTTGGAGGCTGTCGTCAAGATGGCAACTGGGACAAGAACGTGGATCCCGAGTTGGCGAAAACCATCATGGAGAGATGCTGTGCTTTGGCACCTGAACTCGGCCGCCCAGAAGACTTGAAGGTTATCAAACACGGCGTTGGTTTGAGACCTGGTAGGAAGGGCGGGCCGAGGATTGAGGTTGATCAGAGTCAAAGTGGGTTGGTTGTGCACAACTACGGCGCTTCTGGGGCAGGATACCAAGCATCTTGGTAAGCATCTTCAGAGACGTTTGGGAATTACACTGATCAACTCGTCCAGGGGCATGGCGGCACACGCCGTTAAGCTTGCCCAGGAACAGCTGGATGCTAGCGGTCCCACGGTAGCTAAGCTTTGAGTCTTTGACTAAAGCAATTTCGGACTATGCCTAATCTGCTTGGTTGGAACGACGTTGTCACAAGCCGTCCTCGATGCATACTGGCCAACACGACTGTTGTCGGAAATTGAGATACGCCAAACAGCCATGGATAGGTATGATGTAGCGAGACTTTCTTTCTGCTAAGCCAAAGAGGTGGTTACTGATGAAGAAACAAGTGGTGAAAGAGATCCAGACTGAATTCTATGTAGATGGAGACACCTTTTCGCCTCGAACGAGAATAGCAAGAGAGGAGCCTTCTCTTACCCGAAACTCCTGTTGACCAACAACCTGTAAGATCGCACCAATCGCATAGGAGTGTACTGTCAACGAGATGAACTGGTTAGGATCAGTTGAGAAAATCTCATCCAAAACCCGTTGCTTTCTGGCAACGTGACTCTTGGTGTTCTCGAACTGATCTGCCTTCCAAAGTTGATCTTCCTCCGTAAAGCCCGGTTCGACGATGTACTCTGGGTAGGCCCCTTCAATCCACGTCTTTGAGCTTCTTTTGTCGCATGTATGGTCAGTCATGCGCTCCCGTAGCCCCTCCTTGATGACCGGCCTGAATGTCCCGCCCTTCTCTTCCACGAGACTGCCAAAAACCAGCTTACTGGTTTCCAGGCATCGGCGAAGAGGACTCGTGTAGAACGATTGCGGGAAGGGAACTCCTTCGGCCGCCGTGGCAGCTTTCCAAAAGGCGCTTAGATCTCTCGCCTGGCGAACACCATCGTCTACAAGCTCTGCATCCAGCCAAGTGACGGTACCATAGCCGTCAAGGTGAGAACAGTACCGCTAAAAGATGTTAGGACCTTGGCTCCTCGGAATTCATCTGATGATGCAACTCACATTCCACTCATCCGATCCAACCTTGGCAGCCTGAACGTTGTGGTATCCGATACCATGTCTCGTCAGATACAAGACTTTATAGGCAACCCCATCAGGACTCTGCTCATTCAACCGGTTGACATCCGCGGCAAGACGATCCCACGGCTTCGCATCCCGCCTTTCCAGGTTCCGATCAGTGACTCCGAAGGGCCGATCCAACAGGCCAAGCCCTGCCTGTGTCGTTGCTTTGCCTCCGGGACTGGATTTGGCAACCTCGTGGTAGTTGATGAAATGTTCAGGTAGGATGGTGAACTCAAAGTGATCGACAGTGCTGGTCGGTGCGGCCATTTTAAGTCGCTGTGGAGAGTGTGGGGATGAGTCTATGAGAAGAAGAAGAAGTAGCGTGTTGTTGCGGCCAGCTAACTGACAGGGGTGGTCTGTGTTATAGTAAGTTAGGCTGCCACAATGACAACGGTACGTGCGGCTCCGCGGGTCGAATAGATTTGTATCTCAAAGGTCTTGCTTGGTGATCAGTCAAGTCCTAAACAAGGTCGTAGAGTCCTTCGTTCAACTGAGAGAAGGCTGGAAGTGATTGAGGATTAATCACAAGTTGATTGCTGAAGAGCTATAGAAGTCTGATCTCGAGCGGACTCGAGTCCATCCTACATATAAGTCCCGTTCCTTTGTCCAACCTATCGTTGTGTTCTTAACGTAGTGTTGGGTGAGCGTCCTGGCTCCGCCGGTGAGCGCTCACGCTCACCTTATCAAACGCTCGCTGCGTTATCTCAACGTGACCTGTACTATAGTTCTTCCGTTCCGAGCTGTCCCTGTGTTCCCGTGACCCTGCATACAAAGGTGACGTTCTAACCGCCCAGTAATTATCCTTGTTGACCCTACAGGGCCTAGACGATGTTGCTGTTGCTGACTTATACATTGTTGGAGAATTCCGAGGGAAATACGGGCTCGTTTAGGCTGAGCAATCGTGTTCTGATTCGCTCCATGGTTATGGCGGTTTGAGTCCCTCTCTCAGGGTTAACCAAGCAATTGATGATACATGTACCCGCGCAACCTCAGTTTCAATCACCCTGGGCGACAAGTACAACACCCAACGACGAAAACCGATCAGAAATTATTTTCGTACATACGACCGGGACGAAAGACATATATTGAGAGCTCTGCTATAACTATTCTTACGCAGTGTAAGTTGGTCAGCGCTTTCAAGGAACCATTGGTAACGTGATGAATATTTGGTCCTTCGGAATTTGCATTCTTTTTCTCATTTCAATTTCAGACAACATAGTTCTGATTTGAATAGTCTCTCGGGATATACACGCTGTTTTAATGACAGGGTCATTAAACAATACGAGAGCTTTCTTTCTCCGGCCGAATTATGTTTAGAGCTTGAGAAATCCTTCGGAAAATCCAGAAAATGACCAAGAACATAATACAATGCTCTTATTATTATCTTGGTTTTTTTAAGTGCAAAACAGGATATCGTTGAAAGGGATCAAACCCGGACAAAGCACAAGTGATTTGTTGATGGACCATGAGTGAAAGGGGATGACAGGCCAAGCGGTTCAAGCCAGGGAAGGCGTGTGAGTTTCTTTGTAGAAGCTCGAAAACATAAATCTTTAGGGACTTAGATATGACATGTTCTCATACACTGGAAGATACATGCATGAAGATGAGTCATGCTATATATACCGTTAGAAGATAAAACAGCCACCAACTACAAGATTTCGCTCTCTATTTCAATATCCATCAAATCAAGTTTCTCAATATCAGACATTATCTCAACTCACCAAACTTTCAATCCGCACATCTCACAAATCACATTCCACCAATCCTAATCTAGACGAAGATGTGTCACCTCGCAAAGGCAAACTGCAAGACCTGCCATGAGACTCAAACCGTTACCGTCCAGCCGACTCCATCTCGTGCACGACCCAACGCAATCAGTTACATCACGAACGAGTTCCACCTGCCTTGCGAAACCTCCCAGAGCACTGGCAATGAGTGTGGCTGGGTGAATACCAAGCGGTTCACGACAACGGTCCCTAAAGACCTCTGCAAGCAATGCCAATCTTATCAGGGCGGAATCAACTACCGTGACTGGCTTGAGCAGGATATCCAGCGAAGGGAGAATCTGCTGGCCTACATCCAGTTTCAGAAGACTACGGCAACGAAGGCCTGGTGGAGAGTTTGCTTGTGCTGAAAACACGTATGGCCCCAGCGTGTATGACAACGTTTCTTCACATCAAAATTGCGAACAAATTGACGGTGTGCCCTCAATAAAGTCATGATTGATACATGTAACTCTCGGCTTCAAAGGTTTGCTTGCATTCCTCTTATATAGAACAAAACTCGGAAGTCTACTTTGGTTCTTCACCCTCAATAACGATGTAAGGGATGCCCATTTGATCACAATGCGAACAGCCACTTCACTTTAGTGGTTTAATTAGAAGGAAAGATGTAAATCATTATTAAAAACTATGAATTCCTGTATAATTACCCGCTATCTTGCGTACGTAACTCAAACTTCAATCAAACTTGAATCACCATGTAACGCCTATTCCATTCATGTCCACCAGTTCGTATATCTGGAAGCCCTCGACCCACAGATTGTTTTCAAACAATGTACTCTAGTTGGAAGAGACCACGCCGCTGTCTTGGGTGGTGAGAGTGTAACCGTAGCTCTGAGAGACGGAGTAGTAGTCAGAGCCTCTGTACTGCCCAACGTTGGTGCTGTAACTCTTGTCCCAAGCCTTGGTGTACAATGAGCAGTAAGTTCCCTGGGGAACGTTGTTCTCGCTCAAGACGAAAGAGTTGAAGAAGTTGCAAGCATCGTAGGTTCCATCTTGTCTGGGGTGGTCGTGGTCGTACTGGGTTGTAGCCTGGCAAGCAGCGGCACACTGAGCAGGGTCGTAAGGTCCAGGGAAGAACTTGACACCGATGTAGGAGTTGGGAGCCTGGATAGAGCCGCCGAAAGGAGCAGGGCCAGTGAAGCCAGACTGCGAAGCTGGAGGAGCATTCTTGATGTAGCCTGTGGAATTGTTAGTGCTTGATCACTCAAGCCGCAGGAGACCTTGTCAAAACTTGCCGTTTGATCCTCTAATGCCAACGTGGAAATCGTTTCTCCATTGCCCGACGTTGGTCGCGGAAGACGAAGTGACCTGAAGACCCCAAAGAGTGCACTTGTAGTTGGTAGTGCTTGGCGGGTTGGTGCAAGAGTTGCTCGGGGTGTATGCAGGGTTTCTCTCCATGAAAACGTTGAATCCGTAGCACACAGGAGCAGCATCACAGTACTTGATGTTGTCAGTATTCGCTGCTTTTGGGACAATGAATAGCCCATACCTGTTGGCACTTGATTGTATCGAAGGCCTGAAGAGTGTAGAGACCTTGGTAACCGGGACCCTCGACAGAGCCCGCAAGGTCTTGGAAGGATTGGGTGTATCCCTGAGGAGTGGCCGCGTTGTTGGCAATAGCGTCGTACTGGGCATCTGACATGAATTGGTCGTAGCTGTCGGGCGAGGAGACGGGTCCGGCTCCCTGTGGCTCAGTCTGCGTGCATCCGGTCAAGTCGCGGGCCTTGATGGTTGAATTCGCAGCCTGTACGGGGTTTACGAGAGCATCCTTGGCAGCATTGGCCTTGACCTGTGCGGCGTTGTACGTTGGCTTCTCGGAGGTAGCTCCAACTGCCGGGCCGACCTTGACCGGCTTGGGTGCCGCCTGTAGTACAGGTCAGATTATTTGAAAGATAGAAAATGGCTTTGAATCTTACATCAAAAGCGCTGAGGTCGATACCCGTCTGAGCTGAGGCGGCGCGAATGACAACTGGATTGGCGCTGGAAACGCCGGCCACGGCAGCGAGAATAAGTGCGGAACGCATCTTGAAACCCTCGTAGTAAGCAGAGAAGTAAACAAGCAAAAACAAGCGACGAATTGTCTGGAGTTGAGGAGAATCTGTCAAGTTGAAACGGTTGCGGATGATTGAGATGGTTGTGCCTGAAACTGTGGATGATGAAAGGGCTTATATGTCAGATCCTACCGCTACAATGATTTGTTGAGTTGACAATAGTGTGCAAAATAATCACATTGAAGTCTCCATGCCAACATTCTCACACCGAAACTGTGAAATGGCCTAGACCATGTGTAGTTCAGCTTCTTCAGCCACCGGAGGCGCCGCGCGCTGTTGATGATACTAAACTAACCGTCCTCGTCCAAGCATCCGCGAAAGCGATCCTAGCTCACGGCACATCGGCCTTTATTCCCTTCTAGTCCCTCATGCCAGCCTCATCCGCGATTCGATTGTATTTCGGCGTTCTCATTGGGACTTATCTGTCAGCGTCATTGAAAATGTAGCACGCCAAAGTCCAGAGACACTGGACGCTGCATGCAATCGTGAGTAACGATGCAAAATCAGTGTTAAATCGCAAACTTTTGAATGGCATTGACGTCCTGAAATTGAAACAACCTTCGGTGAGCTAGCCCAATCAGTATTATGTCCCGTAGCCAAGCTCGAAGACGTCCACTAGTCGTAGAGGTTCCTTATCTTCGGGATCGTTCCAGCTGCTTGGGACGGCCAGGCTGCCGAATTTCCTCGCGGTCAATGAGACGCGAAGCTGTCGAACACACGTGGCCCATGGCCCCCACGCTCGGGCGAGCATCGGAGAGGGCCCGTGGCTCTCAACGGCAACACAATCTGACCATGAGCACACTCAAGAAACGGGGCAGCTCTTTCTGCTTGAACTATCGTCAATAGTTGCTCTCAATTCGCAACTAGCAGCCGGGTCAGACCACGGATTCGTATACACATTAACCTTGTCTGGAATTAGCGCGGCGCTGAGTGCAGGGCTCTTCAAGTGAAAGGCCTCTTTTTCGTATTGGCCCATGTCAGTGCGGCTGAACTGCAGCACTGACGATGTTATCAGGTTCGAGGCGTGGATGCTGTGTTGGTTTCCGCCCAAAGTAGCGGTCAGAACATGCACTCGGCATCTATCAACAGGAATCACAAAAGCCGATACTGAGCCAGCACGTGGATGAATTTTCGGCACCCGTCAATGCTCTCAGGCTTTTATCAACAGCTGGCGCGGAAAACTTTTGATGGACGCTAGAAGACGATGTGCCTGTGCACTCTGAGCCTCCGAGGGTGAAGCTCAAGGGGTTTGACCGGGACAAAAATAACATAACAATCCGCAAACCACAGGTCAACTCATGCCACCATTTATTGCACACAAGAGATAAAGACAGATAGGAGAAGTTTCGAAATGTCGACTAAGTCTTCGAGCACAGCTTTCACCTTCTCTCGGGATCAATGCGACACTACTTCTCGGCTCCACGAACCTTCACTCTGACGGTCATATTATCCACTGGTCGGGCTGTGACTTGTCGTGTCTGCAACAGATGCGTCAGTATTTCGTGCTACTTGAAACACAATCAGCAGCTAGACTCACGTTGTACAACTCTGTGTTTGACCGGTGTTGTCCCTTCTCGTTGATTATAGGCTTCCCTTGCGGTCCTAGTGTTGCCTCTCCTAATCCCACTTTCTCGAAGTCGTACTTGCCAACAACGCTGGCCAAGATCACCCTTGCCTCGATGTTGGCCAACTCCTGACCAATACAGTTGCGCGGTCCTCTCTCAAACGGTCTCCATGCCGTAGCAGGAATCCCATTCTCACCTGCCTTGCCAATACCAGCTTTCTCGTCGTCATTTGTCGCCATGGAGGTGTCAGTATTCCCAAGCCAACGCTCCGGGACGAAGTCATCCTTGGTGCTTCCGAAGACGTTCGCGTCGCGCTGAATAATTGTTGCACAATTGTACAGCACCATTCCTTCCGCGCAGAGACTGGTACCATCTTGAAGATGAACGTAGAAGTTTGATCCTGGGGGACACAGCCGCGCAGAACCAGCCGGGGGGTACAGACGGAGAATCTCTTTAATGACAGCCGAGGTGTACGTCATCTTCCGAGTGATTTCTTCGCCCTTGGATAGCAATGCCTTGCGGACAGCTTCCGGGCTCAGGTCAGGGCCGAAGAGGCTTTCTAGCTCAGCTCGGAGCGTTCTCATTGCCCGAGGTGTTCGTGAAAGTTCGTAAAACGCCCATTGCAAAAGGATGCTGGTCGTGTCATGTCCTGCAAAGAGGAATGTCTTGAGCTGATCTTTCGTGCCGTCGATAATCTCCTGGGTGAGAGCATCAGTGTCGCGGAGGCTCAATGCCAAAATGCTTCGACTGGAGAAACCCCTATCTTGTTTCACATCATTGAACTTTCGCCGGATAACATCCATCAAGAAGTCGTCGAGCTTTTTGGCGAGAAGCGTTCGCCGCCGATTGAGCAACAGGTTCTCACACCACTTGAGTATCCCGCTTTTCTCTCTGTAAGAAAAGATGAACTCTTTGTAGGTCCTGATGAATTCGCCTTGTTGCTCCTCCGGAAGCTGGGCTCCTAGATCGACGTCCATGGTTACGGAACCTATAAGCCCATAATGATCAGCTATTTCCCTCGCCATCGTGTTGTTAAGGCGACAAGCTTTGAACAGTCTTAGTACTTACCTATGATGTCGAAGGTGAGATTGGTACAAAGCCGCTCTAACTCAAAGACTTCGCCCGTTTTGGCAAGTCTGTCAAGTTTGGCAATAAAGGTCTGCGTATTTTCCAGAATTACTGGCATCAGGCTCATCAAATGCTGAGGTGCAAAGCCGGGGTTGAAATGTTTTCTCATGTCCTTCCATCCGGGGCCCTAACATAACATGCATGAGAAGTTGAAGCCGGGGAAGAATTAGGACAAGCCCAAGGGTAAACTCACATTTGCCAGCACAATCGATGTCTCTCCTACTAACGGCGTGAGATATTTCATTGTATCTGACTTTGGAGTGCTGTAGGGCCACGTTTTCGACTGTCTCGCGACCTGCTCTGCTACGTCGTGGCTCCGGATGACAAGTATCGGGCGACTAACAGGACGTAGATCAAGGAAAACAACTGGAGGGTTTCCCAGAGACTCGCACATGTCCCCGAGTGCATGATCTAAAGGAAGTTACTAAATCAGGCTTGATTACATTTCCAACAGCATGTTGATGTTCAACATGGGCAAAGAGAGTGTTACCAAGCTGACTCCCCTTTTCGCCGCGCCTTTGATGGAATTCGTTGGTTATCTTCAGATGACCCCATATTAACGATGGTTTCACCTGAGGGTAGCGTGCGAATTGCTTGAAACGCCGGTAGTAAAGAGCCGAATATAAGTATAGTAGAAGAGCTGACAGCGCTGCAAGCGCAACGACATGAGTATTGCTGAACATGCTTGAATATTCAGGAGGACTGTTCGCGGGCTCAAAATCTCCCAAGGAGATGGTTACAAAACACCTCTCCGTACGATGCAGGCAGATGTCGGCTATAATAAAGAAGCAACTGGTGGGCAGCGGAAGCCAGTACCTCTGTTTCAGCTGGTGCATGGTTATGCCTTCTAACTTGACCAAACACAAACCCGTTAGGCGGGCAACGCATTCCGATTCGAGTAAAACGATTCGCTGCTTCCAGACAAACTAGAAATATGCATTATCAATGCAGATGGTGATCTACATAGTTCACCTCGTCATCGAGACATGAGCAGGGAGAGTGTGTCTCACTCATGATCTAGAGGTTCGGGGAAAACACGACATCTTATTGGATGTGAACTCTTTTAACCGTTGACTGAACGCGCACCACTTCGGCGTCTAACAGTATAACATCTCGGATCCTAGTCCGGGTCGCAAGCCGAGCTGAGCCAAGCGTATCTGTCAGAACCTTGGGGGCGGGAAGGATGGCGGCTCATCCCCCTTCTCACCTCATCGGGCCACTCCGTTGTAACCCCCCTGACGAACCGCATCATGGGTTCCAAGACATTTTACCGTCACCAACATGTATGTATGCATCATGGCGCGGGGTAGCCTGGACGCTTTCTGCGCAAGAATGCCAGCTAGCAGAAACTCGGCGCAGCCAACTTCTCCAAACTTCGGCCGAAAGGTCGCTAACCGAAAAACACGAATACGGTTCGCGTGGTTGAACCCGGTCAATCGAACACGAGCTTCTCTGGCCTAGACAGATACGCTCAATACCTACCCCAGTGTTGGTCGTTGGTCGATCGTTCTGGTACAACGGGGTTGTTTAAAGGCCGATGAATTAATCTGCGAAACAGTCTGTCGCGAAAAACGTCGTACTCGTACCCTCCCGCTCAACAAGTAGTTGAACTGAGTTGACTCTCACCTCGAGAGGACATCGCATTGGATTGTACATGAGGTTTATTTGCGTTAGTACGACTACCTCGCACTATGAAACTTGAGGTTAGGAAACCCGAACCCGTGCAGTCCCCTGGCTTCTCCAAGCCTCGGATCCACGTTGTAGCGGTAGCATGTCCAAGTAGATGATATTGATCAGTAGAAGATTCACTTCGAAGGCGAGTACGACTACCGGCTTGAAAGGGGTTGAAGCATCAGCTCGATGTTTCCTTGGAGTGAGCTCATTATGGTTTGGATGCATTCAAGTGTAAGCTATGATTCCTCTATGAAGGCAATGAACGACAAGTACCAACGAATCCTCTAGCAGTCATATTAAGCCGTTTTTCGTGTGCTTCAAAAAGATTAACAGTAAAAGAGACGCCTCACCTCTTAATGTTCACTAAGTCCTGGGCATGTGCAGCTAGGTGTCTCTATACTTTCTCATTTAGCAACGAGAATGCTTGATTTGAGTTTTCGTAGCAATGAGAATGCGTTCGGTGTCTTTCTTTGAAGCTGTATTGAGCCTCAAATAGCTGGCCCGTACAATCTTTTTACTCTCATATATCGAGACATGTTCAAGTCATATCTACTGGGAAAACGCTGTTTAAATTGAAAGTATACGAAGCTTGTTGAGGGTGTATCTTTGAAACTCAAGGACAAGTCCGATTATCCTATACATTGTGAAGGCCTTTCTCTCGGATTGATTGTCATGTATATCCACTGGTTCCAGTAGAAAGCGGATATTTATATATCTGCTTTCTGATGCGGTATGAATACTTCCACAGGTGAACAGGTTGGTGGGCGTCAAAACAAAGTGGTTTTATGACGTCGCCAGATAGAAAATAGCAGATGCTTACTTGGGAAAGAGGGCTGGGCCCATCATGTGGAAGCAACCTAGAGGGCTCATTAGAGGATACCTACCCATATGTTCTCATGCTTGCTACACGCCATCTTTTCTTTTTAAGTAGTAGCTAACTGATCTTTCGAGATTACATGAGTTCGGTGATGCAAGCCTTGTTCTGGACTAGGGTCTGGTAATATTGATGAGTTCTCGTATCTTTCTGGGACTGGTCATTCACATTCACTTGAAGACGAACATATCCCGTATTTCCTATTACAAAGCGGCAACGTGACTGGACGCCCTTCTACCGGTATGGTTGCATGTGCGCTTTTGGTAGCGCCAAGGTTCGATTAATTAACCAACCAACCGGCTATCACCTTTGTGCTTACTGCCCCATTAGAGAAGGATTCAACATGCTCAAACTAACTCAATATTAATGACTACACCAGCTTTCTGATGTTGAATATTTACTTGGGGCGAGTAGCTACTGTACTGAGGATACATTAAGAGCGGCTTGCGCTGTGAGGATCCTCACAGTTCATGTACCACATCACGACTCTTTTCTCACCATGGCGGCACCAGCATGTGTGCCAACGACATTCGGCAATGCTTCCCTCTTCGGTGCTGAGGTTCTTTCTTTGGAGACTACCCTCGTGACCAATTGTAGCGCTTCCGTTCCTTTCGCTGACCGGTTCACTCAGCCCTCGATTGAGGTGGATAACGTAAGCTTCTGTAATATCACGATAACTTATATGCACCTAGGATAAGGAGACTCGATCATTTTTGAAGCTTGGCTTCCGTTAGACGGATGGAATGGGCGCCTGTAAGCCGTTGGAGGCGCTGGATGGGTAGTGGGGCGGTCTTCTCCTGCATATAGCGCTATGGCTGGGGCAGTAGCTGATGGCTATGCGATAATTACGACCGATGCTGGGCTTGGAGACGCACCTGATGCTAGTTCCTGGGCGCTTCTTAGTCCCGGTAATGTGAACCTTTACGGCCTTTAGAATCTCGCATTGGTTTCACTAGAAGACGAGGTAAGTGTTGTGAAAAGGAGCAGCAGAATCCCTCGTACTGAGTGAAATCGCAGGCCATATTAGGAAAGTCTGTGATTAGAGCTTACTACGGTTGTGGCCCTGACTTTTCCTACTGGAATGGGTGTTCTCAAGGCGGCAGACAAGGACTTATGCTCGCTCAACGTTATCCCACATCTTACGACGGCATTGCGGCGGGCGCGCCGGGTATTCAGTGGACTGATTTCTTCCCAAGTATGCTTTGGCCCCAGCAATTCATGAATATTCTAGGCGAGTATCCTCACTCGTGCGAGCTACAAGCCATAACGACGGCCACGATTTCGGCCTGCGACGAGCTTGATGGCATCGTCGACGGCATCATCAGCGCGGTCGATGACTGTCTGAACAGCTTCGATCCTTTCAGCCTGATTGGAAATTCCATCAACTGCTCTGAAGCTCCCATAATCACGAGCTCAGCTGCGGCTGTTGTCAACGCAACATGGCAAGGCATGCGCAATTCGAAAGGGTTCCAGACGTGGTTTGGTCTCGATCCAGGCACCGATTTAGCCGTTGGTGTCGCAGCAACAAAATGCACCGCAGGTTCCTGTACTGGTGTTCCTCTGCAAATTGCTGCACAGTGGTTATCATTTTTTGTAGCTGGGAAAGCCGAGCTTGACCTGTCAAACTTGAGCCACATTGAGTTTGACTGGTTAGCTCATCAAGGACGGCAGCAATACAGATCCATTATTGGCACCGATGACGCAGATTTGTCAGCCTTTCGCGATGCTGGAGGGAAGCTCGTTACTTTTCATGGCCATGTAAGTGTCTTTGATCCATTACTCTGTCAATTATCGCATAAGGAAGAGTGGGTGCTGATGTCTTGCGTAGCTTGATCAATTGCTCCCGCCGAAAGGTACCACCAACTACTATAACAAAGTCTCGGCTCTCACACCAGATGTTCATGATTTCTTCCGCCACTTTGAGGTGCCCGGGTTGGGTCATTGTGCTGGAGGGCCAAGTGGGAACCCAACGAGCCTTTTCGACCAGCTTCGTGCATGGGTAGAGAATGGAACCGCGCCGGATCAGCTGCCGGTTAAGATCACCGATCTTGAAGGGGCCGAACAGAATCGAATACTGTGCCCATACCCACAAAAGGCCGGTTTTGATAAGGGCTGCGGTGAGCCGGCCGAAGCCCGATGTTGGACGTGTGGCTAGAGATTCACGAACTAGACCTGCCTGTAGTGCTATTTCGAAACGCGATCAAATACCGTCGATCACTAAAATAACTCGATGTCTCTATTTGGCGTTTGGAAATTGGCTTACGCTGACAGAGACATATGAAATAGTTGAGCTATCGTGCTTACAATTCATTAATACCTAGATGAATCTCATACATGGTCTCTCAACTCATTCCTTGTTGATAATCCAAACCTTAGACTTAGACGTATTCCCTGGCAACTTGTACTAGTAAGAGGATGGCACAACTGCAAGTCTTCCACCGTCCGTGATAAGAACGTTACCGTTGGTGTACGCTCCTGCCCTGCTGACCAGATACAACACCGCACCCACCATATCCTCGATATCCCCAGCTCTCTCCTCTGGAATTGTAGACTTCGGCCACCCGGACTCCTTGTGTTGCTCGACAGTGGCCGTCGTCATCTCACTAGGATAGAAACCAGGAGCGATGACGTTGGCCCTGATGTTGAACGGCACCAGAACGGTTGAAAGCTGCTTGAACATGTGGACGACCGCTGACTTGGACGCACCGTACGCAAAACCCATGGGCTGGCGGTTGAATGCACCAACACTGCTGGTTGCGATGACTTGGCTCCTCTGCTTAAAGTTGCTTCGCTTGTTTCCCTCGTCCAGGAGTTCAAGGAAAGCGGCTACGGTGAAGAAGACACCGGTGGCGTTGACCGCGAAGGTCTCGGTGAAGTCCTTGGGATCCCAGTTCCAGACAAAGTCCCGATACTGAGAGATCGAAGGATTGGCAGGTATACCCTTCAGAGCAGGCCCGCCAATTCCGGAGTTTGCAATGACGACGTTGACATAACCATGCGCCGACTTGATCTGCTCGACAGCCTTTTCGAGGTCTGATTTCGATGTGACGTCGCCCTGAATGGTACGAATATTGCCGTGCTTCTAAAACGGAGAAACACGTGAGTCAACATCTTTAACTCCTACCACATTTCCACCACTCACGCCCACATCCATCTCGCTCATCGTATGGGAATATGACAGTATCGGGATACAGACGTACCGCAGTGCCTGCAGCGTTCTCAAGGGCCTCCTTTCTCCGACCAATGATGTATACGATAGCCCCGTTGGCTTCCAGTCCCTGGGCAATCATAAGACCGATGCCTACGGGAGTGATTTAGCAAATTTCTTTGATTATGTCGATGACGTATGTGTGAAGGATGGATGATGACATACCTGTTCCTCCGCCGGTCACCACAACGACGAGGTCCTTTACGCTGAATAGATCAGCTGCTTGGAGTGATGCTGAAGCCATTGCGATGAATTGGATTGTCAAAACGTTTATTCAGGTATAGGGAAGACTGCGATACTGAAGTTGACAAGCTGATGCTGTTGGGTTGAAGTCGGTTAGCGGCATCGATTATGGTGGCTTTTAAATGGTCATCACTCGGCGGGGTTAAAACGGGCCCGCACGAACTATGGCGACATCCGACATGTAGCTCGTTCATTATGTTGCAGGCAATGCTGACGAATGGCGGTGATGTTCGGGGCTTGTATGCACCTTATCTGCAGACTAACCCCGAAGTTCGGATGTTCTCCAACCTGACTGGGCAACCCAGCACTGAAGTTTGTCTCAGCCGCCTGAACGTCCGGGAACCCAGTGATCAGGTGACAACATGTGTAACCATTCAAAGGCTCAATGGCGGTGAGTCGAGATTTACGAATGACTCTCTGTTGAACAAGAGACTAAAGGTACAGCGTTGCAAGAAGGGTTGTGGAGATATTACGTTTACCTCAGAAAACAGATCTCCGTTGAACATATGAAATCTTGCAACAGACACCCCAGTAAGCCTACAGCTAAGACATTTAGAGTATGTTGGCATCGTCGGGGTTGTTCAACCAGGCCTCCACAGCAACACCTTCTCGAGGCACGAATCTTGCCTGAAACCCTTTGGGTGTCGCAACGAAAGACAGCCCTTGCAGCCCTTTGAGAGGGTCGATTTCTTCAGAAGTTGTTCCATCTGCAGGAAGTATTTGAAAACGGGCGATAAGATGCAAGAATGCGGTGTAAAGTGCGTTGTGGGCTAGATGTGACGCGACACACATGCGTCCACCAATGCCAAAGGCGAACTGGTGGGCATATTGATTAGACGCATTGGGTAGCCAACGCTCAGGGACAAAGACATCGGGATCGCTGAACACATCTGGGTCTTGTGGCACATTAGATGATATCTCAACCATAAGGCACTTAGCACTTACCTCTGTTGCAGGCCCAACTGTTAAGGAACACGAGAGTATTAGGTGGGATGGTGGCGGAACCCCAGACGACGTCGGAATAGGTAGCTTTCGGTAAGGCCAACTTCAGGGCAACGAAATACCGAGAGACCTCCTTCGTCAATGCATCAATGTACTCGATCTTGGTTGAGGCATAGGCATTCGAAGGTTTCTGGAGCACTCCTGCATCTCTAATGGCGATATATGCTTTATCTTGGATATCCGGACGATGAGCCAGAAGAAGAATGGCCCAGGCCAACGTCGGTTGGTTTGAATCTGCCCCCTTCGAGATATCAGTATCAAGGGTTTGTTCGTGCCTTCTCAATCCTCAAACTTTTCTCGGCGCTCCGAGCAACGTGAAAAGACTTACAGCCATCATGCTCAAACTAACGCTGATCAACTCCTCGCGGGTCAGAATGGCCGATTCAGGATCTTTCAACACCGTCCCCTGAATACAAGGTTTGTCCTCGCCCCTTTCCACTTCCATTTTCAGCTTTTCCAGAAGAGTATCATTGTATAACAGTCGTCGTTTGCCGATGTCAGATGCATGGTTTTTTGGGTTCTTGCGGAGGCGCAAAGTTTGTGCGATAGGCTCCCAATACCGAAGCAGGGGGATGTAGTTAGCATAATTCTTCCCTGTATCGCGAAACTTGGATATCTCTGATTCGACATAGATGATTTCAGCCAATAAAGGGTCTTCTTTTAGGGACTTGACCTTAGAAACCCGAGTGCCGTAATTCAACGTCAAGCTGAGATTGAGAGAAAAACGCCGGACCGCAGGGCGGAAGTCGATTTTCTCTGAACCATCTCGACATTCCGAGAAAAGATTCTTGAGAAACTCTCTCGCCTCAAGATTCAGAATCGGAGCGTAGCTCTCTACACGAGGCTTGTTGAGCGCGCCAGCGGCAAGCTTGCGACGGTTCTTGCAAGATTCGTCCCAAGGGCTGGTGCCAATACTGGTAACGGCCTTGCTGACTTGCTTGTGGAAGACATAGAACATTGGCCGGGAGTTCGTGGCGTGCCGCTGACCGAGAAAAAGCTGTTTTGCAGAATCGACCGAATTCACCACGACGCCTGTGGTGTTGCCCAGCTGGATTTGGAAGACAGGACCGTATGCTTTCGCCCATTTTCTGTACGTCTCCGCCGGTACCTCATTGGGATGCTTTCATTCGGTCAGATGCAATTCTTCATCTCGAAGAGTTCGAGCAATACCTGGAAAAGGTTTCCGACCATTGGCCAGCCTCTTGGCCCGGGAAGATTCTTGATACGGCCTCGATATCGAACGATCTCATTTTGTATCAGATAGATCAGAAGCAATAGTGTAAAAGCCGTAATCAAGTATTTGCTAGCTCTGAGAATGTAGTTCAGAACCTGAAGCCAGAACGTGACATTTGATACTGTCATCGTGAAATTGCCGTCACAAAATCTACGAACATGGTAGAGCAAGTGAATGAGAATAGCATGAATAGCAAGTGAGAAAAGTAGAAATAGCACCAGCTAGCCTTGAAGCACGCATATCACTTCACTCAAAACCGCTGCTGCCATCGACCCCGCCATGTCGCCATCTTCCTTCGGAGCTCGCCAACAATGCATGTATTGCACCAAGATAGCCAGTGCAGGAACTCGATCAGGCATGCTTAGAAATCATCTGGCTTTAGAAGATATCTCTCACTACCGAAACATAGCGTATTTCACTTTCTGGACTCTCAAATAAGGCAGTCTCTTGCTCCTCACCCACCTCAATGAGTACAACTTACTGTGACTTGGTTAACCGAGATCCTGGCGAGGCCACCGACTGAGAAGCTGATGGTTGATCACGCAATATGGTGACACAATGACGGGCTTAGAAGTTCCGAGGGCCTGCGTTTACTGGGTTAGACGATTACTCATAGACGGCCGGTCTATTTCCGAAGCATGCTGGAATTCAAATGTAACCTATAGAAAATCAGTCACTCTGTCATCAGTGCAGCTATCCGATGCGTTGCAGCAATATCAGCTCTCCGTCAGCTTGCGGTCCGAATGATTTGAGACAACCTGGCAGCGCGACCCTTCTTCTTGCCATCAAAGCCCCTAAACTCGAAGTTCGCTAGCAACTGATGCTGTGCAACCTTCTTCTGGCTTGCCGGTTATTGGGTGGGAATTCGCTTTCCATTAGGAGAACTGTTTGCTCGAGTCGACATCTTCGTGGACGCTAGACTGGCACGATGAAGACATCAACCATTTGAGAGGGAGCACTTGCCTTATAAAGAGCTGTCTTGATCTCATGCGCTGAGTTATTGAAAGTCACACTTACACCTTCGTGGGTCACGCGCCGTCTTCAGCGTATCCGGCGTAATTGGCGTAATCTTCTCCCTTGTCTCTCAGATAGAATGGAGAGGTTCATTCCGATAACAACCAAGTTCAGAAGGGCAGAGAGAGCTGTTCAGAGTCTTTGAGGCATGCGTTCTCCAGAAGGGGAATCTGTCCGCGATCATGTGGGGAAATTGTTGTCTAAGCATAAGCTTTACTTCACCCCTTTTCCCGGGTCAACAGGCCAGCCGTGCACACGCTGGTAAGCAACATGATAGCTTTTATGCCCCACTGCTCTGTCTGGGGCGAACATGGGGAAGATGGACATATCTATATCGATGTTCTGGCTGTTCTTGGTTTTACGTAAGTTCGTTATCTGTACTGATGGTGATTCCTCCGCTCCTCGGCCCTCTTCCAGAGGCCCCTGTGGCTTGCCTCCAACATGCACCTGTGCTGGGGTTCCCACCATTCTAAGTCTTGCGCTTGTATACAGGAAACAACATCTAGGTCACCGGAGTGTAATGCTCGGTTCTTGAACAATCCGCTTCAATCTCTACAAGCTATAATGTGCTCTAAACCGTGCCTGAATTATCAGCGCAAGACCACACTGCCGATCCTCCTGACTTGTTGTAATCATCAATGATGCCCATGATTGCGCTGTATGTTCCCGCGATCATCAGAAAGGTCCCAGAGACGATTACAAAAAGGCTCCAAGCCACCATGAGTCGCCACCTCATCGTCGGATGTGCTTTGCCCTTGCCCCAGTTGTCGTACAGCCACATGCAACCCATCGGTTGGAATGACATGAAAGTACCCAAAAGAGCGCCAACAAGTGAGATTAGACTGTTGAAAACCGGAATACCGCTAGCAACCAGGTATGCTACCAAAGTCACACCAGATGTTGACCCAAGCCAAGTCAACCAATGAATAGCACTGTTGGCCGTGAGATGCTTCGAACCGCGGAGGATTCTTACAAATACGTGCTTGCTAGCCAGCTGAGAACTTCAGTCAGTATGCTTCAGATTGAACAAAGTTGATTCCGTGTTCTTACATGAGTAACGAGAGTTGAAGATACGAGCAGGCCAGCAATACCAAGGCCATAAGCTACTTTCTTCACCAACGGGCCTGCGGATCCAAGCGCAGGCGAGGACACATACGAGCCACAATAGTAGTACACTACCACGCCTACTGCAACGTAGACAGCAGTAACCACACTTTGACAGAGAAGCAGTGCGCGGGTGTAATAGCGCGGATCGCGCATCTCTGCAGCGATCGGAAAGAAGGCCCCGGTACCAGCGTATGAGAAAACTATCGAGGAGATCGACGCAATAGCTTTTGTGAAGCTCGGATTGTTGATGATCTTAAAGTCGGACACGAAATCCCCAGTCTGGGGCGCTGCAGCAGGACGGTCTTGGAGACCCACGGCGATCGTGACGGTGAAAACTATCTCGTATGTTATGATGGCGACTCATGCTAGCGGGTGTTGGAGGACTTACCTGCAACCATGATACTTGCGACACCAATCCATGCAAGCCAACTCATACGCCCGAGAGTCCTGATGCTGGCGAGAGAGAGACTAGCGATGGCGGCGACGGCAACAAAGATCGCAGTGCAAGCACCGTGATGCGACACAGCATTCAAGGCGGTAGACACCCCTATCATGGCAGAGCTGGCCGTGAAAGTAAAGACTTTTATTGTTGTTAGAGAAGCTCCCAGTTCGACCTGTTTGTTCAACTTACACAAGACGAAGAACGCGCCAAAGACCTCCCGTCCAATGCGGCCGAACAGAAGCTCTCCCACATCGTCCATGCCATATACCTGCGGATGGCGCAGCTTGAAAACGCCAACCATATAATCTGACCACGTGGTGATGGCAGCGATGCTACACAGAATAATGACGCCTGGGACGATTCCCAGGACATCAAAAATGGACGGCATGGAGAGAACGCCGAGACCAATCTGAGTCTTCATCATCAGGACTGATGTCCCTAGCCATCCCACCTAGGATATGTCAACACTTGTTCCTCCATCCAAAACTGGTATCGTTGGGGGCTGCTGACATTACGATAGTTTGGTCCATCGGCTGTAATGGTACCGAAGACGGCGTCGTGGGTCACCGAGTTGTCCTCGAGAACCTGTCCGAGGTTGGACGCCACTGGGGCCATCTCGTGGGTGTCGTCGCCGTATTTTGATGATTTCGCCATGTTGTCCATTGCGGAGAGTTAGAGAGAGGGTCTGGAAAGAGGAAGACGCTAGATACTTGAAGCCAAGCCAGGGCGTCAAAGCCACTGTTATATGTCTCTCGAAACCTCTTGATAACGATGGTAGACGGTCTTGCCACCTATGTGGATGATACCACGCGTGGTTTTGCGGGGGTTGTTCCTGGCACATCCCCGGACATTCGGCACTGATCTGACCAACACCATGAAGAATGCGGCTAGGAGGCCATCTTGCGAACTTGCATGGAGTCCCATGTATAGCATGACTAGCTGCTCAACAGACAGGTTCTACGGATGTCTCGCGGTTATCAACTTGCTCAAATTCGCCTGTCCAGCGGCCAGAAGCACAAGTCCTCATTTCAGCGCTTGTTCATGATGTCTTGGCATGATAGCAGCTGGCATCCCTATCATCATGACCCCCGCACAACGGCGTCCTGCGGACCACCGAGCCCACACCAGTCCGGGGAAGTGGGACAGGGTGCACGTTCCCCAGAATGCAACCCGTCGCGGAGGACTTCCTAGTTCATAGAGGCTCTCGACAAGACATTCCCAAAGCATGCAGCACAAATTCCCTCTCCATGATGTTGGTGGAAGCTCACCATAGCCTTCAGCCTCTGCGGGAGGCCCAAGGGTCTTCTTCTGGGAAGCTATTTTTTTGAGCAAGCTTCGGCGAGCAAAGATATCTAGTACACCTAAAGACTAAAGCAAGATATGAACACGCCTTATCCCGAGTCGTTGAAAGAGATTAGCTATCAATATCGACTAATTTCTTCGACTAGCTCTCCTGCGAGTGGTTTCGGACGCTTCACTATTGAAGCCATTCTGACGGGGAGGTCCTATTTCGGCCTACATCAGCAATCGCAATGTGTTTCCCCGTGTCATTGTCTAGATAAGATGTGCAAGATGACATCCTTGCCTTATCTGCCCCTTGCGCCATCTCCTCTATTCAAATCGAGCACGACAAGGTCAGGTTTGTGTGATGTATTTCGCATTATGTCTGTGGGACACAAAGGAATGCAAAGTAAAGTAGTAAAAGATGATCGCTCTACAGTGTCCCGCGAAGTTCCGACATAGAGCCAGCTTCCGGAACTTCTCCATGCTGTTCAGCACTTATTCCGGTACTCCCGACCGGGTCAGATTTCCGCTGATGTGGAGATTAGTGAGACCAACGGCCCCACTGACCTCTCCGGTCGGCCCCTCAGAAGGCCGCCCGCGCCGTATGACACACGGAACGATATGAGCAGTTGAAAACTTTCATAATCGCCAGTTTTCCCAGGTACCTATTTCCAATCTCACGGACTCTCGTTCCTTGCCTCATTCTTCAAACGCAATAGTCTCTGGAACGAGCCTAAGGCTTTGCCCTAACGTACCGAGGAAACTTGACTGAAGCTGCAAATCTTTTCCTGTGCTTCAACACCCAATCAGTCAATGTTGTTACAGTGATATCACTAAACATTTTTCCCTCTGTCAACCGTAATCCCGAAATTCCCAGTCCAGTGTGGGGATTCTTGGTCAGCGTTTGACGCCTCGGTCAGCTAGTTGCAGGAATGTGTTCGGCCATAGGCGCCTAAACGTCAGCATGATGCTTAATCCCCGAACATTGCTGATCTCCCGCTAGCAATTACGGGGCTTTCGAACCACCACTTGAATGATCGATGACGTTCATTGAGCCGCTCAGGTTGTTGGTCGAAGGTCGAAAGGAGCTTTCACATAAAGTCACACGAAGTTTGCTCGGTCAGTTGCAACAGCTGTAGATCTCCCTCATTTCCACTTATCACAATTTAACAAGCGGCCTCGACTCTCAATCATGGCACCCAAAGGACTCGCGATTCTCATCGGCGCCGGGCCAACATCAGGCGCAGGTATCGCACGCACGCTTGCCAGCCCCCAGCACGGTAACCTCGCCGTCGCCATTCTCGCCCGTAACCCAGATAGCCTCAAGAACCTTGCTTCCGAGCTCAAAAAGTCATCGAACGGAATCGTCCATCCGTTCCCAACGGACACCCAGCCCGACAACCTTCGGAAAGCCTTCCAGCAGATTGCCGATCACCCCGACTTCAAAGATCTCAAGCTTAAGCTCGCCATCTACCATGTCAAGAACTCCAGCAAGAAGCCGTTCCTGGAAGAAACTGCAGAGGCGTTCAGCGACACGATGAACACGTACACCACCGGAGCCGTCGTCTTCGCCCAGGAGGCACTGAAGCTCATGTACGCGCAAAATGGTGGACAGACACTCCTCGCCGACACTGAGGGCGCGAAGAAGGGAACAATCATCTTCACAGGAACTCTCGGTGCGATGCGTACGAATGCGCAATATGCGGCCTACGGGGCTTCCCGTGCAGCGTCCAGGATGGTGGCGCAGGCTATCGCAAAGGAGCACAGCAAGTTCGGAGTGCAGTGCGTTCATGCCATTGCAAATGGGGGAATTGTTGACGAGGATAATGCGGATACAACGACCGGCAAGAAGATGAAGGCAGAGGATGTTGGCGAGTTATACCTTTGGCTCTCGCAACAGCCCAGTTCGTTGTGGACTCACGAGCTTGACATGAGGCCAGCGCAAGAGTCGTTCTAGTGCATCAACTTATATTAATCGAAGACAAAATTATCTGAGATCTGAGACTGACCACGTTCGAATATCCTCACAGAGGCAGCCTTTCTGTCAGTTCTGTCTGGTTGCCACCAGCTTGAACGTCCTTCGGTGCATGTTCTGAGTACAGTGCTTCTCATCAATTAGAAGTGGAAATGTTCACACAAGATACGCGAAAGATCGCTCCAGGGCGTAGATAGGAACTTTGAAGAACATAACAGTCGTAATATAACTATACGCTACGGGATTCAATACTTCATGTAAAGCCACGTCCCAAAACAAAACTCGCTGTTAAATGAGTGACTGCTACCTCACCAGCTCAGTTGCGCGTTGCACTCCTCGTCGTAATCGCGTTTGCCGGCCACTTTCACAGGGTCGATTTCGCAAACACCAATGTTGAACACACACGTCGTCGCGGGATCCAAAGGGATCGCGTCCTTGAACGGATCCGCGTAGAGCTTCTTTCCGTTGTCGTCGAAGCACTTGAGCACGCTGTCCAGGAAATCCTCCTTCTTCAGACCGTACTTGTCGGCGAGCTTCTTAGCCGTATCATCCTGCGCACCCCACGTGCCGTAACGCTGCAGAACGTATGCCGTGTTGGTGCCCTTGTCATCGGCGACGCACTTGGCTGCGTCGCTCTCGATGCACGGCTGGGCACCGATGAAGCGCATTACGTAGTACCGACTGGCTTGAAGTGCGAGGCCTAAACCGAAGCGCGTCATGGTGTCCGTAACGCCCTTTTGCAAATCTCCCTGCGTGACGTTCTGGTGGACTCCGAGAAACTGACCTCCGGAGAGGATGCCACCGATGCCCGACGTCTTGTCCATCACAGGAGCGTCGAGGACGGTTTGCATGGAGGTCGCGATGGCGGCTTGGTACTCCTTTACGACGGCTGCCAGAGAAGTGGCGGTGTTGCTCCACGTGAGGAACTTGTCCGTCGGCGCTGGGGGTTTGATCTGGGTGAGAAGGAAGCCTAGGCCGCCTGTCACCGCCGACTTCGCCGTATCGAGAGGGCCGGTCAAGGGGATGGCGCCGAGAACTGTAGTAAACATCCTCCCGATCTGAATCAGTGGTGTGACGTTGTCCACGGGGTCGGGAATGAAGTCGGTGACCATGCCGGGGAGGGTGTTGGAAATGATTCCCGAGGCGAAATCAACCGCCTCGTTGAGCGCGTTCATGTAGCTGTTCCAGTTTTGGATGGCCACCATTGCGTACCTATGCAGGCGTCAGATTTGTCTTTACTCCAGTTGTGAGTCGCAGACGGGGACTTACCAGCCAGGAGGTTGAATCGGCAAGCATGGCTGGCCAGCATTACAGAAAGAACTCATACCACTGCGGCTGTCAGTCTCCTCTGTTGAAATGTCGTCAAAGTAAAATCAAGGGCGTACCAGAAGAAATTAGGTGCACCAAATGAGTCGGCTAGAGACTGAATGTTGTTGGTCTTGGTCTCCGTGACATTTTTGGCCACCCAATCAGAGAGGAACTTGTCCAAGTTGAGTTTCGTCCAAGTTCCGGCTTCGAGAGGATCCGTGGGACAAGAATCGGCGCCTTTGCCAGTGCCCTGGGGTAAAGGCGAAGCCAAGGCGGCCGATGCTGAGAGTGCAAGAAAAATATGCGGCCTCATGATGCCGACTTTGTGTTTTAAAGAGTGACAGCGCCGTGTGAATACGGACAAGGTAAAAAGCGAATGGCAAGGTCAGCTTTGAAATGAGAGTAGTTGACTATTGGTGAAGAACGAACAAGATAGACAGACGAGAGGGCAAGAGCCGGTTCATTTTATCATAGAATGGCATTGCATAGAGAGTCCAGAATCGTGACGATTTGGCAATGATTCGGCGGATGTCATGCCGCCTCTTCCAAAGTTCTAATTTACGTCGAACGTCAGTCCTATCTATTGAAAGCTTGGCCCCTAAGAAATAACTTGTGGCCTTTAAGATGGCTCTGTCGTTGTCATCATGAATTTTCATTGGCTGAAAGGATGAGGACTATAGCAAAGCTTAGCAGAATAGGAGCACGAAATGGATGAACTCCGCGTCCGCGCCCTCAGCTGTTTAATGCATGGATATTGAACCCCTTTAGACTAGACGGGAAGGCCCAGGTAATGCCCACTGTACATGAACACAGAGGTTATCGGCTCAGCCCTGTCAGGACCAAAATAACGTTAAGGTTGACAGATACGTCGCTAGCCTGTCAGGGTCAGCCTAGGATGAAGATCTCCTTTTCCCATTCAGCCTCCTTTTGGCCCCCTCAGAAGTGCGGTCCATTCGATTGGTGGTGGGGGTATTTGAAACCGTGACTGACAGCGCTCGGTCTCGTTTTCGTATGTCAACAGCGACTTGGAGCTGTGTGTTGACAGGCTTGGTTATCGTGGTTACACGATTCATGCTATTCTTCGCGAATAGACACAAGCTGAGTCTTGCTTGTCATTTCAGGCACTATTCGCCTTCGCTCTGTGGAAATGATGCGCTCGATAGTTCAGGGATTCAGTTGTCTTCTCATCTACTCAGTTAAATCGGAGTTTTTGCTGTGTTCAACATCCTTAATACATATGACTATTCAGTTATGGGCAAAATACAGAACATGCGTAGGAAGTCGTGGTCAAGTGTCACACAACATCGGAAAGCTATGAAGGATGATATAAACGAATCGGCATAGTTCAACTCAAGAATTTGATTATCATTCCAGTTCTGCAATGCGAAGCCTGTGCATCATCTATTTCTTGGCCGGGTTTCTGGGACCATCAACTGCCTTCTCTACCGTCCCTGCGATACCGTCGTGCTTGGCGTTGAATTGGCTACCAATCGCACCGTCCTTGGAGAAGGGACCGCCGATCTTCTCGCCTATTCAATAAGTCAGCGCTGTGTACCGCGGGCTCTTCAACGCAGAGAGGACTTACCAATCTGGCCAATGTTACCGTCGGGGTTGAATTGCTTTCCAATAGCACCCTCAGATGAGATGATGCTGGGGTTTGAGGGGCTGGAGTCCTTCTTCTCGCCGGCGGCGGAAGCAGCGTTGGAAATCGGGTTGTTGGAAGCCATTTTGACGTTTGTATGGATGGTAGATGTAAGGGGTTGAGGTGGGAAAGTTTGATCTGTGGATTTGTATTTGAACATCTATTTTTCTTCAAGTTTGGGAATGATTCTTATAAGTCATAAGAAGGCATTTTTTCCCGCTGATGCGCGTCATCTTTGACGCATGCCTGGACGCATTTCGTGATGACGCCTTGATCGCTGAAGAAACGATGACATCATGTAGCGGTAACTCGAGTTCTGCGGTCTGAGAACACCCCCAAAGGCAAAGTAGCATGCGACTCTTCAAAGCCTCAACGACCGGACTCGGACCCGGGCGAAATTCCAAGCTTCGTCCACCGCATGCAGCTTGAGAATCCAATGTTCCAGCTCTTCGAGTCGCAAGACATGTGCTTTTCCGCCACATGGCAAGCCCCTTGCGCTAGACTCGATCCGAATAAGGCAGGGCGATTTGTATCGGCGATGATCAAGGTCCTAACTCTGGGAAACAGATCATGGTGTCATTACTGGGATGCGAAGGGACATATCGATTGTGACTTGTCCGATTTACCATCCGGGACATTCAGTCAATCGTCCTCAGGGAAGAGACATTGTGCAAGCCGTCTGAATCCTTGAATTGCTTAATTCCCAAAGTCCTCATCGTCCTGAAACCACTATGCTCTCCCATTAACAACATCAGCAACGATGGATGGATGGATGTAAAGTCATGCCAGCATTGCTCCGGAACTCGGAATCCGGTCAGCGGGGTCCCTATGGCCCCGGTTACCGGTGCTCGCCCGGCGATCTCACGGCAGGATGACATGTCGCATTCCCAGACTGTACCCATGCCATGCCGTCTGAACGACAACCGCACAAGCATATCCTTGCCATCATCGCAGCTCCTCATGTTCACTTTCAACGAGTTGCTGTATCTCAGTAGGGTCGTCGTGTATTCTTCGTTACACAGCCGGCCGGGATCATGGGATCATGGGATCACGGCGGAAGGCGGGGGGCCACTTCCCCATCCCGAAATATCCACACTCTTCGAGCAGGGCCACCCTTGCCCTTGACCTTGTTCTCGAACCTCAACGGGCACCAACAACGAGGAAAGATAGGGCACGCAACCCACCTGCTCCGACATTGGAAGTGCGGCCTCGTACGATGCCTGCAGATTGGGACTTGAAGAATGCGACCTGGTGTTGGTGCCGCTTGCAGGTTTCTGTCTCACGGTATTGATGGCCGTGATATCTTCTGGCACTGGCTCGAGTGACGGCTCCTGCGCGGACGATGTTGATGGCTTGGGCCGCAGGCGAAGGAGACAGCGCAGGAGATGCAGACTTCGTGCTGGTCTGTAGTGGTTCCCTTTCTTGCTCTGCATCGTGGAGTTGAAGAGTCACCAGTCAAATGTTCGACGACAGGAGACAACCAAGACGTGCATCGTATCAGACGCATGAGAAGCCGTTCTTTTCACCGGGTGGGTTTCTGAGGTCACCAGGCCTCTGAACGTCCGGCCTTTACGGCTGGTTCTCATACAACGGAGGCTGGATAAGATGGTGAAGAGAATTATCTACTCTTTCCCCAGGCAGTTGGCATCGTGAGTCTCTGAATCTTCGTAAGGGCTTACACACGAGAATTCCACGCCCTGCCGATGCGATGCAACATTGAACCCCGCCCAAAGCACCATGAGCTTGATAGAATGCTTGTTCACGGGACCCCGGTTCGCTAGATTCTCGACCCCGGTCCAAGGGTCTCCGTTCGTGAAGAGGCGCTGGCCGAATAGCAGGAGAGAACCCATCCTCTCACTGCAAGAGATGGACCCCTTCATTCGTCGTTGCAAGAAGTCTTTCAGGAGGTGCATTGTGCGTCTGAAAGGGTATCGTGGGCCGAGGGACTTTGGGAGATGGTACCCATCGCCAGAACACGCCCCAGAAGCCCCTCTCCAAAAAGGAATTCGTTAAGCCAGCCAACTCAAGTGACCATTTGGCAACAATAATGGAGAAAGCAGGTTGATATCCAGGCCAGGTGCACATACAACTTGCTCGTCTCCCTCCTCGGCCGAAGCCTGTCTCATTCATCTCACCTCGACACTGACTCTGCGTCCGCTTGACCTCACACCCCCATGGCTCCCCTCAAAGTCCTCATCGCAGGCGGCGGCATCGCAGGCCTCTCGGCAGCCGTGGGCCTCCGCCGCGCCGGCCACGACGTGCACGTCTACGAGCGCTCCGCGCTCAACAACGAGATCGGGGCCGCGATCCACGTCTGCCCGAACGCGGCGCGCGCGCTGCTGGCCTGGGGGCTCGACCCGGTCAGGGCCAGGTTCGTGCTGGCGCGGTGCAGTTTCCGCGCCCGGGGCGACACGCTGAAGAAGTTCCACGTCGGGACGGAGGACTACGTCGAGGAGCGGTACGGTGCGCCGTGGTACTTTGCGCATCGGGTCGATTTGCACGAGGAGCTGAAGAGGTTGGCGACTGAGGATGGGGATGGGGGTGTGAATGGGACGGGGGCGAATGATGTGAACGGCGTGAATGGGTATGCGAGGGGTGGTGGGCTGGGACGGCCTGCGACTGTGCACTTGCAGAGTGAGGTTGTGAAATATGTGAGGAAAAACTTTTTATGGTGATAGAGGCGTGAAGCTGAGCTCTTGTAGGATCCCGAATCGGCGACGATCACGCTGGCTTCCGGTGAGGTCGTCACTGGCGACGTTGTCATAGCCGCGGACGGCGTGCACACTATTGGTGTCGAGGCCGTCCTGGGTCACTCGAACCCGGCGGTGCCTCAGGGGCATTACAACTTCTGCTTCCGCTTCCTCATCTCCACGGCCGATATTGAGGCGGATCCGGTGACGAAGTTCTGGACTGAGGGGGACGATGGTCGTATGAAGTTCTTGGTTGGAGACAAGAAACGCCTTGTCTCTTACCCATGCAGAAAGTGAGCAGCCTACACCATATAAGGGATGAGACGGTGTACTTGGATGTTGACTTGAGCAGCAACGAGGAGCACAACTTTGTGGCCATCTTCCACAACGACGATATCGAGTCGACAAAGAAGGAAGACTGGCATGCCTCTGTTGGCAAGGAGAAGTTGCTTCAGAGATATTCGGACTTCCACCCGAGTGTCCTTGCCATCCTAGAGTGAGTTCATAAACGAGTTCATAAACCTTAAGATGAACAAGACTGACTGACATCCTTTAGCAAAGCCACCGAGGTGAAGCAATGGGCTCTCCTCTACCGCGCTCCCATTCCGACGTGGACAAAGGGCAAGATGACTCTGGCTGGCGATGCTGCGCACCCCATGCTGCCTCGTAAGTGACATCAATGGTAAGATGAGTAGAGAGCCCAACTGATGAGAAGACTGCAGACCAAGGCCAAGGAGGAGCGCAAGGCATCGAAGACGGCGTCGCTCTCGGCATCGCACTTGCGTGCGCAGAAGCCAAAGACGTCGAGGCGCGTCTGCGGGTATACGAGAAGATTCGCAGAAACCGCGCCAGCGTGATGCAGATATTCAGCAACGCGGGCCAGGAGGAGCCGGAGCTCATCCGGGAGGAGGCGTCCAAGTTCATCCCAGCAGAGAAGGTGCCGAGTAAGTTAATAGCAGGGACTGGTGTCGTAAGTGGTTGACTGACTGTGATGCAGAAAACCCTGAAGAGTTCTTCGCGTACAATTTTGGATACGACATTATCCGGGACAGCGTCCAGCAGGTGCAGAATGTGGATGCGTCGTTTGAGCTGCCGTCGGCGTTCTTCCAGAAGGTTCCTGGCAAAGGAGTTTACCCGTAAATCGATTGACTGTTTGAGGTACTTTCTGAGTTCCGTAGGTGACAGTTTTCGATTCGGTTTTGATTCCTCGTGTACCGAGCTGTTCATGCGGGGGGCGCGTGACATTGAAGACCTGAAATGCCATTCACCTTGTCAACACCTAGATTGAAGACCTTCCAACTCGACGCTGGACGGTACTGTGACCCGTAGCCAATTCAAAGAGATTCGTTCTAGAATTTCGCTGGGGTTCTCGATAACCTGGCTCGGTGACTCGCAGCTGCAGCGGGCCGACCCAAAGACGGCCCAGGCCCAGCCCCAGGCCTTCCAGCTAGACTTTTCCGTCACGATCGGGCGAAACGCGGCACCGGCGGCCGGGAGCATCGGCCGTCAAGGCGGTCAGCGAGAAACCGGAGCAAAACACACACGACAACAACAAGATAAGAGACACGCGAGCTTGCCGATATGCCAAGTCAGATGCGCTGTCGGGTACTTTGTGCATCGTTGGCTGCGGCAATCTGACCCGGATGCGGCTCCACAGCAAGCTTCCCCGCCAATCGCTAACAGAAACGCGGGCGGGCAGCAGAGCTCTTCCCAATGGAAAGCTGCAAAAAAGCTGCAACAGCTGAGGTGCGGTGTTTTCCTCTCCATCTTCGGCCTGCCGGGCACAGCTGCAGCAAGTCTGGAACCACCTCGGGCACGAATTCCTTGCTGCTGACTGACCCTCTTTCACCGACCTTTGGCACTCGTCAAAAATAAACTTACTTACCTCCTGTGTCCGGTTCCGTCGTCGTCGACACATTCTTTTAAACTTACCACCCGGGACACACACACACACACACACACACACACACACACACGGACGCACACACAAACCATATACACGCCACCCAAAACCGAAAATGGGTAAATCATCGACGTCGTCCGCCCGGGACTCGAAGCGGGACGTGACCGGGAGCGAGACCTCCTCCCTCCGGTCCAGCACCCGAGGCCACGATTCCTCCTCCTCTTCCTCCTCACGACGCCGCTCACGATCCCGCTCCCCCAAAGCCCCCAAAGCCCGCCGACCAGCAGAAATGCCTCGCAAACGAAAGTCGACCGGAGCAGAGACCTCCAGCCCCAGCTCCAGCCCCAGCAGCAGCACAGAAGTCGCCACCAAGAGCGACAGCAACGCCAACGGCAGCACCTTCGGCATCTCCCCGACCGCCCTCTTCAGCAACCTGCAGTCCGCCTACAGCGTCTTCCAATCCCTTCCGAACCTCACCGGCGGCAGTGCTGCCGCGGCGACCGCCCCCAATGGCGTCCTCCCGCCCTTCACGACCTCGTACGAGCTCGCCCTCCCGGACACACCCGTGACGAACCTCCTCAGCCCCTCGAACCTCCGCCTCCCGGCGTCGCAGGACGTCCTCCAGACCCGCCTGGCCACGAACCTGCCGCGCCACGGCAACGCCTACGCCATCCTGCTGGTCGGGACCCTCCTGACGTCACACTGGTTCATCCTGACGGCCCTCTTCGGCATCGTCAAGTTCGGGCTGTTCATCCAGTCCTACAACGGCCGCGACATCGCCCGGGACCTCGGCGTGCGCAAGTACGCCTCGAGCCAGGCCATCATGTCGGGCTTCGCGGCGGCGGCGGCCCTCGTCGGGCTCTGGGTTTTCTCGTCCGTCTTCAGCGTCGTCGCGACCGTCGTCAAGGTCGCCACCCTCGTCCTCGTCCACGCCGCCTTCTTCGAGCTCGACGAGGCCGCGCAGAGGAAGCTGCAGCAGCAGAGAGCGCCCAGCGTGTCGTCGGCCTCGGGGGTGCCGCCGCCGGTCCTGAGGCCCGCGGGGACAGCGCTCTCGCCTCGTGACGCAGTTGCCCTCACTAGCCAGCTGCGGTCTGTCAGCGAGGGGCACCTCAGCACTGTGCACTCGAACGGGAACAACGGGTGGTATGCCGGAGAAGGGTATGTCGGAAGCAGCAGAGATGACCAGTACGCTGCGATGCCGCGGTCGTCGCGGGCGCTGGACCAGTTCCCGCCCGGCCGAGTCGAGGACGAGGATGAAATCGATCGAGGTGCATCGTGGGGTTTTAACGAGGCTGGAAGGCCGCAGAGCTACGCTGGCAGGTCTTATTGATTTAGATGACAGCGTCAAAATTGAATCCATGGTTGATGTTGAACGGTTCATGGTCATGTCGAGGCTAAAACGGGCGCTAGATAAAAATAGGACCTTCATGCCCAAGCATTCCCTGTGGAAGGAAGTCTTGAGGGCCAGCAAATGAGCTTCACTGGATTTTCCTGGATGGGTGAACCACGATGGACCTTGTCAGACATTCACTCGATTTACGCGTCAAATTGGCAATATTTCCAACGCGACGGGCTGTACAACCAACCTACTACACTGCCATCACCAAATGAATCAAGAGTCTTCCTCTTCACGACCACTGACAGAGCAGCGGCGCGCAATGAAAAAGAGAAAAAAGCCTGTCAGACGTCCATCGACACCCACCCCGTCCGCGCGCCCAAGGGCAAGACCGCGAGCGGGGACGAGATCATCACCGCTCTCTATACAGCCCGCCCCGACCGAAGCCGGAAGCGAGACCGCCATCCTCGCGGACAGATCGAGAGCAACCAAGAGTTCTTCACTCTAGGGTGTCGAGGATATCACTCATCAACCAGGGTGGAATCTGTGGCTCCTTTAGGGAACCTAGAGTAGGTCGAATACTATAGAAATGATTCTCTGAAGTATTGTCGACATGAAGAAAAAAAGAAGAAAGAAAATCCTAAGAAGCGCGGGACGAAGGCGCTGTTTTATAGACGATGGGAGACGGGCGGTGTGGGGTCTTCAGGGGGCCGCCATCAGTAAAATTTTCGGGCCAATGAGAATTCGGGTGGGTGGTCGGGCACGTACCACGGGGTGCCTGGCCAGGGTGCAAACTCTTCGCTCGCGGTGAATTGGGAGGAAAGAGCGGGTTTGTAGAGGTGCCTGGGTCGCGATTTCTCAGGCATTCACGCGAGTGCAGAATTTTCTCTCCTTCAACTCGCAATTTGGGTGGAAAGTGCAGTGCTGTTTGGACGTGTCGTCGGCGATGATGAGTCTTCTCTTCATTCAGGCCCACGCGAATGTGTGGTCGACTTGTCTCGATCTTCTGTGAGCCTCGATTTCTTTCGGTAGGTATAGTCGCTCGATTCCAGGCACCCAGCCAGGCGCAATAATTCAGTCTCTTCAAAGCGCTGGCAGGAGTCTTGGGTCAAGATGAACCGAATCGTTAAGCCTGTTGCTGTTGTCGTGGCGCTGTTGGCCTTCTCCTCTCTTAACCGCTGCTCGGTCTCGAACAGCCTCATGGCCGTCATAGGCATGATGTGCTGTGATGCTTTCCCATGCTTCTTAACTTCCTCGCGTTCTCTTCCTAACGGTCTGCCGGCCACGTTATCCTGCGTAAAGCTGCCTCAAGGCTTGTGAAGTTCTCACACTAGAACGCTTGCCTCTTCTCGCTCGGCAATGATATTGCTTCTCATCACCATCGGCGTGGTATACACCTGTTCCGCATCGCGATGGTTAGTTTGGATCATCCGGTCCACTGTGCTTGATCTTTGGGATGCTGGCGATGTCTGAAAAACGGCGTTCAGCGAGAGATGCCTGTTCGTGAAAAACGCGTCGACTGAGAGTCACTCCAGAGGCAACCGGCTTATTGTCTACCGCATAATGAAGCCTAGGGCTGCGAGCCACTATTATGATCAGGTCATGTATGTGAAGAAGGTTGGATGCAGGTGTTGGAAGTTTAAGCTCGTGATGGTTTCCATGCATGGTCCAAATAAGGCAGGTGGGGTTGGTGATGAGTCTGGGGCACAGCAACAAGTGACTGCGTCCTTCCCGGCAGTGTAGATCAGGCAGAGACCCTGTTCATTGCTTCGTTCACTTCTCTTCAACGTCTTCATCTTTCGTCGTGTTCCACCTCCATCACAGCTCGTAATTCTCACCAACATGGTAGACTTGCCAACACGGACAGCAGAGCAGGTCGATGAAGGCAACATGGAGAAGCGCCTGCGGTCTCGAACATATGTTCATGACGACGCCGTCGCAGCATTCAACGGCAAAAGCCTCCCGCACAGTCTAGGCAGAGAGATCACCCGCCTATGCGTCGTCCGGGGCATCAGATACCACGCCGACTTCTGCTTCGGCCCAGCCGCCGAACTTCGCGGGACGCTTCCACTCTTCACTCGCGCCCTCAACGCCAGAGCCATCATGAGCAACAGAATCCCCGACATGGACCCTGACCGACCCGCCGAAATGCCCTATTGTATTTGGCATCCAGACCTTCCATCCGAGGAAACCCTCAGAGAGCTCGTCCGGCGCTTTCCCGTCATGGCGTACCAGGCCGGGCGTGCTTGTGCTGTTGCCGGGCACACGCAACTCTACAAGGAACTCGCCGACCAGATCCTGCCCGAGGTGGCCATCGCGGAGGAAGCGCGCGAGAACGGCAACCTTGAGATATTCAACCTCATCATGGGAGCACCCTGCCGATACAAAGTCTTTGACGATTACAGCCGGACCATGAACACCGAATCCCCCAAACCGGCTTTCCTGAACGGAGATACCGCGATTCGACCTTACTTGATGGAGACCCAAAGGTTTGAGCCCCCGATTGGTCGCATGGACGACGAAGAAGGAGACTCCGAGCCCGACGACGACGAGGTGAGCCCGTGGTCTCTCGGTCCTGAACGGGGTTTCATAGACACCATGTTCAACATCACCGAGGACATGAACATCGATCTTGACGGCAACGGCGGCACTCCTGGTTTCGTCAATCCGGTAGTCCCGAACATCGACGACGAAGGGCTGAAGCTTCTTTGCGAGCCACTTCCGGCAGACTTGACAACTTGCTTCAAAGACTTGCTCATCCTCATGGCCGCATATTACGGTGACATTGATCGATATCATCGCCTGCGACGCCCTTGGCTCCTCAAAGAAGAGATGGGCTGTATAGTCCGTGGTATATGTATGACGAAGTTCTTCTGCAACAAAATTTCCTCGCGTCTAACATGATTATCAGACCACAACACTCTCTTCGCGAAATGGTGGAAGACACAGCCCTTTCCAAACGGCGTAGATTGGCACATCCGTGAAGCCATCTCGGCCAGAGGAATCATGGACAACGACCTCTCCTACATTTTATCACAAGAATGGGCCTGCCCTCGGCTCATATGGTATCCAGTCGTCCCAGCCGATTCGACCTACGAGGCTCTGGCCCGTCTAGTCCCCCGCATGAGGCCCAGCGTCGCCCGCGCCGCCATCTACGCCAACAGACAGCATCTGTTCGACGCCCTCATTTCCGGGGACGATGGCGGCGACCCCGTCGAGCCGAGCCACGGACTGTTCAACGAAGCGCGTCGAAGCCATAACGCACATTATCGAGAAACGCTGGAGCGCAAGGCAAGCGAGGTTGGTGTCGATCTGAACAAACTCGGGCCCTGGCCGGACCCCCTGGTACAGGACGTGCCGAGCTACATACACTGGTTCAACACGACCCTGCCCGCGCCGCGGCTTTCGATTGGAACCGCCAGGCGTGATCATGATTCGATTTACAACGGCATGTCGTGTAATGCCAGCGGAGTCGAGACGTACATCTCGATCCCCGAGGAGTGGAGGAAGGCGCCGGAGGATTACGATGGGGACGAGGGGTATATCGAACTAGACTATAAGGAGTGGCCGCCTGGATTCGTATAGAGGGATACACACAAGTGAAAAATAAGTCATGTAGAAGGCTATGAAGAAGAAAAGAAAAAAGAAAAAGGCTTCAAGCAGGAGAAAAGGGGTTCGAACTCACGAACTACAGAACTAGTTAACCACGACGCTGGCTTCAGCTGGTATAAAGTGGGTGGACCTTTAATCATAAGGGACTCTGCTGAAATCTAATACCATTCACTTTAGCTAGTAGGTTGCTGGTGAAAACTCAACTGGCAGAGCACACCCCAAGGATGATTTAGCCCACCTCACTCACTTCTCGGAGGACTTAATTGTTGGCCACGATGATAATGTTGTATAGTAATACCCGTTTTCAGCGGGTTATTATTTTCGATCCGAAAAGATGGTCTACATTGTCTGCAGTGTAAAAGTCCCAAACAAAGAACGATGCCCACCCTCGTATCGTTCCATCTCTAGCGAACATCTCGGATCTAAGCATCTCAAAACACTCTTTCCTCCAGACATACAGACTCATCCATCTCAACATCCTCACATCACTCATCCTCCCGATACAACCCCTCCTCCAAAACCCATTCCCTCACCCTCCTCCCAAGCAACCCCTCCAACACCACCCCGTCCCCCGTCCTCGCGGCCTCCCTGACCTTGGTACTACTCACAACGACCTCCCCCTCCCCGGAAACCATCTCGACCCTCTCCCCCCACTCCCTCCGGCCCCCGACCTCCTCCAACCCGCCGTCCCTCAACTTCTCCAGATACCCGACCTGCTCCTTCTCACCACCCCACTCGTCGTCCACCCTCATCGTGACCCTCAACCTCGACCTCCCCAAAAACGGATCCAGCGCCCTCCGGATCGGCCTCTCCCCTTCGTCGGACGCCTCGCCGTAGTACTTCGGGTTGAAGATGCGTATCAGCGTATCGAACCCCGCCAGATACACCTGCTCCACCTCCCTCGGATAAACCCCCGCCTCCGCGACAGCCCTCGCCTTGTCGTGGAAAAACGGCATCGTCGTGAGCCCCAAATCGACCTCCACCCCCGCCCCGCCGACGTCCTCCAACAGGTCCTCCGCAAAGGCGCACATCAGCCCCAGCCGCGTCGGGAACGCGACCGGCTTCGGCTTCTTGTCGGCGTTGTTGACGGCCAGGAGGAGGAGCAGCCTCGCGCCCTCGTCGTCGTCATCGCCGGCGGCGGCGCGGACGGCCGAGGCGGCCATGCGCAGGTGGGCGCGCGTCGGGGGGTTGAAGGAGGAGTCGAGCACGACGAGGCGCTTCAGCGACGGCGGGGGGCTCCGCGGCGCCGGGTGGGTGGTGGTGTCATTGCGGTGGGGGAGGGTGCAGAGGATGCGGAGGGGGACGTTGGAGGTCTGGAAGGAGGCGAGGGAGCGGGAGAAGAAGGCCGTTAGGGCTTTGCGGGACATTGTTTCTTGTTGTGACATTTTGAGGGTGATGAATGTGAGGTGAGATGTCGTGTATGTCACTGCAGTCGGGGGTGGTTGGCGCGGATTCGGCTACCCCTCTACGTGGGGGTCGAGGTAGATGTGGGGTAGTATGATGTTCCACTGGACTCCATGTCAGGGGTAAATGTATGCAATAAATGGTTGTATCAACAGATTCTGGTATCGTACAAATACACATTCTATTTCCCTTTAAGCCCTCTTCTGTGGGCTAACGAGCAAGCTAGACGTGAACAGCCCAAAGGCGAAGAAGATACCGATACCGACGAAATTCAGCACGGCGTTGATCCACGGCGGGACCCTCTGCCTCGTCGCCAGGTCATCCAGTATCCGCTCGATCCTCTCCGCCATCTTCTCCTGCCCGAACCCGACCCTGACCCTCTGCACGCCGTCGCTGCCCATCTTCTCCAGCTGCCTGCTGCTCATCTTGTTCAGCACCGTGTCCATGACCTTGGTCCACTCCCCCACCTGGTCCGGCTCCCGCAGCCACCCGGTGGTCCCGTCCATGACCGTCTCCGTCGGGCCGCCCGTGTTGGCCGCCAGGACGGGCACGCCGGCCAGCATCGCCTCGAGGGGCACGATGCCGAAGTGCTCGTTGGACGGGGTGTAGACCAGCAGCTTGGCCGACTTGAGCAGCGAGTCCTTGAAGCTCGAGGGGATGGAGAGCAGGAACAGCACGGGTATGTCCTCGGGCGCGGAGAGCGCGGTGATGATGTTCTTGGCGGTGAACGACTCCAGACCGAGGTCCTTGGCCAGCTTCTCCAGCTCCTTGTGGTAGTTGAAGTTCTCCGCGCTGCGCAGGTCGTAACCGCCCGCAATGACCAACCGCGTCCCTTTCCTCTTCTCCTTGGGAAGCGCGGCAAAGGCCTTCACGGCCAGCGCGATATCCTTCTTCCTCTCGAACCGGTTGATGCTCAAGATGATATTCTTATCCGTCCACACGGCCTCCTGCTCCTCCTCGGCCTTCTTGGGCGCGATGTCGACGCAGGGGTAGACGACCTTGAAGTCCTTCCTCTTGGCGAGGGCGGGCCACGCCCTGGTGGCGACGCCCTTGGTGAAGCCCGAGTTGACGGCGATCTCGTCGGCGAAGCCCATGCTCCACTGCTCGACCCAGTCGAAGGGGACGCGGTAGACGCGCTTCCACCAGCGCTCGCGGCCGAGGGCGAGGTACATGTCGGGGAAGTGGCAGTAGAAGAGGATCGGGGCCTTGGGGACGAGGTACTGGAGGAGGGGGAGGCCGGCGGAGAGCTGGTCGACGACGAAGAAGTCCGGGTCGAGGGACTGGAGCTCGCGGGTGAGGTAGATGTGGAGGAGGAGGGTTATCTGGCGGGCGATGGCGCAGAGGATCGTGAGGCGGCCGAGGATCGACTGGGGGAGCCAGTCGCCGTGGACGCGGACGTCGAGGGTTCCTGTTGGATCGTCTATGTTAGTCTGGTTTCGAGAGGCTATGGTGGGAGCCGAAGGGGAATCGTACCATCGCGAGCTTCCTCGAAGCAGTGTCCCTTGTCGCAGTGGCTCGTAAAGATGACGACCTTGCAGCTGCGGTTCTGCAGGCCAACAGCGGCGTCCACGACGAGTCGCTCGGCGCCGCCGATGCCCAGGTCCGGGTGGAAGAAGACCACAGTCCGCTGGTCCTGGTCTTTTTCCGCCATGGTCGCGCGTCGTTGAAGTGGGGAGAGGTTTGTGTCGCAAGAGTTGGATCTCCTTGGGCAAGAGGACAGAAAGGCGACTTGAGACGGTTTACGCAGCTCTAAAGTGGGACGAGGGGAGCTCTGTGGATTCTTCCTCATGATTGGTCAACACAGAGTGGATGAAGGCCTTACATAAGACACGCGCAGGGTGCAGGGATTGGAGTCCGGGGTGCAGCAGAAGCGCCAAGGTGGGCGGCTGTTTTGGCCCTTCACATGTGAAAAATGTCGAGAAAGGTCAAGAGATGACAGACATGGGCACGTTCATTGGACGATTAGCGCCGTTGGCAGGCGTAAACTTGGGGTATCAGCCGAACAGCCGCCCTGCATTTGGTGATTACCTTCCTTGTCGCAAACCGTTTCCCGAGCCGAGGTTCATAGGTGGCTTACAAGTGAACTCAGACTTGACATCTACCTTATTTTGTCCATCTCACCATCTCTATCATCCGCATCTAGAACATCTATCTGTGATCAAGAGACATCCATACATAGCTAGCAGCTGTCATCCGAATCACCCGACTTGAAGGCATCTCATCCATCCAAACCCCATCTCTCACCAACGGTCTCATCTCTCACCACCACCGTCAAGATGGCCTCCCCCCTCTTCACGATCCCCATCCCACCCATCGAATCCCACCAAGGCGGCTCGATAGTCTGCACATCCCCCTCCCCCAAGGTCTACCTCCTAACCTGGTCCTCGCCCCCGGACAACCGCCTCACCACCCCCTTCTGCCGCGCCTTCCTCGCCGCCCTCGACCTGATCGAGTTCTCCCACCCGCCCGGCATCCTCCTGACGACCTCGGCCATCCCCAAGTTCTACTCCAACGGCCTCGACCTCGAACACGCCTTCGCCACCCCCGGCTTCTTCCCGGACCCCCTCTACCGCATGTGGAAGCGCCTGCTGACCTACCCGATGCCCACCGTCGCCCTCATCCCGGGCCACGCCTTCGCCGGCGGCTTCATGACCGCCATGCACCACGACTACCGCGTCATGAACCCGGCCAAGGGCTTCCTGTGCATGAACGAGCTCGAGTTCGGCGCACCGCTGAAGCCGCCCATGAGCTCCATCTTCCGCATCAAGTGCTCCCCCAGGACCTACCAGGAGATCGTGCTCGAGGCCAAGAGGTTCGCGGGACCCGCTGCGCTGGAGGCCGGGCTGGTCGACGCCCTGGGCGGCATGGACGAGGCGTTGAAGCTGATTGCGGACCGGAAGCTGACGGAGAGGGCCAAGTCGGGCGTGTATGGCGTGCTGAAGATGGAGATGTGGCGGGAGAGCGCGTTTTACCTGAGCAAGGAGGAGTACGAGGGTGAGGAGGCGCGGTGGGACGCGAGGGAAGCCTGGGAGAAGAATCGGATTGACGAGGGGAAGAAGTTTGCTGCGGACTGGAAGGCTGGCAAGGCCAAGCTGTGATGCTCATGATACTGATGACTTTTGGACGACTCACCTCACGTTTCGAAATTGTGGTTGAGCAGTTGTGAATCAACGCTGTAGAGATCGTGTATTGTATGTATGTAAAAAGACGCTATTCTGACTAGCCTTCCCAATCGGACAGAGGGGTATCATGGATGTCCGTCAAACACCAGAAATGCACCGTCGCGGCTCCTCCGCGCCTGCGAACTACTCCCGCACCTCACGACTGCTCCTCCGGCGCCGCCTCGACTTCCACCTCCGGCTCAGCCGCTTCACCCTGTACGGCGGGCGTCGCTGCACCCCCGCTGACGCTGGCGCTGCCACTGCCGCTGGCCTTCTTCGTCCTCTTGGCCGCGTTGAAGTCTTCCCGCTCCCTAATCAGCTGCTTCTCTGCTTCGATAGCCTTCTCCCGGCGGGATTCCACGTCCTCTCTCTTCACCAGCCTCCTGAGTGCGTCTGATGCCTTGATCATGTTATCGATGCTGATGGCGTGGTTCGTCATCTGGTGGTTGATGTACGTGTAGACCGCCGCCGGGGTATCACACTGCAAAAGCTGCGACTCGTTGAGCTTGAGCAGCGCCAGGGCCACTTGGAACAAGAAGGTGCTTCCGTCGTTCATACAGAGCACCACGTCCCACACACGGAACAGGGCCTCGGCGCAAAGGCAGTCGGTGAACACGCTCAGAAACCATTGAAACGTGAGTGCTTCGAGCTCGACGACAAGCTCGTCGAAGTGCTGTGACAGCTTCGGCAAGACATCAGCTACGTACTCCCGCAGGACACGCTGGTCAGCGCGGGAGGTGAGGAGGTCGTCGTAGTATCCGGCAGGCAGGATGTGCTCGATGATGCTGGCCAAAATCCAAAAGGCGTCCTCTGCTGATGGCATAATCAGCAGCAGGTTCGCCGCAATGAGATTCATGCCCTGGCAGTAGCCGACTTTGGGGTTCCGGCGGGCGTAAGCCAGAAGAACCTCCTTGAGCTTGGGCACGCCAGGCCCCTTGCGGAAGAAGATGTTGTCGGTCAAAGTACGGTTGATGTCCATCTCAATCTGAGACTCCACCTGAGGGTCGTCATCTTCGTCGGACTGGGCGATGATGTCCTGATAGTATCCCGGGATGCGAAGGGCAGTGGCGCCAGAGCATTCAGACCACACCTTTGCACGGAGGTTGACTGGGATACCGCCGAGGACCAGATTCTTTAGTTCCGTCCGTTTGGCGCGGCCGACTTTGCCCTTGATGCCAAGACCGGTAATACCGATCAGTTCGCCGTCGGCCATCGCTGCCTCGGGTAGGTTCACGGCGGGTTTCTGGTATCGAGCCTCGGCTGCGGCTGCAGCGGCTGCAGCAGCCGCCTCGCCGTCCCGACGCCTCTCGGCTCTGACTTTGCGCAGAAACTCGTTCCAGCGTGCTGCCTTCTCTCGCTGAAGGGAGTCGTGGAGCTCGCCCATGTGCTGCAGAAGCAGCTTCACCGGCTCAGAATCGTCTCTAACAACAGTCCCCGAAGCCGAATCCGCCTCGACGGGCGGGGCCGCGTCATCCACAACGGACGTTGTCGCGCTCGCAACGGGTATGAAGCCCCGCTCGTCGGCTGTAATGAGACCCGGCGACTTCATTCCCAACTCGCCCCCCTCGAGCACCTCTAGAGATGGAGCGCTCAGTGCGGGGGTGTGAGACAAAAGCTCAGTCGGGAATGTTGCCAGCTTCAGGTAATCTTGCCACTTCTTGGCCTTGCCTTCGCTTGAACGCTCCTCCGCAGAAGAAGGGCTGCCGGGTCGTTCCTCACTTCCTCCAGGGCTCGGGGCCCCCTCCTCTTCAATCATCGGCGGGGACAAGTCGGAGCGTCCGTTAGACAGCATCTCAGACCGGCCTCCTTGCTTAAAGCGGCGGGCCATTTGCGTCGCTTCACGCTGCCTCTTCTTCCTTCGCTGGTCGTAGATAAATCCGAACCGGTCGGTCAGATACTCGCTACCGACATAATTGTTGTAAATATGTGTCAAAGTCGGGGGCTGCGTCTCAGGCGGGAGAATCGCATCCATCTCGACCGGACCATAACTTTCCTGGCGGTTGGCCACAGCGCTCGTAGGGCTGCCAGTCATGGTGTCCCATCTTTCTTGGGGTTGCGTTCGGACGGTGGCCACGTTGGGAGGTACGTTATTTGTAGGTCCAGTCCTGCGCATCGCCATGAGCGCCTTCGGTCCTCCCTGTGTCGAAACTGCTCGGCTTGACTGAGAGGTCTTGGCGCTGGAGGTGGACGACGCTCGTATTGTGGACTGCGGCTGGGTGGCACTGTTCGACCTTCCCCTATTCGCGCCTCCCTCGCGCGTGTTGAGAGCACCTCCAGCGACCAGCCTCATGAGACTGGCGGCGACCGAAGAGGAGGGTTTGCGTGAGCCGGGCGGGCCTGACTGGATACTAGAAGCCCGGCTGGGAGTTCTCGGCGGCACGCTCTCCGGCGCAACACTTTCTGGGGGCGGGCTGAAGAGGTCGTCCTGCAGACCCGGTCTCCTGTCCGCGTACGATTGTCCTCTGACCACCGCAGCCGGCCTCGTGTCGTCGCCGTTGACGCTGGTGGGGGCGCTGTTCTTCCGACTCGTGCCGCCCCAGAGGTAGTCCTTCCAGCCTCTGCTCGTCCCCCTGCCGTCAGGGTTGGAAGGCATGGTGAGGCTGCTTGCGCGGATGGTCGCATCGTTGGCATCAGTCTGACCAAAGACATTGTAAATAACAGTATCCTGCATGGCATCGCTCATGAGGTCCGACAGACCGCTCTCGTTGCGGTGGTTGCCGGGGCGAGAAGCCTTGATCTCGCTCTCGACGACCCGCAACTTCTTCTCAAGGTCCATATTGGTGAGGCCGCATTCAAGAATGATCTTGCGCAGGGCCCTCTCCCTCTCGTCGGCTTTCCTCCTTAACAGGGCGATCTGGGTATCGCGTTCGGCCAGGTCGGAGGCGACCTGCCTGACGAGAGGCACAGCGCCGTGCCTCGCAATCAGGCGGCCGATGTGTTCGTCGTCGGCGTGGTGCAGGGCACCGGGGATCTTGGTCGTGGAGATGGGAGAGTCCTCGAACAGGGCATCGCGGGCAGCCTGCTCGGCGGCGGAGGTGCTGCCGGTAAGGTTACCCAGCAGGTTGAAGGCGGTGGACCTGGTGTCGGAGATCTTGCGGACGGTGGCAGGCGGCTCGGGTTCTGGCTCAGGGGGCGTCGTTGGATCGGGAGGAAAAGAGTGTTTGGGGTTGGGCGAGCCGGGCGAAAAGGAGGGGAAGCTCGTCAGGGACTTTGTTTCGGAGGCGGCGATGCTGCTGGCGGAGCTCGAGGGCTGGGAGTTCAGCTTTGAACGTTTTCCGCGGACGGTGGAAGAGCGGGCGCTCTTCATGGACGTTCCGCTCTGCTGGGAGACGGAGCGCTCAAGGGCGAGAGAAGGCTCGGGTTCCATGGTTGGTGTTGGCGGGCGATGACACCAAACGTCATGGTTTCAAGCGAGGGCAGTCGGGTATCGTCGAAGGCCAGCTGAGGCGCCGTGGGAGATACGATCGGGGGGTTCGTCGTGGTGTTATGCCATGCGGTAAAGTAAATGCTGTGAGAAGGATGTAGAGTAAGGTAGCGTAAGGTAATGGGCGGTAGTTGTGGTGTTTGGTAGAATAAGGGGAAGGGCGAGATGAAGAATGAGTGTAGTCGGCTCCGGGAGGTGTAAGAATCGATAGTACAATAGCAACAGCCCGAAACGGGATGGATTGCGCACAAAATACCTTAGGTACCTTAGGTTACCTACCAGGTAGCGGGCGGGCGGGACACGCAGCAACGATGACGGTTTATGCAGTCAGTCAGTACCTTGAGACCTTCCCGACAGGGATTCCTCCTCAGAGACGTGAGGTGGTGACGAGGGTGGTCACTCAGGACGCTACTGTGCTAGGGTGCTAGGTCGCGTTGCTGTGATGGGCGTCCAGTGCAGACAGCGTGTTGTGCTGGCCTGAAGAGGCAACATAAACACGCTAATGTACCCGACAGGCCTGGCAGCTTCCATTGAGATTCCATCGCCTCATGTAGAGGTACTTGTCGGGGTGGCTCCTCCGTGATGCTTTGGCCGCAAAACACCAAACGAACATGTATCACGACACGAAGGCCCACGATCACCTCAGCTGCAGCCCGCTAATCCACTCCACTCCAACCCGCCCCGGTCCAAAGATTCCACAAGATCAATGCCTTACGGATACAAAATACATGGAACCTACCTTACACCTGGGCCCCGGAGTCAAAGCAACATCACAATGTTGTGCATCGATATCCTTCTCCTCACGCATCTCAACTTTCGATAGGTTAGGAAACATCCCCGGATGGCTGGGCCGCGCAAAACACATGGCAACCTGACGCAAAATGAAATAGTGACTCAACACCAGCTCCATCCATCGTGGGAAAAAAGGAGGGGAACCGGGTGCCACATCAGCAGTTGGAAAAAGCTTCGACCGGGAGCAACAAGAACCACAAGGTTAGGCGGGCAGCAAGCACATCATACATTTTCCCAGACAAGGGACACGCTTCCAACGACGGGAAAACCTGGGCCAACCCGTGTCTTCCCCCTCTTTCATTCTCGTCGCCAATCTTCTGCAGCCCTGCCATGCCATGTCCACCATCTCCAAGGGCGCTCCCTGACTTTCCCAAGTCCCCGACTCCCCGTCTCGCACGCACGCAAAGGAAGCCCTAACAAATAAAAAAAAAACAGACGTGGTCGAATCCCGTCTTCCCTTCGGTCCCCTAATAATACAGCCTCAATATCATGAACCCTACCGAGATGCAAAAAAACACACACGTCTTGTGCCGCATCTTCCCTGTCTTGGCTGCCTCCAAGAGCAACGATACAAGCAATCCTCTTCCTTGGCGCGCCCGACATCAAGGAGGAACCATCCCGGAAATTCTGCTCTGTCTCCGTCTCCCTCGTCCCAACTCTGCCCGTCGCACACGAGACCACTCCAAAGGGAGGGCAGAAAATAGCAGGAAAAATGAACCGCAAATTTCCAAGGGTCCATCTCCATCGCGACCTCCACACGCCAATGTGGATTTGATGTGCGTCGGGCTTCGGCATGCACAATCACACAATCTTGGGCACCGAGAAAGAGAAAAAGGCTCGCGCGATTCCCGTCTCGGCCTCTCCCTAAATAAGATTACCACCTCATTTCAGGGGGGGCACTCTGCCTATTTTAAACCACCCCCCGCGATCCGGCTGCGAGGTGTCGTTTGGTGACATGTGTGTGTGTCGATTCGGGTGATAATCTCCCTTGAAACCGACAGAAATTTTCCAGGACATGAGCGATTCAGTACACAAACAACACCGTGTGGCGCCCGGACCAGCGACCTGGGTTTTCGTCTTCCACCAGCGCAACGAGATTCGGATAGGGAGCACAAAACCCGACTCACCAGGCCGCTGGGGCGAGAAAGAGATCGCCCCCCGGGGCCGCCGCTTCGGCAATGCACGGCAACCTCGGGGCGGTGTGGGCCCGGACACACGGAGCACTCCCGGGCATGCTGCTGGTCAAAAACAGGACTTCGACCCGGACGGCGCCCCTTTCACTGCCTCGATCGGCGATTCAACGTAGTGCAGATGCAGACGTAGCCTCTGTATTCTGTGGAACACTTCCTGAACCAATGCTTTCTACTTTCTGTACTCTTACAATGCTTCCGTGTCGTCATTAAGCCCTGCTCCTTTTGAATGATTACCCTGACGCCTTCCCCTAATTTGAAAATTATCAATATGAACAAATAATCCTGGCTGTGATAGAAAACGCCCCCGCTTTTTTGCCGTCATCATATAATACACGTCGTATGCCTCAAGCGAAGCTGTCTTCCGCGTGCCAACGGCTGCTCGCCGCGCTTTTGGCAGTTGAAGACATGGCCGGGGTCTTGTCCGGGGCTGTGATCCGAATGGTGGGTGATGATCTCGGCGCAGCCTCACTCGGAGCCTTGAACGAAGACCTGCCCGGGGGCCTGACCGAGCCCTTGGTCGGGGTCTTGGCCGGAGTCTTGGCCGGAGTCTTGGCCGGAGATTTGGGCGCGGCCGCAGCCGCATTCGGAGCGCTGCTGCCGTCACCGGGCAGGAGACCCTCATCCACCAGTGCCTGAAAGGCCGGGTCGCGAGCAAGCATGAGTTGCCGCTTGACGGACAGCCCATCAAGAAGCTTCAACTTCTTGCAGCAACCCACGAAAATAACCTGGTACAGCCGTCGCCGGAGACGAGTTGCTTCGTCCAGACGTTTGGCGAACAGCTCGTCCCTCTCCTTGTCTGCCTCCGGGAGGGTAAAAGGATCGGTAAAATTGCCCCGCTCCGCAGAAACCATGACCTGCACCGGCGGATAGAATCCCTGAGTAATTGGGTTGTCCCGCAAGTCCAATTGGGTCAGGTGCGGGAAGTCCGTCAGGAGTTCCGTGACTGTCGTAGAATCCGCCAGGCGATTGCCGGCAACAAGGAGTTTCTTGAGACGGGGAACGAATCGAATAGGTGAAAGGTCTGCAATGGCGTTGAAGTTGAGGTTCAACGATCGCAGGTTTGGCATCAACTGCCCGAGCCCTGCCGGCAGGCAGTGAAGACCACAGTTGGCCAACTCGAGCAGTTGCAAATTGAGGAAATCCATCTTGGGCTCGAAAGCGCCAATGTAGTTCCCAGAAAGAAAAAGCTTTCGAACCTCGTACGCCGAAGACAGGAAGCCGAGATCCAGCTGTCCATCGCCCCGCTGTTCTCTCAAGGATAAGCTGTCGAGATGACGGGCTTTGGCGAAGCCGGTGATGCTGGTGATGCGATTTCTGTCGGCGTGCAACAGCCGCACGGCTGGCAACCGACTGATGTCGAGTTCGATAATGTCATTATCACTCAAATCGAGATATCGCAGGCCGTCCAGACCTTGAGCATCTTCGGCGGTGAACGCGTCAAGTTTGTTTCGCGCCAGTTTGAGTACTTCCAGTGACGAGAGTTGTCCGAGATTGAACACTTCCTTGACCTTGTTGCCCGCAAGATCAAGCTCCGTAAGCCGATGCAGCTTCGTGCCATCAAAGTCGGCCACCTCGATATGGTTGTTGCGGGCACGCAGTGACAACAATCCATCGTGCATATTGAGTCCGTCGAGTGATGTCAACTTGTTGTTGTCGGCCTTTAAGCTGCGAAGGTGAACCAGGTTCTTGAGAGCCGACAGGCTGGTGAGGTCGTTGTTTGATATGTCGACGTATTGCAGGTTGGTAAGGTGGTCCCACGACGTCAACTCGTTAAGCATGTTGTTCGCCATCTTAAGCTGTCTAACTGATGCTGGCACTCCATCGAGGTGGCCGAGGGAGTTGTTTGATGCATCAAGGCTGACCAGGCGCCCACAAAATTCGTCCAACATGTGAAGGCTCGACAGGCGCCTTTCGCTGATGTCGAGTTCCGTGAAATCCTCCCAGTAGGGTTCGAAAGGCTCAATCTCGGTCAACCGGTCAACCAGATCGCGAACTGTCATGGACATGACCTTCTTGGAGCCATCACCAGTGACGAGTCGCTGATCGTCCACTAAGTAGCTGACTTCGAAGCCAAAGGACTTTTCGTGGTGGTTCAGCGTGAACTCTGACATGGGACTGAGTGACAGATTGCCGACATGGTGGCTAATGAATGCGCCTACGTCTGGGTACAGGCCGCCGTTCTTGGTCTTGCCGGGCGTCTTCACAAGGAAGCTAAGGCTCCTCTCTTGGTTGTCGTGGGAGACATGGCTAAGAGCACTATTGTCGCCGATAATGCTGACTTGTCGCTCCTCGGCATACTCATCGGCCACACTGTCTTCATCTCGTTCATCGATCCTGGAAACTGGCCGTGGAACGAAAGCCTGACCGCGAAGAGAGAACTGTCTCGAGCCGCGAGCTGGGGCTGTGCGAGGGCGTGGTTGCAGCAGATTTCGTCGAGCAGCCTTCGTGAGGCTCTGATACTTGCTGCGCTTGGACTCCTCAAGCACGAACTGGGAATCGATGACGCTGCCTTCATCATCTTCGAGGCTATCGATGTCTTCCGCCGCAACATCTTGGATGATGGAGGCAATGGGAGAGGAAAACGAGATGGTCATGCGTCGGTGAGATGGTGAAGAATCGTTGATGCGGTCCTCATCGAGTTGAATTTCATGCTCGACGTCCCCCTCGGACTTCCTGCTTCCAAGCTTCGAGAATTCGGTCTTTGCTTGCATGGCGATATCCTTGGGAAGGAACGCGTCTGGAGACAAAGTGACGAAGCCCTTGCCTGAAGTGTTTCTGGGGGTGCCCACAGAGGCCGGTGGTGACTGTGACCAATCCGCTTCGTTTTCTTCCGCCTCTTTCTGGGCCGTTGCGAGTCGCAAGTTCTGCATCTCCTTGGTCATGTCGACAGAAAGATCTGGAATGCTGGCGAAAGGATCATCCTCACTGTCTTCCGATCCAAGAACATGGGAGTGAGAGTGTGCACTTCTAGGACGAACACTTCCACCCTTCCTCTTGATCCAAATATTTTGCTGACGGTCGAGGTACATGCTGCCGACCTGGTCTGGAATCAAATGAGACACGCTTTGAGGAGCGATTGTTTTCCTCGACTCCGAGTTGTGGGAGGAACCCGTGTGGATAGTGCGATTTGTCGACGCGCCGGAAGAATGCGTAGGAAACTCGTCTGCGTCGATGGAGTCGCCGGCTTGCTTGTTCGGATTGGCGCTGATGCGGATGTTGGGAGGATCGCTGATGGTCTCGTCTCCACCAAGGTACTGGAGCTCCGCAGTATTTGCCCTCTGGCGGCTCCTCTCCTCAAGCTGGCGCTCGACCTCTTGCGCCATGCGGATTGCGTCCTGGGCCTGGTCCATAGACCTGAGAGACGAGGAGATGACATCACCCATGTCGCTCAACTCCTGGTACTTTTTCAGGTAATCAAGGATCTCCGGGTTCTCCTGTCTTTGCGGTGCCCTCTGCACGGGTTTCCCTTCCCGGCTGGGCGGCCGTGAGAGCGGTTCCCGGGTCGACTCTTCGTACGAGTCCTCGTCAAATACCGGGCTTGGCTCGCCAAACTCGGCGTCGGATTCCTCGACGCTCGTCAGCCCGCTAGGGGCCTTGGCACCGTTTCGAATCATCGCCATGATCTTACCAGCCTCGTCCAGGAAGTCTTGAGTTCTGATGGATGGTTTCCGGTCCGTGTCGAGCGCGCCGCTGCGGTCGTTGGCACTCCCCGTGAGCTGGGAAGCACGAGTGGGCGATCGGCGCTGGGGCGGCTCCTCTATCAGGAAGTCTTCCTCAAAGTACTCATCTCTCTGCAGAGACGATCTTGAGCTCGGCGTAGGTGTTCGTGGACGAAGGATGTGACGCGTTGCGAGAACGCTGGGATGCGCTCGTTGCTGCAAGCTACCGGGACGCGCATCCTTACGCTTCTTCCCCATCATACTCTGCATCAAAAAATGGGACTCCTGTACCGGTTCCAATGCGTCGTAGCGTTCCTCTCGTCCATACGCGATGTCGGACTTGTGTAATGTCCTCCTCCGCTTAGGGGTTGGGTCTTTCGACGGTGAGGTTCGTGGCCTCTTACCTTCCGAGCCGGTGTCGCGCCGATGAGGAGTTCCGAGGAGGAGAGAGTCATCCAACGGGAAGTGGACGTTCGCCCTCTGAACACTTCCTTCACTTCCTGACGAGAATGCCGGGGTGTGTTTGGATGATGAAGCTGATGTAGTTCCTGATTTCGCCCGCTTTCTGGGGATAAACATTGATTCGTCCTGTCCTGGCGAGCCTGTCACGTTGGCAAAGCGCATCACAGACTCCTCAAACCCGGAGAGGCCTTCAAAGTCGTCATCTTCGTTGAATTGGGATTCCTCGTCGTCGTGCCGAATGGAGATATCTTGGTTGAATTGGTATCCCTCAAGGTCTCCGGCGCCGAACTGACTGACAGACCGTGAACTCGCGGCTGTCTGTTGTGCTGGTACAGACAAATATCCAACAGGTGCTGTATGGGGCCTCTGCTTCTCGCTAAGGCGGGACGGATCAGCGGAGTAGGCGCCGCTTAATGACTGGCGAGAGGAGCCCGACATCTGATCTTCGAATTGGCTGATGCGGCGAAGTAAAGTTTGGTTGGTGAACGTGTCGTATGGCCCGAAAAGCTTCAACGGGCTCGTTGCGCTATTGGTAGCCCCCCGCTTTTCGGGACTGGGGAAAGGTGCGCGGGGCGGCGGAGGGCTCTGTGTGCCAAATCTCATTGATCCATGGCCTGGCGAATAGGTCCTTACGCTAGGAAACTGCTTTGGAGTGCTGGCTTGGAGAGACTCTTCGGGGAGCATCTCAGAAGTATCAACACCCATACCAGGACTCAGGCCTCGATATTTGAACGATCCATCGCCAGATCTGCCTCCGCGCTGCAAGTTCAGAAAGCCTCCACGACGAGCGTAATCCTCGGTGGTTTCTACCTGGTCGTTTTCAGGCTCCTCCAACGTGCCGTCGGCGTCGAACTGGAGTTCGCCCTGTGGGTTGAGGAGCATCTGGTCGATGCGGAGCTTCTCAAGACGATCGCGGAGCTGGTCGACGGGGAGTTCGGCAGGGGCGTGACCGTCTCCATCTTCGGTCTTCGGGCGCATTAGCGTGAGGACAATAGGGCTGAAATCTTCGTTGCGGATTACACTGTGGCCGCTTGTCTTCCGCGACGCGTCGTTGGGTGGTGCGAGACCCGATACTGATGTCGGTGCTGTGGGTATGCTTTCTTTTACGCTCGGCTCGGGATGATTACTGTCGGGCTGTGCGCTGAACTCGCTAAGCTTGCTCTGGTCGATAGAATCGTCGGTCGGTCTGTAATTGATCTGAGGCGGTCGTATCCTGGGGCTCGGGCTGGGGCTTGGATCCATCTGGCTTCTGCCATCGGACTCCTCGCCCTCGTCGGCGACAGTCTCGTCTGCCTGGCGGAAGAACGGCGGGCTCGAAGGTAACGTCGACTCGTGCCGGGGACTTTGATCAGCCAGGCTGGTGTCCTGTGGTGTTGGTGGCTTGAACATGTTCTCAAGGCCTGCTGCGGCAGAGCAAAATAGGTCCCTTTGTTCGCCGTACGCAACATCGCCGTACACCAGCCGTCGCTTCCATTCCGGAGTGCTACCGGCTTCCTTCAATGGCGATGACTTCAGCGACCTATGCTGCACCGTGTTATGAATGACAGAGCCGTTCGTTGAGGCCGAAATCGCGCGACTAGTTTGGCGCGACTCCTCGGACGGTTTGAAATCTCTGGAAAGCTTTGTTGTCGGTCTTCGTGAGGATGAAAGTGGTATGTTGACATCGTTCGTACTTCGTTCGCTCAGGATCCCGCTCTTGTCGGTTCCAGCACTCGATGGTCGTATCCTACTGACAGGGAGTGGTATGCGACTGCCGGGTCCTTTACCGTTGGGCGTCCTGTTACTCTCGCTGGGTCGTAGAGGCGGCAGGTGGGCGGACGGCGAGGTCTCAGATCCAGCCTGGGAGGGCCAATCCTCAGAGAGAGAGTCGAGCCAAGCGGGAGCCATGATCTTCTGACTTTTTCGATCGGGAAAAGGGACGTTGGTGTGTTATAATCTGTCCATCGGGGGATACAGGTTATCGTAGATGTCGTCGCGGTTTGCGGGGTGTTTTGATGCGATTGCAGTCTGTTTACGCGAGCAATTGCGATGCGGAATACGCCCGGATGGAAATGCTCGTCAAAAAAATGCAGATTGGCAAGCTGAACAAAATTCGGGAAACAGTGGTAAGAAAATGCACCGTCACTGCCTTCGCTGCGTGCGGTAAAAGTCCCGTCGTGATGGGTTGCGAAGTAAAGGTAAGACGTATTGTTCGTGGGGAACGCGGTCGAGCGATCGCGTTTCGTTTGGGGCGGCGTTATGTCAATCCCCAAGGGTCAGCTATCCCAGAATAAACAATTGAATAATAAATTAGCGTGCTTTTGTTCTAGCCCAATGTTATGCCTGTGCCTGCGTCTGTGTGGCGGGAAAAAAAGCGTTGCTGAGCCAACCACCACGACACCAAATTCCCCGATCGCTCGATGACGCTATTGTTCTATCGGGTCGTGGGGGCAGATCCTTTTACTCGCATGTATCTTATGCGATAAGCTCCTCTCACACTAACGGGGCCTTGGCTGTTCTAGCCGCACAGGCGCAAGCGGGGAAATGAAAAAACCACTTAGACGCGGACGCACGTGCAGGCGCGCTTCATCGCGTCGTCTGGTGAACGTCAAAGACCCGCTCTTCTAACCGATCCCCACTTTGTCCGCTTTTGGATGGCCTGAGATTGTTTGTAGGTGTTGGAGGCTGGAGATAGACCTCACTTTTCCAACCACAGTCCGCATTCCGGAACACCGCCCGGCGCCGATGCGACCGCGCTGCCCACCGGACCGCTCGTTTTCACCCCGATCCGCATCGAAGCCGATGAACAGCAACTGCCCATTTGACGATGTCGTTTGTCGAAGGCTGGCAGGCCGAGCACTATATGGCCGACGGCCCATTCTGCGACTCGACCCCCCATGGTGCCGAGATTCTTGAGCCTGGTTCCGACGATGAACATTACGACGACCCCGAAGAAAGACGCCGCCGAATCGATGCCGCCGCTCATAGATATCTTTCAGGCTACGCTCCAGTTCTGCTGACAGCAGTGCTCAAGGGACCTTTCGAAGGGCCAGGTGCAAACGGATGGGTCAACCCATGGTCGAAGTCGAAGAGAGGACCGGCGCCAGAAGCCACTGCTCCCGCTGCGGTGGAGGCTACCACGAAGACCACGATAAACGTCGAGCCAGCCGAAACAGATGTATCTGACGCCGAAAGCAGGACATCTTGCCCTTTACCAAGCCCACAAAGTCTGGACCAGGCCGGGGCAACTCCCAACGCGCTGCCCGTGGGAGAGCAGAACCTAGAAAGAGTACAAGCATGGAGGAATGGGGCGGGATTGGTAGCCCAAGTTGACGATGAACCCACCTGGTCTTTTGCAAGCGACATTTCACTGTCTCAATCTCAATCTCAGAGAAAACGCCGCGTGACGGGATCAGACTGGCTTATGCGAAAGGAGGTCAAGCGTCTAAAATCTGCATGGGAGGACGACATTGAGGTCTCATCAGCTGTCAACCAGTCTCACAACCAACGGCTTACTCGCGGTCAATTATCCTCGCAACGGGAGATGAAGCAGGAGAATACGATCGAGGAAAGCTTTCAAAGCACCCCAATCACTCAAAGACAAACACGCTCTTCGCAAAGAAGCTCGCAACGTATTTCCAACTCCACGCCACGAAAGAAGTCGCCAGAAACCCCTACCAAACCTGCCCAAGTGCCGGAAGAGCAAAGTTCCGCGCCTCTTAGTACGCCTGTACAAACGCCTCCATCTGCCGTCAAGACGAGGGTCACGCCGAGGACAATCGCAACAGAACAGAAGAATGACGCGAGGGCAGCTGATATCAGCACAGGCAAATCTCGCAAAAATGCAAAAGCCAGGGTCGAGTTCGAAACACAAGAAGACGAGAGTTTTCTTTTCCGCGCAAGACCCAGAAGTCGCGGCTCCAAGGCGGCTGCGGTTGATGTGACTGACAACGACCAAATGGAGACGTCTTCGTCGTCTGGTTTGGTTTCGAGTGATGAGTCGGAATCAGACCGAGATGAAGAGGCTATGGACCTTGATGGTGATACTTTTATGGCCGACGAAACAAAAGTTACCTCGCCGGAGTCGAGTGCGGAGCCCGAGAACCAGAAGGACACAGTCCAAGCCATCACCAAGCCGGAAAAGGGAATCACATTGCAAAATGCTGCGGATATGCCTGCGGTTCCCAACGGCGACTCTGAAACTCCTGGGCACGACAAGGTCCCGAACGAAGCAGATGTCGCAAGTAATCAACACCATCAGGACGAAACGACTGAGGAGGAATCGGTATCGGCTAGTCAGGAACGGACGATTGTCGTACAACCTGCGTCTCCAGAGAAGAAGTCTCAAAGGCCCTCGGAGAACCACCGGTCTTCTCCCCATGTCGAGTCTGCTCCACCTGCCAAGTCTTCTACTCCTGTTGCTCCTCATGGCAATCAATACAAAGCCAACCAGTCGAGAAAGGTGTCGATGAGCCAACAGCAACGCCTGCTTAATAGCCTCGCGCAGATAGCGTCCCCGCAGAGCCCATGGTCGAAGGATTTGCTTTTCACCAGCAACTCTTACCCTGCTAGTCAGACCTCATGGGTTAGAAACCGAGATCGGGCGCCAGAGACGCCCGTGACTCAACAGAGATACCAGTTGGAGACGCCTGACATTCCGGACTACAGCTTTCGAGCAACGCCGGTGTCTTCGCAAACGCCTGGGCCGGCGAGCCGATACACGAATGAGACGGTACAAGCATGCGGTTCAAATCATCGCGGCACGCCACTCGGGACCCAACGCGGGGAGGTCGTCAGTCAACAGGAAAGTCCGGCAGTCCCAGCCTCGCAGCAAAGTCCTTGGAAGGCTGATTTGCCATCGATACCCCCGCTACGTCCGTCAGGAGATATCCAGGAGGCTAGTCAGAACACTTTGGTAGACCCCGGTTACCAGAGCCCATGGACTGCAACCCCTGAGAATCTCCGTCTAGCTGCAAAAGCAGCGTTGGTGTCCAAACAATTCAAAGAACCCAAACCAATGTCACCAACCCCAGTTGCGTCGTCTACCGAGCCGAGCATTCCCAAGACCGATCCGCCGGCTATTAAAGAGGCGCCACCTCCCGTTGACGCAACGCCCAGGCCCTTGACCCCAGAGCCGGTTCTCGAGATCAAAAAGTTCGCAAACTTCATGTCGCCCTCCCCTGAGAGACCCAAGCGGAAGTCGGCCCATGTTCGGTTCAGCGGCGGTCACCTCCCCAGCACGCAAAATCTGCTCGCAGCCACCACTGACAACCCCTGGGACGCACCCCAGAGACCGGTCAAACGCGTAACATGGGCCCCGGAGGTCAAGGGCGGCGAGGACCTTGACGGCGACGAACCCGCGACGCCCGTGGTGACCAGGGCAGCCTCTCCGCCGCCAGACCTGGCAGTAGCCGACCTCCCGACTGATGACAAGGATAAGTTCCACGATCACTTCCAGGCCGTCTCGCGCAGGACAAAGATCACTCATAGGCTTCTCCCGTCCGCATCTCAACAATTTCTTGAGAGCCCGGAGCCGATGGCAATGGCGGAAGCCTTTGTCAACGCGGACTCCTTCGGACCGAGGACACCCAAAGCACCTGAGGCACTCATGGTCGCCAACGATACTCCCCTGTCAGCAGAGCAAGAATCGCAGCAGACGGTTGACGACGTGGACGAAGTGTTGCTCAATCTTAACGAGTTCATCAACATGGTCGACGTCGAGGCTGATCTCGCACGTGCCAAAGAAGACGAGAGGAAAGAACGAGAGGAGAAGGAGAAGCAAAAACAGCAAAAGACGAACTGGAGCAGTGGGCTGTTTGGAAGGCTGTCGTTCAGCGGTCTCATGGATGCCGGGGTGTGGGACTCATGAACCAGTCTTGAGGAACACCGCCGATGGCGGATGACGAGAAGAGCGACGGTGCTGTCATCATTTATTACCATGACTCTCTTCAGTTTCAAAGCGAGGTGTTTGGGGTCATTATGCTGCATGTCCGATGTAGTCACTTGCATAGTTAAAGCACGAATCCAGCTGCTGGCAGAATACATGCTTCGAGTATGGTTTATCCCTAGCATAGTTACGTGAATCCAAAGCTCATTCTGCAGTCGTTCGGCGTGCCGTGGTCAATATCAAGGGGAGGCGGTGATGTGGACGACGGTCCTATTTCATGTCCACCTAACAACACAGGCACATCTGCTTGCCTCGACTGACAAGTTTTGTATTCGCCTTTAATTCTTCCAGCTTCGACAACAGGGCAGACCCGTGCCTTTACTTTCTAGTACGTGTTGGCTCATGTCACCTCAGACCCGAAGGATAGGGCCGAGTTCTAGCTACCTCGGGCACCCCCTTGCCCTCTTGATACCTCGAGGGTACATCTCAAGCGAATAGGACTTTCTATCTTGAGCGAAAAGCTGGCTGTCTCCATTCTCAATCTCGCTGTGGGGCTTGCGTTGGGTATGACAGGCTCAATAAGGGGGCCATCTGAGCTATCGTACCGAGAGAAGCAAGCAATCAAAATTTGCATTAAGCTCCCTCTTTTCTCCCTAGCATTCATTTCTCCGACGTAACACATTGAAATACTTCTCTCTCTCTTTTTTTCTATCTCCCTTTTCTCAGTCGATAATTCTGCTTCATCGCAGCTGCACGATAAAAAGGGCAAAAGGGGTAAAAACAAAAATTAACAATGAGCTGCCGAGGGACTTATGTAGGATCACCCGATTGGAACCCTCGAGCTTGCCGAAACCAGGCATTCTATTCCACCCCTAGACCATCTTCACTACCGGCCGTGCTCATTGTTGAAGAGGACAGGAAGTGAAGCTCGCTATGAAGGGATGGTCTTGGTGTCTTTCTCCTGCCCGGGTGCCTACCGTTCACGCCAAGCACCTTCCCAGAGAAGAAAGCCGTATAAAGTACGTCAAATAGAAAGAGAAGAGAGGGTTTTGAAATCTCGTATTAGAACGTCTGACATACCAGTCGACAGGTCTTGCTTCTATGTAGCCTGATCTACGTCGCGTGGTCATGCCACATGTGGTGTTTTCTGGAAGAAAGGTCGAGGCAGAAGTGTGCAAACAAACCACTGGCTGAGGGAGAGCGTGAAAAGAAGACATTAGGATATTCGTGTATAGTGTATAAGCTAGCAGTGGCAATGAACAAATGATCAATCGAATCGTTCCCTCGTTTTGCAATTGTTCATTTTCTCATTTTCTAAGACCATCAGAGTATAACCCCTTTTGACGACGGAAGGCGGCCAAGCTGCAGACGACTTAGCTGTTCCTCGCATAATGACTACTATCTCATTCAACTCTACCTAGTCTGAACCTGCTCAATCTCACACATATTCAGAATACTATAGTGTCATGCCAGAAGCTCCATACGCAGACGAGGCTGGCAGGGAGAATCTCGTGATCTTGCTAAGCACACGGATTTCTCGCACATTCATATACCGGAACTTCGAGACGACACTTCAAAGATGATCAGCCGACCAGAAAGCCATCGTCGACTTCGCGACCGGACCGTCTACCTCTGTTTATACCGTTCATCTCACACAAGTTCCTACGTTAGGACAGTTATTTCGGTGTCCACGCGGATATGTCGAATATCCCAGAGACAACTGAAAGATGACGAGCAAGTTCATTATAGTTCAGAGCTTGAATCAACCACGGGGAAAGTGCTGGCATGGCCAGTACGACTCATCCCCTACAATACAAACGGAGTATGAAACGTAGTCTTTGATAACGGAGACAAGTTCATGTGCTGCGTGTCCCATCATCCCAAAGCCATCAAAGCGGTTTATCAAGGGATTTACTTGAATTAGACTGCGGCTCTAGCTCCAGTCATTGGAGCTCGCAACATACGGTCCAGGTAGCGGTTATAAAGCCTGGCTTTCCTAACTAGTCCAAGAAAAGCGAATAGCAGCAGAAGCTTGGTTTTCGTAGTTGTGAGGCGGTGGTGGTCAATCACCACCAAACACCTCAATCGAGTACACCGCAATCACACAAGAAGGAGTTCAAATCAGAATGATGGTTTATTGACGTAGTTCTACTCACTTACGGTGTCTATCTTCAAGTCTGTTGCGGAGCTTGCGGTGGGCCCAGGAGAACACCCACGACGACCCATCAACACGATCACGACGAAAACGCATAGGTGGAACATTGAAATGCGGACCAACATGTTGATCACTTCACCGGCGGCACGTACGGAACAGTTCCGTACGCCGTCTCTGATCTGCTGCGAAAGAAAGCCCACTGCTTTCACGTATCGACAACGGTAACACGCATAGCATCACCTGGAACGGTGGCTCCATATGACCTGACGCGAAGCAGTCAATCAACGGGTGAAGGCCGAAACATATCATAGAGACTATTCCTTGGCATGAGTATCAACGTGCTGAGCCGGACGAGACCCGACTGGCCTAGTTGACGTTTACACACGTGGCGCACGACGAAGAGCCCCGATGCTCGACTACGAGACCTTGAACCTTGGAAAGCATATCTGCTTTTTGTCTCGGTCACCTTTCTGAGACAAGTGTCGTTGAGGTAACTCGAGAGATCGAGGGTACGGGTCTTGCGGTGAGGATTCACGTACCTACTTGACAAGGAGTAGGGAGTAGCTCTAGAAAGCCTTGGATTCACATCAAAAAAGCAATTTCGAATAGCACGAACCTGGATCGAGTTACACAGCACATGTAGCTGAGAGCTCCCCGTCACCGACTCAGCTCACGCAACTAGGTCCAAGGATCTCCAGCCCGGAGAGCGGGTTCCTGGGACGTTGTTTTCGAGAACAGGAACGAGGCGGCGGTGTGGATTCCCAGGACGAGGCCACATGGCGGATCCCGGGCTTCTCTTTGGATAGATCCCAAAAAGGTCAATGCAGCCCTGCGCAAGCCCCCAAGTCGAGATCGTCCTGTGTGGAACGAGAGATGGCAAGTCGAGTCTTCGGTTGCCGGCACATGTGGCCGTATTATTGGGATGGAGAGTTCCACGACATGATCATCTCTTCACCGAGGGCATGGGTTCGGCAAATGCCCAATTTGACGTTTTGCGGTGAGGGCAAGGTGTGTCTCCGGGTTTCAGAGCGATCGCCAGGGGCTTGGAGTCCAGGAACGGTGGCGGCACTGAGAGGAATCCGCCAGGCCGGCAGTCCGGGGAAGATGGCATGGATTCCGGCAGAGCCTCAGGACGAGCTGTCTGGGTTGTGTCGCGCAACCTGTGATCCTGGTTCGTTGTTTGTCTTCCGCTTGCAAAATAGCATGCGGGTGACATTAGGAGGCAGCCCAGGAGTTGAGAAGATGAAGCAAGCGCCGTCTTTCCCTAGTTCAAAGCTAGACAGGCACCCCTACGCTGTCAGAAATACAAGCCTATGGCAGCGCAGAGGAAAGGTCATAACGGGAGATGAGCCGGGCCGGGGCATGCGATAACTCCTAAGGGCGGTTCCTGTATTGAACGACCGGAAGAGGACAGAAGCACACCATATTGTCGGATGACAGATCAGAATAGTTGAGCCGTCATCGCGGCTGTCCTGCAGGTAGATGCCGTGCCCAGTCCACTTGCACCCAAGACCAAGATTCGCGCGGATCACGGCGACTGAGCACACGGCATGCTGTACGGAAGCATGCAAAGCATGACCAGTGTCCTTTGGAAGCCAAGGCAGAAAAAGCAAGATCCGCGAGGGGCCGGTAGAATTGAGTAAGTTTTGCTGGTCTGCGATAGATGATAAGATCGAGTAAGACGTGACTGGGTGGGAGTTGAAGATGGACGTCGTCTGTCGGTTGGGCCGCTCGGAGGAGGGCACGTTGCTGGATGATTGGTGGCGACGGACCCCTTGCGGTTTTGACAACCGAGTTGAGCAAGGGCCTTGGCGCAAGCTTGTTGCTCCCGAGTCCCAGAGTTGGAGATACGGACAGACGGGACATGGAACCTCTCGGGCTTCTGCACAAAGATTAGCATCTAGAATAGATGATATGAGACGTGTCAGAAAAGGGAGTTGCGCCTGGCTTAGACCGTGGATAAACGCTTCGTCCCGTCTTCGACTACCTTTGGCGGGGAAACTATTCCGTTAGACCAACAAAGCAAGGAGGGAGGGTGTTGACTCGAGGCGAGCGACGGGGGGTCTGGGGGGGATGTGAACCTTGCTGATTCGATCCAGGGTTGATGAGATTAGAAGAGGAGACGAGTAGGTCCGACGGGGCCGGTTGCGGCCTCGTTCTCAGCGTTGACCGGTCTTGGTCTTGGTGACGACGAGCTTTGTGTGATTCGGTGATCTGACGCTGTGGAACAATTGCGACAGTCGTAGCGAAACCGGGTTCGACGATTATGACGAAGACACCTGGATGGCCAGCAAAGCAACGACAACGTGTTGATAAGGCGGTCATGCGAGCTTGTCAAACCGTCGTCTCTGCTGTTGTCTAATCGTGACAATTGGCATTGCATGGCTGCTTGTCAGGTCGTTTGCCTGCTTGCTTAACATGGCCCAAAGATGGTACCATCCGTCATCCAAAAAGGACGAATGAATAGACGGTCTGGAGAGAGGGTGTGTAGCACCGGCCGGCACGGTTCTCGGAGGATGTGTAGTTGGCATATTTGGGAGCTCACCGGCTAGCGACTAGTCGTAGGGTTGGCCCGCACCGACGCCGCGGCGCGTTTCTTGGAGAGACATCAGGGGGTCGGACAAGAAGGACGGTCAAGAAGATGGCGGATAGGATATGATCCCGAGCGGTCTTGTCCTGGTTGGATAGACGAATGACAAGCGGCGACCAAGAAGTCGGCATTTGTTGTGGTTGTGATCATTCGCCATCGTTTTCGTGTTTGGTAGCTGATATTTCGCCATGAACTTCTCATCTGATACATGACATTCCAGCAGACAAGACATGGGTAATGAAGGCTCTTGGGACGAGCCTGTAAAATCGATAGAACGGATAACGCGCTCCCAGAAGGGTTTCGGGATCAACGGGCGAACGCTTTGTCGCGTCGGTAAGAGACATTGCTGGAATGGAATGTTTGGTTGTGTCCGTTTGGACATTTCGGGGTCTGAGTTGCTGGTATCCGTACGGAGAGACCGTAGCTGTCTGCAGCTGGGAGACCGCGGAAGGGAAGGGCAACTCCCCGCCGCAGCGCAGTGACGATGCTTACATCATGGCGGAAAGCATGCGTAACCCAAAGTCCCGGCGAGGAGCGCACAGGAGGCCAAGGAACCGGTGCTTCGTGTACTTCGTACGGAGCCACAAGGCTTGGAGCCAAGGCCCAGGATGGTGATGATCTGGGGTTGTCCATTAGGTAATGTCGTGCCTCGTGACTGGAGATATCGCTGTGGATTGTATGTATGCGGACGGCACACAGAACTCATGACGAGCACGATGCAAGAAGGTGAAGGTCAGCCGGATGAGATTCCGATTCCCAATGGCTGAGGCTGGCGTATCCACAGACTATCGGTAGCTACTGCAGCAAGTAGAGTTTTTGGAGAGGTTCCAGGCCGGGGGTTCTCCAACGGTTTGGCCCAAAGAAAGTGAAGCAAGACGGATCTCAATTGACGACGTCCCCGTCCCCGTCCCCAACAGCCAAGGCGCTGCCGCTGCCGCTGTGTCGACCGAAAAGATTCCAGGCTAGGACGGCCCTGACATTGGCGAATGAACCGGCGTTCAGGACAACTGGACTGGGTCGATGGGGAGGCTCCGGGAGCCAAGTTGGCAGTCCCGTGGGCGGCGTGAGACGGCTCAAGCGGGGTTTGGACGAAAGGGCTGCTGGGTTGATACTGGCAGGACCGGGGTTGCGCAGGGGCGCCCGCAGCTATGGAAACGAGGGAGACGGGGGCCGTCCATGTTGGATACTGTCCATCGACTGCGTAGGCGCAGAGGATCGTGTCTTTTTTGAACGTGCGTGTGGTTATTCGTATCGGTAACCGGGCAGTGCCTGGATGGAAGGATGGAGATGACCGTGGAAACCAGTCCGCAACCTTGAACGCTGTCGCGGATTGATGTCGATGGATTGAGCGGTGGTGACGATGCTGGCTTGATGGTGATGGTGTTGATGGTGATACTTGATAATGTAGGGCCTCAAATTTGGGTTGACCTTCGCGGGCGGCGCTGGCAGACCATTTTTTTCTTTTTTTCTTCTTTTTTTCTCCCCGCTTGGTAACGGAAGGATAGCTCAGTCGACGGAAAGAAAGTACCAACTGGGCGAGAAAAACAGGAAACGTCAACTGCACAGATGGTGATGGTTGACCGGCAGACCGATGGAGCGTCGTGGTGTTCCTTCCTGAGTTCCAGCATTTGTTTTCTCCCCGCCAGATGCCACTACTTCCCACACGTGGCAGCAACTGATATGGATGTATCTACGCACCCCATAACCGAGGGAGAGTACTTCAATCTGTCGCTACTTATCCTCGGTACATGCTTCACCGGCTATCAACCCCTCACTTGGAAGTACCTCTCACTTAGCTTCTCATGTCTCCATCATCGATATGGGCGTCCATCAGGCCCATCAGTATCCCTGTCTCATTACGCTCACCCTCCACTCAAGGCGCGCCGCCTGTGGGATTTGGGATGAGAAGAAGTCTCCTTTTTCGGGCAGGAGGTAGTCTTATCTATGAATTTGGCGTATGAGCTACCTTACCTTCTCCCGATATGAGATTGAGTGAAGCAATCAACTGTAGATTTACCCCTCACTAACCCTTCTTATCTCGACATCTGTCTTTCATATGATGCCCGACAATTGGAATCACCACTATCAGCCTCGAGGATTCAGCACGTTCTATCAACTCTCATCAGCAGCTGCAATCTACGGATAGCGTCCCACAGTCACCGCCTGAACCCACCTCACCTCACCTCACCTCGCACTCACACAGGCACAGGCACAGACAGACTGGAGATTCGCATCGCAGCGCATTGCATTCTTCCATTTCCTTCCATACACGCCCTCTGCGAACGAACATTGGGGTACTTCTCACTCCCACCTCATCTTAGAGAGACACCTCCTACAGAGTACAGGCACACAAACACTGGAACCGAGCCTAACCTAAACTAAACTCAGGGCACTCAGTCGCTTGCTGCTGTCGCCGTCACACACACCTCACCACACACACACACACTCTCTCTCTCTCTCTCAATCAACTCACTCACCCACTCACTCACTCACACCTTTCACCCGCCCTAAGGCCGCCCGCCCACTTTCTCTTTCCTCCACGTCCATTTCCGCACCCCAGCGGGCCTTAACCTAAGCCTGGTGGGCATTGGCCATTTGCTACCTACCTACCGCTATTCTTCCATTGCTGTGACGTTTCTTTTCGCCATTCTCACCTCCCACACTTCATCCCCTTCCGCACCGCCGCGCCGCTCTCTATCCCTACGATTCCCCTTTTTCCGCCCCAAATCAACCGGCGACCAATCCTCCATCACGAACCGAGCACTGCCAGATGTTTTCCTCATGTCCAGCCCGCCTCGAAACTCCGAAAATGCCGCACCCGCGACCCTGGTGAGCCCCGCGCATTCGTCGTCTTCTCCAAGTTCCGCCCCCGAACACAGAGACACCATCGACACCCTCACCTCCAGCACGACTCCCAGTCCTGGTCCCGGTCAACCCAACCCTGCTCCTGCTCCTGCTCCTGCTACTCCTCCTCTCCCCGCTGCCGCCGCCGATCCTCAAGCTGGCGCTGCTGCTGCTGATGTTCCTACAGCCGCCGTCGTTGCCGCTGCCGCCCAACCTGAACAACAACATCAACATCCCTCGCCTCTAGATCCAGCTCAAGCGCCTCAATCTCAAAACACACCCCCAGCCCAACCTGCACCTGCAGCTTCGGCTCCACCCCCTGCCACGGCCGCTGTCACCCAGCCCTCGCCCTCGCAGGATGTCTCGAGCCATGTCGACCCGAATATTAAAAAGCCCCGAGCCCCTGCTGCCCTCCCGAGGCAGTCCGGTCCGTCCTTGCTAACCCAAGCCCTTGCCTCTGCCCGTGGCATTCCTTCGAGAACACACTCTCACAACGACCAACCCTCGTCTCAACTATCTACTCGCTCGCTGCCTTCGCCCACAATCGACTCCCTCCCTTCCAACTCTGCCTCCGCTGCTGGCCTGGATTCCCTCGCCCTCGACCCTCGAAATGCTCCCTCCCACCCTGGCCATGGAGCTTCAGTAGCCCCGAGAAGCGCCCCTCAACCTGGCTTCATACCCCCTGCCGCCACTGCTACCACCGCCGCCGCCACTATCAACACCTCCGACCTCGAAGAACCTACTGCCGCCGCCGATATGGAGATCATGACCTCGCCAACCTACGACATGGCCAGCTTTCAGGGTATAAGGGCAATGTTGCTGGACCATCGGGACTTTCTCAGGAGCACTCGATCACGGGGCCGCGGGACGTCTTTGGAGCGGGTAGACAGCCAGTCCAAGGTACAGGACGGTCTGCGGAAAAACCGAGCACATTCGCACTCCACCAGCCCGGAAGGCTCTCTCGCCTCTTCTGTTGCGCAGCTCGACCAACGCTTGCGTGAGAACGTCGACACCGACACCGACACCGACGTACGACCCAAGAAGCTTGAGCAGCGGTTTTCCATGGGACCCGAGAAGATATGGTCTATCGGATCGAGCGAGGCCGTCGATGGTCAGGAGGACGGTCAAGTCGAGAAGTCGGTTCACGAAGCCATGATTGGTGCCGAACCCAATGCTCGCAGTCGCAAGGCGAGCTACAGTTTACGATTCTTCAGAGAAGGCCTGCCCAAAGACGACAAGTCGCGTCGGAAGGAGTCGCGCCAGATACACCCCCGAGAAAAGATTTCGCCGGGCCAGGAGGCCCCGGCTATCCTCTCGGCCGACATTGCCATTGAAGATTTCGCTGCTAAATCGGTCAGCACGAACCCTACGCCCTCGCCTCGGATCCTCGACAAGAAGGACTGGCTGCCCAAGCAACTGGAGAGGGTCAAGACTTATCCTCTGCAGTCACCACAGGCAGGCGAGACCCCCATTCTTACCGACTCGCCCACTCAGGATTACTTTGGGCTGAGGAAGGTCAATGGCGACATCTTTCACAAGGTTGACTCCGACGGTGCCGTGCAGGCTGCCTCGAAGGACACCAAACCTGAAGATCAGGCATCTCCCACTGCCACTGATGAGTCCCGGTTGGCCGAAATCCGTCGTCCATCTGACAGCAGCGAGCACGGTGAGAGTCACGAGGAGGGAGACGAATCCAGCGAGGAGAAAATCTCCTCCGCGGTCTTTGTACCGCACCCCGGCCTGGAGGAAGCTGCCGAACGCGAACGAGACGTAATCAAGCCTAAAACACCTGGTAATCGTACTGCCTCTAGAGCTGAAGACTTTCACCCTTGGCTGGTGAAAGCCGACGAACCTGAGCCCGAAGAAGAGCCTTCCCCAGACCAACCCCCCGACACGCCATCCCACAAATCCAAGCCCAAGCGGCTGCCTGGCGCTCCAAACGTGGCACTGCGCGAGGTTCAACCTGGCAACGTGGAGGACTTTGCGGTCGACGACGAGCCCGAGCCGCCAACGCCCAAGCAATTGCCGACGTACTTCGAAGACCACGCTCATCATCACACTGCGGACGAGAAGGAGCCTCTTGAGGCCATCGAGCTGATTCCTTACAAACATCAAGTTGGCGGTCATACGACACTTTGGCGCTTTTCCAAGAGGGCCGTTTGCAAACAGCTTAATAACAGAGAGAACGAGTTCTACGAGAATGTCGAACAGCATCATCGTGACTTGCTGACCTTCTTACCTCGGTAAGACCTGCGTGCTAACTCATGTCACTTCTGGGCCGTTGCTAACAACTGCAGTTATATCGGTGTTCTGAACGTGACCTTTCACAAACAGCCTAGGCGCAAGTCCACCCACAAGAGGGAGGATGTAGGCCTGTTGGAGCGCAAGCCCACCGGAGACATTGGTGCCACAGTCGCGGCCGACCAGTCCAAGTCCAACGGCTCTAATGGCTCGGTCTCAGCCAACTCCAACAGCGCCCCTCAGAGCAACTTGGAGCATCGCAGGATTATCAGTCAGTCACTCGCCTCGACACCTGTTCCGATTCCCACAGTTACATTCGACGACAACTGGCACATCCTGCCGCGGAATCTATTCCAACCCACTCCACCCCCAACGACAATGCCTACCAGGGGCCGTAGTACATCATCGTCCGGTCTGCCTGATAACCCCGAGCAGAGCAAGATGGCATCGCCGACAAGACCAAGCTTGGACGACCGCCATGCCAACAGCTGGGGAGCCACGACGGTCAACAAGCGTCTGCGTAACGAGGTTTTCAACGACGCCTTTCTCAAGCAGCCAATTCCAATTCACAAGCACCGACGCCCGCACCAGAAGTCCATGGCCTTCCGAAAGCAGCAGACCTTGAGACCCGCCAGTTCTGTCCCGGATTTGGTTCGTAGGCAGGAGCCTGTTGCATCCGAGAGTCACGTACCCCAATACTCCAGTCCGCTGCGACCCAGTAGCTCATCACCTCCAACCACAAGCATGACTATTGAGCGTCCCGGACCGGCGGAGCCCATGGAGGCCGAAGACAGCGACGTCAAAGACGTCACGGGAACGAGTGCGCCGGAGCCAGAAACATTGGCGGACAAGGTCATTGCTCAGAAAAAGAAGCGACGTTACTCTGGAACCGGTCTTCGCCGAAAGCCACGGACTGTCACGGAGTCTAGAGGAAACCTGAAGTACTGGGAAGAGGCAGACGACGCGGGTTACAGGGGTGGAGACGAAGGACAATCAGGATCCGCCTCCCAAGTCAATTCGCCCATGATTGAGCCACCGACGCCGAACGGTGCAAATTCGAACGGACCTGCCGAAGAGTTGAACCTCCCTGCAGCTGCGGAAGCGACGCAGCCCGAGCTTGCGCGGGTGGCGGAGCACTCGACATATGCTTCGACCGCGCCGTCCGAGGTTCCCAGTCCGACCCAGGAGTTCCGCAAGATTCCGCGGCCTGTCAACCCGAAAGAAGCACAGACCCAGCGAAACTCTCGCGTGGAATATTTCCTCCTATTGGAGGACCTGACTGCGGGCATGAAACGGCCTTGCATCATGGATCTGAAGATGGGAACCAGGCAATACGGCGTTGAAGCCACGCCGAAGAAGAAGAAGTCACAGCAGGGCAAGTGTGCCAAGACGACCTCACGCGAGCTCGGCGTGCGTGTCTGCGGACTGCAGGTCTGGGACGTCAAGAGCCAGAGTTACGTGTTTAAGGACAAATACTTCGGTCGCGACCTGAAGGCTGGACAGGAGTTCCAGGATGCGCTGACGCGGTTCCTGTACGACGGTGTGGACTATTCCAGCATCCTGCGCCACATTCCCACGATCTTGCACAAGCTCGACAAGCTCGAGTCTATTGTTCGAAAGCTGGACGGTTACCGTTTTTACGCCGCCAGCCTCCTTATGTTCTACGATGGCGACACGACTGAGGGGAATGAATACGACACGGTCGTCGACGACTCGACCACTGACATTGCAACCGACACGGAGGAGACGTCGGCTTTGCGTGAGAAGCGGAAACGGAAGAACAAGCGCGAGATTGACTTCAAGATCGCCGACTTTGCCAACAGCCTCACCAAGGGCGATTTGGCAGAGGGTAAACCGTGTCCGCCTCAGCACCCCAACGAGCCGGATCGCGGTTTTCTGCGGGGTTTGCGTACGTTGAGGAAGTACTTCCTCAAAATCCAGAGAGACATCCGGGCCGACATGGGTCTGGATTCCATGGGACGAAACAGCAGAATGGACGTTGACATTGACGTCGACCTCGATCATATCTCGGACGAGGAGGGCGAAGTCAGCGAATAGGTGAACAGAGTGCGTGTCTTCTTTCATGTTGATAATTTGGGAATTTTGTCGTCTGGATTGGGGAAACTCATGGTGGGCGCGGATGAATGATTTGGCGGAGTCAGGAACGGCATTTCGACAACATACCCGGCATAGGTTTGGCGTCACATTACAGATTTTTCAAGGCAACTGATATTTCTTCTTCGCCCTCGTTGAAATGCTCCCTTTGATGCCGCTGGGACGTCGTTGAAGTTTTTGATGTCACCGAGACATTGTTGAAGTTTTTGCTGCGGCGGCCGTCATGCGCTATGCAACTCTCATTAGCACGGGTGATTAGAATGGTAGCCGCATTGGCAGAATATCTCGGAAGTGCACGGCTCGCGTTGGTTGGAATTGAGGATGTATTTTTGTAGAGGAGGTAAAGAAAAAATTGATTCTAGAATTACCACAGTCCCTAATCTCGTGCTATCTGAACCAAGTGTATCGGGCCGTCAGCCTTCAACATTCGTGACAATCGCCATCAGGAATAGCCGTTCACTAGAACCTACCTTCCGTCACACAATCACATATGAACTGCGTTGTTCCGGAGCCCCGTGCAACACGCCTATCTTCATCCTCGAGATGCATTGGTGTTTGGATCCTCTCACCGTGCCGGGACCCGAGAGATGCGTCACCGCCCATCCACCGGCTCAGTTATGTAAGCCGGGCACGACAGAACTATATGTCTGCAACACCTACCTTCCCTACCTACCTTTCTCACTCGCCTTATCTTTCATCTCATCTTTTGATGAACTGGACCAATGCGTCTGGATCCCCAATAATCACGGGAGAATAATAGCAGCAGTAATATCGACCAGCCGTGAAACGTCCCGGCCACCATGGGCTCCATCCTCTCGGCCCTCCGCTCCGCGAGCAAGGGCGTCGCCGCCGTCGCGAAGCTCCTCATGGACCTGAACAGGCAATACCAGGCCCTCCTCGTCCGCGTCAACGCCCCGCCGGGGCTGCCCTACGACAAGCCGAGCGCGCCCTACTGGCTCGACGACCCGCCGTTCCCGGAGCTCGTGGACGCCCGGTCGGACGCGCTGCCGGGCGAGGCGGACGTTGTCGTCATCGGCAGCGGCATCACCGCCGTCGCGGTCGTCAGGAGTCTGTACGCCGCTGCTTCTGCTACGGGGCCGAAGCCGAGGGTCGTGGTGCTGGAGGCGCGGCAGCTCTGCTCCGGGGCCACGGGGCGGAATGGAGGGCACGTCAAGGCTAGTCCGCACGAGCTGTTCCCGCGGCTTGCGAAGGTGTTTGGGAAGGAGAGGGGGGCGGAGCTGACGCGGTTTACGTTGAGGACCGCGGAGGCCGTTTTGGAGGTCGGGGAGGGGCGGGAGGGGGCGGAGTGTCGGAGGGTCGAGACTGTTGATTTCTTCATGGACGCGGACGGGTTCGAGGCCGCGAAGAAGGAGGTCGAGGAGCTGAAGAGATGGGTCCCCGAGGTCGAGATCCGGGTTGTCGGGAGGGAGGACGCGAGGGAGGAGTTCGAGGTCGAGGGGGACCACTGCTTCGGGGCGCTCGCGTACGCGGCGGGCGCGCTGTGGCCGTACCGGCTGGTCGCGAGTTGCTGGCGGGAGGTCCTGGACCAGGTCGGGGAGAAGAGGCTGAGCATCGAGACCTCGACGGCCGTGGAGGAGGTTCTGCTGGAGGGCGGCAGGGAGGAGAGGAGGCCGTACGTGGTGCGGACGCGGAGGGGGGACGTCAGGGCGCGGCACGTCGTGCACGCGACCAACGCGCACGCGTCGCAGTTTCTGCCGGGGCTTAGGAGCAAGATGACGGGGGCCAAGGCGCACATGACGGCGCAGCGGCCCGGGGAGGGGTTCGCCGCGGGGCGGGGGGACGGGGCGCGGTCGTGGAGCTTCCTGTACGGGGGCGGGATGTTCGACTACGTGACGCAGAGGCCGAACGGGGACGTGATGCTGGGAGGAGGCTTCGCGAGGAGTCCCGGGCAGGGGGCCGACATGGTCGGGGTGTATGAGGACGGGAGCACCGAGGGGATGACGATTGCGCACGTGGCCGGGGTGATGGGGAGTGTGTTTGGTGCGAGGTGGGGTGGGAGTTTGATGAGGGCATGGAGCGGTGTGATCGCCTTCACGGGAGATATGGCGCCGTTTGTGGGTAGGGTTCCGGAGGGGATTTCTAGGAGGAAGAGGGCGGCTGCGGGAGGGAAGATGAAGACGAAGGAGAAGGCGAAGGAGGTTGATGATGAAGGGTGGATGGGAGCTGAGGCTGGCGAGTGGGTTAGTGCCGGGTATTGTGGTGATGGTATGGTTTGGGCTTGGGGTTGCGGGACGGCGGTTGGGGTCATGATATCTGGGAAGGAAGGGGATGTTCTTGAGAAAAGTGTCGGGTTTCCTGGGGGCCGGTTGCAGGAGTGGTTTCCGCAGGACCTGGTCATCACGGAGGCCAGAGTCAAGAAGGCTGATTTGAGTAACTTGCTGGATGAGTTGATGTAGAAGATGGATCATGAGCGTTGTCTCTAGAGTTTACAGGAGCGATTGGAATACGCCATTCGATGGAGATTATTCAAGTGCTTGATGGCTATGAGGTTGAAATGTGGAAAGACGACGTTGCCTAGAACTCACAAGAGATTACGAGAAGTTATCACCATGAGAAGCGTGGGCAGTTGTGGTGGCGGGGTTGCCATGGTGGAAAATGCTATGAATATCGACTTCGTTTCTGTTTATGAGTTTTCACCAGGGGCCCTTCGTCTTCACAATGGTCGTTTTTCACGAGGTCACACAGTAAAACCGGGATATTGGCATCAGCATGACCAGATCTGAACATAATGATTCAATTCAAAAACATCCATGCCTAGGTAGGGTCTCATCTTCTCACCGCTAAATCACAAACTCAGCTCAATTCAATGGAAACCGGGATATAGGCCGTAGAGACTCAAATGCAAGAATTGAATCTGTGAATTTCAGCTGCAGTAACATAGCCTGGTTCAACTAACAGCCTACGCCAGCCCTGTGCTTGTATTGTCTTGGTCATGGATAGAATCTCTGACCAATTGAGTTGCTAAACATGTTCAAAACCAGACAGAAGGAGTTGACGGATACCTACGTGCTATTCGTATCCAGATGAAGACTCCAGTTAAAAAGGGAAAAAAGCCTATCATCTAGATACAGAATGTAAACATACATGGAAGTTCTGCTGCTATGAAGTCAATAAAACCTTTCTTTAGCTGGGTATGTGAGAAGTGTATGGAGGCATGAGACACTTTGATGAAAGTGAGAAAGTACGCGGCATTCCTCCCGTCTCACTCATTATTTGGGATGGTATCATGCAATGTTAAATCTCCAGGCATTTCATGAGAAATTCAACAAAAAGACTGTTTTTCTCTCACTTATCCAGTGTTGTCCAGTCAATCCGCATGCCTCTTCCTCGAATTCCCCTAACCCACGCAATGAAAATAAGGTGAGGATGAAGAAGATCGACGATACCCGCTGCAAGCATCCCTTACAAGGGCACCTAAGCGGCCCTCAGCGGGCGGCCCCCTCACGCGCAAGGGTCCAGTGTCTGCACGGGGCGACCGCGTATCTCCCTGCCCTTCCCGTCGGTTTAGTCAACTTTCCAGCGCAGCGCAGCGCAGCGCAACAACCATCGTGGAGCTCCTCCTCCTCGTTGCTGCTGCTGCTGCTGCGGGGTAGCTGCGATGACGTCCCAGTAAGCTCTCGCCAATGGCGACCTCGTCCACCTCCCCCCAAAGCGCAGGTCACCCGATTGTGGTCCCGGCCTTTGAATCACCTCACTCCGGCGGGTCCAACAAGTTATTCCTCGACGCTTTTCAAATCCCTAGTGCCCGCGGGGAAAATAACACCTCGTCCCCTCTGATCCGTGTCTATCGCGCCCTTTACGACACTTTATCAACAGCAGACCTCGCAGACCTTTGAGACCCTGCAGATCTAGTCAATTCACACAAACCATCTCCAGCTTCAATCCCCAAGGAACCACCACCAAGATGCCTCCGATCCGCCTCGCGACAGCCTCCCCCTCGACGGCCCCCACCACCCCGCAAACCCTCTCCCAGATCGCCGCCCTCGCCCGCCGCGCCCGCTCTCACGGCGCCGACCTCCTCCTCCTCCCCGAGGCCTTCATCGGCGGCTACCCCCGCGGCGCCGACTTCGGCTGCAAGATCGGCTCCCGCCTGCCCTCGGGCCGCGACGACTACCTCGACTACTTCGCCAAGGCCGTCGACCTCGGCGACAACGTCGGCGACGGCGGCGCCGGCGCCGGCGACAGGTGGGTCCGCAGGGAGCTGCCCGCGCAGTTCGCCGACGAGAAGGGGTACACCCGCGGCGACGGCAGCCGCGAGGAGCTCGAGCGCATCGCCGCCGAGACGGGCGTGTTCGTCGTCGTGGGGTGCATCGAGAAGGCCGGGGGCAGTCTGTACTGCTCCGTCGTCTACGTGTGTCCCAAGCTGGGCATGGTCGGGAAGCGACGCAAAGTGATGCCCGTAAGTTCTTCTTCTTCCTTTTTCCATCACTCTCCATCAGGACTGAGACATTGAACCCGCAGACGGCCACGGAACGCCTGGTCTGGGCCCAGGGATCCCCCTCGACCCTCAAGGCCGTGTCGACCGTGATCAAGGGCGTGCGCGTCAACCTCGCCGCCGCCATCTGCTGGGAGAACTACATGCCCCTCCTCCGCCAGGCCCTCTACGCGCAGAACGTGAACCTGTACCTCGCCCCGACCGCCGACGGCCGCGACACGTGGCTGCCCCTGATGCGCACCGTCGCCTGCGAGGGGCGCTGCTTCGTCGTGTCGTCCAACATGGCCGTGAGGCCCGACGGCTCGTCGTCTTCTTCCGCGGTAGCGGACGGCGACGAAGCGGAAAAGGGAGACGCGGACGTGTACGCGCCGCGCGCGAGGCGGAACTCGTGTCTGACCGAGGAGGGATTCGAGATCGCGTTGCCCGAGGGCAAGGGAAGCAGCGCGGGAACGACGACGACGACGTCGTCGACGAGCCCGCAGAGGAAGAGGAGGAAGAGCGTGATTGTGGAGGACGGCAACGAGATCGTGTTGTGCTGCGACGACGACGAGCCGCCGACGACCAACGGCGTCAAGACGAACGGGACGGCCAAGAGCGCGAGCGCCGCCAAGAGTGCTTCGAAGCTGCGGTCTGAGGACTGGATCTCCCGCGGGGGTTCGTGCATCGTCGGGCCGTACGGCGACGTGCTTGCCGGTCCGCAGTGGGAGGATGACGAGAGTCTGATCTACTCTGACGTCGACTTTGAGGATTGCATCCGCGGTCGTCTTGATATTGACACCGCGGGCAGCTACTCGCGGAACGATTCGTTCAAGTTCTCCGTCGAGGGGCTGGACCTGGACCCGTTGCCGTACTAAGAACGGGCTGATTTGGCATTGTTGGGTAAAATATTGCACTGCATGTGTCTGGGTAAGCCTTGTGGAAGCCGTCTCATGTAACAGCCTGAAAAGTACAGATTGGTTGACTCATAATGCATGTGTTCCATTGATGCTTGTCTTCACAGCTGGGCCGGCTTCGTATGAGCCCTGGCCCCCATGATGGTGATATATCCATGATTCCCCTCCCTAGTCCTGATATCCCATCCCACCGATTCCTCCCAATAATGCCTGCCCGTTCCCAACCCAATTTCATTAGTGCAAGAATTTGTTCGTCAAATGGCGATCCATCACATCGCCTCATCGCTCCTCGTCATCCTTCGTTCGACTCGTGCCCTCTCCTCGATCATCGGTATCGTCAATCTCTGATGCTTCCCGCGGGCTCGTCAACGGGCTGGTTACTCCGCCGATGCTCCCGCTGATGCTGTCAGCCCGGCCGTGGCCCAGCAGTCCGCTCCGAACGCTCGCTCCGTCGCCGGTGCCGCTCTGCTTCGCATAAAAGCTGTTGCGCTCTCCGGGCATGGCCGGGGCCACGCCGGTTGCCGAGTATATGCTGGTGCGCTCGGCATTGGCAATTCGCGAGCTGCTCTGGTGGAGGCCTGGTGTGGTCGGCATGCCTGCGCCCTGATCGATGTTGGCGCTGAGGACGCTCAAGGGGAGACTTTCCCGGCTGCCGCCCCAAAGCGACGAAGGAGCTAGGGCACGGACTGAGGCGTCGGTGTCGAGTGAGCGACGGCGCCGGCGTTTTGAGGACGACGCAAGAGTGATGATGGACGCGTTATCGGTGAGCAAGTTGTTGGCCGTCGCTGTCGAGTACGTCGTGGGGTGACCCGGGCCCGACGACGAGGGCGCTAGATGTGCCGGTATGGCAGAAGCGGGCGATGCTGTCGGGAAGGGCTGGTTGAAGTGTATCGAGTGGGTATGACCCTGATGCGAAGTGTGGTTACCGTTGTTGGTCGGGTTCGTGGGCACGTGGGTGCCGCCGTTGGGTGGCATGGATTGTATCGTGGTGAGAGTCGTCGTGAGCGAACGCACCGAGGGAGCTGGCGACGAGAAAGTGCTGTCTCCTCCTCTGCGCGACTCGACCCCTCCGATCGTCCGACTCGTTCCCGCAACGGACGGGGCGTTGTTGGATTGGGCGACTAGAGAATGGGCGCCATCGTGGTCTGTGGCAATCGTGGGGGCCATGGACCTTCCGCCGGTCGTAGGCGGGGCGCGGCCATCGTCAGACTCCCGCTCGAGAGACGTTGCGCTGCCACTGAGAGCGGTAGAAAACGAGTAGGAGCTGGTCTCGACGTCGACATCGGCGTGGCTGGCGGAGGCTACGCGGCCCGACTGTGGATAGGGGTTGTTGTTCTTGGAGGCTCGGCGGAATTTGGCCTGTTGGCGCTTGGAACTGGGCAGACGGACGCCGCCGCCGTCGCTCGAGGAGGAGCTCTTGAAGTTGGTGAGCTTTTTGACCCAGGTGGAAAACGGACGGCGCCGACCCGGACGATCGGGGCGATCTAGTATGGAGTCAGTTTCTGAGGATTGAGGACGATTGGCGAGGCGGCGCAGGTGAGAAATTCGACGAGACATTGCGTAGTGGGCAGATGCTGAGCAAATGCAGAGCGAGAGACGATGTGAAGAAGTAAGGTAGCAGACGCAGACGCAAAGAAAGCGCTTAATTACCATGGGGTGGCAGCGCAGCCTCTGTCGTAGCCATTCGGTGGCCTTGTTTGGTGTAGATTGGTGTTCCTTGCAGGAGTGGTTGGGAATGTGACGACTTGCAGTCGCTGGGGTTCGGGGTCGGCGCAGAAGAGGAGAAGCGGCGAGGCGGCGAGGGGTGGATGGTGAGATGAAGAGAAAGGAGACTGCGGGTATCGAGAGGGAGAAGGAAAGGCGGTGCGGAGGTCGAAGAGTCGGATTCGGAGATGAAGAGCACGAGACGGAAAAGGTGGAAGGAATGTTGGTGGAATGAAGTCGTCGGGGTCGAGATCGTTGGAAGCGGAAGGTAAGAGACGGGAGCAAAGAATGAGAATGAGAATGGTAATGGTAATGGGGAATGAGAATGGAAAGCAGAAAACGAGATGGGAAAGGCAAAGCAAGCTGGAGCACTGCGGTTGTTTGACTGCAAAGGCGCTGGATGCCGCTGCGGAGCCTGGGAACCAGGACGAATTGGGACACTGGACAGCGACGACGGGGGGGTTCGTGGAGCCCAGTGGAGAGAGCGCTGGGGCTGCGGCCGCACCAGCCCAGGCGGCGGTTAGTGGTCACCTTCGATGGCGTTGATGCCCGTCCGACTTTGGTGGCTGATGGAAGACCAGTCACCAGTTCACCTGTGAAGGTATTACTTTGTTTCCTTTACATTAAGGCACCATCAAGGTGATATGCATTAGGTACGGATAGGTGGTCTGGCACAAGTGTATAAGGCAGAAACAACCGTGGAAATGAAATCTCCCAGCAGACTGGAACCGCGCCCAACTGATTTCTGGAACTGGCATGCATCGGTCGGGTTGGGTAAGGCAACTTAACCCACCAAGTGAACACCCATGCCAGCCCGGACTATTGTCGACTCGGCTGGAATTTGAGGGCCTAAAAAAGATATACGGATACAAACCTCGTTAACCACTTCCATTGGGTTGAGATCATGGACAACAACACCTCAGCCCGAGTCCTCAGTCACTGTGGAGGAGGATGGCCGGGATCACTGCAAGGCCCCCCCAGAACGTGGACCCCTATTGCCAGCTCTTCCAGCGACTGATCGCCCGTAATCACGTTGCATTATGTCATCATCTCTCCAGGGCTGCAAACTCTAAGGCAGCAACTCACTGTCCACAACAGCTGCCGTGCTTCCATCCGATGTGTGATGTCACTCTCTTCAAACGCTGACCCGTCAATCCCGACCAATTTCCGTTTCCATCGACCTCGCAACGACTTTGCATGCGAATCCGCGAGACCAAATACCTCACAAATACGAGATGGCGCAAGATACGTCCATTCGTGCGAATACGCACCACTCAGCTCATTATCAAAGAACTTGACCATCACATGTGAGACAACTAGTACTAGCTACATTAAGGTACTCAACATCAGACGACAGGGCAACTATGAGCCTCCACTTACAACGAAGAGATTCTTATCCGATTTACCTAGCTTCGTTCCTCCACGAACCTCTGATCAGCAGTCGGTGAGTGAATTGGAAACTTGAGACTCATGTTGATTTTGTCGTGCCCTCGATATAACTATGCGGCAAGACGTTCCCGGCTTCTCGAGACCTGAAGACCCTGCCTGCAGTCTGCAACCTTCACCTGCAAGACGATCCAGTGGTCAAAGCTCTCAGCTCAGTTCTCGGACACTTGCCAGATCTCATTCACATTAAGGAACTCTCAGACTCGTATGGCGCTTATTCGCGTACTAATGTATGCTAACTACCTAGAAACATTGCAAGGTATGAAAGTTAGAACGCCTTCTCATCGATGAAACGTAGGACCCTACCTGCGCCTGCCTGTGTTTCCTGGAATCTCTCTTGCCGTGATTGGTCGAATCAGCCCCGCCACACCTGCGCTCGGATTGGATTAGCCTTCCGTCCGCTCTTATCGTTATCGCTTGCACTCCATCAGTGACATCTTTCCCTGGAAACACTTCAGGAAGTGACAATTTGAGCCGGCAACAACGACGACGTCTGCTGTTGTGTTGAACGGCACCTCCCACTCAATACATCACGTTGATCCATGCGTCTCGCAGCCATCTTGGGCTCGGTTTGCGCATCTCGGCATGGCCCTTCAATAACAACGCCAGCATGTCCATTAAGCCTCTGCCCGAGGACGTCATCCGGCGAATCAGGTCTTCTGCAACCATCACCTCTCTCAACGGCGTCATCTGCGGCCTGATTAAGAATTCCTTCGATGCAGGTGCAAACAAGATCAACATCACCGTCGACTACTCCCGGGGGAATTGCACTGTTGAAGACGATGGGCTGGGGATTCTGCCAATCGAATTTCGGGAGGCTGGTGGACTAGGCAAACTGTATCGTAAGTCCAACCGCACTAACACATCGGATCGAAATTGCTTCGCCTTACTGACACTTGTTTTTAGACACATCGAGACACTCCCCTGAGGGCGAAACGCATGGCTCCAACGGCAACTTCCTTGCCTCGCTCGCAGCCCTGTCTCTACTCTCAGTCACTTCTCACCACCACTTGCACAACTCCCAAAACTCTCTGACAATTCACAACTCGAGGGTCTTGGCACGACATGTCCCGGCCTTGCCAGAGCAACGCTTGGTTTCTTTCTCCCATGGAACTCGCGTCATGGTTAGAGACCTCTTCGGGCCCATGGCAGTCAGGGTCAAGCAGAGGGCCACGGCCTCTGAGAAAGTTTCTGTCGACAAGGAGTGGGGCCGCTTAGTGCACGACATCACTTCTCTACTACTTGCATGGCCACCTTCCGTTGCTCTCCATGTCCGGGACATCACTCACAACAACGAGGCACGCTTCAGGCCCACCGCCATACCCCGGACAAGAGCAAAGGCAGAATTGCTAGGCCGTTCTTCGCTGATTCTGGCTCAGTCGGGCCTTGCCGATGGCTTAGACCGTGCATCTTGGATACCCATTGGGGCTTCCAAAGGAAACTTGGCCATCGATGGGTGCATATCGTTGAGTCCAGTTGCGACTCGTCAGGGCCAGTTCATCAGCGTCGGTATCCACCCCGTCGCTAACGAATACGGGACCAACGTACTGTACACCGAGGTCAACCGTGTATTTCTCAATTCCGGCTTCGCCATTGATGAGGACGTAAGCAGGCATCGACAGGCTTCTCCAAAACCGGAACGTAATACAGACAGGATCACTCGACCGAAGCGAGGCCTAGATCGGTGGCCTATGTTCTACTTTCGATTCACTTCTTCCTCCAGAGCATGGCCGAAGTTGTCTTCTTCGTTTGAAGATCTTCTAGAGGAACGCCACCGGACTGTTTCTGATATGGTTGACCTGCTCAAGTTGGTCTCTTATGAGTTTCTAAAGAAACACCACTTCCGCCCTCACAAGGTGACTACGTCTCTGCGGAAATCTAGACACGGGGGAGGTGACGAGGGTTCCGGTTCGGACTCAGTGAGGAAGACCGGCGGGCAAACACTACCTGTTTCATCAGCGTCCAGTCGCTCAAACTCCGCTGCGCCAATCTCAAGACCAGACTCGCCTTTCGATCTCTGGCAGCGGGTCAAGGCTGGGAGAGAGTTGAACGTTACCTCAAAATCCGGAACTTCTACTCCTGCATCGTTGGCGTTATCGAGTGAAACCCAAAACTCATTGCCAACCGAAAAGGTCGCGGAGTTGACTCCTCAACCAAGTCTACGCTTCCTCGATGATTCCGGCAATGTAATACGCAAGCCTTTCGATATTTTACCATTGCCTTCTTTGCCCAGGAAGCCGAGAGACCAGCATGATAACTCGGTTCCGCCCATGATTCATGAGGAATACGGCAAAGAAACCCCCTCTAAGCCCGAAATTCCAAGTACCATGGAGCCCGACGAAGAGAAGCAGCTCTCTATCAGAGGGACTGATCTGAAAACGGTCAAAGATAAACCGGATAGAGTTGTGGCATCTGCCTTCCAGCGCTTTAAAGAAAACAGTGCGAGATCTGACAAGGAGCCTAGTGATTGGCTCAAGGGCCTGTTGTCGAAGTGGGAGAATCCTGTTTTCGAATCAGCCGAGCCTTCGATTCCTCGGCTCGGCGATGTCACGGCACCTTCTGGCAATGATGCTCCAAAGCCCGACTCGGCCGCGAAGGATGACAGCGTCGGGTGCTGTGGTGGCACGCATGCACCTAACATCAAGCTGTCCGGGCGCATTTCGAAGCCTGCCCTTGCAGGAGCGGAGGTTGTATCTCAAGTTGACCAGAAGTTCGTTCTCGTAAAATTAGGGCGAGATCAGGTATCTGGGACCAGGCGAGCTGCGTTACAGGATAACTCAGTACTAGTCATGATTGACCAGCATGCTGCTGATGAGCGATGTCGACTCGAGTCGCTCATGCAGGACTACTTTGACAAGGCGGATGGATCAGACGAAGTGGTTGCGAAGACGCAGCTTCTCGAGAAGCCCCTATTGTTTGAATTTTCGACCAAGGAATCCATCCTGTTGCGTCGATATGTCCATCATTTTCGTCGGTGGGGAGTCTTCTACAAACTGCAAGACTTGGAATCAGCCCAGTGGCGGCACAAAAGCAAACAGCTGCCCAAGGTCGAGGTCCTCAGCCTTCCTCCTAGCATCCTAGAGAGGTGCAGGATGGAGCCAAAGCTGGTGTCCGAGCTTCTTCGGAACGAGATTTGGAAACTTGAAGAAGAGGGCAAGCCTAATCTACGACCTTTCACTACCGGTGAGAGCGCATCAGGAGGCGATGTGGACTGGGTATCCAACTTCCATGGTTGTCCTCAAGGAATCCTCGACATGCTTAACTCGAGGTCCTGTCGCAGTACGTTATATCTCAATGACCCCAATGGCCATTTGCTGACCTTGTAAGGTGCGATCATGTTTAACGATGTCTTGTCCAAAGATGAGTGTGATGCTCTTGTCAGGAGATTGAGCCGATGTGCTTTTCCCTTTCAGTGCGCGCACGGAAGGCCCTCGATGGTGCCCTTGGTCGACATGAGAAGCTTGAATATCAACAACCATATGCATTCAGGGAGTTTTGGGAGTCAACTCAGGAGATCGGGGTTAATGACATAGCATAGGGATTTTGCGTTACTGTTGGCAGCAACTGGTCATGATACCCCAACCTTAGACATGTGCCTGGATGATGTAGGCCTTTCCATAGAATTCATGGATGGATAAATGGGTTTGCCGGGATATCCTCTCGATGAGCCCAGAAACAAATAATCCATATACATGATCTCGTTGATTAAGTTACCCTCCATGAAAATAGAAAGACACAAGTTGTTGATCCAGTCTCATTTCTGAACTTCCAAGCCCGGTTGCCCGATGGCAAGACGAAGTGTGGCTGGTAATTGGCCTGCGCCACATATGTTACTCTGACGGCCCAGGACCCACATTCATGGATTCGCCGTGCAGCGACAGCGGTGCAGCAGTGCTGAGCTCGGAAGCTCCCCACAGCGGCGTCATTGGAGCGCGAGGCACCGACATTCATCAACCACCGCTCCTTTCAGCAGTGCTCCCGCCATTCTCCCTCCCAAGACCTATCCACGCCGAGAGATGTAGCTATGGCCTTTCAGGTGAGCGCGCGATGCAGCTACAAGTACCCGTTACCTCCGAACCGGACTGACATTGTGTCCTGCTGCAGTGGAAGGCATTCGACTTCTTCGACGTCAGTCAGGTCCGGCTCGCCGACGACGAGACCCGTCTCTTCTTCGAGAGCAACGAGATCGCCAGCATATGCTCCGGCTCCGACAGCTTATTCCTCGGCAGCTACGATGGATACGTGCGGATCGTGGGGTCGAGCTGGAAGGTCGTCAAGAGCTTCCAGGCTCACGAGGTCGGGACGATCACGCACATGCGCCAGATCGAGGGCACCAGTCTGCTGGTGACGGTCGCCGTAGGTGGATCGATCGGGAAATAACGTTGAAATGGCGCTGATGTCTCTTCGCAGGAGGACTTGAGCAGCGAGCCGGTGCTGAGGATCTGGGCTCTGGACAAGCTGGTCAAGAAGACCAACATGCCTACGTGCCTGAGTACCCTCAACATCAGTAACAACAAGAAGCAGTTCCCGGTACGTTGATGGAAACTCTGGAGGGTATATGGAATCCGCTGACAGCCGCCATTAGATATCGGCATTGGACGTTCTCGATAACCTAACGCAGGTCGCGGTCGGCTTCGCCAACGGAACCGTGACACTGATCCGAGGCGACCTCATCAACGACCTCGGCGCCAAGCAGCGAATCGTACACGAATCAGAGGAGCCGGTGACAGGAATCGAGGTCATGACCGATGCGCAGGGGATGACGACACTCTTCATCTCCACAACGGCCCGTATCCTGAAGCTGGGCATTACTCGGAGGGGACACAGCAATCCGCCCAAAACGGTCGAGGACTTGGGCTGCAACGTCGATTGCATGACGGTCGACAAGAAGACCGGCGATGTTGTCGTAGCCAGAGAAGACGCCATCTATACCTATACGTTGGAGGGACGGGGGGCGCCGCGCGCGTACGAGTCGCCGAAGCGGCTGGTCTCGATCTACGGCGACTACGTTGCGTTGATCTGCCCGCCGGCATCTGCCACCACCGACAAGCCGACGGACACCATGCGACGTCGATTTGGAGGCGGGGCAGCGGACGCCCTCTTCAACGCGTCTACTTTCGTCCTCCTGGAGGCGGATCTGAGAGTCATTGGGCACACACAGTCGTTGATTTCGCCGTTCAAGGCCATCTTTGAGATTTGGGGCGATCTCTTCATTCTGACCCAGGACGGCAAGGTGAACCGATTTCACGAGAAGTCTTTGCAGCAGCGGTTGGAGATGCTCTATCAGCGCAACATGTTTCCGCTGGCCATCGAGCTCGCGCAGAAGTCGGGGCTTGATGCGACGCAGCAGAGTGGCATTTTCCGAAGATTCGGTGACCATCTGTACCAGAAGGCCGACTATGATGGTGCCATGGTTCAGTACATCAAGGCCATTGACACAACAGAGCCTTCGCAGGTTATCAGAAAGGTAAGCTGCCAGTGAAGTGTGCCTCATGACGTTGGGTCTAACATGCACAGTTCCTCGACACCCAAAGGATACACAACCTCATTCAGTATCTCGAGCAACTACACGAGCATCGCAAGGCGACGGCAGATCATACAACGCTGCTGCTCAACTGTTATGCCAAGCTCAAAGACATTGACAAGCTGGAAGCTTTTATCAAATCCCCGGGCGACCTCAAGTTTGATCTCGAGACTGCCATCTCCATGTGCAGGCAAGGCGGGTATTACGAGCAGGCTGCGTACCTCGCCAAGAAGCACGGCGAAACCGACCTCGTGGTTGATATTCTAATCGAGGACTCCAAGAAGTACGCCGATGCTCTGGACTTCATCTGGCGTCAAGATCCCGAAGTGGTAAGTAGCATGTTTCGACCCACCTACAGGCCAGGACTGACATCTCTTTAGGCATATCCTTGTCTGAAGAAGTATGCCCGAGTTCTAATAGAGAACTGCCCGAAGAAGGCAACGTCGCTTTTCGTGGACTATTACACCGGCAAGTATCGCCCAATAATACACATGGTCCCTATCGAAGACAACGACGAGAATGTCGCGGCCGGAGGCGTCGTTGCTGGCGCCGCAAACGCAGTACAAAATCTCTCCAACTTTCTTCCCTTGCCTTACATGAACACATCCTCCATTGCCAGCCCAACAACGCCAGGGAACCAGACTAAGGCGATCAACGGCGATGGCGCTCTCATCTTGAATCCTGACGACATTCCGGCTCCCAAATATACCCCGCCACGACCAAGAACAGCCTTCTCCTCCTTCATCGACCATCCAGACGAGTTCATTGTCTTCCTTGAAGCATGCTTGGAAGAGCAGGCCTTGGAAGAGAGTGACAGAACAGATTTATACACCACCTTGTTCGAGATGTATCTCCACAAGTCCAACGAAAAGAAAGGAGAAACACACAGGGAAGAATGGGAGAACAAGGCAAAGAAATTGATCGAGGGCCAAAATATTCCAATGGAGAGCTCAAATGTCCTCCTTCTTTCCCACTTGTCCGACTTCAAGGACGGCACGACGCTAGTCAAGGAGCAGTCCGGCCTCCTGTTCGACATCTTCCGCTCTTACACCTCCGCGAAAGACACCCGTGGCGCCATCAAAGCCCTCCGCAAGTACGGACCCGAAGAACCCCAACTCTACCCAGCAGCCCTGGCCTACCTCACCTCGGACCCGCGCATCCTCGACGAAGCCGGCCCGGACGAACTCGCCGCCGTCCTCGGCAAAATCGACAAGGACGGTCTCATGGCTCCTCTCCAAGTCGTCCAAACCCTCGTCGGCCAGAACGGGTCCGCGGGCGGCGTCGCCACAATGGGCATGATCAAGCCGTACCTGCACGAGACGATCGAGCGCGAGCGCAAGGAGATTGCAGCCAACCGCCGCCGCATCTCCGCCTTCCGGAACGAGACGGAGCAGAAGCGCGCAGAGCTCGCCGACCTGGGCGCCAAACCCGCCGTCTTTCAGTCCACCCGTTGCGCCTCCTGCACCGCGCCCCTCGACCTCCCCGCCGTCCACTTCCTGTGCAAGCACAGCTTCCACCAGAGGTGTCTCCGCGTCGAGGGCGAGTGCCCGCAGTGCGCCACCGACAACGCTACCATCCGCGCGCTGCGCAAGACGCAGATCGAGACGGCGGGCAAGCACGAGCTCTTCAAGGCGGAGTTGGACAGGAGCGAGGACCGCTTCGGGACCGTCGCGGAGTGGTTTGGTCGGGGTGTCATGGGGGCGCCTAATGCCGATACTGCGTGATGAGCGAAGTAGTCATGTTGTGAGTGACGGGATGTGGTGGCGAGGACTTTGGGCGTTGAGGCAAGTTGATATTGCGTAACACGGTCGCTTGATGGGGCTTATGTAGACCGAATACCATCTTCTTATTTTTGGCCCGCCTGATGAAATCATCCTGTCTCTGATGTGTGTTTTGCATGTTATAGTTGACGGGCGATGACCAACTAGCGTGGACGTTTAACAAGGCGTGTCATCTTCGTAGCGCTACGGATGAACATCGCCGCATAGACTAGCTAGGTCGTCACATTCCGTAGACTCGCCTCACCGGCTCCAATCCGTGTACAAACCACCAACCAGAACGGCATACCGTCTCTTGATGTGAAGCGGTGGATAACGGCATCATACTATCATGACATCAAATACCTTGGTTGCCAACAGTCCCTTCGTCCACGGCCTCAGCGGCCAAAAGGGACCGGACACTCCCGCCCAGGGAAAGGTTAAAAAAACAAAAAGCAAGTGGAGGTTCTCGAAAAGTCGAGCGTGTGAGAGCTTCAGTCGATTCTTGTCGATGACTTTATATTTCCACCATACGTACCGCTATTAGTTGGTAAAGCAGGGCAGGGTATAGAACCTTATCGCTCTTGTTCACCAATAGTTTCTCGCTGGAGAGGGTAAGTGCGGCCCGAGAATCTGCACTCGCACTCCCCAAATCGACCAGGGCCCTACACTGCAATCTTGTACCCCCTCAAGGGAGTAGAGTGAGGTAAGCAGAGAAGAAGGCCAACCTCAGGAAATCAGCCAATAGTAACAAGTTCAGGTCTTACATGTAGGCTAGGGGAGTAAGAGCAGGTGCCAATAGGAAGGTGTTACCCAGAACGGGCTGCATATTCACTGCACTTTGGACTCCCCGCGAGGGATCGAGCAGGCTGAGACTAGGTCGTGACGCATCATAAACGCAGAATCATCCCATTAGTTCTAATCTATAGCATAGCGTCAAGTCAAAACGACATGCCGCTTCTTGGTGCAAGGCGGTGGGATTCGACGTCGTGCTATTACAAGACGACATGAATTTGGTTTCCAGCAGGCCTTTCTGTGCCAACGGTCTCCGTAGTAGCCAGATAGACCAGGCACAATCCTGTTGGAGTTCTCGATATGTAGATTGAGGTTCTCAGGGAGTCGGGTCTGTGAGAGCTTCGGCCAATCATCTTGATGACTTCATCAATTTGTAACCCTCCTGGATGGGATGGAGTAGGTTGAGCAGAGCGAAAACTCAAGAGCGTTGCCAAGAGAGGCCAAGAGTCTCTTTTGCTTCACTGCAACTTTTTCTCCCCCCGAGGGAGTAGAGTGAGGTAAGCTAATGCGAGTTGTTGGTTCGCTTTTTGGGTGCAAGCAAATTTCTGCCAATAGAAATTTGCTTCACTGCAATCTGTATCCCCCCCGCGAGGATATAGCAGGGTCGTTCATACCTCACTAGTGCTGGGCTGCATGTAAGAACCTGGCACATTTCATGGTAGTTAGCGGCATATTCACTGCACTTTGGACTCTCCGCGAGGGATCAAGCGGGCTGAGGGACTCAGGATTCATCGGGAGTTCATCGGCGTTTGAGACCTAGCCAATCACACCACACTACATTCCAACACAGATGAGAGGTTCAAGTTCAGGTTCAGGTTCAAGTTCATGTTCATGTTCATGTTCAAGAAGACCAAAAAAGTCTCTATTCATAGACAAGACAACAAGTGCCATGCCTCTCACATGTCCCTATCGACATGCGCTTAGGAAAGAAGAAAAAGGGGGCTTGTTCAGTTTACATGCAAATCATCGCCCCCCAACGGCAGGCACAAAAAAAAAAAGGGCCGCTGGGGTGAGAGATATTTGAGACATCATCCGCCATTAACACAAGAAAATGCCCCCCTCCCCTTCCCTGAACCTTCGCTCTCAAAATGCTTGGTGGAAAAAGGAAAAAAAAAAGACAGACTTCTGGGGGTAGTCGATGGGAAACAAAACACCAGTAATAGCAACCAAAGCCGCCCCATTACACTCCTGTTCCCGAGGAGACAAAAGAAAAGAGAAAAAAAGGTTGAAGGCTGAAATGTGGGATGGAAACAAGTCTATTGGGCGAGACGCCTCTTGCTGCTCGATCCCCTCCTTGGCCCGAAAGTCCACCCCGTCCCCCTCCGATCCGTTGGCATGTTTCCCCTCTTGCCGTTTCTCCGCCGGCTGCCATATTCCCCCGTCGTCATCCCGTCGCCTTTTTCGTTTCCACATATAATCGTCAGTCTGCTTCAATGAGCCCGTGCGGCGTTGACAGAAGGAGAGGTGTACAAAAAGAATTTGAAGCGACCCACGGCCAGCTCCGTGCCGTCTCCCATCATGTGCATGGCAAAGACCAGATGCAATGCTCCTCTATATGATGAAGCTCATCCGATCCTGATCAGCCAACTTTCTGTTGGGGACCGAAGTAATGCCACCAAATGTGTGCAATCTGATTGCATGCTGTTCTTCAATATGCTGAAATAACAAATGGGACGAATTGCAGCTTGAAAATTCAAAAGTCCGCCAACCGTATATGCATGCGTCATCAGGCAATATTCGTGAGGGCGGTGTACAGATTGAGAAATGTGTCTTGAGTTGAGTGGTGTTGTGCTGTGTTGGCGAGTTCAGTCAGAAAAAGCGCGGACTTCGTCGCCATGGACGACAACTTTCTTGGCCGTTTCGGTGCTGGCAATGCTGATATTGGTGTCCCTGCGCCGTGCGCCGAAGTGAACCCGTTCACTACTAGGGTTGATGGATTTCTTCTTCTTCGTCTTGGCCATCAACAATCCCTCGTCGCTGTCGCTATCGTCGTCATCATCCTCTTGTGGGCGCAGCTCAGGGGTGTACTGGGGTGGCGCCAAGCTTCGGTTGACAGGGCTGGGTGTCATCCGTAACATGTCGAACCCAGAGTGCTCTCCGAATGAGGGTGTTTGTTCGAAGTGCTCTAGAGGGAAGCCCGCAATCGGCTCCTTCATGAAGGCTGGCGGCGTGAGCGAATCCGTCGTCTCCAATAGAGCCGGCTTCGTAGTGATCACCCCGGGCTCGACCAGAGGTTCGGCATCCAAATCTGCGGACACGGAACTGGAACCGCTTAGAAGAGCCGGGAGAGAGGGGTCGGACTGGAAGGCGAGCATCTCTTCCTTCGAAGGATGGTTGGTAGAGGAGATGGGGCTTTGAACATCGCTGGGGCTGGTGAGCGGAGAAGCCAAGCCAACGACGGAGGTTGAGCGTGAAGATCGCTGGGTCTCCATTGTGTCCTCGCGTGATGGTGGCGGCGGTGTACTCGCGAAGAGCTCATCGTCAGGGGATGTTGGGCAGGGGATATCGATCGGGTCCGCGCCAGACTTGGAATCATCAGACACGTTGTCCAGGTGTGCCATTCTTTGTTGGTAGTCATCGATGTACTTGCGATGCTGCTCATCCTGCGCACGCGCGAACGACTCGGGGGTAGATGTGTTGTATTTTCGAGGGGGAGGTGTCCGGGCATCGGGTAGATTGCGCACGTGCTCAACCCGGTGAGCCGTCTGCGGTCGTTCGTCCAAGTCGGCGTTTGCTCGCTGGTTCTCGTAGATATTCGAATCTGATTGTGGCTGGCCATGTTGGTAACCAGTGACAGACCGGGAAGAGAAAAATAGAGGCGATGACAGGCCGTTACCGCCCTGCTTGGCCTTGCCAAGATCAACCGAGCGGACTGGACGAGGACGGCTGGGGATCCGGTGGAGCGTGCCAGGGGCGACGGCAGTGCTAACACCGACGTGTGGGGGCGCACGCTTATCGTTGCTCGCGAAGAGACCGCGATCGACTGAACGCGAACGCAGTGCTTCCTCCGTCAACGCCTCGATGCCGCGAGCCTTTCGAAACTCCTTCAAGGGATCATCCACAGTGCCATCGGCGTATGGGGTTGGCGGTAGCGTCCTCACCTCCGGCACTCCCGCCGTCAGTGTGAGATAGCTGTTGCCATTGGAAGGACTCTGAGAGTAGTTGTAGGGTTTGTAAGTTGATGATGTCCCGGCCATTGTAGACTGGTCTGAAGGCGACGCCGTGCCACTGTTGGTCCTTGAATCATTGTGGCTGCGACTGAAACTGTTTTGGAGAACGTGAAGCAGAGCAGCCCCTTGACTCATTGCAGGTTGTGGCGCGATGGCGGTCGCAAGAGGGTCGTAAGGCGATTCGTAAGGAGTTCCCGTCTGGCTGTGAACCAAGGGATGCTCGGTGCCTAGAGCGAAGTCCTTGACGTTGGAGAAGTAATCTTCACTTTTGAGGCTCTGTCGACGCGCCTCTCGTGAATGCGGGGTTGGTGGGACGTTGTACATGCTGTCGCCAGCTGAGCTAGCGGCGCTACTGGCAGCTCTCCTGCGCGACTTGCTATCGCTTCGATCTCCTAAAGGGTGCATCAACTTCCCTACCGTCTTCTTGATAGTAGAGCGAGCCCTCTCCAAGAACGCAATCGGCACGACGGCACGCGCTGTCTCCTTGTCGTTAACCTGGACACGCCTTCCCTGAGACGGGCGTGCGGGATCAGTATCGTCGATCCAGGCAATGGGATTCGAGATGCCCTGCACGACCCATGGGTGCCTTTTGATGTCCCTCAAGCGAATTCGCTTCTCCGGGTTCTTGGTGAACATTTGCCGCAAGAGATCGTACAAAAGGTTGTCGATGTCTTCGTAGGCCAACTCATTGTCGTCTCTGTATGGTGCCGCGTTGTGGCGTTTGAAGAGAGACTCGGAGTTGGCGGGTGTCAAGGGGTCGACAGGCTTGAGACGCTTGCGTGGGATGAAGACTTCCTCAGTCGCAATCTTGCGGAACATTCGCCATTCATCCTCGGCCTGGAATGGAATCCTGGCGTAGATGAGACAGTAGAGCGTGACGCCCAGAGACCAGATATCGATCATCTCGGAGATTTTGGGCTGTTCCATGCGATCCAGATCTGTGTAGCATAGCTCGGGGGCGAAGAATGCAGGTGTGCCCACTGTCTTGGCCAGCTCAAGGTCATCGTCGAAGTCTTGTGCTTCAGATTCCGAGACAGTCTCGTCGTCGGGCTCGCCGTCTCGAACAGGGCGGCCAAAGTAGGAAACGCCAAAGTCTGAAATCTTGACCCGATGGTCTCTGGTCCACAGAAGGTTTGCGGGCTTGATATCCCTGTGGACGACGCCCTGGTAGTGCAGGTATTCCAAACCCAAGACAGTGTCTCGGAAGGTCGATCTCGCTTGCTCCAGCGTAAAGCAAGGAACGTAGGAAAAGTCTTCAGCAAAGGGATCATGCATCCGAGAATTCCAGTCGACCGAGGACATGTGAGAGATGATGGAGTCGGCCATACTTGGTGAACGTCCCCGCATTGCAGCATCCTCGATGTACGGACCATACATGGTCCCGTCCAGTGCGGTGGCCGAGCCCGGATTGCTAGATCGCAGAGGGCCTGGTGTCTCCATGTCGTCCTCGATGGCGATCGACTCCTGATCGAACGCGGGATTGTTCTTCATGGAATTGACCGACTGAGATCGTGATGGGGCTCTCGAAGTCGTTCTAGAAGCTTGCGCGGAATTAGGGAGGGAACCATCGGCACCAACGCGTTCCAGGGTGGTAAAATCATCCTTGGACGCCACTCGGGATCGGGAACTGTAACTGGCGTCGTCGGAAATGCCATGCTCGATGCTCCAGAAATCGTGTGCGCCCATGTTGGCCTGCGTCATTTTTGCCCGCTTCAGTTCCTTGAGTGCAAAACGTCTCTCCATCAACAAGTCGTACTGTTCCTCCTCGGGAGTTGCGGGCTCGCCACGGGCTTCTCGTTCGATGCGGCGACGCTCGTAGAGACAAATGTGAGGCAGACCCTTCTTTCTCCAGACAACTTCGCCCAGCTCGACGTGCTCCAGGATCAAATAGATCTTCTTGAGTTCCGGGTCGTCGATGATCTCGAGCAGCGAAACGACGTTGGGGTGTCTCATCTTCTTGAGGATGGCGATTTCCCTCATGGTCTTTTCCTGCGGAGACATGGCCATGACCTTGCCGAGACGGCGCTTCTTGGAATACCGCGGGATGATCTTGATGGCCACATTCTCGCCGGTTTCGAGGTTACGCGCCAGCTTGACCTTGCCATGCATGCCCCTACCAATTTCCTCGATGACCTCATACTGGTTGATGAGTTTACGACCGGTAATGCTGTCAGAGTCGATCAGGGCTTTGTGTGTTCTACATTTTCACGCGGTTAGCATATCGGGTAATGCTCCTTGGTCGCTGGGTTCCACGAAGACCCCCCGCCGCAGATTAGACAGATGACGAGGCGGGGGCGTTGGCGCCTCCCAGCCAGCCATCAGTTTCAGTGCGGAAACTGAGCGCCAGGCCACACAGCCATGTCGCGTGCAAGAAAAGGGTACTCACTCTCTGACTTTGTGGTGTTGAAGCGGGTGCAGGTAGGGACTACTCGTCTCGGCGTTCGGAGTGTTGGATTCTGACGAGGAGTGTGTAGGGAAACTCGATTTCGGACGCGGGTTGGAGGGGCTGAAGAGGCCGGGAGAGGTCATGGGAGTGCTAGCGGCGGATCTCAGCGGCAGAGAGTTGGAGGAAGGCGGGATGAGAGCCTGAAGGTGAGGGTGATGAGAATTCCTCGTTTGAGGAGGAGGGTGCTGAGGTTCCATGGTGTGAGTGGAAGCGGTCGAGTTGGACTTGGACTGGTCGGGAGAGTCTCGATCGGCGAATCGACATAATGAGGATCGTGGGAGGACGTAGAGCGTGGCTCGCACGGCGGCCGAAGAAGAGAAACGCTGCGACGGTCGGGCTTTAGGCTGTCATCGTCGTTCGTCTCGCTGGTAACGGGAGCGGTTGTTGCAGAGGCAGACGTCGGGTTGGCGTCGAGCCGGTTGAGAGAATAGAGGCGCAAACGACGTAAGAGTTGGAGAGTCGGAGAGAAGGTTTGGACGGAAGCGAGATGCGGTCGTCGGAAGGAGTGCGCTGGTTCGCTAGTTGGCTCGAGGCATTCGTCGGGTGGTTGTGCAGTTGGAGAAATGAAAAATCCTGAAAGGCGGACAGGACAAACAGGTGCGAGGCGAGGCGAGGCAGTTGAAGTCAAAAAGGACGGCAGACGGAAGACTGGACGTAGATAGGTAGAAGGTCGAAGGTGGGTTGGATTGGTGAAGGTACTTCCGGGGGGGTACGGGACTAAAAGATGAGGGGGGAGCGACAAGACGAGGGTCCTCAGTCTTTTTTTTTCTGCTTGCCCTGTTCGTCGCTGGCGTCCTTGGTGCAAGGCAGGCGAGGCAAAAGGCAATAGTGTGCAGAATCGGTACGTAGCGCGGCGAAGTGTAAGCCGGAGAAAGTCGTGTGTGTGTGTGTGTGTGTGTGTGTGAGGAAAGTGACTGCAAAGCAAGAGGGTTGAGTAGAGGCAAGACTGGGTGGTGGTGTGAGTGCGAGCGTCCCAGTCCCAGTCCGGGGTCGGGGGTCGGGGGAGTTTGATCGAGAGTGTGAGTGTTCCTGCTGCTGGTGGATGATGATGGAGGGTGGTTGTGGTGGTGGTGGTGGTGGTGTGTATGAGTGAATTGGGGACACACTGAATTGATGGGACCTGGCTCGAGTATTTTTTATTTTTATTTTTTAACCATTCGGGAGTGGGTAAAAAAATGATGGTGGTGGTGAGGGTGGACTTTCACACAATTCATCAATGACTTTCCGGGTTGGGTCGTCTTGAGACTTGGGTTCTGGCGGGCTGGCGGTGGCCGTAGTGGAGACTCGAAGGAAGCAAGACAAGACACTGGACGAGGATGATGGATGCACCTCAAATGGGCCAGTGGCAGGCAGTCCACGTCTGCAGAGAAGAGGGGATTGGAGGGGAGCACTGTGCTGTGTGAGTGCAGTGTGTGAAGGGAGGAGGGGGAGGGAGGTGGGCCCGTCGAATCGACAGGCTCGGCGCCCGCAGTGGGACCCTGGCCCATGATGCGGCTGCTGGCTGCTGGCTGCTGCTGCTGGCTGCTGGATTAGGGCGACGTAAAAGGGGTACGTATCTCTATCTCTGCCGTCCCCTCGGCCACTCAGAGCTGAGAGCCAGTGCCGATACCGTGTGAGGTTCAGGAGTGCCGCATGATCTGATTGGCTTTGATTAGAGTGGACACCAGGTTCTGGGTCGAAATATGGGACTGGTCTGTGTCGGTGTGAGAACTGTGGACATCCGCACAGGCCCGGCTGAGAGATAAGTGCTTTATCTGGGCAATCATGACTGATAAGAGGAATCCACACCGGGTCATGGAAAGAAAGCACGGGCCAAGGGGTATCACAGTGCGTAATGGTCCCTTTCGCACGCCAGCACCAGCACCAGCACCATCACCTTTCCATCAGACCTTTCGAGGTGTTGAGGCAATATATGGTAATGGCAATAACGGGAATGAAGTGAATCAGACGTAACGCCAATGACACCCACCACGGCAACATCAAGAGCAACATGCGACCTCAAGCTGCAGACCGCAAGCCGCAGGCAGGCGCCATGCATCAATGTCACTAGCCCGTCGACTCTGTGTCTCTCACCATGCTCTGGGCTTCGCGTCGCGTCGTCTCGTCGAGGTTGCCGTCTCATTATCACGAGCGATTAATTTGGCAAACTCTCTCACCGGGGCTTCCAGGTACGGACACACCGTGATGTACAGAGTAAAGTTCTGTTGAAGACTCACCACAACAATAACAACAAGAGAGGCATTTTGAAGGTATCTATCTGAGGAGAGGCGTGCTAATCGTCCTCGTTCATTACACATGGCATGACGAAGCTGGGATATGGACATTCGATGCAGTGCAGCGCTAAAATAGACGCAAGGCGTCGTCAATCTGGAAAGGCGGCGGAGGCGGAGGCGGATTCTCTGTCTTCTGGCGATATCCCGACAAGCCGCAATCTATCCGCCGTCCCGTCAGGAAATTCCCTCTGTCAAAAAGTCAAGGCACATGCTTCTGCTCGTGTGCTCAATTACAAAGTACGAGGAATTAAGCCTCCAACCCGCACCTCACTAGGCATAGTATTATCTTTCACTGCATTATTACGGATCCTCTTCTGCCCAAGGTACCTGACCCTGATCTCACGTTTCCGGATTTTCCAAGGAGACAATAGACAGCACACACACAGGTCGAACAGCAGAGCAAGTTCTGAGTCTACGCCAAGACTGCGAAGCAGCAGACAAGTGGGCTTGGTGGAGCAAGTCCTACGTCTTGTCTTTTCTGGCGGCGCAGGCACGCCAGGCCGTTCTTTCCCAAAAAGACAAGGGTGACCGCTGTTTGGTCAGTGCTGCTGCTATGGGTCTGCGGGTCTGCGGGTCTGCGGCTGCTGGGGACGTCCACGGTTGCACGGGTGGATGGGAAGGAACACTGGACCTGGAAAGCAGAGGCAGGGAAGAGAAAGGCAAGGACCGCAAGGACCAGGGCCAAGGCGAAGGCGAAGGCGAGGGCGAGGGCGCCGGCGAGAGACGTGCCTTCTTCAATTGTTCAGAAAAGGTACCTTTTCCATGTACCTTTACCTTGCCTTATCGCGCCATGATCTGCACCTCGTCATTGGTTCGATGGAGCCTCTCCTCCCTCACCTTTTTTTGCTTGGTACGTACACTCGACACGGCTGCCACGGACCACGTACCCTTTCTCTCCGAACCTGTTGGAAGTATCTTTTCTCTCAAGCACCCTCCCGAGATACTTTCCAGGTTCTTCTTATCGAATCAACAGCAGCACCAGCAGCCGCCAATGCAGTGTTGAGCGGACTCTTGTCTCCGACCAGAGACATCCGCCATCGCAGAAACAATGACAGTTCACAGCACATGTTCACTTCTTCCTCCAGCTGGAAAATCAAGACACAGACAGCGACAGTGACGTCCAAGACATTGAACACTTCTCTGAACGAATACCGTACTGACAGCGAGCGACATCATCCCCGACAAACAAAGAACAGCCCATGATCGACTGCGCCTCGCCGCGTGTCGTGTCATATCGGCCTATTTCGCGCCTGTCCTTCCCGACTGTCTCTCCAACTTTCCCATCAGATTAGACATCAAGACAAGACCCTTCAATTTTGCAATCTTTGGGGCTACCAATACACGCCCGAGGGTTAAAGTACAGAATCCCTGGCTGCCTACGGACAAAGGCCAACAGAGCATTGGACGATTCAACACTTTCCAGACACCTAAACCCAAAGACGCCAGACCAACGGCCCAACCGCTCAAAATCCTGTGCCGAAATCGGGCAATATGGGACGGCCCATGAATCCAATCCAATTCCGCGCTGCCAACGACTCTGCCGTCCAGATTCCAGACTCCGAATTCTAAGCTATACCTCGCTTGGATGCATGGCTTCGACTCTGCATTGACGACGTATCTCTTGCTCGCCTCCTACGTCCAAGGCCGCCGCCATCAGCACTCACTTGCAGTCGTCAATCCATGCAAATGACGGTACCTCTTGCGCTGCACTCGGCCCTGCACTACCAAGTACGCGTTTCGACCACATGTTTGCAGATATACAACGTGTTTCCACAACCCGTCACCTCCGCGCCAACCTTAGCACCGTCTTCCAGCCGCCTCATTCGCTTGTGCAGCAGACGGTGCAAGGAGGATGGCAGACGGTCGGAGGCGGAGGCGGCCGTGACAAACTGCCCGCCGAAAGCGAGGACGAGGACGAGGACATACGTAGCCATGACGAGAACCACGCCGGCCGCTAACGACGACATGGTCCTCACGTACCTTGCCTCCCAACGTACCAACTGTGGATGGCGCGGGGGACTCTACACTACATTACCTTACGGATCCAGGTCCAGGTCCAGGTCCAGGTCCAGATCTCTCGACTTTCTCCCAGGGCTGGCTGCTTTGTCTCGCTCAACCTCCAACGCCGACGCCATCACCTCGCGACGCACAAAGAACATGCACATGGAAGGGGCTCGTCCCGTCTTTGGCACCAAACGATACCGACGGGCGGAAAGGAAAGTTTGATAGAGGCAGCCAAGCACCAGCGCCTCGGACTGACAGACGGACGAACAAACCACAACTCCGAGAATCTCCAACCCCCGGCAGCCACTTGCCTGCTCTGCGTCTATCTGTGCAGCCAGCTGTACGCTGTACGCATGTCTCTCACAGCTGGGCTCGACACGGCATTCCTCTAGTCCCTCAAGTCCCAAGCCAAGGCACCGTCCACGGATACCCGTCGACCAACTGCAAATGCGCAGCACGACCACAGATACACATGCAATCGTCCGCTCCCTCACTCGCTCGCAGCTATTGCCATTGGCCGATGCAAATAGCCCTCCCGCAACAGTCATTGGTCGCCAGGCCTCGGAGCTGCATCTCTCCTGTCTCTGCATTCTTCCTTTTCGGCTCAACTTCGACGCCACATTCAAGACCCTAATGCACCAACCCCAGCACCTTTGAATCGGGTTGGGAAAAGAAAAGAAAGAAAGCGCAATCAGAAAGCCGCATGTCCCTGCCTGCCGCATACCTCTGGATTGCGATCCCGTTCGTCTTCCAATTCTCACATGCAACCCGGATTCTGTGTCTCAAACCTATCGCAAGGTATTTCGACCAAGCCCTCTGACGCCCGTTCGTTCAGCCAAGCATCCGAGATTTGTACACGCATGATGCAGACTGCAGACGAGATACAGCACCACCAGCAACTGCAGCGATACAGCGTTTCATTTCATCATTGGTTTGATTCGACCCAATTCGTTCCATCAACTCAAGCCGTCGGCCCAGACTTGGCGCTGGCCTGACCATAAGTGCCGACGTCGTCCAGTGGCCTGATGCCATGCCAATGCTGCTACGCCCCATTTTCACCATGTTTGATCTTGAAAAATCCCCTCGAGAAACAAGAGGGCCGGCGCCGGGATATCGCTTACAGACCGGCTAGCAGAGCCGGCTTCCTCGCTTGAATCCGAATGACAACCTCACTTCTTCTTTCAATCGTCGGTCTCAATCAGTCACTGGTGGCATTTACCTTGTTGACCGTCGCTCCATCTCATCGTTCGGCATTGAAGGGCCAGACGGTGGATCTTCCGCGGGATAATCTGCGGCCTTGGTGAATACGTCCTCGATGGACACGGACGGAGAATAGACTTTGGTGCAGACCAGACGGGTCGACCAGTCAAACGCGAATCCGCCATCGATCGATTGGCGGCGGCGTTGGCAACGAACACGCGATTCAAGACGGACTGCATCGTACATGTGGCACTGAGAACACTCAGCCTGATGTTTCTCCCTAAAAACAAGACGACATCGCAGCATGGTTGTCGACAACGTACTGTGCCGGAAATGGCGTATTGGGTTTTCCATCTCCAATCCTTCCGATTTTCATCGCCCAAGTATCTGGCTATCAGGCCTTCAATGTCGTCACGTCGGACCCGCCGCCGGTGCTGCTGAGGTCATTTCATCAATCGTTTGAATTGACAAGATTCCATGGAATTAATGTAATTGAGTTCGAGGAATCTCCTCTCTCGCAGCCCAAACCTCAGACGCGCCCCTGGTCGACACCAGATCAGTGATGATCGTCCCTTCGACGGCCACCCCCAACCGCCCCCATCCATGCAACTGGGACACCGAGCCATGATCCCCTCATCCTTGGACGGAACGGCAGACGCTGTGGAGCTGGACTGGAGCCTCCGTCGACGTCGATGGCCTCGAGTGGGAACACGGCGGCGCGATAGACGCTGCAGGTTTCCTGCTTGGCTCGGTCCTCTGTCGTTCCGGCGCTCTTTTTGAAGCCCAATCGACTCCACCCTCGTTGCAGCTTGCATCGGCTGGGGGGTTGGAGATGTGGATTGTGAACGTACTAGCAATGCGACGTGGAGGCTGGCTTGGGCTGGCTTCAAAATGCTTCAGATGGCAACATCTTGGAGACAGGAACACAGCAGGGTTTCTTGATCACATTCGCCGTTACCGAAGACGGTGTTTCTGCGCGACCAGAGTTCAAGAGGTCACATATCTACGAGAGGAAGACAACCCCTCGGAAACGCGTCTAGGCAATTTGGGTCATCACAGCGAAGCGGATGTGATCAAAGTGCAAATACCGTAAGCCCGGGACGTCAACATATTAGCTCTGACAGCGGCGCCGGCTATACAAGATGCCTATTGGACAATGGACAATCAACAAAAAGCGCTGAGCGGGCTTTGAGAAGACGAGATGTGATCGGACCTGGAGACAGCATCTTCCGTTAGACTGGCCGATCCAGGCTAGCAGTGTGATGATTGTGCCAGCCTCGGAAGGGACGGTGACATGGAAACCGAACGCTGTCGGCCTCTTTTCACTCTCAACTGCCTTCACTGTTTTCGTTTTAACCCACCAATTCAAGAAATCCGCCATTCTTGTTGCACTTTGCCTTCACGATACCGCCGTCAGTCTCGGAACCGACGGTGGACAGTGCAGTCCCAGTAAACGGATGGCAGGGCGGCGGCGACTTGCTGGCCGCCGGTCGCCGGTGTACCTGGACATCGGCATGAACATGGGCATGGAAACGGGACGGGACTTGGAGGCCCATCTGAACGGGCAGGTCTTGTTTCTCCGGGGCATTTTCCCTCTAGCGCCGCTAGGGTCGGGTTTCTCTTCCTTGTTGGCATCGACGATCGCTGTCTGTCCCTAGCCATGCACTCGGGTTCCAAAGTAAATGGCCGGTTTTGTTAGCACTTACCACCAAAAAGCGGCCATTTATTTTGGAACCCGAGTGCCATGGTGGGCGGCATCTCCATCAACGGCCCACTCGTCGCTGAGAAACTCAAACACGACGTCTCTTTCTCTTGGTTTCTGGTGGCCCGTTCAGTCTCAACTTTGCATGAGATCAGGTACGTGTGTGTGACTGCACGTCTCCGATACGTCGCCTCCCGGTTACCTCATTTCCGGTGAGCCGTTGTCACTCGAGAGTCAGATCGGCCACGGACCAACGCTTAATGCTATTCATCACAGCGTCGAGATCTCATCTTTTGCTGAGATCTACCCAAGTCCTAAGTTGAGGCTATCGTCACATTAGTCAACGACATCCATGACCCCCGTCACAACTTGACACTTCCGACTCGCCAACTCGGGCGATGCTGCTTGATTCTTCGAACCCGGAGCGCCATCACCTCGATAGCCAGCTATCCCACTGTTGAGCCGGTGGCCATGGGTAGCCTCGAATAGCCGGGTCCACGGATGGCATGCCGCCGGCACCACTCACACACACAATCACACACACACACACACACACACACAATGAGCGGGCGGGATGGATCGTGCCTACCGGTGAGCAGAGTCAGGATGAAGCACGAGAGTCTAGGCCCATCCAGCCCACGATGCCCTCGCCTCAGAAAAGGGGGATGAGACGCGACTCTTTTTCTAGTATTACCTTCCTCCACAGAAGATTCCGGACCCACCGTTCTGATCCGACTTGAAGGGTAACGATGGCTGCTTTCCGTCTGCAAGCACGGCTCGTGCCCTCGGCCTGCCGCAAATTATGTCCCTGCATCGAATCGAAAAGAAACAAGCGACGTGGCAGTCAAGGGGGGTCCGGGGAACGAAACAAGCCAGAGTGAAAAAAATCTCACGATGGCTTCGCTTTTGCATTCCCCTCCCAGGCTATGGTGTTGGCCACGGGGTCTTGTCTGCCCCCAAATCGCCCGGTCCAGACTGTCAACCCAGCCTCAGATTGCGGAGAAGAGTACAGGGCCCGGTCTGCCATCGTCGACGGCGCTCCCGCACAAGAATCCCCCAATTGCAGACTTTGACCGAGAGTGGACGAGCTGCTGGCCCTTAGACTACTGCTGGTTCTGGCGTAGCGCACGATAATAGACGACAGCACACCCTCGTCTGAGTGAGGAGAACATCATTATCACCCAGACACAATCAATAGGCCGGGAAGAAGGGTTCAATGATGCAGGCCGGGTACAGAATTGGCACCCAGACCCGAGATTTGTGCGGCCTACACGTGTAGCCGTCAGTCAGCTGCCCGCGCACGAGGCCAGATCCGATTGCTGCCACACTCGTATGCGAGGGACTGAGTCGTGGTTATTGCACCAACGTCGTCTCTGACTTTCCGCTCCAAGCGACGACGACGTGGACGATACTGCAAAAAGAAAAGGGGGCAGCGCACCGGCGGCTGGGGAAAGGATGAGCCCAAAACCTCATGCATCATCCTTTCTGCAAGTGGACGGGAACTAAAGCAAGCCCGAACAACGACGCATGGAGCCATCCCAGCTTTTGCGCAACGCAAATAGAAGCCTCTCCTTTTTCCTTGGTTTCCTTCGCTTGGCCAAAGGCATGGCACCGAAGTATCGAAGCATCAGCGTTCTCATGGTTGACCGTTGAGCGGACGTGTCGATCAACCCGAACTCTGCAGCCCAGAGACGTACCCAGCGTTTCTTGGGCCCCAGGAATGACGCTCCTTTCTCTTTTCGACATCAACTTCAAACTTGCGATCAACCCCAAACCGCGATCGAATTCAATTTCGCGCGATTGGATTCGGATACATGTGTAGAAGCACGAGGCCCAAAACGATCTTTTCTTACTGTAGGTCGTCCGTCGGCACGCCCCCCGCCATATGTCCCCTTACCCCAGCTTTTCGGCCCTCCTCTCAACAGGGCCTCCGAAATGTGACTGCTCACATCGCGGCGAGACTTGCTCTCCGTCGTTTCATGGAGCAATATGGTTGGCATTTGTTCATACGGCGTTACAACGAAATCCGCCGTCCATCTTCTTGACCATCTCTTTTTTGACTGGTCTGACATGTGCTCATCACGTTTATGAATGTCTCGATTGGATGCTACGCCAAACGTCGACATCGGCCGGCCCCCATTTCCCATCCCGTAGCGGGGATGCGGCTTGCGCGCCTCCTTCATTTTACCTCAGCCTTTTTCGTCCACACTCTTTCTTTCCCACGGATCTGCGCCTAGCAAAGTGTCAAAATATCAGACGTCTGGGGGGGGGCGGAAGCCGTTGGCCTAGCTGGGCGCCCGTGAAACCGTCCCCCCGAAGCAACGAAGATGAAGATCACGTAGAGCATGGTCTTTATAGGGTTGAATAATTAGATTTTAATATAAGCTTAAATTTATTACACTACCTAACTAATAATAAACCCCTATTAATCTAATTAAGCCCTAATCTATCTAGCCTTAGCTAATAGGGCTTCCCACTAAGCCTTAACTCTATCTTCAATTTAATTTACTAGCGTTATATTATATATATCTCCTATAGTAATGCGGTATTAGATATCTATAATCGCATAGGAGTGGTATAGAACAGGGCCAAGAGATAGAGTATATATAAGGGAAGTATAATAGTAATAGGTTAACTCCCACTTTAGTCGTTTTATTTAGTATATTAGCCTCACCTTAAGGGTATACTATAAAAACTTTAATTTATTTATCTATTAAGTTATTAGTTTAAATTCACCTTACTACTATTATTATATAGCATTATATTGCTTAGGGTATAACTAATTAGGATAAATAATAGGTTTTATAATGAGTACCTAAATAGTAAAGCAACAAAGATGAACATGAATATCTTTACTCATCATGGCATCATTGGTCCTTGCACAGCATGACCTTCTACCCCGGCGCCACACCATGTACCGGCACATCAAACGCGTACTGTTCAGCTCCCTCCCGCAAATCCCTTTAGCTGCAGCTATCATCGCGGACACCTTACTGCCCCAGGCCACAGCTGATCGCTGGCTCCAACTTGCGCGCAGCCAGCACCGCTGACTCGCGATGTCTCTGGAGTAGGTCAGCCCATGGTGCAGCCTTCTCAGCAGGCAAGCCCCCGGGTAGTCGCACCTCAGAAAAAGCAAAGTCGCATCTGGGGTAAGGGGGCACAGTAGAATGCGGAGCAGGGGAGCAGTGGCCGAGACGAGTCGCTCGCCGTCGCTCGCCGAGGGATTACTCCGAATATCAGGAGGAATCGCACCGATTTGGCCATGGGAAAAGTGCCTCCCTTGGTGAAGCTGATACGACGTTTTGTTACGGGCCTTTTCGATCACATCTCGACTTTCGGAGCTTGATTGGTCTGACACACCGGGCTCCATGTTGGCCCGGTGTGGTGCTGCCATCCTCAACTCCCCTCCTCTCCTCCTCCTCCGCATTCTTTCTGGCAGTAAAGTGTAAGACCCGACGCAACCCGCACCCCCTTTCGGCTTCTATTGTCTTGGTTTGACTTGACAGGATTGGTCGAGGCCGACCACTATCACAGATGGGAGTCCGCTAAAACGGGGTGATGGGCGGAAGGTCAAGGGCAAGTTGGTTTCGGTGTGACATGCAGCAAAAACCAACCCGCCGGTCTTTTCTTCGCTCCATGGTGGTAAAATAGCTCAGCGGATCAAACTCCCACCTCGCTACGTGACTGCGGCACAGCCGCTTCCCCAACCAACGAGAACATCCCCTCTCTTTCGCAATGGGAGACGTTGGTTCTGCGAGGTGGAAGTCATTATTGAATTCCCCCAGATGGCTGGCGCGGACGGTCTGTCCTGTCGTCAGCAGAAGCTGGGGCCAGCGGCGTCGCATGGCGGGTCGTCCGGGGGGTTTTTTTCTGGACCTTCTTCCTGCACGTCATCCCATTTTCTCATGGGTGTGGTTGGTTACCAGCTGGCCACAGAACCTCCTCGCGCGCCGTCCAGCCGCTTGTCCGGTTCAAGATTGACGGGAGTCAGGTTCGTCGTGGTCCCGTACTGGTCCCTGCATGCTGGGACGATGCGCGCGGATTTCTGAGTGGATGGATGAGAGATGCTTCTACGTGGATGTTGCTATAGATATCGTGAACGAACGTGAGGTGACGTTGGTTGTCTGTGAATGGGTAAGGATGAGGACGCGCGGGTGATGACGGATATACATGTGATGAGAGTTCTGGTTCTGGGTGTCATTACGAAGGGCCACCCATCATGAGTATCTCGCCCTCCCAACGGATGTCTCGGTCGACCGCCGCACGCCAGGCCAGGCTGAGCACACGTTTAAGCACATGCGAAAACTTGGCGTTCCCGCCTTCACGTAAGCTCGACACCATCTCTCTCTCTCTCCCTCACTCTATCCATCGCGTTCGCTCTTAACTTCTTAGGGGTCAATGAGTGATGTGACTCGAGTGGTTGGGATGGTTCGTAGCTGGCTGGCTAGCCAGCTAGTCTTAGCACTCGGTCTCCGGAGTTTGAAGACTAGGCCGCGAAGGCGAAGGCGAGGGCCGGCCGTGACGACGAGTCCTGCAGCCACACCTTTTTTCTCTCCCCCCTATGCCTTGGTCCTTGGGTCCTCACTACTCTGTCTCTCTTAATGTGTGATGTGATATGGGAGAGGAGAATAAGCCGTCTTTTGGTCCTTTGTCTCCCGGGGGACTGGTGCGACGACGTCGTTGGTACAACCCGACATTCTCGGGACCGAGTGGCAGCAGGCTGGGAGAGTGTCGTCACTGGGGCTTGTGGTCCTTTGGAGAGAGAGACGGACGGATTGTGGCGGGTAACGCGTAGAAACGTGAATCGGGTGTGGCGAATGCAGCCCGCCTTTCTCGCACGTCGTTTTGTCGTTACGTAGTAAGGGATGGAATGGATGGGTGGGTGGGCTTTTTTGGTTGGAGATGTCTCAGTCTGACTCCGTTCGAAGTTATCTTCATCGCCAAGTGCACATGTTCCTCGTGATGCGATAAGTTGGAGAGATGGGTTGGTTTTGCCCCTTTGAGGATGTGACGTTGGGTGGAATGCCCCCGGAGATCGCTCCGGTAGTGACCTCTCTTGGTATTCTGTGTTGGAGCGTTGGATGTTTTGATAACACCTTATACGCGCAGAGGTGGATATGTGTGTCTGAGAAGAGTCACTGGTTTGGTGTATCCACTGTGGAAGGTGTTCTTTTACCTGTTTTTGTCTCGATGGGCGAGATATGGTACACACCACTCAAGTCATTTTTTTGTTACATGGTCTTGGGATTCTTTGCCGCTGCTGCGAGGCAAACCCGTCTTACTTCGTCTGATGCTACGCGCGTGATTGTATAGCTGGTCGGAATGTGAAGCCGGCGGTTATCGGGGTCTGTCTTACGGAGAGTGAGCTTTTGAGACAGAGATGTTGCGCTGGTTGAAGAATATACGTAACGATGGGCGGGCTACATGTAGAAAGTGTTGGGGGATGGATGGATGGTTTTTCTTGATCAGATGTGTCTCGGGTGGGATCGTGACTCATCCAAATGAGGATTTCGGAGGGTGCTTCTATGGGATGGGGGGTTTCGATAGTTATGTTTCCTCCGTGTTGGGGTCTTTGTTTGCCTCTATTTGTGTTCTATGAGACATGATTTGTAGCTGATGGAAAGGGGTCTGGGGTGTTGGTCTTGTGGTTTGTGTGATGATAGGTTTCTTGGAATTGTTCTGCCGTTTCTTGGGGGGGCTGGGGGTTTTGAGAGGCGGCGATGGAAGATTTATTTGGAATATGTGTGGAAGTAGCAACTTGCGATGATGAAGATCTTGAGCTTATGCGGATGTTGGGAGGTAGGACAGCTCACTGACGAGAGTTTTGGCAGCATGATGGCTATACTCGCGTGGATGGAAGGGGGTTGTGTAGGGTATCATAATGGAGAATGGACGGATGCAAGTGAGAGTTGACGAAAATCACGATCCCAATGCTGCGCGAAAGGAACTTGGAGTCTACATTTTGTTCAGCTCATTATAATGATGCTCGCATGATGTCCACGCCGAAGGTTGTGTCTCGTATTATTTTGTATATTGCCATGATCCAAGATATCGTACGCTCTATTCTATTAGTCCCAGCCCGATTCTACTCGCAGGCTGGGTGTTTCTTCTCTTCCCTAAGCCTGTGTCTTTCCAAGGAGGGAGTTCATCCACTCTCCAATGACTGAGGCGTCTGTCTGGCCCAGGCCTCCATCACGCAAATGCCGTGTCCAGTCACCAAGTTCCCAGATCTGGGCGTTGAGCATCGACTCTGACAGAGTCTGGGGCTGGGCGGAGGAGAGACCTTCGAGTGCGAACTTTTGGATAAGACCATGGCGAGCCTCGAATGCGAGTTTGAACTGAAACATATGTTAGCATAATTGTGGTTGTCTTTGTATGAAATGACTTCGTGTTTCTTACCTTAGCCGGCAACTCCGGACGTTCCCTCGTGTCGTCCTCTGAAGGATGAGTTGAGAAGGTGAATAGAGGCGTCTGGCCATAGATCCATTCCCGAGACTGCAGCTCCCGGAGGCCTTTCTGCACCTTCTCAACCCGTCCCGCGTCTTCCTCTCCAAGCTCGGCCTCGACGTCAAAAGCACCGTACATCCGCCCGAACTCCTCCACCACCGCCTTCTCAAACCTCTTTGTATCCTCGACGCCCACGTTGCGGATCTTCGAGCGCACGCTCTCCACGCCGCGGGCTTTGATGAAGGGCTCCGCCGGCGAGCGCAGGAAGCTGCCTATCCTCGGCAGGTTCGGTGAGGAGAGGAGACACGTCCCGTGGTGGAGGGAGCGCAGGCGGGTGAGCTTGTAGGCCGAGCCGGAGATCTTGTACGTGTTCTCCGCGTTGGCGAGGGGCTTGCCCGTGCACGAGGACGTCGGGACGGGCGTCGACGAGGGGGATGTCATGATGATGTCGTGTCTGCAGTTGACGGCGACGTCGGGGACGCCGAGGCGGCGGAGGGCGCGGACGACCATCTCGGCGTGGGTGTCGCGGTCGAAGTTGGCGGGCGGGCAGATGACGGAGTAGTTCACGTTTCCCTCGTCGTGGAAGACGGTGCCGCCGCCGCTGCGGCGGCGGACGAGGTCGACGGCATCCGGGGTGCGGTCGAGGGACTGGAGGAGGGGGAGGTTGACCTCGAGCCAGGGGTTCTGGTTGCGGCCGATGACTATGCTGGGGCGGTTCGTGTAGAGGAAGAGGATGGTTGAGTCGGAAGGGGTTGTTTGGAGGAGGTGGTGCTCGATGGAGAGGTTGATGTAAGGGGAGCGGGAGTTTGAGATGTAGACTTGGGTTTTTGAGGATGGGTTTGCGGCGAGGGCGGAGAAGAACCGAGTGTGAGTTGGTGGCCTGAGACAGGAGAGTGTCCTGGGAAGAGGACGTATGGCGAGCATCGTATGAGATGTTATGGTGAGGCGAGAGTGAGGCGCTTCTCACGATGACATTTCGATGTTTAACCGCTGGAGATATGGCGAGGGCCGTTACTATCGATTTATGAGGCGTTCAAGACTGATGATCTGGAAGGTTTATCAGTGGAAGGTCAGAAAAGGTAGTCAATCAAAACTTACTGTACGTTCTCGTAAGTACACTTGAGATCGCCGACCCAGATGAGTGAGTGCTGAGATGAAGTTGATGATTGCATCTATCAGGTTTTCTCCCCCGTCGACGGCATGATCCCTGTACAGCCAAACCCCACCTCATTACCGGGGCCATGCATATAAAGCAAACGAACCCCTCCACCCCGCATCGGACGACTCGAATTCTTTTTTGGATTGACTCACCGAACATCGGCCTAGGATAATTTTCCCAATTTACACCACCAGATCCTACCCGTCACAGCCGCTCTCCAAGATGTCGACGTTCGGCAATTACTTCAAGGTCACGACGTGCGTTGCCTCCGACCTCCACTCCCAGTCCGTCGTGGTCAATGGACTAAAATAACCCCCACCACAGCTACGGCGAGTCCCACGGCAAGTCCGTCGGCGTCATCGTCGACGGCGTGCCGCCCGGCATGGCCCTCACCGAGTCCGACGTCCAGCCCCAGCTCAACCGTCGCCGCCCCGGCCAGAGCGCCATCACGACCCCGCGAAACGAGAAGGACCGCGTCATCATCCAAAGCGGCACCGAGTTCGGCGTCACGCTCGGCACCCCGCTGGGCATGATTGTCCAGAACGAGGACCAGAGACCCCGCGACTACGGCAACTCCACCATGGACAGGTTCCCCCGCCCCTCCCACGCCGACTGGACCTACCTCGAGAAGTACGGTGTCAAGGCCAGCTCCGGCGGCGGCCGCTCCTCCGCCCGCGAGACGATTGCCCGCGTCGCCGCCGGCGCCGTCGCCGAGAAGTACCTCCGCGAGGCCTACGGCACCGAGATCACCGCCTTCACCACCAGCGTCGGCAACGTCCACCTCTTCCCCCCGACCCCCGAGCACCCGACCCCGTCCACGAACCCGGCCTTCCTCTCCCTCCTCGATACCGTCGACCGCAAGACCGTCGACGAGTTCCTCCCCGTCCGTTGCCCCCACGAGGAGACCAACGAGAAGATGATCAAGTGCATCAGCGACTTTAAGGAGCGCGAGGACAGCATCGGCGGCACCGTCACCTGCGTCATCCGCAACCCGCCCGTCGGCCTCGGCGAGCCCTGCTTCGACAAGCTCGAGGCCGAGCTGGCCCACGCCATGATGAGCATCCCCGCCACCAAGGGCTTCGAGATCGGTTCCGGCTTCGGCGGCTGCGAGATCCCCGGCTCCACGCACAACGACGCCTTCATCAAGGCCCCCGAGAGCGAGATCCAGGCCGAGGGCCAGCGCATGGGCATCCCCCGGTCCAAGCTGACCACCAAGACCAACTACTCCGGCGGCATCCAGGGCGGCATCTCCAACGGCGCCCCCATCTACTTCCGCATCGCCTTCAAGCCCCCTGCCACCATCGGCCAGGACCAGACGACGGCGACCTACGACGGCGAGAGCGAGGGCGTCCTGGCCGCCAAGGGCCGTCACGACCCTTGCGTCGTGCCCCGCGCGATCCCCATCGTCGAGGGCATGGCGGCCATCGTTATCCTGGACGCGCTGATGGCGCAGCACGCGAGACAGATGACGAAGAGTCTGTTGCCCCCGGTGAAGAGAGAGAACGGAAAGGCGTAAGAGGGGTACGGAGCAAGATTTGTTGTAAATACGGGCATTAAAAAAGCAATTCATGATAGATTCCCATTTCTGGTCATTGGACCGTCGGAACTTATTTTCTCAGTAGCGCGGTCTAACAGGTGAACTTGTTTTACAGCTCCTCGATGGCATCTTGCTTCTTTGCCGTCCTTACGAGATGGAACTCTTCTTGCCGGCCGTATACCCACTGCCAGCCCTTCTCCTCACCAGCGAAGTAGACGTCTTCCTCAAGGGCAAACCAGAGGGTCTGGTTTCTCTCGGGAACATAGTGCTCAACCAGTAGCTCGACGCTGAACCACATGTTACGAACAGCGGCCAGTTCTCCGGATGCAGAAACGTAGTCTTGCATGTTGGTCATGCCTATGCGATATGGTTAGATATGTCCGTCGTCAGATAATGCTGAGAAGAAACTCACCAATCAATGGCCCGGCAGCATGGCCCCAGTCTCCGATAGGATGGCTGTAAACGCGACCTTGGATGCCCTCCTTATGCATTTGGTTCAGTGAGGTCTTGAGCATCTCGTTGCCCGTCTTGCCGACTGTGATAGTCTGTCTCACGATATCCTGCAGACGGTTTCCCTTCCTCAGACCCTCCTTCAACGATTCCGGAACATCCGTCTCATCAGGCCGCAACACATACCCCAAATGCTGCGTGTCAGTATTCAACCCCATCGCCGACAACCCGAAATCCACATGTAGCATATCGCCGTACTCAATAATCCTCCCTCCAGCCCCCTCGTCGACGCTCCGCTCCATCTTCATAACCCACGGCAGCGACTCGTCAACGACGCTCACGCTGGGCTGAAACCACGTCGAGAAGTTCTGCGCCAGGATCTCCTCCCTCAACCACCACTCGACGTCGCCCGTGGTCGTGGTCCCCGGCACGACGACCTCCTCGCTGAAGGCCCTCGCGATCATCGCCCACGCCGTCTCCATGATCTCCCGGTACTGCGGCAGCTTGGACTGCGGCTGGGACGCGATGAACTCGACGGCGATCTCGGGCTTGACGACCATCCGGCCGGTCCACTCGCCCCCCAGCCCGGAGGCCATGGCCTGGTACTCGCCGGCGTGCAGGCCGCTCGCGAACGCGATTTCCGGGTGCGCGTTGATGGCGATGGTGGACGGGTCCGCGGCTCGGAGGTGTTCGGAGAGGGTGTCCCAGACGCCGGTGGTCCAGCCTACGATGCAGCCCGGTTGCTGGGGGAGCGAGTTGGGGGCTGGGGGCTCGGCGAGGAAGAGGCATGTTGTGCGGCGCCGGGCGGAGAAGGTTGTTGCTGGCTTGAGGGACCAGAAGACTGTTTCTTCGGCGTACTCGCGCTGACTTATCTGTGACTGTGTTAGATGTCCTGATGTTTAAGATGAGCGAGGATGAGTGAGATTTACGAGCCAAGCATCGACGCCGTGCTTCTTGAGGAGAGCTGGGATTGTCGCCTTGCGTTCCTCCGTCCAGGCATCTTGAATGCGGGCTTGCTCGCGGAGGGGTGGAAGAGGGTTGTACTTTGGCTTCGGGTCGGCTATCGCAGGTTGCGAGAGCAAGACGGCCGCTGGAATGAGGGGAGCGAGCCAATGCATCGTCGGTCAATCGGGGTGGTGATGATCTTGACTTCACGATGGGTTGAATGATCGAGAGAAGATGAGAGAGATAGTTCCCTAAGATGGAGGATGTGGTGAAGAAAGCGAAATCGGATGACGTCCAAGCCCCGTTTGAGGCATGAGCTGCATGCTGTTGCGTGAGACTCATCGTCTTATCTAGTCCCGGAAAGGCAGCTGGATTGCCGGAACCCTGAATCCTACGCTGCATGGATGCTGATCCCCGCTCCGGCGAGTGTCGCTCACCGAAACCATCGTGTTGTGTGGTGTCTGTTGCTTTTGAGGGGAACAGAATGCGAATGCACGCAAGTTCTTCACGCATCAAGCAAGCTTCAACATGGCTTGTTCTGTCGTAGATAGTTGTTGGTCGCGAAACTTCGAATACCATGTCTCGGGCTAAAGCACATCTCGCCTACAAGATCCCTCACACGATTCCTATCGTTGATGATACATGACCATCATGAATAAATAATAATGATAGCCATACCACATAGAAATATGACTTCAACGCCACGATTAGAAGGGCTGAAGGACCGAACATTTCAAGCATACGGGCCTCGTCACCCAGCCATTCTGCTAACACTGACTTCACACGCCTTCTGATGAGCCGGTGCTCACACCACTTGTTACAAGTCATTGCAAGAAACGCCACAAAGCAAATGGAAAGCTGAAAACTGTTTCGATAGTATAAATTACAGTAGCATGGGCTTTAACGCTTAAGCGCCTTCGGTTCCATTCGTTGCTTGCTATAATAACCAGAGGTAACCGACAAGGATTGGAATGAAGAGAAATGTTAGGATTATGTTGAAATGCAATTGAATCTATTCTAATGAGCTATTGCTCAGGGTATCAAAGTCACTCGAAAAATATGCTTAAGTCGCTCCCAAAACAATCCGTACCAAACCCCGTTCCATATCGCCACCACTCTCAATCAGTCGTCACGTATGACGTATCGTAATTCTCATCGCTCGTCTCAAACACCGTTAACTCATATCGCACCGGCGATGGCCATGCTAACAAGAGCAGCAATCGAACAGACCACCCCGCGGCTGAGACTCAAAGACGTGGCGGCAGATTCATCGCCGCCGCCGTCGTTATCGCTGGCAGTGCTTCTGGGTCCATCGCCAGTCTGAGTCGGCGTGGGGTTAGGGTCGTCGACGTGGAGAGCGTTGGTGCTCCCAACCCAGGCGTTCCAATTTGTCAGGCCGTTGACGCAGTCCGTCAGGATCTTCTTGCCCTGGATCCTGGCGATCTCGGTACTGTACTTGTACATGATGATCTCGACGTCGCCTCCCCCAACGAAGGGTACGCTGCCGTGGAAGACGCCCTTGTAGTCGTCGGGCGTGGATGTCCAGTTGGCCTTTTGGGTCTTTCCGTTGACGGTGACGGTTACGTCCGCCCAGGATGTGAGGAGGGCGGAGAAGAAGATTTTATCCTGGACGACGTGGGAGACGGCAAAGGTGCGCTGCGACTGGCTCTCGGAGTTGCCAACGGTCCCTCCGTCGGCGCAAGCGAGGGCGGGTGAGCCACGGTACCATGCCATCAGACCCTCCTGTTTGATGTCTGCTGCGATGGCGCCCTTGTATGTGTCGATGAGGTATGGCAGGAAGTGACGCCAGCCATCGTGGGGGTGGTCCAGGGCATAGTTGAAGGGCGCCTCTCCGACCTGGAACGCTTCGAGGGCGTTGGAACGGACGGGGCCGATGTGGTGCGACTCGCCGTAGTCGTTCCAAGAGATGATCTGGACGAACCTGCCGATGGTCAGCTTCCAAGTTACATCGACTTCGAAGACGGGATACTCACTCTGGCTTGATATCCAACACCTGAGCCCAGCGATCGTACCAGAGATCGTCACCACGCCAAACCCAGTTCTTCTTGTACCCAGGGAGGTTGGTGTAGAACCACGGCGAGACGGGCATCATGTAAGGCTTGCCCTTCAACGCCCACTTGTAGGCAGCATCGCTCTTGGTATTCATGTTCTGGTCTCCGACAGGCCAGGCGTTCCAGCTGAACAAGCCGTCGGCGACGCCTCCGGCGAGAGTGAGGGCTTCTTCAGGGGCGACGGAGGACCAGTCGGGGATGAAGAACGCGTTCGTCTTTTGCTTAAGCTCGATCCAATCCTCGGCGTTTTCAGTGCCTTCGAAGGTCGACGCGACGGGCTTGCCGCCGTACTTGAGGTATTCCTCGCGCTTGAAGTACTTATCCGCCATGTCGAGGATGGTCTCCTTGGGCCAGGCCGCGCCTCCGTGCTCGCCGCCCTTGTAGTCGAAGGAGAATAGGAGATGGAAGCCGACTTTCTTGGCGGCGGTGAAGGCTACTTCGAGGGCCTCCGGGGTGTGAGGGTCCGTCATGCCCATGTTGAGGGCGAAGGCGTCGATGTGAGCATCTTTGGCGAGCTTGAAGTCGTCCTCGAAGTCGCTCATGGTGTAGTTCTTGGTGTTAATAAGCTGGGGGAAGGATGTTAGCAAGCGCTCTACGACGATGAGGGAGATGATCTACGGTACCATGAAGTGGGCAATAACGGATGCGGCCTGGATCTGGGTCACAGCGGCCAGGAGGCCGGCGAGGAGTGTGATGAACTTCATCGTCAAGATCGGGCGTGAGCCACAGGTGGTCGACGGGAAGGTTTGAATCGTCGAGGGCAGGATTGATCGGCGTTGGTTATTAGAGTCTCAGACATATGAGAAGGGGCCAACAAAGAAGACTGAACAGCAGAGTGCGCCATTATGTATCGTGGCCTCCCTCACTCGAGGATGCCGAATTGGGTATACTTTGCAGTATCTGCCTTGAGACTAAAAGAGGCTGCCTGCGTTTGCCGCGCCCTGCTACGGGTACAGTAAGCCGCGCCTGAATGACCCCTGGTCTGGATGGGGGGGACGACTGGCCTGACTCCATCGTGAGGACGTGTAAGTCAGGTTGGTTCATGAGCCAACGGTAAGTGGCGCACGCACTTGCTGCTCCTCAGACTCAGACTCCAACGGTCAGAGAGAGACAGAGAGGGAACACACTCGGTTCCTGCAGGGTTCCCATGAGGGCGCTTGCCCGTTGGGGCAACTTGTAGAGAACAGGGATGGGCCAGGCGTTTACGCCGTTGGTTGTTCATGGACAGACTGAGTGAGTGGATCACGCTTTTGCTGTGTATTTGGTGTGCCTGCGATCAACTTTGTGCCTGCTGTGCCTCCGGACCGCGGCGCGAACATGAAAGATGCTGCGGGCCAAGGCGAAGAAATACCTCTAGTTCAGGCCGCTGTTGCCATGCATGGGAAATGACTTCGCCCGGCTTAGCTGCTGACGCTGCGTTGTCGTGAAAAACCACATCTCCGGCGGTGAGATGTCTCGAGACAGTAGTCGTCTCTATGAAAGAAGCTGGCATAACTCTTCTTGATATCCCACCTCGAGGAGCCTCGGAGACTTCGTCTCCTTGCAGTGATCTCAACCCAGAGTCAGTAGGTATCGACAGCGTAGACGGCAGGGAAGTTCTCTGGACGGAGATCTGCCCAGCGGTTCGAGGTCTGGACTCTGGGCCCTTCTCGTCCATACACAGGCAATCGAAGTAGTATTTGCCTAAGCCCTGCCCGCCCTGCCATCAGGCTCGCCCGACAGCTTAACCTTGTTGGAGCGGACAGGGATTCTCAATGGCCGTTTTGCCGGAGACTGGCGGACGACAAGCCGAATCCTTCGCTAGCGGCTCCTCGCGCACCGCCGTCTAAGTCGTGATCCTTGTCCTCGACGGGCCACACGTGCGGAATCGGCCGAGTGTGCCACCCCAAAGCACCGCCAGACAGCTCGCTTGTGATCTCACCGGCAGCAAGGTACCCGTCACACCAGCCTCTGTGAGATGAGCAAAGTAAGCAAAAAAGACCCTTTCGCAGGTGACTTGTGAGATTGTCAGTGCAGAGCATGGGTTTTGCGATGAACAGGGGGAGATATTGAACGTTTTTCTGCCCACTATTTTCAGGCAGCACAGGGCGAGGCGATATGGGGACTTTGAGCATTGCTTGTCGCTTCTTGACTCTATCCTCGGAAAGCTTGGCTTCTTCGTCTTTGACTCGTTTTCCGTATCTCTCGCGTTCTCGTAGCGTGGACCAACCAGACCGTTGGAGCTGACAGAGATTCACTCGAAGACCGCAGTCAGTCCAGCCCTGTGGACCACTGGACCCGGAATTCCGCCCCCTCCCGGAGTGTTTGTAGGATCTGAAGCCTGAAGACGAAGCAAAAAACGAGAAACACTGACGGAGCAGCACGTCATCGATGCGGGCTCGTGTATCGGAATACCGTCGAAACGCATATACGGAAGTCTACCTACTGGCTGTCGTAGGATCCTCTTGGTTTATTTTCAGTTTTACGAAACGGCGAACGCCAGCCGGCGGGAGGCTTAACGATTGGGGTCTGTTGGTGAGAAACCAAACAGACCCCATCTGGTGTGGGCGTTGCGCCTGTTTCCGGTTGGAAAGTAAGCGTTATCGCCGGCCAATCGTCCGAACCCCCGCTGAGGCCATCGCGACAGGGGTTCGAAGGCCTCAGTCGGACGAGGATGAGCAGAAATTCACCGCAACATCCCTGCCCTGTCATCCAGATAACCTTCACCTTCGGTCTCTAACTTCATCCGGGACATGGTTGAGCGAGAGCGAGGACCAACAGGTAGACTAGCAGAGAGCTAACGAAATAAAGTGACGAGACTTGAGTTGAATGAGAAAGATGACATGGGAGTGAGTGAGCTGCTAATTAAATCCCTGCTTCCATGTCAGCCACCCCCACCACTCTAGACCCCTTGGAGTTGAGCTGCAGTGAGCCCAGAGCCACCGATTCGGCCCGCCCAGCACCGTCTCTAAACCAAAGAGCGGAAGCCATTCGCCGTTGGTCCTTTCAACCGCGGTTCCCTCGCTACAATGGGCGGCGGTTCGGCTTGCTGTTCCGCATGTCCTGAAGTGCTGGGTTCAGCCCTGGAGATGATGGATGGTGTTGCACAGCACAGCGGTTCGTCAAGCGCCAACATAAAGCCATTCGCTGTTGAGACCTTCCGCTTTACTTTCGAAAAGCACCAACACAGCTCTGTTACGCATTTGGCCTCCGAAGTTTCATTTCACCAGCGAGTCATAGTCCAGATCTCTTCAATACTTGGTTCGGTTAATCAAAAAGCCTTGCATTGGTCAGTCACTTTGCTTGGTAACATGAGTGTTGTGACATGGTATCCCACCAATTTCAATATTGCGTCTTCCTGACAGCAATTCGCGCACGATGAACAATATCCCCTGTAAATATGCACGTCTTTCAGAATAAGGGCTTGCATCGTGCATCAAGATAGTGCTGACCATTAATTTCAATACCAAGATCCGAAGCGACGTGAGCGAATCGCATGAAATGCGTGCCGCTTCTAAGCCTAAAGCTGAATACACTCAAAACAACACACATCAGGCATGATTTCCTGTTTGGGAGCACTATTTACAACAAACGAATATAAGTACTCCATAGTGAGAAGACTGTAACGCAGGCACTTGCGGCCCCATAACCAAACTATGCGATGCCGGCAAAAGGCAGGCAGAGATAAAACCAGCCAGCACTATGTATCGTCTTCTAGAAAGGCCAGAAATCGATCAAAACAAGTGCAAAAACGGACATGTTGACTTAATCAATAGCCATTTGCTCAATATGACTGCGAGCCTTTGCAGCTGCTAAGCGAATCGACTGGATGACTTCTCCTTCGGGCCAACCCCGCAGCTTTGATGCGGCAGGCTGTGTTGCTGCCCAGATCTAAGGCAGTTCTTAATTGTCCCCGCAAGTGGTTGGGGCAGTCAGGTAGGTGCACATTTCCACCAAGTCGTACTTGCTGGCCCTTGCCGAGTATCTTTACACTCAGAGTCTCCGAAAGCTGTATTTGACGATCTGCTTCCGTTGTCACATTGTCGAAGCGGAGTTGCAAAAAACTATTGCCAACCTAAGGATATTTCTTTGCCTAGACTGCTGTCAACCATCATGGATCCCAAACAATCCGAGGAGCTTCAAAGCGCGATCCGCCAGCTGACCGACGGACTCCTCCGCCTGAACACCATTCTAGATGGCCAAACGCAATCTCCAACGGTGAGCTCGACAGAGCCCATGCATCCCGCGGATGAGATCGCGCAGGTCAAGCCTGAATCGTCCGATGACGGACACAACATTAGCCAGCTTATGAAAGAGCTTCAAGGGAAACGTCAGGAATGGCTAAGAAGTAGCAGCACAGCTTCAACAAGCGAGAATGCCATCCAGGTTATCTGCATAAAAGGAAAAAGGTGCCTTAAGAGTCTCAAAGCACACCAATTGGCCGAATGGCTAATTTCTGGGTTCTAGGATATGTTCAAACGCTTGCCTGCCAGATGATATTCCATGGGATGGTGACTGGCAACAAGTAGTCTCAAGTGAGATCCGACATATCTTCCAACACATGGGCCTTAGCCCTACTCTATCGAAGTACTCTCCGGACTCACAGGTACAACATCTCGAGAACCTCTAGAGTTCCCTGCATTCTAACGCAACACAGAACGGGGCACCAGTTGCAAGGCATGGACTGTGGTCAGCTCGGCAATCCACGTCCAATGCGGAGGACGTTAGCTAACTATTAGTATGACAGGAAGAAAGAAGCACTCAACCCTTTGGTTTCCGTTCTCAGCTTCGAAGAGTTCACTTCCCTGTCAAAATGGCTGCAGTCTCCGAAGCAAGCTGTTCGTCTTGTGCTGGCTTACGTCGCTCCCCCCTCAGAAGTCTTCTTCCAAGTTAAGAGGGACACATCATACCCTGCGTATCCGAACAAAAGCATGGTCATGCCATGTTGCTTGACACAAGAGGGCGAGCGCTTTTTGATGGAGTTCAGTTTGCGGTATTGGGATGTTGTTACGCGACACCCCAAAACAGAGGCAGAGGCGCCCGAAACGGGGGGTCTCCTAATCAAGAGGATTATCACACACACACGCCACAGCGATTCGGGCATGTTCGTTGAAGCGAGGTCTATAGTGGCCGTCAGTTCGTCTGGCTCTTACGCAATACCGGAATACGTCACAGTCACTCTCTCAGACAGATTCTCACGGTCTCAGAGAAACGAAACAATGACCGCCGAGGAGTTTTGCCGGCGATATGGTTTGCGATGTGGAACACAATCTGACGCTATCACCTACTTCTTGGCCAGGATTATTTCGATGTTTGAAACATCTCAAGAAGCCTGGTTCACCGTCATCGATACTTTGGATGATACCTCTTTCGTTAAGGTATGGGATATCTTGTTTTGTTTGGAGATGAAATCTAGTTTCGTTTGTTATCATACCGCCAGTTAATTTGCCGGATATACTCACCAGACGATAGGCTCACCGCATATTCAAGTTCTGGTGTTCACCCCACACCTGGCATGAAGACAGCGAGTCTATGGAGATTATGTTGCAGTCCTTGTCGAAACAATCAAAAGACTGCTTTGCCTTGCTACAGTTTCTCAAGGTTGCGATGGATCACGTTTCGGAGTCGAAGAATTCATTCAACTGTCTTCGACGAATGCTTCGAGACCTGTCGCCAACAAACACGCACATGGCAAACAGTGTTCTCTACAACCTGAACGAGGCATCGAAGCTCGTTGACGATGTGACAGAGAAGACACTAAAAAGACTACAACAGCAAGTAGATGCAACTACACGTCTTCAGAATGGGGTGAGCATGTATAGCCTTGGGCAACACATTCATCAGCTTATTTCTACAGATCTTCAGTGAAATATCCCTGAGAGAAACACGGAAAGCTATGTACTTGAACCGGACAATTTACGTATTTACCGTCGTCACCGTGTTGTATGCTCCGTTGGGTTTCCTAGCGGTAAGTTAGCCCCCTATCTAAATTACGTGTTCATTCTGATACTCCCATCAGACGTTCTGGGCCCTGCCCTTCTTGAATGACCCCGAAGAGGGCAACAAGGTCCAGGAATCACCAGCCTTCTTGGCGTCAATGATTCTTGTCCCTTTGCTTACATATGGGGCTTGCCTGCCAATCACAACCAGCATGTTGACTCGACGATGGGGCCGGTTTCGTGAGTTGGCTTCCGTGCTACTAAAAATCTCTATAATCTTACTGGTGATTCTGTCATCCTTGACTTCGCGAACCCTTTCGAGGATCCCTGGAGGCCTCTTCTCGAGACCTTTCGACTCTGCTGCACACTACAGCTACGACTACGGTGAAAATCCACAAGAGAGGCTCGCTTCGTTGATGAACGATGACTTTGTGGAGCCGAATCAGGATAAGCGGGAAACCAAGCTTCTTTGGAGGCTATTCCGGCCAATTCGATGGGTTCGCGCCATGATGAAACCAGCGGCGGCAGAGAGGAAGTTGGGGGTCTGAGCTATGGGATCTTTGCGGCTGGGCTCCTTGATGTCTTAAGATGCACATATGCAAAGGGCACTTTGTCTTCCTTGGGCCGGACCTCAGAGACCCTCAAGGCTGTGCACAGCTCAACAACAAAAACATCAAAGACAATATCAGAACTCATGTGCATCTCATTGACCTTCCATTCATGACAAACCAAGCCCTCTTGAGCCAGTTCATCTATATGCGTGCTGTCTATTTACATTCAAAAACCATCTGCTCAATACCTCCACATGCAGCATCCCATCCCCTCGCGTGGAAAATCAAAAAAAATCAAACGTCTTCTTTGGCTGGCTTGCTTGCTGGTGTGGGGCTGTTTCGTCAAATACCCGCGCGCGTGGTGTCATAACCATCTCATATCTCTTACACAGGTCTTGGTCTCTTTCTGTTGTTCATGTGCATACTCTGCTTTGTCGTCTCGCTTGTGACTGTGAGGCAATCACAGCTCGTCATGGTCGTCTGCCTCAGTCTCAGCTTCCTGCTCAGTCGTCTCCTCCACAGATGGCTCACCCTCAGAGGCGCTTTCAACAGGCTCCTCAACAGGGGCGGCAGTCTCAGTGGCTTCTGCCTGATTGGTCTCAGTAGCTTGCGCCTCATCGAATTCTGTGGGCTGTGCCTCATCTGCCTCAGACTCAGACGCCAGCTCCTCGTTCTGCTCCTCAACTTGAGCCTCATCATCAAGAGACACTTCAGAGGCAACGCTTGAGGTCGGCTGTGCCTTGACGACCTCAGTCTCAGTGACGAAAGCCTTGACCGTCTCCGTCACAGTTTCCATGATGCGAATGACCTCTCTGGTTGTGATGGTCTGGTGAACCCCAACAGGCTGCGGAAACTCAACCTCCTCAGAGGGGATAGAAGTAGGTTCAGGGGAGGGCGTAGGCTCCTCCTCGACCAGATCCTCGACCGATGAGGGTGAGACCTCCTCCTCATCCACAGAAGTCTCCGAGCTCTCGACTGATGAGGAAGAAGCCTCCTCACCATCCACGGGGCTGGCTGAGCTCTCGGATGGCTCTTCAGCGGAGGCAGTGGGCTGAGCAACGGGCATCTCCTGACTAGGCTCCGCAACCTGTGCCTCTTCACTAGGCTCGACGACAACCTGGACGGGAGTCTCGGCAGACACCGTCGACTCGGTGAGCGACTCGACGACGGACTGCACCGTCTCCATGATGGGCGGCTCAGCAGCGGCCTTGGATCCTCCGTCGATGCGGACATCAGGCACAACCTGCTCGACAAACTTGCCATCCCACTCCTTCACTTCACGCTGCGCCGGCTTGAAGGCCATGAATAGCATCAGCAAGCCCATGACGACGATGGCCAGGTTCTTCTTGTCTTGCATGAACACGCGGGCAGCCTCGACAAGCAACTCCCCAATGCCGGCGTTTTGGAATCGCTGCCTTTCCTGGCTGTGATCAAATGTGTTGTCGGGTTGGGGCGGCGGCGCTTGTTGCTGGTGCGGTTGCTCATGGTAATGCTGCTGGGGCTGTTCTTGAGGTTGTTGAGGTGGCGGAGTTTGCGCGTACTCTTCGGGCTGAGGCTTCGGCTCCGGCGCATGCTGATATTCGTGCTCCGGCTCAGGTGCTGGTGCGCCTTGTCCGTATATCTCACGCATGCGAGCTTCGTCACGAAGGCGACGCTCTTCACTTTCGTTGTGGCGGGGCACTGGCTCAGGAGAAAGCGAGCGATGATCCTCGACGGGAGCAGGCGAGGGAGCCCGGGCATGTGACTCATCCTCGTTGTAGTTGGGCTCGATCATGTTGGGCTCTCCCACAAAGGATGGTTCCTGAGGAGGCTCCTCCAAGGCAGGCATGCTGCGCTCGAGATGCTGGGACATGTCGCGGTCGAAAGCCGACATGTCGTGTTCGTCGGTCATGTCCCGGCCTTCGGTCGACTCGAGGATTGTGGGGTTCTCATGCTTGACCATTTGCTGAGACTGGGCAATCACAAGGCGCTCCAGTTCGTCCAAAACGCCGGACGTAACGATAGGTTCGAGTTCGACGTCGACGCGCTCCATCTCCTTCCAGCAGGCAGCCCAGGCACCAGTCCTCATGAGACCGTTGCTTGCGTACACCTTAATGCGGAAGATCTTGCCAGGGCCGAGCGACTCATAGCGAATATCGTGACGACATGTGGGACACCAGTGCGTCTTTGCGAGGGCATTTCTCCTCCGGATCTCCTCATCGTAGTCCTCCTCGTCACTGTCGAGCTCCTCAGTCATGGTCGACTCATTCGACGGGCCGATGTAGTGGCCACATTCGAGCACGCGGGCTCTCCGGCGAAGCGGGAGATCGAGGGCCTCCAACAGCCGCTCTTCCAAGATCTCATAATCGTCCTGGGGATGGGAAAGGAGGATACCGCGTTCGCAGACGGTCTCGGCGACACGGTCGTGGAGGTGGTGCCAGGCCTCTCGAAGGTTCTTGGCCTCTGCGGAAAGGTTGTCGGAGGGTGTGGCTTCAAGGATTTCTGCCCATTGCCAGCGGAGAGGAAGGAGGGTCACATGGAGAAGGACTAGAGGGGCGGGTTCCTTCTTGACCTTAAGACGAGTGGGTGTAGTGCGGCCCTTGGGGGAGTATTGGGCGGACGCGGACGGGCTGCCAAGGCGGGAAATGGTTGGCATTTGTGGTCGCTTGCTGGAGCGAGGAGATCCAATGACGGACTGAGCTGGAGAGGAGTATTGCATGGCCTTGACGTCGGAGGGCGTGCGGAAGGGCATTCGCTGACTTCCGCGAATGGTGGGGACGAACTCTTCACGGTCGTAATATGAGAGTTCAGACATGGAGACATCAGACTCGCGCGAAGAGCGCTTGGATGAACGCCAGTCCATTTCCTTGTTGTGGTGATGATCCATGTGACCACCGTCGAACGAACCCAATGAGCTTCGCGCACTGCGTTCGCTGAAAACGTCGGAGTCGGCACCGTGTTGCGATGAGCTATCCCCGCCATCTTCGACGTGCATGGGAGGAGGCATAGCGTCACTGTCTCGGCGGCTGTATCGGCCGCGACGGCTCTGACGGCTTTCTCGGCGACTCTCGCGAGGGCTATCACGATAGCTAGCCTGGGATCTTGTGTCGTACGACTCGCGACGAGTAGCTTCTGATCTGGTATCGTAGGAATCCCGGCGAGTGGTGTCGGATCTCACGTCGTAGTGGATCTCAGTGCCGTTGTTCGTCGAGTCCATAGAGTCGCGAGGTGACTTAGACCTGTTACGCATGGTCTCCATCGTTTGTGCCTCCAGACGCTCAAGGACCTCCTTCGCAGCAGCTTGAATCAGGGCCTCGGTTTGGCCGGAGGCGCGACGGAGCGAGGACGATGAACGGCTCGCTTCCCTGACCTCAGCCGGTCCATCATGCTCGTCCTTGACCTCTTCGACAACGACGGCCGGAGCGGACTTGTCTCCAGACTCGGCCGGCGTCTCGTCTACCTTCTCGAGATCGTCCGATGGCGCATCTTCTGCATTGGCAGCAGCGGCTTTCTCCAGCTCCGCGAGCTCAGATTCAAGCTCCTCGAGTGACTTTTCATGCTCGGTATCTTCAGGCTGAGACTCGGGCTCAGCAGGAGGAGTATCGTCGGTGTCAGCCTCCTGTTTGGGTTCAGGCGTGGGCTCAGACTCCTCCGGTTTGACTTCATCGGCTGTAGGCTCTACAGAGTCCTCTTCCACAGTATCCTTCTCGACGTTGGCATCTGACTTCTCAGGTTCGTCCTGGGTTGTAGCATCGACGTTCTCAGCAGTTTCGGCCTTGCCATCATCCGCTGCGGTGTCGTCACTTTGGGCTGGTGTATCTTCGACGACAACAGAGTCTGGCGTCGTTTCCGTTTCCTCGAGCTTGTCTTCCTTGATCTCTGTGTCGTTCTCAATCACCTCCTCCCTGGAAGCCTCCTCGACAGGCTCGGTCTTCACGTCATCTTTCGTATCATCCACCTCAACCTCGACCTTCTTCTCCTCCTCGACCTTGGTGGGTACTTCGTCGTCGGCCATCGGTTCGCTCAAGCAAGACGGATCAACATGGATGTCAAAGTCCAACTCTTCGGGTCTTGGCCCGGGTCGTGGCATCTAGCGTGGGAGAAGAGAAGGAAAAAAAGCGGGTTCTCTTCCCAGGAAGAAGGCGGTCGTAGTCGTGCCTTCTGAGAGAGAGAGGAATGTGTGTGTTTATGCCGGTTCGGGACGGGTCGAGGGAGCAACCGTCAGGTGTTCGAGACCAATTGGAGATCTTCAGGGTCGTTCGTGAAAATCGTAGAAAGCGTGGAAAAGAGAGGAGCAGCAGACCGTGTCGGACAAGGAGCTGCCTTGGTGCGTATGTGTGTCCTCTCAGGAATCGTGTCTTTTTTTTGTTGACTTAATGGGGGTTTGCATATATGTGCTGAGTTGTCCCGCGGTGGTTGGTCGGGGTTTTGGTGGGCTAATGCTAATGCACCGCGCGCCAGAGGAAAAAAAAAACCAAAAGTGATTGGGCTGGGTCGGGTTGGTGAGGTGTTCCTGCAGCGTTGGCAGCTGCGGGAGTGGCTGGACTGACTTGTTTTGTTTACCGCCGTTGCCGGGGTGAGACGGTGTGATCGCCGCAAACCGCAACCCGGCCCAACCCAACCATGCCATTTTTGCGCCCAATTGGGGAAATTCTGGGGTAGGCTGGGTGCGAGACACGACGACCGCATCCACTCCGTTGTCTGTCTTGTTCAGATATTTTAAATGGAAAGGTTGGTATTCTCGTTTACGGCTTGTTGATGGGAACGAAGCTTGATGCATTCACTTACCGTATTTTCAAATCTTTTTATTCCATTCTGCCTATGTTCAGCCATCGCAGGAGGGAAAAGACATTTCTCGCACTGCCTTTTTGACGTCATCCCGGCTTCCGGCTGCTCCTTCGACGAAGGACCCGGACTTGTCTCCAGGGGGTCAAATGTCGGTGACCGCGTCGCTCGCCTCGCCTGTGCTCGTCCGAAGGAGAGGGGCCCTCGACCGTTGGCCGAACGTCTTTGCTGCATGAGCCGTTGCCGGGCCGCCTTGACGTTAAAGTCAATCCACATCCGTTTGCGGTGACGAATCAAGTTTGCCTCGGCCGGATCTGGCACTCGCGATGACCTGTATGCATGTCACTGTGAAGCGGGTTCGAGGTTCAAACTCCCGGTCTATGATTGCAAGCTACAAAGCGACTATTATACAACCCTTTGGCGGGCCAGCCATCTTTTCGTGTATCATGCTCTATGCTTCTATGATAGGCAATTGGTGAAAAGATTCCCATATCCCACCCAAGAGTTCTTGTTGTTGACTGATAAAACAAGAGTTTGCGGGCCGATCCGATGTGCGCGCGTCGCATCAGCCCAAGTCTATTGCGCGAACTGTGGTGCTGTGTTTTCGGGGGGAGGATATCATGTTGCGTCTTTCCCGCCGCCATTACCGTTCCCTGGACAAAAGAAAACCAAAAATTTCCCAGGGGTCATGGGGAGGAGGAAACATCATTAGCCCTCATCCAGAAACCAGCGCCCTTTTCTTCTCTTCCGCTGCTCACCCCCGTCCCCGTTGATGATGATGCGAGATCAACCAATTTATTTGGAGATCTCGACACCGCCAGTGGCACCAAGGGCCTTCTTCAGGTCACCGTAGATACCGAACTGGAAGGCGGTGAGGGTACCGACCATGAACAGACGGGCACCAATACCGGCGTAGGAGCCACGGATACCGAGCTCCTTACCGATCTTGACAAGACGGGAGGTGGTACCTTCACCGGGCTCACCCTTGGTCTTGTTGATCTTGGAAAGCATGGTGTCGGCGGGCTGGGAGACGATGGCGGCGGCGAAACCGGCGATCAGACCGGAGCCAAGGTTGACGAAGGTCTGGGAAGCGTCGGACATGTCCTTCTTGGGGTACTGGCGGTAGATGGCCTCGGCGACCTTCTCGTAGACAACGAACTTGGACATGGTGTAAGGGATCCTGAGGGGTGACATGTCAGTATTTGATTCGCGCAACTAAGGCCTCCTCCTCGGCACCGGTCCGGAAGTGCGAAAACTTACTGCTTGAACAGAATGGGGCCGAATCCAGCGTAGAAAGCACCGACACCCTCGTTGGAGAGCATCTTGCTGAAGCCGGAGACGAGACCAGAGGCGTAGGTAGGCTCGGAGACGAGACGGATACGGGTGGCCTCAAGAGGGCAGAGGGCGATATCGGCGAAGAACTCGGCAGCGGCGGAGGAAGCCAGGTAGACACCAGTGCGGTAGTTGGAGGCATTCTCGTAGCCGACGAGGTTGATGGACTGCTGCTTGAAGAATTCGTATCCACCGAACTTCAGAGCACCCTGGAGGAAGTAACCGGCGAAGGTCGGGCCAACACCGGTAAGCAGGGCGCCGGCACCCTCCTGCTGGATGACCTGGCGGAAACCACCGATCAGACCGCGGTTGTAGGTGGCGGGGTCGAGCTGGATTCTGGTCTTGACGCTATCGACAAGTCAGCTTTTGTCTTCAATGACGATGAATTGATTGATCCCGATGTCCATTGGCGCGGTCCGGCGGAGTTCCATCGGCAATTGGAACCTTGTTGTCTTCGCCGAGTTGCTCGTGAACCAGCGCGGACTATACCGGCAGGGAGACTCGAAATTCGCATTGATAGGATAGAAAAGACCTACACATCGACGGGGGTGAGGGCACCGTGGGTGACGGAACAGCAGACAGCACCGGCAAGGGCGAATCTGGAGTAGAGGGCGAGGCCGGAGAGCTGGCCGGGGGCAGAGGCCTTAGCCTGCTCGACGACGGCATCGACCTTGGCCGAGCCGGAGGAAGGGACGCTGGAAGCCATTGCGGATGTGTGGTGAGGAATGAACCGAAGAGAAACGGACAAAGGGCTGAGTGGGGAGGATGTCACGAAGTGCCGCGCAACGGATCGTGACTTTTTTAGAAGGCTGAAGGATTGGGAGGAAGAAAAGAACTTTTTTTCTGGTCTGGGATGGAGGGAAGGAAGACCGGGGAAAAAATTCCGTTGTGAGGCCTTTTTTTAGCGGCGCGGCTGGCGGCTGGAACAACTGGGAACTTGTCCTTTGCAGCGGAAAAGATTGGCTCGGGATTACTCGGGTATCCGCGATTGCGCTGTGAGCACGAGCCATTTTTGACCTGTTAGCGGGCGAGGTTGCAGGGGGAGCTCTTGTCGCTCGGCCTGTCGGAAAAATATCTGCCTGGTCGGCCAAGGTTTACCCGGGCGGTCTCCCCGCGAGGTCCAGTCACAATCCAGGTTTTTTCCTCGAAAAGAGGATCCGCGGTCCACTTAGCGCGCTCCATTCACCCATGTGTTTGCTTGCCGGTGTCGTCACAGCAGCATGGGATGGCATTTTTCAGAGCTCTCACTTTTTCAATTCTTCTTGATAATTACCTAATCCTCAAGATGCGCCAAGCTGCGAATTATCAACATTTTCATCCGGCCCTCGCAGCCAATTCGTTACAATGAATTCCTCAACCTACATCTTACGTCCCTGAAACGCCTTCGCCGTCGTTCGCATCAGGCCAGTTCGCCAATTGCGTCAGGACTGCCCTCCATCATGACTCAAATTTGCCATTTTGCTGCTTGCAACCCTGAACGGCGATACCGCGTCAACCAAGGTTAATCCGGTCCCGGAACAGACGTCACATCACCACCATCAACCACGAGAGCTCAGCTTTATCTACCACAAAGTCAAATGAGACGAGAAGTAGCAACTCACTTCACTAACTAAAACCCAATCGTTTTGCCAAGAATAGGAAATCGCGGAGTTCCATACCAAGGATCCCATCTCTTTGACTGTCTCGCTGTCTCCCTCTCGCTGAGCCTCAACTTTTCCCTTCGTGAACTCAGCCGGCTCTGCATGTGTGTAATCAAATGAGATTATGCTCTGACAGTCGTGCCCGCATAAGCTCATCAGATGATCTACGAGGTCACAAATCGGCACACAACGTCTTACTTTTGCCTGTAAACGTGGTGGAATTAGCGAAGGTGTCTCGCTTGGGCGACGTTGGAGACATCATTCGTGAGACAGCCAGACCACCGTTGAGCTACGTTGCCACTCGAATCAAGGCAGTAATGCGCATTAATACACCTCAGGGCAATATGCCTAGGCTTCATAGACATGTCTTCATCGTTGCGAAAAGGTCGCAACACGTAGAGGGATGCCACTTGCGACATGATAAAAACTCAGCAGCAGGCGTCTTTGCCGTGATGAGGCTAGGCAAACGAGCTCGCATGGCGGGAAGCCTCTATGATCAGTGGGATCGTAGTGTTACAGTGTCTTGTGCGATGAAGACCGGTGCGACGGTCTGCCTCAGTCAGTTAAGAACAGAACATCTCGTCTCAACTACTGATCTGCTAGTTCATGCCATCAAGCTGTTTTCCCCCTGCACCAAAGACTCCAAACCTTCCTAGTGGCTTCAACACCTTGCCTTTTCTCGTCGCGAAAAGTACAGGGTGCTCAGTTAGCCCGTCACCTCCTCACCAAGCGCAGCCATGGCAACAGCAGAGACAAGCACATCTCCATTACCCGAGGCTTCTCAGATTTCAACAGAAGAACGAGAGAGGGGATATTCATCAGGCTTGATACCGGCAGAATACAGCAATCTTGAGCTGGCCGATACAATCAAGGACAGCAAGTCAGCCCAGCCCGAAGTCGCCAGCGGTCCTGGTGATGCCTGGCATAACAAGTCCGATGACAGACAACATCCAGACGCAACACCGCCACAGCCCGACGGGGACAGGTCCTCACCTACCGACGCGAAGGAAAAGGACGGGAAACGAATATGTGGTATCAGACCAGCGACCTTCTGGGTCGGGATTGTGCTCCTGATTTTCTTCCTCGGCACAATCAGTGCGTCAGCTGCCGCGGGCCTGACGGCGAAGTCCTTGGGTCAGATGGAACAGAAATATGAGGCGTAAGTAGTCAGTTTTTCGTCCATGACCCATGCCTGGGACTGTAGACTTATACGCATCATACGCAGACAACTGTCAGCATGTAGGGGCCCGCATCCGTGGGTTCCCAACAGACCAACATCAACCGTTGCGTCAGGTTGCATCCCGCTGCCAAGCGTAGAATCTGGAGTAAACGGTGAGACGACGCCCAATTGTCCGGGAATCGATCCGCAGAACAACAACTACACCTCATCAGGCACGGGCGTACTGTTTAAGCGCGAGTGCGGGATCAATTATCCCAAGTACGACCTAGGCAGCATTCCTCTCACGAGCATGGAGGACTGTATGAACCTTTGCGCGGCATTAAAAGTATCTGTCACGAGTGCGTCGGGCTCATGCAAGGGGGTTGTATGGTTGACCGACGGGAGACAAGGGGAAGGCACGAATGCTTGCTATCTGAAGTATAAGAAGGGGGATCGTGAGGATAGTTCAAGGAATACTGAGGCTGCATGGGTGATGGATAAGACCTAAGACTAATGCTGAGGGAGCTCACTTCAACTATGCCATCAACGCGTGGAATAGTCAGACTTCTACGTAGGATGGCGCGAAAGGGTATAAGTTAGGGATTCTTCGAATCGAGATTAAATTAGTGCTTGGGCTTAACTTAATCGCACAGTTTGTTTTAAAACATGAAATAGAATTAATTTGGGAAATAGAATTGGGGGTGAAGTGAGGTTTACTGAGAGACAAACAGTAATGCACACCACACGCACGTATTTCAAGTTTGCCAATTGGTAGTGAGTCTAGGCGATAGAGCGGTCGATGTCGTAGATAACGACGCCAGAACCGCTGGGCTTACAGGCGGTACAGATCTTTCTGACCGAAGCGATGCCGCCTGCAGCAGCTGGTCGGCCCCGCTTCTCCACACCGGCCGGGCGGGGCTAGGTCACGGTACGGGCCGGCCGGTAGATACTTAAGCGATTGCACCCGCAGATTTTGCCGCAGCCCGGACCAAGTCCGGAAATCCTCCTTCCCAATGATCTTCTACTAAATCTATGTTGCAAGTGTCATTGCTTTCTTCGTCAAATATCAAGATAGGTTGAACACTCACTACATCAACCGGGGATAAACCTTACCCATGACTATGGTCTGACACCCCAATACGTCCATCTCCATTGCTACCGCAAGGAGTCTCCCACCAGTGATTTTCGTTCTCGGAACAGTTCCTTCAAAACACAACTGTTTCGCGGCTCAGCCTAACTGCCGGTTGCGTGCTTAGTGATTGAAAAAAACGGGCTTAGTGAACGATGGGCGCAAAAGTCCCATAGCCGGACGCACGATGCAACGGCATACATGGGTTCAGAACACCGCTTCGCTGGCATCTGTGGAGCTGAACCAATGATACTAGGAAAAGCTGCGATTTTTCCGGGTTTCCATTTGAGAGACTGACTCATTGCTTCTCTGTTTCGTGGCCCTAATATCTGGGGTAGTATCTTGTTCTTTTCCTCTTCGCCGTTGTTACCAAGCATACAAAGCGGCCCCCCAACTCCGCTGAAGAAAAGAAACAGGAAGCTCAAAAAACAATGGGTTCTACCCCAGATGTTCAATCCCACTCAGGGATCCCGCAACTTACCCCATTGGAGCAAATCAGCCCGAGGGGTTGGGTGCGCTACCTTTTCCCATTCCAGCTCCCGGAAGACTACGATGTTGAAGCTGTCACCGAACTCTTTCGCCGAAGCCTGCAGGCAACTAAGGAGCGCTTCCCAACATTGGCTTGCGAGGCCGTTCCAGACCCTGATGCAAGGCAAGCAAACGCGCTCAAGCTCCAAAAGATCACCGACAATGAGATCGAGCCTGTCATTATCAACGATTTGCGTCATTCGACAACCTTTACAACCACGTTTGCCGACCTGAAGGTCAAGAACTTTCCCGTCTCTAGCTTCCCCGCCAGAATCTTTACCCGCTGCCCCATATGGCCCGCTCCTGGACAGCGGGTGCCCATCACAACCGTGCAAATTAACTTCATCCGCGGTGGCTTGATTCTCAACTGGAACCTCTTCCACCTCGTCGGTGACGGACAGGCATTCTACAACTGGATCCGCGTCTGGGCGGAGGAGACACGCAGAGCTCAGGGCCTTGACATCCCAGATCCGGTGTGCTACCCCGATCGCATCTTCACAGACCGCCAGATCGCACACAAACAGCCGCAGACCCTCCCCAACGGCAAGGCCGGACGTCTTGAGGATCATCCCGAGTACAAAATTGTCACGGATCCCGCAACGCAGCTGGCCAAGATCGCGACAACGGATGGCCACGTTGGACAGATCTTCTACCTATCCGCGGAGTCGCTGCAACTGCTGAAGCGGGATGCCCAGCCCCAGACAGGCGATGGATCCTACGTGTCCACCAATGACGCTCTATCTGCCTTGATTTGGCGAAGCGTGATGGCTGCTCAGTTCGATGTGTCTGAGCTTGATGGCAGCGAGATCTCCGTTTACAACATTGCCATCGACGGTCGAGGACGAAGCCAGCCGCCGATTCATCCCCAGGCAATGGGAAGTTTTCTTGGCTTTATCCAAGTTGAGCTTCCCATCAAGAAGATTCTCGAGACCGATAATCTCGCGGTCCTGGCCCATCTCATCCGCAAAGCCGTCACTGCGATGGACAAGAATTTCTCAGGCTCGTTCATCAACGACGTTGTTCAGCTAGTGAACAATCAGAATGATCTTGGCGTATTGATCCCCACGTCGTTCCTTGACGTGCCTGGCCGAAACTGTGCGCAAACGTCTTGGGAGAAGTTCAAGATGTACGACCTTGATTGGGGCCATGTGCTTGGCGGCAAGATTGCAGCCATTCGCTCACCTAGCTGTGGTATTTTGAATGGCATGCAGATCATGTATCCCCAGCACCCGGATGGTGGCCGGGAGATGCTTGTCGGTATCTATGAGAAGAGACTGGAGAAACTATGCTGTGACCCGGTCTGGACGAGATACGCGGTGCGTCGATAATGAGAAAGGGAATCCCATAACCTCATCTGTCCGACTTGCGTCAGAAGATATGGCTCTTAGCTCTATCTCATGTAATGAAGCTCTTTCATAGCGCTGACGCTAGCTAGCCCTATGTCCTGCCCGCGATTTTTAATCTAACATAGCGCAATGGCAAGCTCATATAGCTACTCCCTGCCATTGAAATTGACTACACGCGGATCACTCTGAAGCAGCAGGGTCACTCGGATCAGATATTTAACCCATACATCGATCAGCGCACGTTGATCGCCTACTCTTCTTATCTAGCATCGTGTTTCTGCGACATTTTGAGTTCGTGTACTGTCTCCGTCCCAGTTAAAACAAGTGCGCTATGTCATTAGGTGGGCACAAGGCCTACTATTTCAATGCAGGTGGCTGACATTCGGGAGCAACTACACCAAGAAAAGTTGAGTGCAACATGGGTTTAATGCGTAAGTCCGTTGCGTCTCGCAACCCGCGTATCCCGTATCCCGCGGATTACCATGCCCTTTTGAGTTCAATGGTGACACTTCCGATGACAGTTATAATAAAGAACAGAAACAAAGAGCCTGAGTGATCGGACGATAAGTCAGTCCTCTGAGGCAAACGACCATTGAAAATGTACTATGCTCTATCAGACGGTAACCTATGACATGAGAGTTGATGCGAGGACAATTACAGTTGAAATGAGTGACCCTGGAGGATCAAAAGACTAACACGGTTTGGTCCTTACATCTCGAATTCAAGGCCCATGTACTGTACACTTCAAACATGTATCTGATCTGTCTCCTTGTTGTCCCTACTCCACCGGGCCTACTCAACAGCTGTTCATTCTGACCGGTAGCCTACCGAGAGATCTTCCATGAATACGACATGGGGCCCTGACAAATGATGCTCAGCGAGTTGTACTTTTGTAGGCACACTGCATCATCCAGCGTCCGATCTGTATGGGGGAAGCGGACTTTCGGACGACGGCTTGATCCGCAAACACCTTGGCAACGAGATTCAGGTGGTTCATGCAGGAACAAATGTGCACGACTCACGAAATGAGCATCGATCAGTGGTCAGAATCGTGTCCTACAGGAGAACAGTTCTCCATTTCTTGTGGCATTCGTGTGGGCATGCTTGGATGTCGGAACTTCGGACGGTCGCGATGAGATAGTGTCGTCTGAGATGCAACCAGCGGATCAATGAGTATAAGACGTTGCCACGGCCAGACCCCAAAAAGCGAAGACACCTGGTATTACATGACAGCACAGTTCAAACATACCATCTCCCTCAAGAACGCACATTTGTCCCCTTCAATTCACAAAATGGCCCGTGATGGAGTCTCCAATGGCACCAGCCCCGTAAAAGACGCCGTTGAACCAACCAAGCTGGTCAACCTCGAGGAGGGAGGCTTGGGAGATGTGGACAAGGACAACTACATCGACTACAACGCACCCTATGTTCGGAATCCGCTCCCAGAGCCCGACTCGGAGGTCAGAGTGCTCGTTGTCGGTGCCGGCATTCATGGCCTGCTCACTGCTCACCACTTGATGAAAGACGGCGGACTCACCAACGAGGAAGTAATTCTCATCGACAGGGCCGGTGGTTGGGGAGGCAGTTGGTACTGGAACCGATATCCCGGTGTGATGTGCGACGTCGAAGGCTACGGATATCTTCCTCTCCTAGAAGAGACCGGCCATATTCCCAAGAGAAGATAGTAAGTCTTGGCCATCAGTCAAGCGGAATATCATAGTTGCTGACTTTGTGGGTTTCCAGCTCTTACGGCTACGAGATTCGCGAGCAATGCGAAAGAATTGCAGACATGCTGAACCTCAAGGCCGGATTTGGCGTCAATGTCACCCACCAGCAATGGGACGACAGCGTCAAACGCTGGGTGGTGACTATGACCCGGACACTCCCAGACGGGTCCTCATCCGACCCGTACACCGTCAAGACACAATTCCTAGTCTGTTCCGGCGGTCTGTTCCCTACGCCCCTCGTACCCCTCTTCAAAAACATGAAAGCCTTCCGGTCCTCGCCAGGCAAGGCCGTCATGCACACTGCCCGGTGGGATTGGTCCGTCTCCGGAGGTTCACAAGAACAACCAGACATGACACGGTTCAAAGACAAGAGAGTCGGTATTGTCGGGACGGGAAACACCGCGGTCCAGGTGATTCCTCTCGTCGCGGAGTGGGCGAAGAAGTTATACGTCTTCCAGCGGCACTCAGCTTACGTCGGGCCTCACTTCCAGCAGGACACGACTCCTGAGTTCTGGAAAGACGTAGCGTACAAGAAGGGGTGGCAGTATGAGCGAATGGTAAACCTGGATGCTTTCTTCACGAACCCCAAAGAGTACCCAGACCGCGTCAAGGACGGATGGTCTCAGATCGGTGGCGTCCGCGCCTTGATCGGAGGTTCCTTCGACCCTGTCTTGCCTGGAGGCGAGGAGGCTCACGTTGAGAGGCTCATCGCTCTGGATAAGGAATGGTCAGAAAAGATGCGGCAGAGGGTCTCTCAAGAGGTCGATGACCCAGACGTAGCAGAGAAACTGAAGTGCTGGGCACCGAGCTGGTGCAAGCGTCCCACATTCCACAACAGCTACCTCACGACTTTCAACAAGCCCAACGTCGAGCTCATCGATACGAATGGACAGGGTGTACGGGACTGTACGGCTGGTGGTGTCATTGCCAACGGCCGAGAGTATGAGCTCGACGTACTGATTCTGGCGACCGGCTACACCATCGCCATCTTCGACAGTGACCCATCCAAATCCACGACTACGACCATTGTCGGCAGAGACGAGCGAACCCTAAGCGACAAGTGGAAGTCTGACGACTTTGGGACCATGTTCGGTTTGGCGACCAACGGTTTTCCGAACCTGTTCTTCTGCACGCCGGCAGGCTCAGGGGTATCCAGCAACTTCCTGTCGTACCTGGAGAACAACGCAAGGACCTCTGCGCATGTTATCCGTCAAGCCCTTGAGCGTGCGGAAAACCCAAACTTCGTGGAGATTGAGGCTCTCAAGGATGCAGAGGACAGGTTCACTGACCAGGTCATGGAGAAGGCGAGGCATTTCAGTGGATTGGGCATCTGCGGTCTTGAGCTCAATACCGTCACCAACGGCACGGGTTTCACGGTTCCCAAAATGCCTGATGCAGAGTTGAGGAAGGAACCGTGGGGAGAAGGCATCTTGGGAATGCGAAAGTTGATTGCGGAGTGGACTCAGCAGGGGAGACTGGAGGGTTTCCAAGTCGTGGGCTAAGCATTTTGGCCAACTGCAGGTCTCTTGTAGTTTGGTTTTGGGCTTCCATAGAGCAGAACGTGTGCAAAATGATACTTCTTCTACTTCTCGAAAATATGATGCTCAGAGGCCCTCTGAACGATTTTGTCCACAATTTAGATGGCAGGATGATGCTGCGTGGGGTCAACGGCTAGATCACTAAGCAAAAGACAGAGCTAAGCAGGTTCGCCTTTTTCTGAAATCAATCTTACAGTAATGCATGATAGTTTTACTAAGCAAGGAATTCCTAAATGTCTCTGCCTCTCGTGCTTGATACACCACACACATGTACTCACGAACTGCTTGAAATACGAGCCGAAGTTTCAAACCTGCTCACACTTCACAGTCGGCTGTCTCTATTTGTCGATGGTAACCTTTCTTGATCTGCGAAGAAATATCTTCCGATTCGCGGGTACCAAGCGTACACGGACTCTGAAATCATCGGGTCTTCCTTTCTGCCTCTCACGTAAAGCCAATAAGCTGCAAGACCAGCAGCCATGGCCAGCTCTGTTGTTACTATTTCAAGGGTCAGTATGTTGGCTGCTAATGTACGTTGAGATGATATCTTACAGGATGCAACGAAGACTTGCTGCCAAGTCCAGGCCACGTTGTTTTCTTCGTCCACAGGAAAGTCTCGGCTTGGCACCGCAAATAATGAACATATGAAGGAGATTGGCGTCTTCGATGGGCCTCGGTCAGCAAATTCTGGTGTAAAACCAATAGTAGTAGAGGGGAAACGAACGAAGATGACCGTGACAATAGTGAAAACGAAGACTAGCTCAGTTTGCAATTCTCCGTCCTGAGCCCGTTTCTCAGTTTGGTGAACCAATTTACGCGTGCGTCTCGCCACATCCAAGTCAGCTTGTTTCTGCTTCACCTCTAGAAGATGATTGAGCTATAAAAGGTTAGTGGACGCTAAAATGAAGCTCCAAAGTTTAGAATGATACCAGACTAGATACTTACCGACATAGTGACGGCCGATGTGTCCTCAATCAAAAGTTTGTCCACCTTTCTTTGTCGAGATAGTATGCCTTTCATGATGTTTGATGTAACAACTTCAGTCAAGTAAGATGAGTTGCTATCGTAAAAGGGGCTTTGTTCGAAGACGGATGACTGATCTTGGAAGACTCGCTTGATCATTCTCAACTCATCTTCAGCGTCCTTGACTTCCAAGAGGATCCCTATTTCTTCGGCGATGTCGCACATGGATTCTTCGCGTTCTGCCTCCATTATTTCCTGCTGCTTCCTTTGACGCTTGTCTCCCGTCAGAGCTTTATCTGCTTTACTCGTGGGATGAGTGGAAGTCCAGTTCTTCTGAGCTTCGTTGAAATTCCCATAACAATCTGCCCCATTCTTCGCCTATATTTCGAATCCGAAATTATCTTACTGAAGTCCTCAAATGTTGACGGTAACCTACCATATATGCAATCCGGTAGTCAAACATATCGAGTATGTTTTCAGTGAAGCCTGAATTGTTCGGTGTGTCAACGAAATTTGTAGAACATTCCATCATTCGCAAGGCCAACAGGTCTGCGCTTTTTGGGGGGTCATTCGTCACGGACTGTGAAATGTACTTCAACAGGCCGCTTTGACGTCCATGGGCATGTCGGGGAGCAGGGAACGCGGTTATGATGGTGTCTAAACAGAAGTAAGCTCTCAAGATGCGACGGGTCTCCCATTTGAAGCGGGAAACGTACTAGCGTCAACTTTCCAGATCCACATTTGGTTGACCATGATAATTTTGCTGCCCAAGACGCCGGGTTGCGAGGCAAGCTGATTCAGACCACGCTCCTGCCTTCGCTGGGCAGCATGTTTTGCCACAACCTGGTCTTTGTTGCGGAGAGAAGAGTCTGCGTTTCCAAGAAAAGCGTAGTAGGACTGGTCCAGCGTACAAGGTTGGTGTAGAAACTTCGTTGTCTTATCGAAGTCCATGTAGATCGCCTTAAGCTGCTCTTCGGCATTCCGAAGCCTTTGACAATCTTTATCATTACAGCGTTGTTCCAAACATTCCGAGTTCTCTGCCTCCAAGTACGGTATCTGACAGCCCAAATATACATTAGAATTGAGCTCTGGGTGAAAGGATTGAAAATTACTTACCACTATCGAAAAGACTCCGTTGCATGATTCATGTATCGGGGTGAAAGATGGTCTTCGTTTCCCAGGGTGATGGGCTGGGTATTCGATCTCACTGTACGCGTCGGTGATGAATGAATTGCATCCACTCATGTACGCATGGTGTGCTATATCCTCGAGCTTGCTCAGCTTGCTTATGGTGTTCTACATTTATTCATACTTTAGCACAAATGATACCGAGAAGGTCTTTGGCCGGCTGCTGGGGATCTCTTCATGTTTACGGCGAGACAAACACCCAAATGCGGCCGAATGGGTGGGGCAAAGGTAATGCATCGTTAAAACTTACGCGAACCCATAGCCACTGTTGTGAAATTGTCAGCGTGTTTAAGAACAGAGAATACAAAAGAAGTGTCGCCAGCTTACGTCGTTCTTAGGCAAATGGAGCCATTTCCAAGTGTTGTCGTTTGAAGTGACCCTAATTTCTTCAAGAAAAGCATCGAAGGCTTTGCCTTCCGAGCTCGAGATTGAGCTGGGCGTCTGATAGTATAAAGGGAAGTTGTTTCGAAGCATCTGAGCTTTGTCGTTCGAGGCAAGTGACAGGCCTTTAAGTTGAATGACTGGATCGCGCCTTAGAATCATCAACATCTGCAGAAGAAGGGGGCGCTCCGGCTCAGTTGTATTATGAGACTTGAGCTTTTCGATGACTAGGCCTCGAACGGCTGCGTCGTGTTGGATGCTTTGGTGATTAGTTAAAGCGCGGTGATTCAACAATAGTGCCATAACTCTAAGATGATCTTCGTTGAGCATCGGAGCGTCTTTGCGGTATTCGCATAGATACTTACGATGCTCAGGTCGACTGATCACCGCATGCAGAACTCCGATACCGCCAAGGCCAACCTCCGCGTGAACGTCTGCGCCAAGTTGAAGGAGAACCATTACGGTACCAGGCCGGCCAAAGCAAGCAGCTTCGTGGAGTGCCGTGTATCCAAATCTATCGGTGGCACTGGCTTTAACTCCAGCTCCCATTGTTGGGCTCAAAAGACGACCAACTTCCGAGGTCGACCCCTGGGCGGAGGCCAATAGTAGGCTCAAAACTCGACTGTCGATATTTCGCGTTGGTGATGCGCCTCTCACAAGGAGTTGCTGCACTATAGCCTCGAGCTTCTGTTCCACGGCCAAGTTCAACACTGTTTGGCCTAATTTGTCGACGATATCGAGATCAGTGCCTGCCTTAACGAGTTCGTCAACCAAACTGATGTGATGGTGTTCAATTGCATAGAAAAGGGCTGTTCTTCCGTATTCGTCTCGTTCATTGATATTTTGCCTTGCGTCAATTACTTGTTGTAGACTTGGTAAATCACCGCGACGCGCGTAGGTGTGTACTTTGGCCTTGTCCTCACTGTAAAAGCCTCTCATATCTACGGCAAGGTCCCCAGCCGCTTGGTCAGTGAGAACAAGGATATGAACAAAGTCCAAATCGGATTTCAAGGCTTCAGAAATACGGGCTCGAAGATCCGACTGATCCAAGATCAGAAAATTGAATGTGGCGCCTGTCGTTGAGCTGGCGAAAACGCGTGACTTCCGTACAAAAAGAGCGCGGTACTCTTTGAATATTGGACCTTTCATCATTTGACATACCACATAACGACATACGGGGACTGAAAGGGATTGATCCTCGTAGATTCGTTTAGTGAAGGGATCGACACCACGATAACGATAGACACCATTTGCGGCATTCGTGGATATCATGATTACATGACAAGGGCGACCTTGAAGGACCAAGAAGTCGCCGAGCCTGATATGGTGACAGGGAATGTTGGTGGTGAGGCTTGTTGCTGTGTGGTTCAATGCTTGAATGTTTCCAGGTACAGAGGCGTTGGACTTAGGAGCTAGATGCGGAATGGGATTGCGCATCTTCTCAATAGCTTGGCTGCTCGTGCCGCCGGGATCATCGCCTGATTTTTTAATATCGGAATCATCTTCAGGAACGCGAAACTCAGCGCCTGGCGATCCTAGAGATGATCAGAAGCCAGTTTTCGAGCCAATGGGTTTGGTAAAATTCTCACCTTCTTCATCATAGTAGCCCATGGTCTTTCGAGGCTTGGATGGCTATACGCAGACCTGCAGGTAATGCAAGCTGAGAGGGTAGATTCAAAGTGAAAATGATACAGCTCAGTGTAGCCTTTTGTCTAGCTCATGTTGGTCGACTTCCCTCGGTCCGCAACTGAAAGAAGGAAACGTTGATCTCTTTTGCCTCGTCTCAAAGCTGTGTAGGTAAAGAGATGAATGTGATGGGATTGGATCTGGAAAAGACAGAATCGACTGGAGAGATTGAGAAGACTGGGAAAACTGGCTTCTTGCAGTACGAGTATGCAGTCTTTTCCAATCTGAGTCTTCTGTGGGGAGTATTGCATTGGCCAGGCCCTCGAGTATGCACCAAATGCATCAACAAAACGTGGACCTATCAGAGCCCGCATACACGAAGAGAAATAAGACATTGATGCATTGCGACCCAGTCTCTTCCGAGATGGTATGCAGCAGCAGCGGTGGAAAATCGTGCACGGAAGTCTTTACTCGTTGGGTATGGCGAGATATCTATGACCAGATTATAAGGGTGGCTGCATTGTATTGCGCGGCTTATTGCATTTGTGGTGCACGGAAGTCTTCGAGCGCGAATAAGACGATGTGCATATGTCTCTCGAGAAGAACATGTTCTGCGAATTAATGGGGTAGGGGGTTGTAAGACGCTGAAAACAGAACTCGGTCTCAAGAACCTAAGCTCACTCAGAGTATGACAACATCCAACCTCACAACGTTGGCAAAGTTTGCAACTCATTCGGTCGAGCCAGAACAATAATGGTAGATGGCTGCATTATATTGCATGGAATATTGTATTAGTTGCCGACGCGTGGAAAATTTGGAAGACACTTCAAACTGAGGTGCCTCGGTGGCAAGGCTTCATCTTCGTTATCAACGGACTCCAGGCCGGAAAGAAGATGCAGAATGGCCCTGGAAAAGAGCAACATCCGGATGGAGTTTTGTGAACTTATGCAGGAGACATGTTGTGAGACGCCCCTGCATGCAACATCGCTTATTATATTGGGCCAAGATGCTCTCTCTCACCGACATGGGCGAGCAAAGTAATTTGTAAACCTATTATCGGAAGCTCAATGGTCGAAATCTCGGCGAAATTGACGTATCAAGTAATGTGCATGCCGGTGTTCGGACAGCCAGCGTCGCTGACTAGTAATGTACCCGATTAACTCAGCAGTCATCCGCTCACACTTACAGGACAATCATTTTCATGCGATTTAATGAGACTGTTCTTCAGCTACATGCGAAACGAAACGTGGGAAATAATGAGCAAGCTATATGATGTATTGCCCCAGTGTCAAATCATTCCCGCAAGAGCTTGGAGTGGCAGATCATAATTGTCAATGATTAAGCTCCTAAAGGTCAAAGTCCGCCTCAAAGACAAATAAATAACTCTTGAATTTATCCTCACGATCTTCTATAGCTTAGCAGCGACGAATTGTATAGGCGTTGATGTATAAATAATAGAAAGCCGCTCAAATCGCCAGACAGATAGTAGGTCGATTTTGAGGGGTTTAACGTCTTTAGTAGCCTTTTTAGGATATTTAGCGATGACATCAATTTGAGAAAAAACATCTAAGATAATCATGGCACTGCCACGTAGGTACTTTATGCCAGTTTCACCGCATTTGATTTCATACTAAATACACGAGCAGAGACGGGAAGAGACCGTGAAAGACGAGAATACCACTCACTCGGATCAATTTTAACCAAACAATTCTTAGCTTTTTGCAGCAGCCTGTCGCCCGGAGTTTTGCCTCTCAAGCTGATTCCTCTGGGATCCTGCAATACGTGGTTTCGTACCAGGCCGAGACCAAGGGCCCTAAAGCATTGGCTCGACAAGCAGGGCGTCTTGCCAAAAGATGTCATCGTCGTTCAATGAAAGGCTATATAGCATGATTGTGTATGGTAGGTAGAGCACTCTCTCATACACAGTCGTGTGAGTTGCCTTGCCTTGCTTTTGAGGCCTAGGCAGAGTTTATCGAGAAGATCGCCAATGCCATCGTTCACAAGCAGACGTCATCTTTCTCCTAGTCCCTGAATCTCTATAAAACCACGTTACCACGCCAACGATTTAAATCTTCACCCGATCACAGTTGGGATTATTGTCGTACTATTGGTCTCGTGATACATGGCAATACAGAACGACCCGTTCACCGCCTACGTCTGGAAAGTCGATCAAGCCTCTCGAGTACATCCAAGATCAACCTCATTTCTTCTCCCTAGTTTCATCCCTCATCTCCAGCTGCTTCACCCTCAATACGTCACAAACAAAGAAATGATCAGCAACAGTCTGTCAACTTGACCTCCACCCACATGTATTATCAAGGGCGATATGCTGACATCTCATCAACCAACTTCACCCCAAGCTCCCCTTAGCTCAGACAAGACCACAGACGTGGACTATTGTTGGTGAACGGGACACATCTTGGGTTTCATAGCCCATTGCTTTTATAATCACATTCAGAGTATCCACAAGTAGACTGGATGTATGTGTAACACTAGCACGTAGTGCATCGCAACTATCGCTCCCAGTTGAGTTAAAGAACCTCTCCAGCACATATAAAAGACTCACATCGCTCTGCGTGAGGTGAGGTAAATAGAAACTCACAGCTAGCAACGAGAGAGTCTTTGTGTGTTGTCTATATCTTTGCCAATAAAACCGCAAAGTCCTGACTCCTGAAGGCCAATGGCCGTTTTACTCACCAGCAAGATGCCCTGTGGTGATGTCTTGTTAGTTAATTCTCTTCCCCTATTACACTGAATACACAAGAATAAACAGACACCAATGATAGAGGCTGGGGAATCACAGAGGCCTCAGGAGGTTCTAAGTCCAGCGGGCGTTTCACCAACAAAGAAGGAAGCTCGCTTGCCAGGTCACATCATTGCGGGAAGCACATGATCGAAGTCTATCACAGTTTCAAGTCAAATGGGAGGGCTCACTCTTGTCGCTAAGTTTGCATTCCAGAGAAGACGGAGACAGTTTTATAGTGCTTCGTACCCATCCAGGTTCTCTAGATGTCAAGGCTGCAACAGTCACGACGGGTGGCTAAAGTAGTTCTTGATATCGTAGACGAGGCAGGCAGTATGGATATGATGTCTGGTGTTCCAGCATTCCCCAACGAGTATCAATAAGAAGAGTCTTACGCAGTATTCATGGTATCACATTCATACCCAGTTTTCATAATTAATACAATATCGCACCTAACAAATGTCATCAAGTTGTCATGAAGCAACCCAAACAGACCCAACATCCATACTCCTTCCAGTCCCCCCCATCCGCGACCAAACACCATGATATCCCTCCGTACAAAGATCCAGATGATGGTATCATAAATGCCCCGGTAGTATATAACAAGATAGCACACAATAAGAACACCCAAAAACCGCTCGTAACCCAACCCCTTTCAACTTCCCGGATCCATCCCATTATTCTCAAACAAGCTCAGGACATCGCCGGGCAGGTACTCCAACCACGGCGGCATCATCTCGTTCGGCAGGCCCAGGGAGCCAATGTCCACCGGGTTGTCGAACGTGATGACGTCCGTGATGGGGCCCATGCCCTGTCCGAGGTACGAGTACGTGCCGTTGGCGAAGTTGGGGTCGAACATGATTTGCGGCGAGAGGTGCTGGTGATGATGCTGCTGAGCCGGCGTCCCGTCCTGCTGCGTGCCGCGCGGTGACGCGGAGTGCATCATGTTCTGCTCGTAACTCGACGAGTTGTGTGAGGCTGGCGTGTATGACGCCGACTGCTGTGCTTGATTCGTCCCAAGCATGCCGGCGTTGACCGGCGAAGACGGCATGTCCGAGAGACCGTCAAAACGTAGGTGGGGTTTGTGTTGAGTCGGGCTCCCTATTGACGAGGAGGATAGCCGGTGGGGTCGATTCGGCCGGGAGGTCTGCCGCATTGCGGACGTCGTTGCCTGGGGATATGCCACGGCGAATATGGAATGCGGCGGAGGCTCGGGTAGGCTCTGGCGGATGGGGTCGTAAATCATCATCCCCGGCGGCGTAGGAGCAGAATTCGGCATGCTCGTCTGCGGTTGTGCGAACCCATGATGGCCGGCCGCCATGTTCTGATACATGAGTGTAAGGCTGGGGGGAGAGTTCGTATTGCCTGTCAAAGACCACGCGATAGGCGGCATGTTGGGCGAGGCCGGGAAGCGGGCACCGATGGAACCGCGACGCGTGATCTTTGTGCTTTCGTACTCCTCATTGGTATAGGTCTCGCAGTCCCAAATGCCCTTGGACTTCTGGTCGAGCGCAGTCAGGATGTACTTGATCCCGCCCCAGTATTTGTGCAGTTGCTGTAGTGATTTGTAGCAACGGGAGTAATTCTGATTAGCCGCAGAGGCAAGGAGTGAGTGCTTGGTCGTGGATTTGTGTTCCGTCTTGTGCCTGTGACCTTCCACCTTGGTGTCGTGCGGCGGAGATGCCTCCCGAGAGGTAGGATTAGACGCATTGGCGATGGACTCCATGAGGAAAGCACAGGCGGCGATGTACATAGGCTGGGACGTGAAGGGATTCCCGATGAAGCTCTTCGGGTCAGTGAGCTCTGCAAACGCGAGTATGTCGGCTATTGTTTTGGCGCTGGACATGGATAGCTCGCGGCTGTTGGGTAGCAGCTGATGGCCGGGGTCAAGAGAGCCGAAGGGCGTCAACAGCGTAGGCTGGTGTAGGATGATGATGAGCGCATGGAACCAAAAGTGTAGCAGAATGAAGTTTGTGCCCTGCCCCGCCTTCAAATACGTCTTGAAGTTTGACACGCTAAAGTGTAGTCGGGAGTCTTGCTTCTGGTAGAGTCTCGTTAATTCGTGCTCCATGCGTGCCAGCTTGGTCCACTTCTCCTGGGTCAGGTCTTTGGCGTTGCGAATGTTGTTGAGGACGTCAGACACGCGACCGTACAAGTGAATGATCTGAATGAAAATAGGCAAAGGTGCGGGCCAGCCGGAAGTGGGATCGAGGGTTGGCTCGGGTAGGGCTAACTCAAAGTCATCGTCACGAAAGGTCACGGGTCGTCCAGTTCCAGAGGAGATCACTCGGTCAAGAATGAAGACAGCCCAGAACGTGTCTGTGCGTTCCTGTTCGACTTGGACCTGCTCCTCGTGAGAGAGGCTGTCGTCGTTGTTTGGGACCTCGTCGTCCTCTCCAGCATCACTGCCCCATTGGCGGGTATACCAGGGGTCTTTCTCGCCCTGATATTGCACACCAACTCTCTTCTGCAAGCCAAGATCGAGAGCCATACGAATGGCCAGGCCAAGGTACATCCACAGGGCACTGTCTTGGTCGGCACCGAAACCCTCGTACGCCATCATCAGCATTGCCTGAACGGCGCCGACAGAAGGGCAGGGGAAGGTCTCGACGGTCGCAGCTTTGGCCCTATGCGCATAGTACTGGCCCAAGTCGGCACGAGACGATTCATCATCCTTGCTCTGGGCGAACTGCGGCGAATCCGAGAAGCGGGCAGCCAAGGCACAAACGGCGTCGACAAGAATTGGTTCGACGCGCTTTTCCTTGACCATTTGAGTGAACCTGAGTTCCTTCAAAAAGGGGTAATTGCAGCCCAAGTGCAGGAAAAAGGTCTTGACCAGCTGTAGAATCAGGGGGTGAACTGGCGCAACGTCGTTTGGGTCGTATACCGGCAATTCCTCGTCGGTGGCGACTTCTTCGTCGTGCTGCGGCATACCGGACATGGCCATTCCGAGGGACTGGATAACACTCGATCCAGAGCTGGGAGATGTCGCCGAGTTTGAGCCCCCTGTACTCCGCCTTCGGTCCCGGACAGACACAACCATCTGCTTGTAGCCAGGCACAATGGCCGTGGGACCGAAGTAACGGAAGTATGGCACGCGATGGCGCTCGGTATGGTGTAACGTGGGCGATCGACTGTGGACGCTTCGGGCATCGTCGGAGTAGGAAGTGGTTCGAGGAGGAGGGGGGCGGCGGTTCTCGTGATCTCTGATGCCGTGCTCCGACGGCCGTCGCACGAAGGTCGGAGAATGTGCGGCGGTTGCTTCAGAACTCGTCCGGGACGTGACATCGCCTCCGGACTTGTGCGTCGCGGACAGGCGGCGGGCGGTATCCGGTGTCTTGAAACGGCGCTTCTCATCGCGGTGGTCATCCTCTTCGCGGGCTTGGTCTTCTTCTTCTTCTTCGTCTTCGTCATCGTCGTTGAGGTCCTTGATGACAGTGGCGCCACCGGCCGTCTTCTTTTCGATCACCTCATTGTAGCCCAAGCAGGTATGGCCGTTCTTGGTGCAGGTCGAGCAGACGGGACGCTCGCCGGCGCATCTCGTCTTTCGCTTGCGACAGGTCAAGCATCTGGGCAGAAGAGGTCAGCTTCGTTGCGTGAGACGGCTAGGAAGGATGCGCGAGGGAAGGAAACAGGTAGCAGGAGACAGGAGACAGTAGAAGCAAAGCGACACGACTCACGCGGCGTTGATCCTTCGTCTCTTGGAAGGGGGCTGGCCTTGGTTGTGGACGAAGCGAATCTGCTTGGGTGCGGGGGGAGCTCCGTTGATGATGGAGGTCATGGCGCGTTAGGTTAAGGTCTGGTCAGGTACCGTAGGTGAGGAGAAACCTCAACAGCGACGCAGCATGGTGCTGCACTGCGGGAGGGCTGCCGGACGGGTTGACTCGACTTGGAGGAGCAGCAGCGCAGCGCAGCAGCGGCAGCAAGCAAGCAAAGAGCCAGAGAATAGGGTCAGTCAGACCACCTCGAGTCCCCAGGTCTCCAGTGTTTGTTCTGGCGTTCCCCCAATCTCCAAAGTTTTTCTCCAGTTTCTTGCGGTCGGTTGACCTCCAGTCTCCAGTCTCCAGGTCAGGTCAGGGCCTGGTGGAGTTGGCAGGTCGTTCCCGGTAAAAAAAAGCCCACACGAGGAACGGGGGACTGGCAGCACACGTATCCGTACGGATACTCAGCACGAGTATCTGTAGGTATCCGTAGCTTTCACTGCGACACAGCACAGCACAGAGCCGGATCGGGGATGTGGTCGGGTTGAAGGTTGGGCGCTGCTGGTGCCGGGGTATGGCTTCCGGGGCCAGCTTCTCGAGCTGGCTTGGAGGAGCTTGGGTGCAGGCCACCACCTGCGGAAAGAAGGGTTCGGTGGAGACGAGCAGCTGCAGCTCCAGCAATAGGGCTCGAAAGTGTATGCTGTGCAGAAGCTGACGCGCAGGAAGAAGCTCGAGGTCAATTGCGATGTTGATTGTTGCTGGAGGTGGCACACATTGCGGCGTGGAACCAGGGCATTTCCGTCTCGGGAGGAAGAAAGTAAAAAAAAAGTGAAAGGTGTGTGTAAAATCCAACGGTCGACGGGACGGGATGGATGGGATGAGATGGGACAAAGAGGGAGGCGAGGGGACCGGGAAGATCAGCGAGCCGGCTTCGTCAACAACGGTCCCGTCGGGAGGGGGGTTGGATGAGGAGGCGAGGCGTAATTGTTGGAACAGCTAACAACTGGTGATTAGCTTGGAAGCAACGACGAACGGGTGACGGGAGAGGCGCAGACGATGGTGCGAAAGCGTGGCCGTGGCGTTGGGTTTGTCCCGTCTCTGGTCTGTCTCGTCTTGTCTTAGATTGACATTGCCATTGGAAGAAGAAGAAACCGGGGGGCAAGAATGCATCGACAGGATTGGGGAGAAGGTGGAGAGGGGAAAATCGGGGGTGAGAATGCGACAAGGGGGAGGGAGAATTCCGAGAATCCCATCCCGCCAAGTCGCTGCAAAAATGGTAAACCAGCGAGCTGCAACCACTGAAGCGAGGGGCCTCGGGAAAACTGGGCCTCGTCTCATTCACGACAATGATCTTCACCCAGTGAGTGAGTGGGTGAGTGAGGAGATCGCCCTGAAATGAGTATTGACACAACTCACTATCGTCAATGATAATAACAAAAAACAACAATAAGCATCACACTATTGATCGTGACCAGATCGCCCTCATCCAGCATCAGCAAAAAACCTCCACGCGTCCTCCTACAACGAGGTGGTCGTCTCATCACACTGAACCAATCAACCATCCAACTCCTCCAAACTCACTTGTATCAGATAATCAGACTCAATGCCGGCGATATCTGATCAAACACACTCTCTTAATCAAGCCACTAATCTGTCTCACTCGCTAAGGCAACGCGACCATCCCCCAAAACCTCACCGTCCACACCGATCCATCACACCGCTCCCTCGCCGCATAAAGATCCAATATCCGTACCCTCACATCATTGACGGATGAACCGCCTCGCTTCACAAGCTTGGTCCGAAGCAAACATTCAGCCCATTTTCGGTGAAAAAGCTCTAAACATCCCCGCGTCCTGTAAATGGTAGCACCGCCGGATATTGGATGGTACCCCTCACCCCCCGGACGCGAATGAGTGACCCCATGTCGATAAGCCAGTCATCGGGCTGTCTCGACTCCCCCGGATTCTGCTTTGCTTTCCCCAGCCTGCCTCTCTTTCCTCGCTTCGTCTGCTGCAGGTCTGCCCGACATGTCCGGAGACTCTCCAATGTCCACCTCTTGACGGCTCCAATGTACGAATTGAATAGCGTTGATGCGCCCCGGACGCTGGGGAAACCTACTCCGCATCCGATCTCACCTGCCATCTCAACGCCGCCAACCTACCCCATCACCATCATCTAAACCCAAAACCCAATTCCATCAACCTCACAAACGTCAAGATAACTTGCCCGATCCTCGAGTACAAATGAGAGTAAGCCAACGTATAATATACACCAAAACACCACGTACGGACACATCTTACCCATTGCCCGCGCATGTGGCATGTCAGCTCCATCCACTCACACACACCACACACCGAGCTACCACTTAGTAACGAACGCGGGGGCCCGCATTTTCCCCAGATACCAAGCCCGCGTCAGCATGCCGCGGCCAGCGGCCTGGCCTGCCTGACCGGTTACACGTGCGTCTGTGACGTATGGGATAAGATCAGTCTCGTGGGCATCACGTGGCCTCGGAACATGAAGTGATATTTTAGTCGTGATGACCTGTTGAGCGGTCGATATTACAATGCTCAAGTTCCATTGAGCGATCTTTGATGATTGTTATACAAACGGTAGAAGGTTGGACTTCAAGTTGGGTGCGAAGGGACACATTCACCATCGAAGCCGGTCTAGGTTGTCTGCAACAGACTATAATTCAACTTGATATCGAAACCTCCAAGAACAAAAACTCCAAAAAGCCATAAGCAAACGGACATCCGGCCTCGTTAGACCATCGCCCCATGTGATATCTTCCTCAAACATGAAAAGACGCCGGTAGCGCCGCCCCCTCAACCTTGTTGATTATCTTATTTCCGTATGAGCCCCTTCCATCGAAATAATCCTTTTTTTGTGTAGACCACCTCCCATAGATAATGCCAGCTGCCCCATGAAAGATGTTGCTCTTATATACCGCGAAAGATTCTCCCCAGCTATGTACTGCCCTTTCATTATGTAAATGGTCGTTGCGAAAGTCCTTCGTCATCTGCGGATCGTAATCGCGGCAATCATCATCCGAAGACAATCGTGACGCCCATGTCTTCGCTGACCCTCCTCCAAAGGTCGCATGCCTTACCGAGCCGCTGACCCGGAGTCGACGCCATCATGACGGCGTGGTCCTCGTACCCGTCGAACGTGGCGTGATCGTCAATCATGTCCGCCCGTCTCCAGACCTCCTGCGCGATGGTCCACGCGCGCTGAATATTCGTCATGCCCTGTCGCCGCTCCACGGCCACGAACGCCTGACGCGCGATCTCCCGGTCGGTCGGGTTGATGGCCTCGCAGGCAGCGACGAAGAGGGGCCACAAGAGTGCTGCCATGGGGCCTGCATGAGACACCGTCGCCGCACAGTGACCCAGCGCGGCGTGCGTGTGATGCTGGACAAGGTGGTGACGGCGAGAGTACCCGTATATGCTACGATACAGATACACAAATGCGGAGTGGCGATATGCAAGGGCGTTGTTGAGGAGGGAGTGCATTCTTGCGCGTTCGGCTGCCAGCTCGGGCTCGTCCTCGCTAGATAAGAGATCGTCGACAATGTCTGGCGAGAACCCAGGCGGAAAGTTGGGTTGCCATTGCTTGAGAGCGTGCTCGATTGCGTCTGAGGTAGTCTCAAACTCAGAACGAAGAACGGCGGTCTTGGTGATTTGGCCGCTGGCGATGGCTGCCTGGAGTTCGTTCTTGAGGGCGAGGAGGTTGGAGAGGCGATGAATGATGGGCCAGAGAGTGGTGGACATGCCTAGAAGGGTGTCCACGGAGCTGAAGGGTGATGTGGAAGGCGAGTCGAGGGGCGGGAAAGGTACGAGACAGCCAGTTGCCGGAGCGGTCGAGAGGGGCGCTGTGCCGAAGGAGAGGGCGGCAATGACGTCGTAGAAGCGGAAGGCCTGCAGTTGTCAGCTTTGTTTTGTAATTGCGGATTCTAAAAGACTTACCCGCTCAAGAAAGGCGCTTGTGGGATTCGGGTCGGCGTTGCTGCCGTTCATGATTGCTATGGCACCCTTGAGGTGGCCATCCACAATATTGGACCGTCCTTGTTGCACAAGCTATCACCGGTTAGCCGCGTCCAGATCATCAACGCCGAAGTTTACTTACAACTTCATAGTAGACAAGTAGCATAATTGTAGCCAGAAGTTCATTCTTGTTCGCTTCTCCTCCAAGCTCGATCAGCCGCGCCAAGCCCTGTATCGCCTGATTGTGGAAGTACACCGCCTTCTCCTCAGTGTGTCCGCACCCCCTGTTCTCTAAATGAGCACTGGCGAGCGCGTAGATGGCGTTTTTGACGGTCGAGCTGCTATGGCACAGCGGCAGCACGAGCTGTTGGAACGGGTTCCCGGCTTCAGTCTCGCGTAAAACGATCAGATGAGACATCACGTTGGCGAAGTGATCAACCAACGCGCGGCGATTCGGGCGATCGGAGAACTCGGAGAACATTGGTAGAAGGAACTCGAGGCGCGGCGACGCTACAGAAACAGGCGCAATCATTGAGAGGTCGCGCTGTGCCAGTGTGACAGCAAGATGTGGTGGTGCTGGACCCGAGTCCTGTACAACTGAGCCTCGGCGGACAATCTCTTCGTCCGCGTCCTCGAGCGAAAGGTTGAATGAGACCGCGTCGATTGGGGAGATCAACGGGGCATCCTCTTTGTTGGTGTGATTGTGAACGCCAAACATCCTCTTGATGTCGAAGGCTGGGCCGAGCGAGTCGGTGATATCCTCGGGCTCCTCTACGATGGCCTCTTCCACCCCCTCATCTTCGTCGTCTAGTGCTTCCTCCTTCCAGCGCCGGAGAGTGACGTCCGGGGCAGAATATCGGCGAATGATGGCACTGGCGCTTGTTTGGGATGCCGTGTCGGAGCCCAGGCCGGCAATAGAGTCGCGCTTCTTGCGCTGTCGCGGCCTGACCGGTTCGTAGGCGCATTCTTGTCCTCGCTCGGCGCAGCGGGCGCACTGTGGGCGAGTCTCATCGCACTTCTTCTTCTGCAAGTGATTACAATGTCAGATGTGTTTCTCAAATGTCGCGGGGCAAAATGCAGTATTCGAGGACAATCGTCGGAGCTTCGTCGTCGTACCTTTTCTTTGCTACTCGCAATGTTAGCGGAATTCAACGTCCGAAGGTTAGCTGAGGGGCCACTCACCAATATGTACATCCTGCACGAATGAAATATGCCCATGTCAGAAGTCGTCTTCAGAGTCCAGAATGCGACCAGTCATAGGAAAAGACAATGACACGACGGGGTAGAAGGGAGCGAGACTTGTGCGCAATGCAACGAAGCTATTCGGGCGGCAATAGCGAGGCGAGACTGGCGACCCGACAAAAAAACAGGCACTCGGCTGGGGAAAACGCGGAGGCATGAGGGGAGAGGGATTGGCCATTAACTCACCTGATCTAGATCGCCTTTTGGGAGCCTTTGGCGGGGCGAGTTTAGTGTACAGCAACATGATGCTCACGAGCCGGTACCTGCAGCAGCAGGCATAGACATTGTGTGTTTCTCTTGGGATCGGCGGACAAGACGAAGCGAACTTCTCTTGGAGGATTTTGGTTTATCGAGATGAAGAAGTTGCCCTACTCCTACATCCCGCGCGGAGAGAAGGGAGAAAGTCGGCCAGCAAGAGGTGTGGACCGAGGCTACCTGGGCCTAGAAGGCGAGCGAAGGCACAGGCTTTCACGATGTCGGACGGTCCCGCACGATTGCTGGAGACCTGGGATGTCTGGTCGGGGTTGGCGGGCGAAGTAGCGGACAGTAATGTAAGGTTATGTAGCGAAGGAGGGGGTCCCGTTCTTTGGTGTCTGATGGGAAATGGGGAGGGGATGTGACGAGGTGGATAAGACAGGCTTGGTGACTGATTGCCGGCAAGTTGAAGGGAAAGATCGTGGATCCTCTTGACTCTTGCGCGTGGTGTGGATGTGCCTTTCCCTCTCTTTTCCCACTTCTTCCAGCGTTTCTCGTCTATTCGGTAGCCGGCTTATCGGTCTAATGCCGAGGGTAGACGCAGGATGTCCAGAAGAGAAGAAAGTAAACTTTTCTCCTCCTTTGCCTGGGCCACGAGGTGTTGTTCTCGCCCTTTTTCCTTCGACGGGGCCGCAAGCTTGGTATCGACTAGGGCCGGGGTCGATGCGCTGAGGTGAGGACGAATTCGTATTGTTGGTCCGTTCACTAGGGTGCGCGGGGGATGGAGACTGGGCGTGGTGCTTCTGGAGAATGGCGAGATGATGTATGGGGAAGTTGGAGCAGAAGAGAAGAAAAGAAAAGAGAAGCAGTAGTAACCCGTGCGAGCCAACACCAATGTCGGATTCGGGCGGATTCAAATAGTCACAATGAGGACAAAAGAGAACAGAACTGAGGCGATGAGAAAGGCAGAGCTCGAGGCCTGGACGATGGCGATTTCTCCAACTGCCCCAACTCAGGGCGTCTTTGACTTGCCCTTGACCTTGTCCTGACCTTGACTGTGTTGGGCATGCCCGTGTATCCGTACCTCCACTGGCTTCCGGCGGCGACCAGTGTACATCATGTACGAAGTACCCAATGCCAAAGCCCAAGGCCAAGTCCAACAGCCGGCGACGGCGTCTTTCCCAATGCTGACAATGCCGCTGCCATCACGCACATCGTGACCAAGAGATCCCGGGAGGCTAAGCAGTGCTAGAAGCAGAAAGGTGGAGAAACTTGCGGGGTTACAGCGGCGAATCTGGTGCGGAGATGGATGTGACAATCTCGGTCGACTGTCTGCAGCGCCTGGTCTAAGTGGTCGACCAGGACGAGATGGTGGTGTTTGGCGGTGTCTGGGTGTCCCAGTTCAGGTGTGTAAGTGAGGAGTAAGGTGTGACCGAGTGCCTTGGAGACAGGCCGGACTGCGCTGTCGGTACGGATTGGAGTAAGGGGTTCCGAGGCCAGGTAGATGCTTGTAGCTAATTATTTGTTAATGTGTACGCAGAATACCACCACGACTGGGTTGATTTTTGGGAGGCAATCCCGGAGGAGGCTGTTCCTGATGCTCATTTGTCATGTGGCTTTTTATTTCTGTGATTAGTAGAAGCAGCCGTCTTGTTCTTGGTATCGAAGCCAAGGACTTTGGTTAGAGAAAAGTTGGCACGTCCAAAGTCGAGTCAACATCGACAGCCCTGGCCTCGAAGATCAAGTGCGTGCGTGTGTGTGAGGTTGACCCCAGACATTCCAGCAATCCAATCCCAAGTTCTGGCACCCAGGCGGCATGGCGTAGCGTTGTTCGTATCGCTCTTCCGGCGTATGCTTGGTTATTCTAGGGCGCCTCAAGCTTCCAGTAGTGTTCGAATCTGCCAAATCTGTCTCTGCTTCAGGCTACCGGTCTTGCAGACCCGTGCCGCATTCCTTCCGCCGCCAGCCAGGGACGTCATGGCGTTGTTGATGTCTGAGTGGCCGGTCTAGTGGGCTTTTCCCACGAGTCGGGGAGCAAGTTCGCCCGGCATCATGGCCAAAGTACTGTGACCTTTTGCGTTCCTCGGCCACGCGTGCCACGGTTGCGAATTGGACCCTGCAGCGAAGAAGCAAAGTTTAAATGGCGTCCAGTAGCCGTTCGGACGGTTTGGAACTCTGAATGTGCCGGAGGCAAGCTCCGCCTCAGTGTAAGCCGTAATTGGAGATTGATTGCGTCCACCCAGCTGCGAAATCTTCAAACCGCAACTCCAGCAGCAGCCTTGGTTAATTTGACATGGAGACTGGGTCGAGTCACTTGACTTTAATGAACTGCAGCAGCGGAGCCGAGCTGTTAAGCTGCGAGTCTTGCTCCTGTGGTGCAGGTTGCCAGCGGCGTCTGGTTTCCTTCGAGACGGTGTCGTCTAGACATGCTATGCAGTGGTACACGCTGGTCCTTCTCCACCGGAGTGTCCCTCCACCGGAATATTCGTTGACGACAAGGGGTGCGAGGATTGGTTGTCATTTTTGAGCATCGTGTGCATGACGGCAATTAGCGTAGGCAGACGTCGACCATGCCGACGGCAGTGGTGAATAATAAGCCGGTCTGATTTGGTACGTTTTCTCTTCCCTTGGTCGAAATCGACGAGGCACATGTTGTGACGACACGACTCGAGCAGCTTGGGTCAGTTGTCGACCGCATACCCATGGCCATGATCCTAGTTGCCATGCCGCCTCTCAGTAAGGAAGAACGTTTCTTCCCCGCATTCTCGACTCCTGGGTTGCTTTCGAGCCAAGTATTGGCAGTGTGCCTGAAAATACGTGCTATAGTGCAGCCGGCATCTAGACTCCTGGCAGGCAGACCCAAGAGGGAGTTGGTGTGTTGAGTGCTACCACATGGCTCAAGTTGGTGGACAAGTAGGTTGGAGCAGGTTGGTGTGCTGCGTAGGAAATGGAAGCTGAGTGCGGGTTACGACGCTCGCTAGTGGTAGACCAACGGATCGATGGGTTTGATCGGTGAAGGGACGGACGGGCGAGAGCGAGAGCGGTCAGGGCGATGGAGTCGTGTGTCGATTCGATGGCACGCTGTTGCGGACGGGACGGGGATCGTTGCCCCCTAGTCCATCGTTTTCGTACGCTTGTTGCTGGAGATGGTGATGGATTTGTCTCTGGTGGTATTCGTATCTTTTAGTACCCCTTCTCGGGGACGGTGGCAAACATCGGGAGACGGCAATCGCATGTAGCATAACCTGTCGTCAGGTACCTGGAGGTAATATTACTGTGTGGTCAGCAATGCGATGCCACGAATGGAGTGGTGTTCATTATCAGAGGCAGTTGATAGCCCTTGTCAGGGACAGGACCAGGACTGAGCGAGTTTTGACTTTTCGTCTGATTATTCGCGTTGGAGACGGGAAGAAAAGAAAGAAAGAATCCGGGGAAGGCATCCCAATTGAGCATCGATGATGGTTGATCAGCGGAGTCTCCCAAGGCTCTAGCGGTGATGTTCTGGCGGTCGGCTGGCGGATGGCTGGAAATGGAGAAGAAATTGGAGAATGGCAAGGGCCTCGGACAAGCGGGAACGGCCCCAGAACCACAGAGAGGGCAACCTTAAGGGACCAAAAACTCCACTGAAAAGCACAGGTTCCCGTGTGCTTGCTTGTGCTTGTGCCTGTGCCTGTCAATCACTGCCCGCCAGCTGTCCAATTGGCGAGTGCTGTTGGCCGGAGATGAATGAGGGAGAATTGGAACAAAAGTTCTGCCCTTAATCAATTCATATTGCGGTGGGGGTATTCTTTCCTTTCCTGCCCAATTGCCAGGATATTTGACATGCCTATTGCTCCTTCTCTCCTCTTGGTTTCTGCCTGAGAAATATGCCTTAGTAAATGTGCCCTATGTTTTCGCCTGAGGGTGATAGGGTTAGGTCTGGGCAAATCAAATGGGAAGGAACGTAGAGGCAGGTGCCAGTCGATGGTTGCTTCTTTCCCGGTCTCGCACTCAGCGGCCCAACCAACACTGCAACTGCAGGTGCATGAAGATCCAAATCTGAGCAGTGCCTTCCTTTTCTGTATTTGCGAGAAATGGAACTCACGTGGAAGGTGCTCCTGCCTCTGTCTCTGTCTCTGTGCCTGGCGTGACTTCCATTGCTGCGTTGATTTATTAATATCTCCTTCCCTGCCACCTCAGAAAGTCCTTTTCGGTACGTACCTTACCCATGAATCCCTATCGAAATGTCCATTCCAGCGATTTCCAATCTACACTAATTATCTATCTCCAGCAAAACGAATCCCCATTTCACGTCTGTTTTTGTCTGAATCATTTCTGGCAGAGACACATTTAGTGTTGACAATCGCATTCAAATACCCCACATTTCTTCCCCGCGCCCGCTCGGCGTCGCTCCCCCGCGGCCCGGTGGCTTTGACCGTGCCAGCCCAGCGGATGCTCCTGTCTATTGCAATATCAATCTTCACCCTTCTCGCCTCTTCTTACCGAAACCTCTCGGAAAAGCTGCTCCTCTGCTGCCATATCCGTCCATCTATCACCTCCTCATGTGCTCATTTCAGCTAGGTTCGCTTTCCAATCTCATCCTGAAACGCCAACCGCATGCTCATCTACAGTCCAGACACTCATCCAGGATTCCAGCCTGCTTCCCAACACCAATACAGCTCTTCATTGCAGCCGCCACTTCTCTCATAAGCATCTTCGACTGGTCAGCCTCCAGACGTACTTCTTCTTAAGACCCAATGGCGGTTGTTGCCAGCGCACCATGAAGTAAAGACTGGATCAAAATGATCTTTACTCATTCATAAGTGTGCTCGCCGGGCCTTCTACCCGCAGCTGTCGTTGCCCGGCCTCCAGCCATCGAAGCCTCAAGCCTCGAAGCTTCGAAGCCGCGGCGGTACCCGATACCTCCGACGACGTCCGGCCGGGCCTCGTCGGTTCTCTTCTTCCGTCTTCTCACCAGTGTGAGCTTTGCGTCTCTTCTATTCTAGCACCAAGTCCAAAACATATGGACCCCAAATATAAAAGTTGCCAAGCGACAATCTGTCCGTCTATTTCAGTTGGTCCGACGTCGTTGGCTCTCGACGCGCTGATGCTCCTTCGGGTCGCATCCAAGTGCAGATGCCCCCAAAATCAGCAACGGATTGCAGTCCCAATCTGCCCATCGCCAAATGCAAATTCCCACTCGCATTCTCACATCCCGGGCTCCTCCACCCACACGCCGTGCTCTCTGCAGCTAACACCTGCCCAGCACTTCCTACGACCTGCCGCTCCCGTTGGTTCTTGTCACCAACTTGCAGCCTGCACCTCGTCTCATTGGTGGCCCTCTGCGCTGCTCCCATACGTTGCCCACATTCACGGGTAAGACACACTTCGTCGTGCCGCATCACTGCAGCCATCGACTGTCCGACTCGTCAGCTGCCCCTTCGTGATTCGTCCTTCGCCCTCGGACCAGACATGCCCGGCACGCCCAGCAGCCACGGCAATCGAGTCCATCGAAATCCTATGGATTTCTCAAAAATCCCTCCAGCTGGCCATCCTCCACCGCCGCTATCGTGGCTTCTAAGAGGCTGGTGTCCTCGCTCATCCGCTTCTCATTGGCCTCTTGGGCAGAGCCGCCTCTCTCGCACTTCCCAATGGAGTCAAGTCAGACGTGGTGAAAGCTGACAGTCTGACAGAAAAGCCACCTCCCAGAATCCCATTGTCCCAAACATGCACTCATGAAGCCAGGGTCCGGCCAGGGCCTACCGCAGAACTGTGCCCTCCCATCACATTTGTACACATGCTACCACAGCAATCTGCTCGGTTCCCTCCCAAACAGTCCATGATCGCCCTACCCTCTCCCATTCTGAGCTGCAAGTATCCGCTGCCGGGTCGATCATACCTGGCGGATAGAAACGAGAAAGACACGATCGAGGGCGCGGTTTCGCGTCGTTCTTGGACCTGCAACACGCCTAGCTTGTCTATTAAGGAATACGAGACCTTTTTCCATCATCAAGTTTCATTCTAGACACTCAGCCCTACTACTGTGCCACCGATCGCCGATTATGAACTTAGTGGGGTGTGACTGTGGGTGGTGCGGTGCTGCGCTGTACTCTCGCTCAGCCCCCAGACATACATGCAGTTGGGCTATCTCGGTCCCTCCTCCCAACCGAAGGCACCAGCATAACCCGCCAGCTTCATATTCCGACCGATCCCGTCGAAAAAGTCCTTTCGGCGCGAAATCGACCTCTCAACATTGTTCCCACCTCCCCTACGGCGCCGATCACTTAGAGTATATCCTTTGCGCTCCCCTCCAACGTACCCGACAGCTACACGTCCGCTGATCCAGCCATCCCCGAATGATCGGCGGGCTCCGAAGTCCCGCGCGGTATTCGTGCTTATTCACAACATTCGCCACAATGAAGGGACTGGTTTCTTGCTCGGTGTGTGCTCTCGGCTTCGGGCTTGGTCTATTCAGCGCGAGGGCTTCAGCATCGGACTACAAGAGACATGATGGAGTACACAGACTGGCAAAAGCGCAAATCACGGCTGTTCCGGAGCTGGGAAGAAGAGATACAGTATGCTCGACCGGCTACAATGCGTGCCCAGCAAATCTAGGGGGCGGCTGCTGTCAGTCAGGCTACGACTGCGCAACAGATTCATGCTATGCGACAACCAGCGCGCCTCGAACTTGCGCGGGGCAGGTTGGATATTATGCTTGCGAAATAAATCTGGGAGGTGAGTCGAACCGTTCATTGCTTGACGATTTTAGGGCGTAGTAGCTAACAACATGATCCAGGCGGATGCTGTCCAGAGGGATACCGGTGTGAGAGGGGCAGTAATTGCGTCCCGGCGTCTGGGGTTTCATACTCTCAGTCATGCCCGGCCAGCTACTACTTATGTCCAGCTAGTCTAAGCTACGGTTGCTGCCGTAATGGACTCGGATGTGCTGTGAGCGCCTGCTACTCGACAGAGCCATCAACGTACACACAAACGACGACAATAACCACGACCAACGATGCCACTCAAGTCTTGATGACAACCGTGACAGCAACAACAGTCATCACACCATCAAGACCTACCACAGCACCAACCGCCGAGGCAACTCTGAAGCCAGACGAGCCAGACCAGATAGTGATCAAGTTCTACCCTAGCACCGTTCCAAAAGAGCAGCCCATCAACAGTGACGACGGAGGCGGCGATGGCTTGACGACAGGCCAGATAGCAGGTATTGTAGCCGGCGGTGTGGGCTTGCTCATCATCGTTTTGGCGGCAACTTGGATCATCATCCGACATCTCAACAAGGTCGTCCAGGCAGTCGAGACTAGCAACAGAGGAACTTCAACGGGAACGAAGTCACGGCCATCGATGTACCAGTTTAAACCTACGCCATCCGAAGTGGACGACATGAGCGTCGATCCGTTGATGATGTCGCCCCGGCCATCCCACAGAAGACATGACTCCGACACAACAGCCAACACCATGGGCTTCGGAAGTCCCGACTTCACGCCGCCTTACCGGGGCACGCCCAGTACGATTGGCGACTACCAAGCAGTCCCCCAAGATCGCCACGCAAGCTACGACTCGTCCTACGGTGGCGGCTACTTCGACGTCGTCCCGGACCGCAGTCAACGCGTCAGCCAGGGGTCGAGTGCATGGATTGGCGTGCACCGCCAGAGCACGGATTCGCAGGGACCCTATGCTCACCTGCGACATTACAGCAACGCGAGCGAGGCGAGCAGCGATGGCATGCAGGAGCTCGATTCGACGCCCTATGTGCCTGAGCTGGCCGCCACCCCGGTGCCGGAGGGACGGCGGCGATCGGGGAGTAATCTGTCCGGCATGAGCCGGCCGCCTGCTGTGCATCAGCGCCGAAGGAGCAGCGAAGGAGGCGGCGGTGGTCGTAGTAGGAGCGACAGCGCCGCGGCTGGCGGTGGGCTGGGCGTCGTCAGTGAGGACACTGAAGTCATCGGACACTATGGGCCTTCAAACCGTGGGACGGGACAGACAGGGACTGGGAAGTGAAGTCGATCTCAACGACTTCTCCCAACCCCGGTCTCTCGATCTCTAAATCTGCTTTAAGGCCGTGGCGTCTACGATGGAGCACTCTCCTTTGGTCCTCGAAATACGGCTGGGATGAAGACGACAGGGTGATGAAACGACGTTTCTTTAAAGCCAAGCTGTATTACTTAGGTCGGAAACAGGTTTCTTTCCTTTGCGTCAACGGGATGGGATACCGGTCTGGAGATACAAGCCTAGGCACGTCTACGCCATACCGGCTGATAGATGGGGAGGCGGTGCTGGGGGAAAATCGGTCGCAGGAGCGAGAGGGTCGGCTGGGAGGATATCATGGATACCAGAGCTTGCGCGGGCTTCGGATACACCTCACAAGCGCAACGGCGTTTGGGAAGGTCTTTTTGGGGGGGATCAAGAACTAGCTCGTTTAATCTCGACGCAACAAATGGCCGAGACGAGAGCTAGATTCATAGGCGTTATGATTCATCCCTTTAGTCGGGTACAATATCAATACCTCTTTTCTTTGGTACATCGATCTACGTAACGGGGCGTATCTTGGTGTTTCACTTTCTTTCATACACGAGCATACAGTGCAATGATTTCGAACTCGATGGCGCGGGGGTCGGTCTGTGACACAAGACTGTACGCCACGAACGCTGAGCTTTGGTTTCGAAGCGAATCTCTCCCCGTAAGAAGTGAGGCTCTCAGGGTACTGCTGCTGCTGCTGCTGTCAGACATACCAACAGCTCTTTCTTCATGATCACTAGATGCATTCATGACGATGGAAAAGAGCCTCTCATCGTATGTCCTTGCACTTCATAATCTCGGAGGTGTTCTATATCGGCGGTTCTCATATCGCGGCATGGCTCGTTTCTGGCTACTGCTTATGGGATTCTTCATGTCTGTTCCAATATTGAGGTTAGCTGGAGGCGTGAAGCATGATGTATGATGTAGAAAGAGTCGACCACCCATCTCCAGCCACAGTAGACGACTTGATGAAGGACCTCTGATGAGATCAATGCCGATGGAGTGACGCTATGATCTCGAGGGTTCATCGATGAGCTCAACCTCCTGGCTCGTGTCTTGGTGATTTGATCTAGCCCTACCCGTTGTATCTCACGTTCGCCGATCTTCATTCACTTAGTACTGGTGAACTGCTTGATGTGATATTTCGCCGTAGACGTGCTCATACCGCCAACATTATTACTGGTAAACGATGCTGGAAAAGGGTTGGTAACTCAAGTATACTGAAGAGCCAAGATAGCATGCGATCTTGCTGCTTCCAGGAACACGGTCAAAGTCCGGAGAAGCCTGCCTCTTCATCTATGATCCATCCCGTTCACGGATGGATTGAAATTACGGGATACTGTGCATAATACAGCAAGAGTCGGCTCTAACAGGTCCTCAACCTCTCCCTCCCATGGACCAAGACCCGCCAGGCGCTTTCGGTGGAAATCACCACGAGAGTGGGCTTCTGAAGGCGGAGAGACTGCGGGGGAACGACGCTTGGCTTTACCTCCCCCCGCCGTACGGCTCCCCACCACGCTTGCTTCCGACGGCCAAGCGAAGACTCGGATGGGACCTGCATCTCATCACCAAACCCCCGTTTGAAACTTATCGGGCGGGCGTCGCAGCGATGAGCGGGTAAAATGCGGCTCGAAAGAAACCGTATCATCGCGGAGGTGTGAGGTTGACGGCCGATCAACCGGCTGGGACGGCCCAACCGTCCCATGACGAACATGTGCCTTGGCTGACGACTCAACGGCCACTTACACAGGTTTCGTCTCGAACTCCCAAGAAACCCTTTTCCGCCGGTAAAAAAACCCTCTCTACGCAAAGAAAATACGACTAGAGAGTTCTTCCGTGGATCGACGGCGCCGGCTGCTCGGGATCGCTCACGACGGCCATTGGAGGATTTCGGGAGAGGCTGCTCCGTCGATTCCCCGTTCCGGCCACTTTTGCATACCATGCGCGTACTTTCCCTCAGGTATCTGGTGAGTGTTGGGCGCAGGATTGTTAGCGTACATGTATGTGTGTTCGGTGCGGGGGAGGCGCGGATGGGAGATGGTCTGAGGCTGGGGAAAGAAGATGTGGGCGGCAATGCTTCGCGGAGATTTGGCGTCCGGGAGGTGAGGTGGCTTGTTTTGGGTCCGTGAGGGGAAGATGATGATGGAGATGGGGATGGCCGGGTAAATTGGTCTTGGGGATGAGGAGAAGAGGTGTTTTGCATGATATCGAAGACTGGATTTCGGTGCTTCTGGGAGGACTTGATGAGGTGAGGGTTGGCCTGTGTGAGTATCACTAACAGATCCGTCAACATAGTTGAGGACTCATGGAGGCTTCATGGATGAGACGAGATTGCTTTACTCATCGACCGACTAAACTCACTCGACATCACGCGTTATGAAGCATGTGTTAAAGACCCAATGATGGGGTATGATGTAATGACCAGGAAAGACGTCAAAGCAGAGGTAAACACAGCGATGCTTCAGCAGCACATTCATGAGATCGTAGAGCGTCCAGACTCAGTGAGCTCTCCACAATCCTGACCGAAGCCTCTAAGCAGCTGTCCGTCCGTCCCCGGAGCTACACGTGCTCTCGGATCGTTCAACGGCGGGGGAAACGACTCTCGCTTTACAGGGCTCGAATCCCTGGACAACTCGGCGCCCGGTCGGAGATGGAGCCTGTGGAACTCTCTCTCTCTGGCGGTGGGCTCTTTCACTTAGGCTTAAACGGGTGTGATGCCCCGACGGGACGCTAGCCTTAACGATGGATAAGGGCAAGGGGACGAAAACGTGGGCTGGAGTGGACTTCGGTAGGCTCGGGAGGGTAGAAGAGAACCTGGGTCGTCGTCAAAACAGAATCGATAATTGAAGTTTTTGAGCCAGGGCTTGACGTCTTGGAATTTTGGATATAAGATGAAGCCCTTGGGGTTGATGATAAATGTCCAACGCCACGTGCGACGGACAGGAAGATTCGATGGACGGACGATGGTGTCCCTGGCGAGATTTGACATCTGGAATCCAGAGACGAACTTTGCCTTTCGTCGACCAGCCAGTCATTGAACAATCCCACAATCTCCAGCTGCCTCTTTCGGAGTAGCGGTCCATGGAAAGTATTGGCGTGGCGCGCTGGGAACCCTGTCTTTTCCTCACTAACAATTTCACAATGCCTTTGTTTTTCTTCAGAGACCTTCCAGAACGGCCACCGCCGATGAGCAAACGGGCGGCGGCCCGTTGATCGTTGGTCTTGATAGCCCAATCTGATCCCTAAACGGCGCTGATAGACACGGGACTTTTGTCACTATATGTCTAAGGTAGTCCAAAGAGCTCTTTCGTGGATTCGAATCCAACAGGCCGTGTCGGCTCAATTTCAACACAATTTGTTGCACTGATAGTCGGGAGACTAGGGAGGCAAGGAGGTTACTTCAGCGCAGGCTGAAAGGTTCCAGGTTGCAACAGGCGAACTGCCAACTCGTGTTGGTGTTGGGGTTCCCCGACAGCTTGGGGGAAGGCAAACATTTAGCGGAGCTGTTCATGTCATGGCCCCCCGGCTTGCGACGCTGATGCTTTCGATAGCTGGTCCTGGTGCCGACTGGCCAGCTCAGAACCTGCTCAGGGTAGCAGTGCAGCATGGTTCATGAGCATGAAGTTGAGGTTCAGTCGCATTGGATTTATTCATCGTCTGGACCTGTGGACTGACCACTATCTCGGGCGGACCATAGAGATCTAGACTGTCGCTTACTAGCTTAATCATGGCGGACTCCAGTTCTGTCAAAGTTTGCCCCGTGCGAGGACGATATTTAAACCAGGGACCTTGTATTTGCTTGAGCTGTTGAAATTTGTTGATGCCGCGAGCCTGTCGGCTACGATAAGGATACTCAGTCAGAGACTCAGATTTGTGCCGCAATAACTCGTATGAACACCATCAATTGAACAGCCATGCTGTATCATCCCTTCCGTCGGAAAGACTAGAGTGAAATCATGCCCAAGAGTTCATCGGATCATCGCCGACAGCATCATTGCCAATGCAGGACAGCGGCGCGGGCCATTAGGCGACGCATGCCCATTGGCGGTCCCCCTCACACTAACGATTCCTTTTTCTTCTTGTTCGCCTCTTCCAGCCTTTTTTCACCTTACTGCCCTTACAGCCGTCGCCGTCCTCGCAGTTCTCATTTTCGCTTCTCCTCATTTCCTCATGCAAGCCAGGGCCTGGCGGCAGCCGCGATGTTACCCTGAAGTTTGTCGGCGGAATTATCGCGAGCAAGAACTGCTCAGTGATCTAATGTTCAACTCTTACTTGGGAGAGGAGCAAAACGCATAGAACCGATGAGGCTATCCCCGATTGAAGAACGCCAGCAGAGATTCTCCTTGGCCAGAGGCACGAGCAACGATGATCTTCACGTATCGAACTACGCTTTTCTGCGCTATGATTCTTCCGCAGACCGTATCTCACCGTACATCTGGTATCCTAGCGAAGCCAAGAATTATCCACGTACAAGCTCAAGCCTCAACCGGATGGTCATTCCGTGCCGTTGCGCCTCGGCGCCGGCTCTGCGCCAATCACTCACGCACCTGACAACCGTCATCCGAACGTGGGGAGTTCACTCTATGACTTCAAACAGTCTTTGGTTGCTTTTTATTCCTACGCAACACGGGAGCCCCAAGCCATCAACCGAGAGGCGTGTTTCGCAGAGATCAATAGCGTCCTCGCCGTGATCATTTGCCGTTGTTTGCCTTTCCGCCTCATCCCTTGCATTCAGCTTCATCCACCGTCGAACCAGAATGTCTCTCATCTTCCTTTCGGCTGGATACACCAACAGCAAACAACGTCAACCCTGGATAGGACCTTTCAGGAATCCCCGGCGTTCAGCGCAAGGCTAAGCCGAATCGGACCATCTCCACGCGGCGATAGCGTTGGCTCTGTGTAAATAGTCCTTGAGTTCCCTTATTGACTGGACGGCCTGCCGTCGTTGGAATGCCAGGGCAAGACATTGTCACTTCTGACCCCGTTTGCCAGCAAAATGATACTTCTCGGACCCTCGCCAAGCAGCGCGACTCTTCCTACGCCTACGCCGGTTGCCAACCTGCCTCATGCGGACGTTTCGCCTGCTGATAGGTGGGAAATGCCACACGATGCAAAGATGGGCTGAACGGGGGGTCAGAACCATCGACAGTCGTTCCTCGATGCCTTCGCCCTTCGCCGCCCTCTTCCCCTCTCGCACCCCTGGCCCTGCCCAGGCTCAGGAACAGGGTGTCACCGCACCGGGGGAGCCTAGCTTCAATGTGTTTATCCTCGCCCCGATGCTCCTCCACCCCTGCCCGTCTGTCCAAAGGCCCGGTCGAGGACCCGCCTCTCTCCCATCGCCTTGCCCTTTCGTGGGCGCTGCCCAGATGGGCGGATGAGCTCCGCTTTGCTCTGCTGCGTCTTTCTGGTTGATGCGGTTCGTATTGACTGCTGCATACCGGACCGCAGTTGCTTGCTTCTTGGGTGCAAGACCATCTGTATTCGTACGCACATAGCTGAAGGGCACAGCACGGCCACCACCAACGTACCTCTTCGCCCCCAGTCCCCCCATCTCGGGGGATACTGGGGGCAGATAGTATATATCACGGTGCCTTCGCCATGTAACCCATTCCTCTCCCTCCCTTTCCCCTTTCCTCTCATCACCGACTTCCTACCAGATCCATCCAATCAAGCCAACCCTCCCATCCATCTCTTAGGACCTCAGTCGATCGTCAGACCTCTCAACACCGTCAAAATGAAGGCCGCCGTCATCCTCTCCCTCGCCGCCCTCGCCTTTGGCAAGGTCATTGAGAAGCGCGAGTGCGCCGGCAACAACTGCAACCGCCAGGTCACCGGTACCCGCGACGGCCTCCTGCCCATCACCTCCCGCAAGGCCGACTGCTCGTCCTTCATGGAGGCCACCGTCACCCCCTCCCCCACGTACGTCTTCTCCGGGCTCTGGAATGTAAAGTGGCGGAGAAGGAAGGGATAGACTAACACGAAAACTCACAGTACCGTCACCGTCACCGTCACCGCCGCCCCTGCCCGCCTCCGCCGCAACCACGGCGAGATGGCCATCCGCCAGGTCACCGATCTCCCCACCGTCATCCCCGCCTACGCCTCCTCTTGCGACGACACCGCTGAGTACTCCTCCGCCTGCTCTTGCTGGGGCATCACCGCCGTCACCAGCACTGCTCCCCGTCCCACCGTTACCGTCACTACCACCGCCGACTACTGCGAGGGTGAGTCTTACCACAGCGCCTGATCCTAAAGAAGCACTCATGCTGATATCGTATCACAGACTTGTAAGCGTCTCGTCGGAGATGGTGAGGTCAGGAAGTTGAGGATGAGACGGGCCATTCGTCTTCTTGTCGGGGCTCGCTGCTAAGCGAGAGAAGGTTCATGAGGCAATTGTGAAGTCTGGATGGGCTTGGATGGGAGGAACACATTGTCCTCATCTTCGGTTGTTGTGTCTTTACGACGATACCCCTTCGACAGCGAATTCAAATGGACTCGATCATTCTTTCGCCTTGACAGAAGACTTGTCACAGCCTGGTTCATCTTCAACTGCCCCGACGTCATGGGAATGGTTTGGAGCATGCGCTTTACGACAGAAAATGTTCATGATTGTTTGGGTGAGAAGCTTCGGGGAGATTTCCAGCTTCTTCCACTTCAACTGTTACGATATTCACCTTCACGTGTAATAATTAAGATTAATTCGCTCGAAAAGACTGCTCGCAATAACTTGGCAATCTCATTGCGACCCCCTTCGCGTATTCATCAACATCTATGAAGAGTCCCTTAACCACATCAGCTCAACCACCACGCAGTCTTGTTCAACCTGCCAGCCTGAAGATATCTGAGATCCAATGGCAATGAGCTGAGACCAGCCAACGCGTGGCTGAGGCATTCCCCAGATGCAAATGTTTTGTCTCGAAAGATTTCACTTGCTTATTTAACAAAGCTGGCGTCGTCATTAGATTCGCAAAGTGCCTGAAACAGATATTCATCAGCTGCCAACCCCCTTCTGGAATCAATATTCTTTGCTCGATTTCTAAAAATTCTCCTTCTTTGAACATGAAGTTGAGTGTCCAAGCTTGAGCCTCATGTCTTGTCAAGACGTGTAACAACCCGCAGATTGCGTGATCCAATCCCCATCCCGGATACCTCCCCGACCACGTCCGCTGTCATTTGGAGTCCCGGCGATGTCGATCTTTCCTCTCATTCGAACCCTGTTCCGCCGATATCCACAGCGTCCCCATTCACACCACGGTTCCCCAGAAAATGTTTCGAAACATCGTGCTGGTGGGACAGCTGCGTAATGGGGCTCTCGCGTGGCATTAATTGAAGATGGTGGCTCTTGAGACCGCCAGCCTGGGTCATCCCTAGACTCTCATTGCCTGCATTCAGCTGATCGGTCTCACGTTACGCCGCCTTACTTTCTCCCCTCTGGTCATTCAGACTCAAGGACAAGGGCAAGAATGGTTTGTACTACATCAAGCCATAATCATGAGGTGACACCGTTGTGCACTAAGAATTTGGCATTTCAATCATTGCTACCTACTCGTGTTCTCCCATTCATTCCCGTCAGGCATTATTCCACAAGCACCTCGTAAAGAGCCACCACTAACACCAGAGATGCTCCGCACGATCAAAGACATCGTCGTCGCTCACTTCCGGCCAACCCTAGACGCCATCTTCTTCGGCCGTCACCTCCCTTGGACCCTCCGCTGGCGCCTCCTAGCCTTACAACCCATCATCTTTCTGACTCACTCCCTCGCCCTAGCGCCCTATCTCTTTCGACGTCCCTACACGATCCGTTACATACCCATCAGCAACGACCGCTCCCTACGTGTATTGGTCTTCAAGGAGGCCGGCACTGGATCGGGTCGCAATGGTCTCCGCCCACTTCACGTCGACTGCCACGCCGGTGGCTTCGTAGGCGGCATCCCGGAGTCCGATGCTCGTTTCTGTTCCCTGATCGCCAAGAAGACGGGCGCGGTCGTTGTGAGCCTGAGCTACCGTCTCGCTCCGGTTCATCCCTTCCCCGCCGCTATTGACGACGTTGACGCGGCGCTGGCGTGGCTCCGGGATCACGCCCAGGAGGAGCTCGGCGCGGATCCGAGACTGATGACTGTTTCTGGGGCTTCGGCCGGCGGAAATTTGGTCCTGGCTGCTAGCCAGAGTATCCCATCCGAAGACTTTAGAATCCGAGCCTCGGTCACATTCTATGCGCCCATCGACCTGCGTCCCAAGCCCGAGGATAAGCCGCGCCCTGCGAACTTTCCTACAACGGACCCGTTGTCGTTCTTGTTGCCGCTGTATGATTCGTATGCAGCACCTTCCAAAGCGGAGAACTGGAATAACCCCAGGATGAGTCCGTACTTGGCCAGAGAGGAGACTTTGCCTGAGTCGATGCTGTTGGTGGTCGCGGCCTTAGATATCACTGTTCAGGAACAATTGGAGTTCGTTGAAAGGATAAAGAAGGAACGTGAAGAGAAGGGGAAAGAAAACCGGAATGTCGAAGCGTTGTACGTGAAGGATGCATTTCATGGGTGCCTAGAAGGTGAGTTATATATGCTCCATTTGTTCAACGTAGCAAATGGTTACTTACTCAGTGAAGTTCCTGATATCGCCTTTTCGCTGAAGAGAAAGATGGAGTTATGGGAGAGCGGCATTAAGGTTATTGAGGCCGCTCACAAGCAGAACAACTGGCAATGGGAGGGGATGAAGCGTGTGTGAGGTTTAATCATCTTATGTACGCTGCGTCCACACTTGTACCATCCAAGAGGCAATCTCATCTCATACCGAGGACCTAATAAAGGTCAGTCATGGTATAACTAAGCTGACAGTGTTGAAATCCTGGGTCTCTCTGCCCATGAGAAAGTTGTGACCCTCATGCTACAGTAAAATGTATTCCAATACTGATCTAACACCCCAACGACGGCGACATGAATGACTCTTATATGAAGATGCTGCTTTTATTGTTTTTATAGAAATGTGTGATAAATTGAACTTTAACATGAAGGCTTGTTTCGTTGCGGGTCGAAAGAAACATGACCTCCGTTATCACTGCCGGAATTCGTTTAGTGTACTCAGGCGAGGCTTTGGAGAGAAAAGACATCGGTCAAGCATCTGGAGGAGACATCTGCACATTATCGCAACGACTTTTGGAAGGGTTAAGGCAGAAAAGCTGAAGCCAGATTTTGGAAAGAAATCTGAGAATAGATAACGCTGCTTTACCTGACACTGGCGAGGTAAAGCTGCGGATGATGAGTCCCGGTGAACTCGGTCGACCGGGTGGGGCCGTGAGCCGGCGGTAAGGCGACCCGATAACGCAGATAAGATAGCGATAAGCATTGGATGCAAAAAAGTTCTTTTGGTTCTACAAGCGCAGTCCCCGCCATCGTTCAGCCATCACCAACGCCGACCCGACCGAAACCAGCAAAGATGGGAAAGCGCAAGGTTACCGCCCTCGAGAAAGTCGACGTAGACTTGTGAGTTCTCCGCCGTCGCATTTCCCTCACTCCCAGCCGCTGACCTCTGCAGCGCGAGTTTGCAGTACAAGATCCGCCGCGACCCCAGATCCTACGAGGAAAACTTCCTTCAGCAATGGGGCCAGTACGAGAGTCAGCGCGAGGTCTTCCTCGTCTCCCCGACGACCGCGACGAGAGAATACACCGAATCCTTCCATAACCTGGTCGACCTCATCGCCCACACCGCCGACCTCTACCCGAAGCACGCCGGCGCGTTCCCCGATGACCTGAAGGCGATCCTCCTCCAGCACCACGAGGTGCTGCACCCGGAGCTGCGCGAGAAGATCGTCGGCAGCTTGGCGCTTCTTCGCAAGAAGGAAGTCATCGACTCGACCTCGTTCCTCACGACTCTGTTCCCGATCCTCGTCTCCTCGCCGAGCAAGACGCTGCGCACGCTCCTCTTCCAGAAGATCCTCTCCGAGATGCGCAATGCCAACTCCAAGGGCACGAACCACCCGCTCAACCGCACCATCCAGACCGTTCTCTACAACCTCATCACCGCCGACCGCACGTCACCGAAGGCGCTGTGGGCCGTCAAGCTGACGAGAGAGCTGTGGAAGCGCCAGATTTGGACTGATGCGAAGACAGTCGACGTCATGAAGGAAGCGTGCTTGTCAGAAAACGAGAAGGTCGTCATCGGTGCCACGAGATTCTTCCTGGGTGGCGACAAGGAGCGCGAGGAGATGGAGGACGAAGACAGCGACGAGGAGCAGATTGACCTGCAGAAGATGAAGCACCAGATCGGCATCAACAAGAAGTCCAAGAAGCAGGCGAACGCATACAAGAAGGCTGTCTCCAAGCTCCACAAGCAGGAGCGCAGCAAGAGCAAGCCCCATCCGCTCAACTTCTCCGCCTTCCACCTGCTGCACGATCCTCAAGGTTTCGCCGAGAACGTTTTCCAGAAGCACTTGCAAAACACCAAGGTCAGGTTCTCGGCCGAGAACAGGATACTCGTCCTGCAGTTGGTTACGAGACTTGTCGGTCTGCACAAGTTGACTATTGTCGCGCTGTACTCGTGGTTCATCAAGTTCCTCACGCCGCGCCAAGAGTCCGTCACATCATACCTCGCCTCCCTGGCCCAGGGAACACACAACCTGGTCCCGCCCGACGCCATTGAGCCACTCATCCAGAAGATTGCCAACGAATTTGTGTCAGAAGCTTCCGCCGCCGAAGTCGCCGCTGCCGGTCTCAATGCTATCCGCGAAATTTGTGTTAGACAACCTCTGGCGATGAGCGACACGCTTCTGCAAGATTTGGTCCAGTACAGGAAGAGCAAAGATAAGGGTGTCATGATGGCCGCGAAGGGTCTTCTGTCTCTGTACAGAGAAGTCGGCGCGGAACTTCTGATGAAGAAGGACAGAGGCAAGGATGCGACCATGGGTCTGAGAAGCGGTGAGATGAAGCAGAGGAAGTTTGGAGAAGAGCAGGTCGGTGGCATCGAAGGCATTGAGCTGTTGGCCAAGTGGAAGGAGGAGCAGCGCAAGCTCAGACGCGAGGCTAAAGGTCTTCCGGCCGACGGCAGCGACAAGGACGACGAGGAGGAGGATGGCTACAACTCGGACGACTGGGAGGTTGACTCAGACGACAGCGATGACTCTGGTGGCTGGATTAATGTTGATCACTCTGATGACGAGGAGGACGAGCCTGCGTCCAAGAAGCGCAAGACGGGCGAGGAGGGCTCCGAGGACGAAGAGGAGAAAGACGAAGAAGACGACGCTGCCGAGATCGAGAGGATACAGAAGCTGGCAACAACCACCATTCTCACCCCCGCCGACCTGGCGAAGCTGCAAGAGCTGCGCATGGAGGCCAGCCTTAACAAGACGCTGGGCAACAGGACGTCGAAGAGGTCGAAGGAGATTGAGAAGGCGCTGCAACGGCACATGGACGACGGCCTCACGGCGGAGCAGATCGAGGCGCCGGCCAAGCTGCGCAAGACCACCAAGGAGGAGAGAGTGGCGATGGCGAAGGAGGGCAAGCCCGACCGCGAGGAGCACAAGTCCACGAAGGCGATCCGCAAGTCCAAGAAGGAAGCCGAGGGCAAGAGCACGACGAACAAGGAGAAGGCGCGCCAGAAGAACTTCTTGATGACGCTGAGCAAGGCAAAGTACAAGAACAAGCGCAGTCTGGTGCAGACGCGCAAGGTGCTGCAGGGACACATTGACAGGAGTAAGGCTGGTGGTAGACGGCGTAACGGCATGTAGACAGGCACTTGATACTCTGGGGTATACGGTACAAATAATACAAAAGTTTGATGTTAGCTGTCAAAATTTTCGAAGTCAGTGTGTTTCCGCGCTCAATTAGCCACGAAGGCCAAGCTGTGCAGCATTTCTCATCGAGATGGGTGAACTTATTTGTAGAGCCGTCCCATCACACAACAAATGAGAAGAAGGCCCAGCATCTTCGAGGCGACAAGACAATTTTTTCAGCTGAAAAAGAGCCCAAATGAAGCACAGTTCTTGCCAATTATTTTCTTCGTATTAAGTAATTGCTAGCAACGAGTTTCAGAGCCTGATTTCCCTTCGTGACAAATCTAGTCTCCGGGGTGCCATTGATGATGTCTCGCAAAGCGGGCCACGTCAATCAGAAGCGCCCAGATCGTCTAGTTGGTTAGGATGATACGTTGTGGTCTTGTTACGCAGCAGTTCCGTGTTGACGGCGGTTCGAATCCGCCTCTGGGCACATTTCTTTTGCTTGGAAGCCTTTTTGTTATTGCTGGCCTGGGTCATCTATACAGTCTCGTTTTTTTAAGCCTGCCAGTGAGAAAACATTTATTTAATTCAATTCGAACGACAAGATTGCACACAAGAAAGAAGACTACACTACAGTGTAGGTAGGTACTGCGGAAAAGCGACGTGGGTCCGGACATAATGGTCCACAACTTGCTCTCCCCCGGGCAGTCAAGTTATTTTTCTCACCACTTTTGTCACTTTCTGCCCGTTCAACTAATGCAATTACCTCCACGTATGACATGCATGTTCGTAAGTGCGGGGTTTGGTTATCGACTAGGAAGAGAGATAGAGAAGAGGAACAACGCTACAAGAAATTGGCGTAGGTCCGGACATGATGCGAGACAACCCGGAGGCCCAGGCCCGGCGCCCGCCACCAAGGTTCTCAACCGGAGCCGAAACCTAAATGGCATGCGGTCGGCGTTCCGGCCGCAGAGGTGACGGTCGACAGGTCTTCATGTATTCCAAATACTGGACGCGCAATTCGCCATGATTATGGCCAAATGCAGGTTTCTTTCTGTCATTTTCAAAGCACGTAAAGCACTTTGCTGTTGACACAATCACCGCTCAACATCTCCTTTGACAACATATGCAACGCTGGGAATGCATCTTCAATTGCGAGCCTGGACGCTTCATCGTGTCTAAGACCAGGAATCTACCCCGGCCACCAGTGATTCGGATTGATCCAGATTGCATCATTGCCGTTGCCAAGTACCACCTTCCATCCCCGGATAGCCAAGCCCAGTGAAGTCTCGATGTAACCATGCTCTTTGAGTAAGGCCAGCTGCAAGCTGCGATGCGTCAGTGACAGCTGTTCTTTAGCATGTGAGAGAAGAGCAACGAACTAACCGCAAATATCTGTCTCCTGAACTACCTGCCCAACTTGCCCGGTCTGCAGGTCTGCAAGTGGCTGCTCGGGGCCAATCAATTGGTTATCCAGAAGGCGACTTTCCAAACTCAACGCATAGCCATTCACTTCTTGGTGGACTGGCCACCACCGCGACCAAGCTCCTTATGACTCTGACCGGGATCATCCAGTCGCGGGTCGGGACCCGGATAGAACTCGTCGTCGTCGTCAAACGAGTATGCGCGGGGCGTGGGGGCGGCGGTCTGGGGCCTGGCGTACTGGTTCGGCGGGGTTCGAGGAGGGTTGCGATCGACGATGGTGGTCGGGTTGGGCGCCGAGGCTGAGCGGGAGGGTGCGTTCTCCGACTGGCTGCCAAAGGCGATGGAGACGCGACGCTTCTTTTTGACGGCCAGCTGGCCGGGGAGATCGTTGGCCTCGGGCATCCGAGCTGGATTGAGATCAGCACGGGTGAAGGAGCCGATATCAGAAGGAGGGATTCAGATGGGCGGCCGTCGATGAGGCTCGCTGAAACGGGAAGGACCACGGCCGCCGTCGAACGGACCGGCAGATGGAGTGGGTAGGATTCGGGATGAGATCATACCTTGGGCGTACATTCTTGCAGCCTCTGCGGCCACGAACTGGTGGTAGGCCAGCTCGCCTATAGCCCCGGTCATTAGCGATTACCTCTGCCGACGGTGTGTGTGGGTGTGTCTGGATGGCGATATCGTGGTGGATCTGCTTTTTGGTGTTGACGATGTCGACTCCCACGCCTCGCACCAAGATACGTACCGTGATGATGGACTGGAGGAGGTGGAGAGTAGAGGGAGGGCGTGGCCATGACGGGGGTGAAAGATTCCGCCGAAGGGTTGAGGTTCGGCTGCTGCGACGGACGGGCGACGCCGCGGGTGCGGCCGCGGCCTGAGCTAGATCGTCGAGAAGCCATTCTACGACGTCGTCGGCGATCCATGAAGAATGCTGTGATCTTGTACTTTGGTATACCGTATATATGTTGTTTCTGGTTGATGTTGTGTCGAAGTTGAGGCCAGTGGAGGGAACGGCCAAGCCTGCTGCTTCATACCTGAGCTTCTTGCCTAGTTCTTGCCTAGTTGGGCTTTGTATTGGCAAAAGTGGAAGGAGCGAAAACTCAGACAGCTGCCGCAACTTCTCATTTTCATTGTGAGCATGGACAAAGCCTTTCATCCTCACATAGGCCTCTGCTGGAGGTTCGATGGTGTTGATGTGAAATGATTCCATCTCATGCTTGTTCTCATCCTTAAATTAGAGTAAATCTTTTCGAATGCCCGCCTTTCATGGCTACAGGTAAGTAATTGACTTTAAATCATTGAGTAAGATCTTACAAGCCATCAGGTTTCTAAGTCTCTTTATCTTATAATCTTAGTAGAAGGAAGTTGCTTTAAGGCTCTTGATTGCAAAGGATTGCTGTACTCAGGACTTAAATTTGTTTAGTTATGAATCCAATATTGCTTGAAATACTTATGAATTGTAATTTCTTAAATAAAAGCCTTTAGTCAAAGAAATCTTGTTTATAATCAAATTCAGCAAATTCTCGTCTTATCCAACCTTGCCTTATGGATGATGAATTCAGAGAACATCGACCTTTTGGTATGGAGTAACTAAATGAACATGTATTCTATACAGTTAGACTGTTACTGGTGAATATGGACCTAACACCCGGACCAGGAAAACGACAATGATGACAAAGTCGACTATCAACAGTAACAACACCAACGACAGCAAAGACAAAAGATGCTGACGATATTAATGACGGTGATGATAAAGAGGTTTCCACTTGCCTTGGGTGGATGAAGATAATGCCTCTAAGTTACGTACGTAAAGATTAAAAATAAGTAAATGCTGTGATATCTATGAATAGCTAGGTTTTGAGCAACTCCAAACATGAATCCAAACATGAAAACCACTGATGCTCAGGCGTTTGTTGTTTCGTTTGGCTCTTCCCATCTCATGTCTCTCAACCAGCAGGTTTGCCAAGAGATGGTCACAGAACGATGGAAATACGAACGGAGCTACCGGAATCCGCCATACACAGGGTCACAATTCTCTTGATAGTCAATGAAAGATGAAGACTGACTTGATTCCATACGGCCCCAAAAACCCATCGCAGCTGCAGAGGCGAAGATTCCCAGCCACCTCTGACATTCATCTTCCGACATCGGTTGTCGAGACCAGGGCAAGGAAAAGAAAAGTCATGTCACAAGGACCTCCCGCATGTTCGAAAATGACTCGGAACAGAGAGCGTCCTTGTCCCCGAAGAGCCAGGATCGCAACTTGCTCCGCGGGAAACACGTCGACAGACCAGACGCATACGTGACCAATATCACGACGAAAGCTGCGCAGATGCAAGTCGTTCAGATGCAAATCCTGAACCGCCGCGCGCACCTTGACATCCAGGAACCCTGAGGAAACACACATGCCCAGCCCCCACCACCCAGCAGCTCCGTGACCCACCTCGGTCGGTCCTCCGATGCAGAAGACGGCGGCGGCTCGGAGGTGATGGCTCGTTCCGGCAACTGCACTGCGATCGTCCGCATTGCGCTCTTTTCGTTCGAATGTCACCCTTCTGGAGCATCGTGATGGCGGAAGAAGAAAGCGTCGAGACGTTGCAAAACAGGTTGTGAGTATGCCGCAAGCCGCGCGCCGCGCTCTGCCAGGGACTGCAAGTCTGTGATTTGTCTTTACATCAGCATCTGTCATCCTGCAACTCGTGAAATATTCCCCGAATTTTCCATTTGGGAAGTCTGGAAACTGCTTTCATGTGACGTGTTGAATTTAGGCGCGACAGATCCGCGCCTTTCTGCGGGATGATGGTGTGCTGCCATTCCCCGTTGGGCCTCTGGCAAACGGCCGCCTTGTTGTCGCTTCGCTTGAGTGACGTGAGGTTGCAGCGGTAGCAAACAGGTCCCGAACCAATCCTGGTTTTCCAGACCGGGGATGTTGTAGCGTAGACGGAATCGACATGTCCGCGTCTAAATCGTTTCCCCCCACGAAAGACCGGTCGGCTCGATGGGTTGCACCGGTTCCCGGCATGGAGAGCCAGAACATCTCCTCCAAGAAACTCCAAATCCAAGCTCCAGCCAAGCTCGAACGCGCATCGCGGGGACAGAAAAATCACACCACTTGTACCGACCCGCAGAGATTGATTAGATTGCGTTGCAGCCCCCATCTCGATCTGGACCTCGGGGACCCCTCCACTTGGGTAGCATTGGTGCCTTGCGCCAGCTCTCATAAGCTCTTCGTAAACAGGCAGCTCATCGGTCATAGGACCAGAGTCGAGTAAACATGCAGACGTGAAGGTGGTTCCCTTCCAAGGAAGCTGCCCTGAAAGTTCGCCAATCCTCCGAGTCGATCCCGAGCTCCCGTCGTGGGCCGTGGTCCGCTATGCCGTGAATGTTGATAGAAGAAGCCCAGTTGTTTTACGCGATCGTCTCGCTTGACAGATCACAGTGTGATGTATGCCGGTAGCCAGAAAGCGATGCCACGCTGCCCTCATGTTTCCACTCTTTGCGGGCTCGTATTCCGGCGGGCAGAGGTTCCAGGCTCGGCCGAGGACGAGGTTAATTGCGACGATCAACCACGCCGCGTTGAACTCCGCCCACCGGCAGCGAGAGAGTCTCCACTCCGCTCGACGGGGCCGTGATGGGCATGCGTTGAATCGATGTCATTTGTGGACATGTTGTGACGACAGACCTCCAGGTTGCAAAAGAAGGTTGCTCTAAGTGCTTGCATGAAGCACACAACCAAGTCCCACGTTTTTCCGGGGCGCGGAGGGGGACTGGTAGAACATCCGTGCCGCGCCTGCAGATTCGACAACGGAGCTTCGTGTAAGAGGGGGTTCGCGAGGCTGGTCGTTGTGTGCAAGTCCGTCCATGTTTCCTGTTTGAGTGGTCAACGGCCAGGTTCAACCCGTGGTCGGACAAGGACATGCCTTTCTCACGGCATAGCTGCAAGACCTTCTCAACGGGGAAGGAGTGTTTCCATGTGTCAACCAACGGCCTTCCGTGAGGCCTGTGGAGCTGGAAAGCGGCGGTGATGGGAGGATTCTCGCGCCTTACCCTGGCGGTTGATGCAACTCAAGACGGCTGTACGTTGAGAGATTTTTTCATCTCTTGCATCCGGTATCGATGCATTCGTCCCTTCCGCATTCGGAAGGTTACCGGCTGTATCGACGAGGGAAGGTCGAAGAATTTCTCAAGGGGAGAAGGTTGGGCGACGTTGGCCCAAGGAGGTCTGTCAAGATATTTAAAGTCGTGAGGGTTCGCAAATGTTGGATGACTCTAACGGCCACAGGAGCATTTACTCCCTCGACTCAGTCACTATTTGGAATAGTCTCATTCTTATTTTGGAATTCATTTGGAATTTACCCCTGCCAGTCCTCCTTCGTTGCTATTTTTGTTCTCTCGCAGCCAGCAGCCATGCAGGATCAAGTGGCCAAATATTCGGAATCAACTCCGGTTGGGCCGCCTCCTCTCTCCTTCACCCAAGGAGAGCGAATCACAGCCAAATATCCCACCGTCACCGCCGCCTTCTATCATCATGCAGAGACTCAGCCTGATGTCACTGCAGCCCGTGACCTGTCGGCACCAGAGGCACGAGAGATCACATACGGCCATCTGGCCCATCGGGCCAACCAGCTGTCCAGGAAACTGACCACTCTCGGGGTCAAGCCTGGAGATCGAGTGCCGCTTGTCGTAAAGCGAGGCATCGACATGTTGGTTGGTATCGTTGCCATCTTGTCCTGTGGAGCTCAGTACGTGCCGCTGGACGGCGGTGTGGTTCCGGACTCTATGCTGCGTTTCGTTCTGGAACAGGCTGGTGGCAAGCATGTCCTCTGCCTCAACTCGACAAAACATCGCTTCGAGACTCTCGGAGTCTCTTGCGAGATTTTGGTGATTGATGAGGACCGGGAGAAAGACTCCGAGAACGCGCAAATCCTGCCCTATCAGGACTTAGCTGAGACAGACCACGGCTGTTATGTGATCTACACATCAGGTATGTGATATGGCCAACTACCAATTAGACATGATGGAACGATCCTGACCAATCGACTCGTAGGAACGACGGGCACACCCAAAGGAGTGGATGTTACTCACAAGAATGTCACCAACCTGGTGTGCCTTTCACCCGGAAACCTGGGTATCTCGGCCGGAACTCGGGTGGGCCAGGTTTTGAACATTAGTTTCGATATGGGTACGTATGAGGAGATTTCGTTTGACCAATGATGATGTACTAACTGATCGAAAGCGGCATGGGAGATGCTGGGTTGCCTTTGCAACGGTGGCACCCTGATTTTGAGGGGTTCAAAGTGGGAACCATGCATTCGAGAGGTATGTCATACGTGCAGACTCCATATCAAATTATGTGACTAACTCGAGTTTCGCTAGGCGCAAGTTCTGATTTGCACACCAAGCATCTTGGCCAAATATGACCCTCGAGAATACTCCAACGTCCGAGTTGCGGCAACCGCAGGCGAGCCCAGCTCTCAGAGGTACGTAAAGTGACTCCATTGCATCCTGAGCATCAACTGAATCGTTTATTCTCCAGACTTGCGGATCTATGGGGGGCACATGCGAAGTACTACAACTGCTGTGGGCCAACGGAGACCACGATCGTCAACACCATGCACCTTCATCAGCCGGGGCAGACATTGACGATTGGAAAACCGACTCCGAACAACACAGTCTATGTTCTTGATGATGAGGGAAGGTCTCTCGGTGTTGGTGAGCCCGGCGTTATGTGGGCTGGCGGTCATGGCATCTCTCGAGGATACGTTTCCTTGCCGGAGAAGACTGCTGAGAGATACAAGCTGGATCCCTTCGCCAATGACGGGTAAGTTTCAGAACTGCCCACAAAAGGCTTAACACTGAAATTGAGAAATAGGTCCATGATGTACAACACTGGAGACCTCGGACGTTGGAGGCAAGATGGTTCGATCGACATCTTGGGCAGAGTTGATGACCAGATCAAGATCAAGGTAAGACACGATTGACGATCAACTCAAGAAAACATTCACTTACCATTTGATCATAGGGTTTCCGAGTTGAGTTGGATGGAGTCACATCCTCAATCAACTCTTGCCCCATTGTCTCCAGAGCAACTGCTCTGTTGATTGGCAACGAGATCCATGGTTTTGTCGCTCCCAAAGACTGCGATCTTGACACCATCCAAGTTCACATCAGAGCTCGCCAGCCCTACTACGCCATCCCCAGCAAGTTCCATTTCCTCGACGCTTTGCCCCTTACATCCAACGGCAAAGTGGACAAGCGGGCTCTGAAGGACATGGTCACCGTCCAAGACGACGACAAGAAGGAGGCCACCGTCACTATCAGAGAGACCGGGTCCAAAGAGTCTCTATCTACAGACAGCCAGACCGCCTCCGTCGACGAGAAGTCCCAGTCTTCTGCATCCAGCTTCACCGAGGTCGATGAAAAGCTCGACCTCACTGGCGACGTTCCCGAAAAGACTCTTGGCCGCCCTTACCGCGGCTTCGTCCACAGAATCGCAATCGTCTACCGTCGCCTGTTCACCATTGTGGGCATTTTCAACATTGCTGCGGTCATTGCCCTCATTTTTGCCGGCTTCAAGAGAGACTGGCTCGGCACTCTGACTGCCATGAACCTGCTCGTCGCCGTCTTGGCGCGCCAGGACTTCGTCATCAACGCCCTCTACACCATCACCTGCAACGTCCCCAAGTCCTGGCCGCTCGGTATCCGGAAAAGATGTGCCAAGATCTTTCACTTCGGAGGAGTTCACTCTGGAGCTGCAGTTTCTGCCGGCGCCTGGCTTCTTGCGTCTAACATCAGCGACGAGGTCTGTCAGCTGACGGAGTGTTCAAACTGGGGCCACCAATCCATGGCTTCGAAGGTCATCTCATGGATTCTCACCGGCCTGTTCACCATCACGATTGGTCTGGCATGGCCCGGGTTCCGGAAGAAGCACCATGACATGTTCGAGAAGACGCACCGTTTCGTGGGATGGACGATGCTCGGCCTCTTCTGGGCGCAGATTGTGCTCGCTGCCAATGACGGAAAGGTCTCCTCCATGTCTCTCGGTGCAGCCTGCGTCCGCACACCCGGCTTCTGGATGCTGGCTGTCGCCACTCTGAGCATTGCGTCCTCGTGGTTCTTCCTCCGCAAGGTTCCCGTTGACGCGGAGGTACTCTCGAACCATGCCGTCAGACTACACTTCGACTACACCGTCCCTGTCAACGGTAGCTTTGCCAGGCTTTCCCAGCGCCCCCTTCTCGAATGGCACTCCTTCGCCACCATCCCTGCACCCGAGCAGGTGGGATCTCGCGCCAAAGGATTCTCACTCGTGGTTTCCAACGCTGGCGATTGGACCAAGAACTGTATCCAAAAGCCCCCTACGCACATCTGGGTGCGCGGTGTCCCTACATGTGGTGTCATGAGGATTGCTACCTGCTTTAACCGTATTGTGGTCATTGCCACAGGCTCCGGCATTGGTCCCCTCCTGGGTCACATCCAACAGCCAAGTTGCGCGACTCAGCTCATCTGGTCTACACCGAAGCCCGAGGAGACCTTTGGCAAGGAGATGATCGATTCCATCAAGGCCAAGATTCCCAACGCTGTCATCCATGACACGAAGATTCTTGGTCGCCCAGACTTGGTGAAGATGGGATACAACCTGGCCAAGAGCTTTGAGGCAGAGGCAGTCATCATCATTGCCAACGAGAAGATCACGAAGAAGGTGGTCTATGGCCTTGAGACCCGAGGAGTTCCGGCTTACGGCGCCATTTGGGACTCTTGAGACAGTGGAGGGCGGCATTTCTAGGAGTTGAAGGCATATCTTCTTCTGCGGATTTCTTTCTGGAACGAATCTCTTCATTTTAACGGCCGTTACCTTTGGGAGGGAGTTGTAGGTTTTTAGTCCTCGATTCTTAAGTGTTCAATGTTATGATTATGTTATGATGTATGTATGGTCTTGTCATTTGAAGTCTAGAAATTTGTTGAACGCTTGAAGAAGAGTGAAGTAGAAATATCATAAAACTGTGAGCACCATAGTCTCCAGAGAGTTGACGCGTGCGATGGCCATGGAAAGGCCAGCTGCACGGTATTGCCTTTAGAGTCACATTCCAACACTGTAAAGATATCCTCTCATTTAGTCGCCTGCTTTCCCCTTCCGAAGTCCAGCTTCTCCCATTTCATGAAACAACCGCTCAAAAATGCGACAATGCCACAAGCTACAATCAGGTACTGGTTGTTCGCGATCACATCCGCCACGTGGCCCACGGCAACTTGAGTGACTCTTGGATCGGTGTCAGACCAGACCTTGGAGTCAAGCCCGGCCAAAGCTTCGCGAATGTCATGATCACTGAAACCAGAACCTCCAAGTGACTCTTTGAGCTTACTGAAGCCCACGTTCTGGAAGATGCAGCCGGCCATGGCCAAAGTGATCGACACACCAGCCAGCTGGAACATGATGAACATGGCAGTTGCATCCAGCCGCCTGTTCGCGGGTACACTCTGCATCAAGATGGCGACTCCCGTCTGCCACATGCAACCGACACCTGCGCCAATAAGACTGCTGACTCCCATGACTCGGCTCTCGGAGGTTGTTGCGGTGATCTGGGCTTGTAGCGCCCCTCCGATGATGGTCAACGCACCGCCAGCGACGTAGAATGGGGCATATCTGCCGATGACGGGGACAATGCCAGCCGTGATAATGGTGAAGAAAATGAAGGTGAAGATGAAAGGAAGAAGCCTGACTGCGGCGTCTACCGGGTCAAATCCTTTGGTGAAGGCGAAGAACAAAGGAGTGTAGTACAGGGCGATTCCATAGCAACCACCAACGGCGGAGGTGGCGACGCAGATAAGGATTACCGTACGGTTCTTGAGAATATCGGCAGGGATGTTTCGACGCTCTTTGCTGGTGAGCAAGCAGAACTTCTGCTGAAGGATGTATACGATGTAGATGACACCGACAAATACCCAGGCGATGATGGTGGAGTGGGATGACCATTCCCATGTGGAGCCGCTGAAGATGAGAGCGGAACACAAGAGGATGAAGCCGCCCACGTGTAACACGACGCCGGCCCAGTCGATAGCTCGCAGACCTTGCATCATGGGGACCGCGTTCGGTGCGTGCATGTTGGGCAAGGCCAGGAAGTTGCAGACAATGATGACGGCCAAAACAGGGAGATTGATGTACATGGCCTATTCCCAGTCAGTTTTAAGGAACGATGCGCTTCCGTGAGATCTTGGTCACTTACCCATCTCCATGTTGCCTTTTGGTTCTCAGCGAAGGCGCCTCCAATGACTGGTCCGAGCATGAGGCCAATAGCCCAAGAGACTGCAGTCAAGCCTTGGGTACGAGCAAGTTCGGTCGATGTGGTTACCATTGTATTAATGATGATGGCTCTGTTCAACCATTGTCAGCATGAAAGTTCGAACAGTTCAGAGGCAAAATGGGTTGCGCCCTCGAGTCTCAGAGAACATACAGTTGGTACAGTCCAGCTCCTCCAATGCCCTGGATGGCGCGTCCAATAATCACCGAGTTGATGTTCGGAGCCGCACCCGAGACCGCTGAGCCAACAACGAAGACCAGGCAGTATACAACAACCTGGTACCTCAGATTTCCTAGAACCGCCAGCCTGCGGGCCAGTGGAACCATGGCGACGTTCATGGCGGTGTATGCTATGGCCACCCATGATAGAAGGTGGACTTGGCCAAAGGCTTCGTAGATCGGTGGCTGGATGTTCGCGGTGTTACTGACATCGTAGCCTGCGCAGAGAATGAGTGAGTATGCAACTTGGAAAAGAAATAAGTAGCTTCTTGCAAAGAGAGGAACTCACCAAGAAGCAAACCGACGAGACAAAACGCTGCCTGAATACATGGCCATCGCCAAGCTGGCCAACCTTCTCTCGGATGCCCATGAGAAGTCACACCTTCCTTCGTCGAGGCTACGGTGCTCCCGACTTCAGTGCTAGCAAGTTCGACATCATCGACAGGCTCTGGCGTGTGCTTCCTTTCTGTCTCCATGACTGTATGACTGCGGAAGAGCACTTCAGGTTGTTGATATGAGCTTGATCGAAGCGTATGGGTCTGTAAGTATCAACACTCGGAGGCGGTAGACCCAAGGGAAGAGCATGTAATGAGCTGCTGAAGAGTGGTGGCTGCTTCAGGCAATTATACCAGATTCGTTCTTTTCAATAGACGAAAGGCGACTTATTCTTATCTACCCAATGCTGGTTGGGGGCGGGCGGCTCAACTTTCAAGAAATTCACCGACACCAACGCATCGTTGCAATATGCACTGCCATTCGTTTGCTCCCGCCCCCATGCCGCTCCAACAGCGGGCTGCGGACCCCGATTTCAGCCCAACAACCGGCTACGCATGCTACATCGATGCTACGCCAGATTAAAAATAATGAGATGGAATGGGGCGAACTGCAAGTCTCCGGCAACGGGCGGTTAGAGTGTTTGCTTCCCGGCAAACATTGTCTCCCAATTTCTCTATCGGGCGATCTGACCGACCCGCGGCACTAACAAACCACAGCCCGTGTTGGCCCTTCCGACCCCAGTACGCCCGTACGGAAGCTCGCGATTGCGCCACAATAGAGAACAATAAGTGTCGTGTTAACCCAACGAGACCAATTAACCCAACGGTGCGCCATGGGAATTGTCGGGTGAACGATCGAATTCGCCAAATCACCCGGAGTGGGTGTTCCGCAGCATCATCCGGCATACTGACGCGCGCCAGGAAGCAGGCTGGTGGCTCATGCATCAGACGTGGATGTTTAACCGACAAATAAGCTCATTGAGACACACCTAGTATAGTGCGTATGATAAGCTTACGTGCGGGAAGGGCTGCATATGGTAAAATTTGAGTAGGGTAAGCTTACCGAAAGGGTCTTCGTTGGCCTCAGCATCCGTTTTGAGTAAGATTACTGCATCAGCCCGGGCTATCATTAAAACTGCAAGGTTGAGTACAGCAAATCAACAGGAGAGGAACAACGGCGTGATAATCCAGCGCAGTATAATTTTGAGGCTGAGGAAAGTCATCACGCATGACGCAATAAAATATGAGGTCAAATGTCAACCACTGACAACATGAAGACACCCCTCGATTTGTCTGAGGATCTGGCGAGATTGATGAGTGACGTCAGGAGCTTCACGCAGGGCTGTGTCTACCCAATACGGATTTGAAATAAGTCTACTGCATCTAGATCGGCATGGCGCAAAATATAAGCTCAACAATGAGCATGATCATCAATAACAGTCTCACGTCAGACTTACCAACTTCAATATTGCAAACGCTGGTTCCGTCTATCTATGTGTTTTCATAGTTATACCAAAGAACTTCAAGGTCCTCCAAACATGGAAAATACACAAAAAGCAGCAGGCCGGTCAATACAAATATACTTCAACGTTCAGCTCTCGTGTGAATTCTTCAGCCAGTGCAAGTCTGGGCACATCTGGCCGCTTCGATGACCGTTCCCAAACCTCAATGATGATATCCCACACCAACCCATTTTTGAAACTTTCCCAATTTCTGACAAGCACCGAGAACAATTCTGTTGAGGAAGAGCGAATCAAAGTGTTCTCTTCCGAGAAAAGGCCGACGATGAAAAGCGGATAAAGCAGCGCAGCTCCTGAGGGTTGCACACCAGGGAAAGAACCGCTTCGCGATTCAAAAACGGCTTGACAGGCTGCTAGTATCCTCGTCTGAAGATACGGGTCATTGGCTGCCGAGTCATTTCCCTGGCCTGAGGCAGGCTGCTTGAGGCATTGAAGTGCCCTGAAATGCAATATTGCTGCAAGGCGAAACGCCTCCCAGAGATGAACCTGAATGAGGTCATGGCACGGCTCTCCACCCCAATCCATGAGCTTTTGTTCCGACCGAGGCTCATCAAAGTTGCAGACGAGATTTAGCAGTGAGTATGGCAGACCCGAAGTCTCCTGGATTCCGCTCAAGCCTCGAGGCTCTATGTAAGAGGCCCAAATCTTCAACGACTTGCTTGCCCTATTCACCGTAAAGTGAGGAACATCGAGAAGCCCGATGACCTCTAGGAAGTGATCAGCCAACACTGATTGAGGTGCGGTGTCTAATAGCTTTCGCCGATTCAGCACAGAGGCGAGTCCGCTGAGTAAAGGCGTCCAGGTGTAGAGCCTAGATATCTATGAAGACGTCAGCTCTCTTTCGCGGCTGAAGGACTTGTCATCACTTACGCTCACGCTGCACAAGAGAATGCCCGTTGCAAGTGTTGCATTGTTGAGAAGTCCGGGTGAAGAATCAAGGTCCTTCATATAGCCAGAAAGACCCAACTGAAGATAAGCAGGTACCAATTGCCTATCTTCCTCTGAGAGGGTAGCCTGGTAAGCCGCCAAGGTGTGACATAATGAACGAGATGTTTTCCGGAGGGGGAGTACATCCGACTTCAATAGCCCCCCATCACCAGACCTCCCGGTCAGTGTGAGATATCCGGTTTTGCTAACTATTCTCAACTACAATCAGACTTAGTCTCAAAGGCAATAGATGGTACGTACACTGGTCAAGAAGTCTTTCGGTTGTTTCTTCACAAACAGGAATCGGACTACTGCATTCATACCGGCATTTCAGTGATTCAACAACACGGTTTGGGATGTTGAGTTTATCTGAAATGTTGAATTCGTTGGTGGTGCGATGTTGAGGTATGAATGAAGCGCTCCTTTCAGCTTGTTGTCGCTGATGAACGGCTTTCTGACTCAAGCTCCGAGGTCGAACTGGGTTGATCAATACGCCGTCTTTTCGAGGACTTTGCAGATATTGACCCCAAGTTAGTCGAGTTTCGAAACCTTCGCATTCGATGTTTGCTCGCGCACAACGTTCGCAAATTGGTCTTGTTTCGTCGCATTTCTTGTGACGTCTCTTGCAAGTCCAGCAGCTGTGAAGGCATGTGGTTAGGACCGTCATGAAGTAGGGAAGTCGGCTGCTTTCTCAAAGAGATGAAACAAACAAGAAATCAAATAGGAAGATGAAATCGGAATATCTGGAAACAAGTCCACGAACTGACCCTCTTCTAGATCTCTGGGGCAGGGGCAAATGCGCCTCGGGCGTCCCTCCAGGGCTAGATATCGTTGTCCCGCTCATGGTAGCGGAATAAAATGAATGCCAGTTCCAGCTGTGAGATTGAAGTCGGTGTAGACGGTACAACCGGCTGCAAACACTTTTGATTAATCACCAAGGTAATATTGGGCCGTCGATAGTTGCGGGGTTGGTCGAGGACAGCGGCATTCGGTAAACTCGGACACCGAGAGCGACGAATTTTGTCCATTGCGGCATTTCTGTCTTAACCAACACATCATATTCCAAGCATCAATTGATTGTCATATATCATTGTTTACACAAGTTTCCAAGTTAATCAGTTATTTTAGAGGAAATTGAGGACGAGTTTCTTGTAACCATCGACGCTCTCGACTAGTTCATCGATTCGAACATGCTCATCTTTCCCATGTGCTACAAGAATAGTCCCAGGCCCATACAGAACCTTTTTGTGCGAACCTTTGAGCCTTGGAACATCGGTCCCGTAACTCACAGGCATAGACTCGAAGCCTTCGAAGTCAAAGTCGAGTAAAGTCTCCGGATACTCAAACTTGAACTCCACCTCCACGCCGGGGCATTCGGCAACAACAGCAGTGATTTCTTCCTTGATTTGCGGAAGACTGGCGGCGACCCGAACGGCACAAAGGGCTTTTGCGTCCGGTGCAACCACATTATAGCCCTCGCCGCCTTCAATTTGGCCCATGTTAAAGGTGGATGGGCCCAGGAGGTCCGAACACGGCCACTGAACCTGGTCTAGTTTGACCAGTGCTTGGAGCAATAACGAGATGGCGTTGATGCCCAGGTGAGGGTAGCCTGAATGGCTGCATATAGGAGTATTGTCAGCAATGCCACTTCTTCAGTTCACCGATGAATCATTTACCATACCAAGCCTTGCCCCTTGCCGTTAACTCAAACACGAGATGGCCCTTATGGCCCTTCCCAAGTTTTCCCTCCGTAGGCTCTCCAAAAATACCAGCTTCCCAGGTAAGATTCATATCGTTTGCGGCTATCATTCCTGGGCCTCCCTTCTCTTCGCCCACCACGAAAAGGAAGCTGACGTCGCCTTTTTTCACCTTTCCTTCTTGGCGTAGCTCTTCGACAGCGAAGATTTGGGCCGCCATCGGCCCTTTGTCGTCACATGCCCCTCGACCTCTGACAACTCCAGCATCCGTATCGATAGTCAGTGGAATATGCGGCGGTACCGTGTCCATATGGCTCGTGAGTAGGATACGGGCCTGCCGATTTGAGCCTAGGTATGCGTACACATTGTGTCTCGATGATTCGGGAGCGATGGGGATTCTCTCAACCGTGTAACCAAGTTCCTGGAGATGCCCCTGCAAAAAGATGCCAACGTCAAGTTCTTCTTCGCTCGTACTTGGGACTTGCATCAACCGTGACAAGAGCCCTACAACTGGGTGAAGACTGTCTGCTGGGTTCGCCATCGTCAGCTCGTCAATCAAATCATGGATAGAAAATTTGTCGGATTAGACAAATACAATAACGTTCTGAGTACAAACCAATTTCAGCCATGATCTATGGCTAAATCTCCAAGTCCGCGGGACTCTCCACCCGACCGGCGTTGTCTGCCGCGGTCGGCCCGGCGAACTGGTCCCACAATCGGCAGCGGTACCGATTGCCGATCTCGGCCTGTGTTCCGAATCAGCCGCCAATCGGCCTCGCAATCTCCTCATGATAGGGCAAGCTTCAGCTCTCTCCTCAAGATAGGCCCATCTTAGTCACGTAAGCCAGCTTTTGAAACATACCCTGTGCGTCATAAGGTCGGGTGGGAACCCGAGGTACGCTCATCCGCCTGTGAAACTGCACATTGCCAACCGAGAACCTTCGCCGAAAGACGATATGGGCAGTCAGACATCCTCCAAGCCGACAATACTCCTTGTCGAATCAAGCGTTCGAGGAGCGGAAACTGCCCAATGGGCTCGTGTGCGATCGAGTTTCAACATCATTAACTACGACTGTCAAACTGTGGACGAGTTTTGCTCCCATCTCAGTCCTGGTGGCCCGTATTCGAAGATCGATGCCATCATCCGCGTCGGGTGGCTGAAGGCTGGCCAGTATGCATCGCATCAGCTGTTCAGAGGCCCTGCAATCTCGGCATATCCACCAAGTCTCAAACTCATCTGCTGCAGTGGTCATGGTTATGACGCTGCGGATATTCCAGCTCTGACAGAGAAGGGAATAACCTACACTAATTGCCCGGATACTTGCACCGAGGCTGTTGCAAACACCGCGCTGCATCTTATTCTTAACTCTTTCCGATACTTCACGCTCGCGGAACACTTGGCTAGAACCGATCGCTGGCTTGAGAGTAGAAGAATCGGTACAATTGCCGTTGACCCTACGGGTCACATTCTGGGCATTGTTGGAATGGGGGATATTGGACTTGCGATTGCCAAAAAGGCAGGGCTTGCATTAGACATGAAGGTAATTTCCCTCAATCAAGCAGCACAGCCGCCTACTCGGTATACAAAGTCAAGCTTAACGATGTGTAGATTCACTACCATAACCGGAAGCCTCGACAAGACATCGGCAAAGTCGGGATGGATGCCGTGTATCACGACTCTCTAGAGTCACTTTTGAAAGTCGCGGACTGCATCTGCTTGGCTTGTCCCTTGACACCGGAGACGAGACACATGATTTCTACCAAGCAATTCGAAATGACGAAGCAAAAAGGCACTCGGATCGTCAACATTGCTCGTGGAGGCCTCATTGATGAGGATGCTTTGCTCGAGGCTATGAGGTCAGGTCGCGTCATTGGGCTGGGCCTAGATGTCCATGCAACAGAGCCGGCGTTGAATCCCAGACTGAAAGATAATTACGACGTCACACTTTTACCTCACATTGGGGTGTGTTCTGGGACAAGTTGGGCTAACTTCGACAAAGCTACTCTAAACAACATTGAAGAGTGGTTTTTTGGTGATAAGAGTAAGGTGACTGCCGTAAATAAGGTACAAACAAATTAATACGATTAGAATTGTGAAATCTGAAAGCCAAATATTTCAGTATCTCTCACAATGGTGGTGTATATGCATCAAATATCGTTAGGTGTTCTGATATCCCAAGCCAAAGAAGAAACACCGATCTCGTCATTGTTGATCTCAAATGCGTTGGGACTCCACTCCGAATATGACTGACCAAGAAAGTCTTGGATGAAAGGATCATCAAGCGGAGCCCTACCTACCGACGACGTCTCATCCACAGGGCTTGTCGTTGAAGGAGTTTGATCACTTTGTACCCCATGAGGATCGCGTTTTCGCCGAGTAGATGTAGGCATCACATGGGCTGCGAAGGTGCCAGTTGCCGTTATGTATCCCTGTTTTGGTCCGGCGCCACGACAGCCGCTGGAGGAGTACCGCCTTTCCAAGTTATCCTTCAACGTGGTCAAGCGATCGCGAAGCTCACAGGCTGGGAGATTCCCATCATCTGCCATAGACTGCAAGAGCGTGTGTGCCAGGTCGACGGAGTTACTGTCGCCGTCATTTGGGTTCAGGATATTGGAAAGAATGAGAATGATGGTGGATGAGAATATGAAGTGAGCATCAAAATACCCGAAAGTCGCTATGGCGCCATCTACCCAAAGTTGTTTCAAGAGTCGATTGGATGCTCTGGCTGCGTAGATGCACGCTTCGCCTAAGGCGATCGTCATTGGTGGCAAGATCTTCGTTGACCTTTCCGATGGTGAATCAGAGGTTGAAGTTTGACGCATGTAGTATTTGAACAGGAAGAGAAGGATTGGTCTCGTGGTCAAGATCACACACTTGAATATTGTCAATCTCTGGTCCCCTCTTCTTTAGTGGATTTCACTTACCTGATTAAAATGCAATCGCAAGGATGCGACCGACCTTGTGCTGTAGGAAGGGGTCTTGCTGTGATCCAAAGCCAGCTCAGCTGGAAGTGTTGCATCCCACTCTTTCAAGCCTGTCAAAATTCTATGAACGTTGCTTACAAAGGTCTTCTCGTGAGGTGAGTGGATTTTGTAAGTGTGATCAAGTAACAGCCCTGTGATCCGGGCCAATCTGATATTCGCAATGAGCTGAGCCGCATCTACGAACTCTTCTTGCTCTTCTGGGGATAGACTATCGGAAGATGGCAGTGGAGCATCAATGTCTTCATCCTTGATCATCACCGGGTGACCTAGTTTGGCGCTACAGAGACGGTCAAAGGTGTACACTGTCCACCAGACCCGTCGTCTGTTCTCGACTTCAAGTGGAGTGGTGTTGTGGTCATAGGTGATGTTTCTGTGAAGCCCCATTGTCACGCTGAGGCGAAGCGCCATGCCAGCATACGTATAGGCTGTGTTCTGCCTATTAAGGGCATGAGAGTAGAATGACTGCGGTAGAGTCAGTACATGGATATGACAACGTCAACCTTTGTGCTCGTGAAACATACCATGAGAAGTAGAGTTTCGATGTACTCTATGTTGGGTTCTTCATACAACTCTTCGAAGAGCGAGACTGATTGAAGGAAAAACTTCGCTCCAGGAACCTCGCGTTGACTTGTCGACTTTTTCAAGTACAATTCGCCTAGAGCGAAAACGGCAAAAAGACGACAGAGAAACATGGTATCCGGGGTTTGCTCCGTTGCGGGGCCGTATAGCTGATCCACCCTCTGCGAGAACGACTTCTTCCTGAGGAGATGGTAGTCATTTCCAATAAATCTCAGCACAACCTGAACAAGAAGATTGGCGTATGTTTGATTTGGGAGCTGAAACTCCGCTTTTGTTGATCGTTGCAGAGATGGATGGGTGAAGACCTTCACAGCTCTTGGTGGAGTTGGCTCATCCTGCCATAAGAGATTGGCAAAAGCAGTACATGCCGCGGCCCCGACATAGACTGGCCGTGACACTGAAGGATCGCATACCCGTTGTTCGATGACAGGATTGATAACATCAGCTGTGGTGATCTCCTCTTCCTCTTTGTTTTCTTGTGGCTCTGTATTAACCACAATCTGATCTGACACTTGGCTAGCTGAAGGGCTGGCTTGGGATGTTTGCCGTTTGAGCTCCTCGTTTTCATCTTGAAGCTGTTTGATGTAGCTATAATTGACTTTAGCCCAAGTAACAACCAATACGATAACTATCGGCTCACCTCTCCAGAACTGATATCTTCCTTTCACGAACGGGATACAGGCAAGCGGAGATGTCATTTGATCGGTCACAGGCTCTGCATGGAGTGCCCCCTGTACATTTAATTTTCTGGGCGTGACATCGTTGGCATGCTACGACGCTGCGTCTGAGTCGCTTTGAGGCTCGTAGACCAACAGAATCATTCGGTGAAGTCATTGCTCGGATCAAAGCTGGCTTATTGATAGCGTTGAACGACGAAAAAGAGAGTCAACGCCGAGACGGGTTTCGGAGTGGATCCGGTACATATTTAGATCTGTCTATCCTTACCCCAGCTCTTGCGGGGGAGCATAACCGACCGTGAAGATAAGCCACGTCTTCTCTCATTGGAAGCGAGCGTTTGGCCTATCTTCTCAGTATCTACGCCTATCGTCCATACAAGACTGAGCCGCTTGTCTGCATTTTCCGAATGTCGAAACTCAACATCTGTTGATTCAATTTCTGTGGTAATAACTGCGAGCATTTGAGATCTGTGATAACGAAAGTCATTCCTTCCTCCTGTTATGATATGATGGAAAGTGGCGTTACAAAGTGTACTTGTAGTAAACGTCGTAGTCGCCCTTCTCAGGTAAACTTTGCAGGGGAGTGCCTTCTTCTTCGGCTTTTCTGATCCTTTCCGCGCGTCTCTTGTTCACAACATGCATTCCCACCATCAAGGCTGCAACACACACCAACGCAACAGCAGCAAGTCCCATGGCGATGGAAATACCGCGGATGTACCGTGGCTTGTCTTCGCTGACGAAAATCTGACCAACGGCCACACCAGCGGTATTACCAAGAGTCAGAGCACCGCCAACCATTGTAGCCCTCTTGAAATGCTGGGCGGCGTTGTCGCTCAACCACATCAGACTCATTCCCGTGGTGGGATAGATTCCCATAACAGCCACTGTGGTATCGTACTTAGCAAGTATGAAGGGGGACCGAGTGAAGAGAAGAACGAGGTAAAGACGTACCAAAGCAGGCGAAGTATCTAACTCCCAGATTGTCAACAGAAATTAGCAGTGCATATCCGATGATTAGGCACACAAGTGGGCCTCCAATCCAATATCCTCTGTTCCCAGTCTTATCGGACATGTATGCCGTGAAAAGAAAAGTGAGCAGTCCCCAGACGTAGATCGGAACAGTCATCAGGTTCGCCATGACTGAGGTGTAACCCAAGCCATTCACGATTGCGGGCAGGAAGGTTGTGAAACCGTACAGAGAAATATCAACCGCAAATTGGAAAATCCAACTACGAGAGTGTAAGCATGAAGCAAGAGGCGGAATAATATTCGGAACATACTGCAAATGGAACTTGGGATCAACCAACCCCTCCATGACGGCTTTCCAGCTGAACTCCTCGTCTATGCCCCAGTGCGGCTCAAGCTCATAACGCAGTTTCATCATATCCTTCTCTTCTGGAGTGAGGAACCAAGCTTCTTTGGGAGATGCTGGAAAGAATAGGAAAAATAACGGTGCGATGATGATCGTCATGATACCCTCTACGATGAACAGGGCCCTCCATGAGGAGAAGTATGTGCCGGTTCGAATTTGGGTTAGTGCGTACGCAAAAATGCCTCCAAAAGCGCTCGCAATGGCACTGAAGGCAAAAATGATAGACGATCTAAAGCACATATTCAGTCAAAACACCGTCATGACACGAACATCGGAGGCGAATTCACAAACCTCTTGCCTCTTTCAGACTTCTTGTACACCAGCCCAATGTAGACATTGATGCAAGGAATAAGACCAGCTTCGAAGAAACCAATAAGCATTCGACAGGCGTAAAGGCCCTGCCAGTTCTGAACGAAACCAGTGAATAGACAAATAAACCCTCTAGAGGATATCTTAGCCAGGCACAGTATGCACCGTTGGAATAGGAATGAAAGGGATGACGTACCATGCTAGACAACAGAAAGTAAGGAGATATTTAGGTCCGATAATCTTGAGGAGAATGGCAACTGGGCCTTCGAAAGGGACGTAGGTAGCATAGAGAAGGGTGACTGCAGTGCCATATTGGTTCCCAGTAAGACCAAGATCTTGAGGAAGACCTGCGATCTGCGCATTTCCAATATTGCTCCTGCTCACCTTGACTCAGTCATTCTATCCTTATCATAGATGCATGGGACTTAATGAAGCTCACCTGTCAAGATTTGCCAACATGTACAAGATTCCCAGACCACCAACAGCCCAGATCTGAGGATAATCGAGTGAGCGGGAGATTTTCTTCAAGCTGGCAGTACAAATTTCTTACGTCAAACTTGCGCATCATCTTGGCCTCCTTGACAGGGTCAATGTAGGAAACCATGTCGACAGCTTCGCTGACATCATGCTTGCGGCCATCTTGACTGCTGTCAGTCTTGGCATCAGGTTGCATGTCGGAGCTCATCATTACTGCTTTGTCGCGGGCCATACGCCAAGTTACAGAAGGAAACGTGCATGTAGTCGCACAAACTTAGAGACCTGAAGTCTACATGAATTATAACTATGCGTGGTTCTTGAATATGACTGTCTTCCCAGAAGCATTATCAGTTCCCTAGTCAAAGTGCTGGTATGATGCGAGCGCTTCGCTTCAGATCAAGAGTGTTATCAGAATTTCGAACCTCACCGAGATGAGACAGATAAAATCCACTTGGCGCATGTCAGCCGGGGTAGCTGATCCGATCGTTATCTCTTGTTATCAGATGCGATCGGCACGACTTGAATGAAGCCGAAGGACGATCGATAAGCCGGCAACCGAAACCGAAGCAGCTCGGCGCCGTTGACTAAATGCCGAACATAGGTTGACTTACATCAATACCTAACTTCAGCTTCGGAGCTTTCCATGCTCCGTTTTGTACTTTGAGACTTTCAGCTCGTAACATACCAAGAACTTGAATCATGCCGTCTGCCATTTCTCACGGAGGAGTTCGCATTGCGATAGATAGAGGAGGTACTTTCTGTGACTTGTAAGTTGCTATGAATCTCTGATGAATTCAAATTATTTACTGTGAAACAGCTGGGCGCGCATTCCGGATCATGAAGAAGATCTTGTCTTCAAGCTGCTGTCAGTTTGTCCGGATGAATACGACGATGCACCCACAGAGGGAATCCGGCGCATCCTGGAAGTAGCGACAGGATCGTGTATCGAAAAGGGGACACAGCTGGATCTCAACCCAGTTGAGAGCATCCGCATGGGGACTACTGTTGCAACCAACGCACTTCTTGAGCGCAAGGGAGAAAGAGTCGCCTTGCTAATCACCAAAGGCTTCGGCGATCTTCTCATCATCGGAAATCAGGCACGACCACGGCTGTTCGACTTGACTGTTAAGAAACTTGATCGTTTGTACGAGAAGGTAGTAGAGGTTGATGAGAGAATCACCGTTGAAGGTTCATCGGAAGACCCGGACTCTCCTACTCTTGACATCGATTCGGATCCCAACCTTTTTTACGGAATCAACGGGGAGGTACTCAGACGCATCAGGAAGCCGAATGTCGAAGTCATCAGAAAGGACCTTAGGGCTCTGTGGGATGAAGGCTACCGTAGTCTGGCAATTGCTCTGATGCATTCTTACAACTTTCCGGACCATGAAGCTCAGATTGGGACCATTGCCCGAGAGATGGGTTTCAAGGTCTCGCTTTCTTCTCAACTTCAGGCCATGATCAACATCGTGCCTCGAGCCCAATCTGCCACAGCCGATGCGTACTTATCACCGGTCACCGAAAGTTACCTCGACAGCTTTAGGAAAGGCTTCAAAGGAGAGCTGGCGAATGAGGAGGGCAACAAGCTTCTCCTCTCTCAGTCGCACGGCGGCCTTGTCAAGTTCAGCGACTTCACTGGTCTTCGTGCCATTCTTTCAGGCCCCGCCGGGGGCGTAATCGGGTACTCAAAGACCTGTTACGATCCCGACGAAGGCACTCCAGTTTTGGGTTTCGATATGGGTGGCACAAGTACCGACGTATCCCGATACGGCGGAACTCTTGAACATGTTTTTGAGAGCACAGTTGCTGAAGTTCCCATTCAGTGTCCCCAATTAGACGTCAACACCGTTGCTGCCGGTGGTGGCTCCATTTTGGCATGGTCCGGAGGCCTTTTCAAAGTGGGACCGGACTCAGCCGGCGCTTTTCCGGGTCCGGCTTGCTACGGTAACGGTGGCCCGCTGACGATTTCGGACGCAAACTGCTTTCTCGGCCGCATCCTGCCGGAATACTTTCCTCGGAAGCTGCACGTCGACACCGTCCGCGAGAAGTTCCTCGCGTTGACAGAACGGGTGAATAAAGACAAGCATGGCAACGACCAGCTTACACCTGAAGAGGTGGCGATGGGCTTCATTCAGGTCGCCAATGCCACAATGTCTAGACCGATTCGGACTTTGAGCGAAGGCAGGGGTTTTGAAGCTTCCGCTCATAACCTGGCGTGTTTCGGTGGTGCAGGAGGACAGCACGCCGTTGCCATTGCCCGAGATCTTGGCATTCGTCGTGTGCTCATCCATCGGCTTTCCAGTATCTTGTCTGCATTCGGCATGGCGCTTGCTGATATCGTGGTGGAACGCCAAGAGCCAGAGGCTGTCAAGTATGGCCCTGCTGCCCGAGACCGTCTCGCCCGGCGGTTTGATACAGTCTCCGCCCAGGGTACGAAAGACTTGGGGAACCAGGGCATTCCCTCTCACCAAGTTTCTCATGAGAAGTTTCTGAACATGAGGTACGAAGGTAGCGACACAGCTCTTATGATTCCTGAGCCTGAGGACGGCAAATTTGCTGCGGCTTTCATCTCCCGTCACCACCGAGAATTCGGCTTCAGCCAAGAGAGGGATATCATGGTAGATGATGTTCGCGTTCGCAGCGTCGGCAAAGCGATGGAGCTTCCCATCTCCAGTCCATTTGAGCAAATGATCGGGGCAGAAAATTTCGCTTGCGCTAGTGCCGCTTCTGGAAAAACTCAGAGGATTTACTTTGAGAAAGGAGGCTGGGTCAACGCTCCCGTCTTTCGCATTGGCAGCCTTCCGAGGCGGAGCAAAGTGCAAGGCCCTGCCGTGATCTTTGATGAGACTCAGACCATTATTCTTGACGAGGATAGCCAGGCCGTGGTTTTGGACGAACATCTCGTCATCGATCTGGTTAGCCAAGAGGAAAACGCAACCTCAACGGATGAGGTCGACCCCATTAAGTTGTCAGTTTTCGGACACAGACTGATGTCCATCGCAGAGCAGGCAAGACATTATCCTACGTTATATCAGAGAGCTTGCTGACCAGACAAAACAGATGGGTCGAACGCTGCAGAAGACCTCCATTTCCACGAACATCAAGGAGCGACTAGATTACTCCTGCGCGATATTTTCCGCATCTGGCGGGCTGGTAGCCAATGCACCTCATATTCCTGGTCATCTGGGCTCAATGAGTACTGCAATCAGATATCAGGCTCAGAAATACGGAAAAGATGGGTTGAAGCCTGGCGATGTTATTCTTTCGAACCACCCATGCGCAGGAGGAACTCATTTGCCGGACCTCACAGTAATCACACCTGTGTTTGACAATAACGAAAATCCGACAAGAATCATGTTCTTTGTGGCAAATAGAGGTAAGCTTTATTCCATGAACTTTATGAGGCTGAACTGACTTGGACTAGGCCACCATGCAGACATTGGCGGAATACTGGCTGGCTCAATGCCACCTAACTCAACCGAGCTTTGGCAGGAAGGTGCAGCCATTGAGTCTTTCAAGATGGTTGATCAGGGTGTTTTTGACGAAGACGGCTTGGTAGAAGAGCTCTACGTTAAACCTGCTCAGTATCCGGGCTGCAGTGGTACCCGGACGTTGAGAGACAATATTGCAGACCTCAAAGCTTCGGTTGCTGCAAACAACAGAGGTATATATCTCATTCAGGACTTGGTTCAACAATATTCTTGGCCTGTGGTGGAGTTTTATATGGAGGCCATTCAGAAAAACGCAGAAGAGAGCGTTCGGGCACTGCTCAAGGAGTTCAGTCACCGTTTCCGTGGATATCCCCTCAGAGCGGTGGATTATCTCGATGACGGCACCGCACTGGCGCTGTGTGTGACAATCAATGAGAGCGATGGGTCTGCGAAATTTGACTTTACGGGGACAGGGCCGGAAGCTTTGAACAACTTGGTGAGCAAAGTCGACTATCAAGTTTCACTGAATTGGACTAACTGTGAGCAACAGAACACACCGTCTGCTGTGATGTATTCCGGTATTATTTACTGCTTGCGCTGCATGATCTCTTCCGACATCCCCTTAAACCAAGGATGCCTAGCGCCGATAGAGATCTACTGCCCACCAAATACTCTCCTTTCACCAAGCCTTAAAGCCGCAACTGTCGGGTCGAATGTTGAAACATCACAGCGGATCGTGGATCTCATCTTCAAGGCCTTTCGCGCAGCGGCAGCCAGTCAAGGAACTTGCAACAACCTGACTTTTGGCTACGGCGGTACCCAAAAGGATGGAAAGATAACGAAGGGATTTGGGTATTACGAAACCATCGCTGGAGGTGCTGGGGCTGGCCCGTACTGGGAAGGACAATCCGGAGTGCATACCAATGTCACGAATACCCGAATCACTGACCCGGAGGTCTTGGAGAAGCGGTATCCGGTTCTCCTGCGCGAGTTCTCTATTCGGAAGAACAGTGGAGGGCTTGGGAAGAGACGAGGTGGGGATGGGTGCGTGCGTGATATCGAGTTCCGCAAACTCATGCAAGTGAGCATTTTGTCGGAACGAAGAGTCATTCCGCCGTACGGCATGGCTGGTGGAGAGGAGGGACGTCGAGGAGTGAACCTTTGGATCCGAAAAAATGAGTCAGATGGTACAGTGAGGACAATCAGTCTGGGCGGCAAAGCTACTGTCGTGATGAATGCTGGAGACCGGATAATAATCCAGACCCCGGGCGGAGGAGGTTACGGGCCGAGCGAAGACTTGGTGCAGGACTTCGTCCCTGAGGATGAATCCGCAGCAGGCAAGCCTCGCCTGAACGGCGGCAGCTTCTTTTCGCATGTCTCACGAGCGAATGGCAGCGTTGCAAACCGTGAGTCTGCTGCTGCATCAAACTGAAAACAGATTTTGAATGGCACGGCCTCCTCCACAAGTATATTCAATGGAGCTAGCACAACTTATGTGTATTCGATATTCTTGCTATTTGAGACAAGCTCATGACACACCTCTTCGTGAGGACAGCTCATTTGGAAGCAATTGCCACGTTCAAGCGTGACTGATAACCCCCACAAAGGATCCATGATTCTGTTCAGTGCTTGTACTCAGTTTATCCCGGAATGCTCCTCCGGATAATTTCCCAATCTAAACATCCCAATTTCTATCTAGACTCTCAACTTACGTCCAACTCGAAAGAAATTCTTCACTTCTTTTCCCACACCTTGACGTCTCCACCGACCGTGACATGCATTTTGTTGCGATCCCAAAATCCAGCCTCATCAGCCATGATTCTCGCATCCGCCTCAGGTGCCGTCAACGCGGCACTGAATCGCTCCATACCGGCTTTATCCTCGAAAGTGATCGTTGCAATCACATCATAATACATTTCGTCGGTATTGCCGGACAGGAGAATCGGCTTGCCGTCCGCTCCGTGCGGCGGGTACCATCTCGTGTGCTTGAGGGGCATGGCGTCACCGCATATCTCCTCCACCAGCAACATGTGTTGCTCATATCTTCTCTTGAACTCTTCGTGGGTGATTCCATCCTTGCGACCTGCGAGCACCATCATGGTGAAAACCATCGTGACGTGGAAGGTTTTGGGAGGTATGTGTTGATGCTTTTGGTGAAGTGGAGTGGTTTGCTAATGTTGTTCTTTGGCGATCCGGCTAGAAGACCGGATAATGATGGGGATACGGTGAGAAGTAAAATAGTTTTCAGGGTAGACGGTGCTGTCTTTTGGCGCCCAGTTTATGGTTTGGCTTCCTGCTCCTTATACTCTTATAACGTCTCAGCTATGATATACATTTGGAGTTGCGAAACCTTCCGGCATGTTCCAGTGCTTTCTTACGTTGCACTATAAGACCATTATGTCTTGTGTCACTTGAAACTCCGACACTTCAAGCGACGGTACTTCTAAATACCCAATCAGGCAATAAAAACACTGACAGTGAAACAGAACTCCGATTCCGCTGATCCTTCCGCAACTCCGCAGGTCGGCGCCTCATAACTCCGCACTAGACGTCTTACGCCAAGTCATATTCATGTTTTGGTGGTGAGTTATGACTGGACGAAACGAAAAAGAGGCCTGAAAAGTCCGAAGTCCACAGAATCTTAAGCGTCGTTGAGGTAATCGACGCCAACAACTATGGGCTGGGCCATCCAGCTAATGTGGCTCTACAGGAAGTGATCGTCCAGCATATGCCATTTACGTACGAAATTTTAAAAGAGTAAGAATATTGAATTCTATCTAGAGTGGAAATATGACGTTTAAGAACTACCTTGATCATCCAACTTAATCTCAGATCATTCTCAAAGCTCTCCGTTTTGCCTCAATTGACTGTTTGACCAACGAGATGTTTGAAGCGAGCTCAAAGGCATGAGGCAGCCCGGGCCAAACATGCAATTCGACTTGAACCTCGTTCGCGGCCAGCTTGCTGGCGTAGGCAATGTCTTCATTCAGAAACAAGTCCAATTGGCCGACTTCGATATAGGCAGGAGGGAGGCCTCTTAGGTCGGTGGCTCTTCCGGGGGCAGCGTAGATCGAAACATTGGCGCTAGGGTCTCCGGCAACATCTTTGCCCAGCACTGCATCCCAGCTTAACTTGTTGGCGTTCTCAGTCCACACCAAGAACTTGGAGTAAGGTGAATCGTCTGGTAGTCGTGTTCTGTCATCAAGCATTGGGTAGACCAGGATTTGCTTCGCAATGGGAGGCTCCAAAGCACGGTCTCGGGCCAGGAGAACAGTTGCAGCAGCAAGTCCACCACCTGCAGAGATTCCCATGACGGCGATGCGCTTGTTATCAATGTTGTAATCTCCGGCATGTTCTGAGAGATGCTTCAGACCAAAGTAAACGTCCTCCGTGAGATAAGGGCCTGTTTGTTTGGGTGCAAGACGATATTCCACGGCGAAGAAGTCTAGTCCGTAGAGGTCGACTTGACTAGCAACATCATGGGCTGTTAACTCGACGCTACTAGCTACCATGCCGCCGCCGTGGATGAACAAGACCGCGGGCTGCTTGCGGTCGTGGGCTTTGTTGGCCTGGGTAAAGCGATGAAGGTTGAGGATGGTTGCATCGTGAGTTTCGAAAGGGATTTTCGTGTGTAGGATGTGCTCTGGAATGGGCGGAGAGTCAGATTTGAGCCGACTCGCGACGTCATTGGTGTAGATTTGGACTTCAACCACGTCCTTGAATTTAGGTGGCGGGGGGAATTCGAACTGGTTGATGAATGCCGCGAACTCGGGGTCGTATTTGAAGTTGGAGGGGGCCATTTTTTGGACCAATTTGTTGAGCTGTGTGGTCTTTGTGCCACTGTAGAAGGCACCAGGGGAAACCTCCACCCTCCCTTTATATGTGTTCAGAGAGAGTATAAGCCTTCGACACGCATGGTCCTTAATAATTATGCCTGTTGTTGGGTAATGGAATGGTGCGAGGCGCAACCAACAAGCCCATGTTTGAGCTGATAAAATGCCTGTTGTTGGGTAAGGGATTGCGCGGAACACAACCAACAAGCCCCTGCTTGAGTCGGTAGAATCCCTGTCGTTGGGTAACAGAATAGTGCGAGGCGCAACTAAAGTCCCTTTTTGAGGCTGTGATGTCGTATTCGAGTTCGATTCCCTGTCGCTGGGTAACAGAATAGTGCGAGGCGCAACTAAAGTCCCTTTTTGAGGCTGTGATGTCGTATTCGAGTTCGATTCCCTGTCGCTGGGTAACAGAATAGTGCGAGGCGCAACTCAAGTCCCTTTTTGAGGCTGTGATGTCGTATTCGAGTTCGATTGCGGATGCAACTTAACGCCCAATTCAGTCCCCAAGTGGTAGCGAGACAGGCTGGAATATTGAATGTTAAATGTGTACTCATTGGGTATGGTGAGATGATATCAATGACCAGATTATAAGGGTGGCTGCATTGTATTGCGCGGCATATTGCATTTGCATTTGCTGCTTCCGGGTGACGATACCGGTCAACCCTCATCACATTCAGCCTAGTGATGGGGTCGTCTCGAAACCTTCAACTTGTCCAAGGAGGCAAGCTAAACCATAAGCTGGCTGCAGTGTATTGGGCAGACAATTGCATTAGTTGCGTAAGTAGGTCATACCGTCCTGGTACCAGCGCACGACGCCCAACGAGGGGGATGAATTCGGCACTTCTCGGCTTTCCTGAGCTCTAAAGAACATACTTCTTGAGCATAGTCAAAATCGAGGAAGGAAACTTGTAAAAGTGTTGAACCTCAGCGAGCCTCTCTCGACGCTGCCAGACATACTAACGTGGCGTCAAGTTGCGGCGCAGACCGGCAACAAACCGCAAGTGCTTGATAATACTTATGTTATGCTGATAATCCTGCTATGAACCTTAAAGAACAACTTAGCTTCATTTCTGCTCGTGCAAAAGCAACTTGAAGTTGTGGAATCATAATGTGCAGTTTCTTAATTTGCCAAGTGGGGGCCTTCCTCTGGAGTCCAGGAACTACACTCATGATTGCACCACTTCCATAAATGCTACGTCTCAACTTGTTTCACAAGATTTGCCCGTGTTATAGTCAGAAGATAATATTCTTTTTAATTAAGACAAAGAAACGTAACCATAATATTCAAGACTACGCGAAGGATGGTATTGTGCTGGACGAACTAAATACAGTACTCATCGTGTCTGCGTAATCAATGAGTATTTCATCATCTTTATTCAGATCTTGATGCACCCAAATACGTTGTATCATATCTTTGACACCATCGACGCTTCTTATTCGAGTATCCCTTTGAACCCTCCCAATCAAGTTGATGATGGCAGTTCTCTGGTCGTCTCGCTTTGCTTCGCAAGCAATAATGAATAAGGGGAAGAAGTGCTCGCAAGTACATGACTTTACAAGCCCTGAGAATGTGTCGTTGATCAAAGAATCGATGTCAAAATCAGAATTCCAGGGACGCTGTGAGGCCCGCGCGAGATATATCCGTGTTGCGATCTGGTATACTTCCATGGCTGTTCTCTCTTCGGGGGTTGATGTCGTCGAGGCAGATTCCGTAGGGACATTCGCGACCCTTCTTTTGAGATCTTCGAGGCGATTCTGGTACCCCTCGTCGATACTGTCTGGACTCCGCCGTGTGATTAGAGTATCACATACTTCGGACAGAAGGTTCATTATTGCATGCGTGGGGTTTACCGAAGGGATTCTCTGTGACTACGACTTAGTAACGCGGTCACTTGATAGGGGTTTAGAAGGGATGTCGTACAGGCCTGTACCCGAGCAATAGCGTCTTCCGTTGATCGTAAGACCTGAAGGCGTTTTTGCTTTTTTCTCTGTGACGCGAGGGATTACGGTGCCAATGATGCATCGTGAAGCGGGACACAGTGTCATGATAGTGGACCCAGTTGAGCAGAGGTCCTACTTGGCCTACGTGCGTTTTGTCCGTGAGATTTGTTGCCTGAATAATATTCATGGCTCCTTGCGTGTGCCACAGCCACTCTATCGAACCTTCTGACGAAAGTAAAATCTACAAAATTAGTGAACTAAACTTTTGCCATAGCTTGGCATCAGCTACCCACCTCAGAAGATCCTAAAAGCATTGATGCAGCCACATGCTGTGCAGCCTTTTCAGGATATGCTTGCTCGTGTGCTACGGTGGCGGACATAGTCCGAAGTGCCTGGACCTTCAACTTCACTGCATGGTCGTTTAATCCATATCGGTGTAGCGAAGAAAATACCAGGAGGGCCTGAAAGAGAGCGAGACCTGGGGCTTGATTATCTGCCAAGGCCAAGCTCAAAATAGTGTCCCGGATTTGTGAACAGGGTTGACCAAAAGTAACTAATGAAAGATGAGCAACGCTGTGAACTGACACATTCGTTAGCGTTGAAAACTCGGACCAGCACCTTGACTCTTGGGAAGTGGGCATCGGGAAGTAGCAAGATTAAACGCTCACAGTATTGAATCAGGTTCAGGTGGTCAATATCTCGTTGAGGCTGTCTCAGCAGCTTGATGAAGACTTGTGATTGATACTCGAAAGGCATCTGATCAGACGAATAGCCGTACACTTCCATGTCTTGGCACGTCGTGTTGATAAAAATGCTGTTAACGGGTCTCTCGCTCTGCTGACCAAGACGTATACCGGCGGGCGGCGTATGATTCGAAGTCATGGCGCGTCTTTTGTCACCGGCTTTAGGCCACGACAGACGCGGCTCATACCCATCGCAGTTTCTTCGGCCTCGGAAGCATCTCTGACAAGCAGGCAAGCCTCCGTCACATTGAACCTTGCGAGCTGACGAATCGTGATTAGAAATACGTTTCGGAATTACGGGCGAATTGTTTGTGTGGTTGACTCACATGCACAAGTCCAGCAGCCCTTTCGAGTCCTCATTGCGGGGGTAGATGGTATGGTGGCTTTCGATCAAGAATTGATGAATTTGACGCTGACAGTCAACACCGGCAAACAGTGTGAGATGATTGCTGAACCCCGATAGCTCGGAGAAAGATGCCAACGATGGGGCGCTGACATCTTAAGTAGTTTGGCTTGGTAGTAAGCCAAATCCTTAGGTCGTTTGTCAGCCACGGCACTAAGCTCCTTAGATGCCCGACCACTCATTTAGACCGGGAGACCCCACAAGATGCAACTTTTATCGAGGCTAGAGGATAAGCGTCTGCCTTCCGGACTCTTGGTCTCCTTGCCAACATCGGGATTGAACCAAATATGTCTCTCGCCATGGCTTCAAAATCCGACAAGCCGATGCGAGAGTTCGTCCGTGATGATGAATGGGAGTATGATGTATTTGTTTGTGGAGAGGGTTACACTGACCAAAGTCATTATAAATAAGCCACAACTGTCCTCATCCTGAAGAGACCAGCGATACTGAGATCCTGTCCAACAAATCACTCCCACTTTCTCAGACCATCTCGAATATCATCTATCTCAATTACAAAGCCCACAAAGCCCATTTATATAAATCAATATGGCCACCTACCTTATCACGCAAGCCACCGGCCAGCAAAGCCTCTGGGCTATCTTGTACCTGCTTGAGTCTGGTGCCAAGATACACGGCTTGGTACGCGACCTAGAGAAGGTTCCTTCAAACTTGCGGAACCCAAATATCACTCTCTTCCAAGGAGAGAGCAAGAACTTGGAAGATGTCTTTCGAGCAGCTCAGGGCTGCAATGGAGTCTTTCTCAACACCGTCCCCTACCCAGGACTAGAACTTCTACAGGCCAAGACTGTCGTCGAGGCCTGCGAGAAAGCAGGCGTGGACACAATTGTTGCGGCAACAACCCACAACACGGGGATGAAGGAGATGTGGGACGATGATGCCACTAGGAATATTGGTCTGCACGACTATTTCTCCTCGAAGGCTGCAGTTGAGGATACTGTTCGGACAGGCAAATTTCGAGCCTACACGATTCTTCGACCGGCGGTATTGCATCATGACTTCCATCTTCCGGGGTCTCTTGGCAATTTCCCCCGGCTTTCGACCCACGGTGTACTTGATCATCTCCTGGAAGACGGTGTAAAGCTTCCTTTCACGGACACGAGTGACGTTGGAAAGTACATCGCCGCGGCCTTGCAAGACCCGGCTAAGTTCGGGGGCGAGGAGATAGATCTTGGAAACCAGTTACTCACCATCGAAGAGGCCCAGGATATTCTCACCAAAATCAGCGGCAGAGAAGTACAAGTGGCCAAGCGAACTTTGAAAGAGGTAGAAGAAATGGGCATCAGTGCTTTTGGTCAGCGCTTTCACCTGTTTGCCAACATCAAGAACCTCATTTGGGCACGCAACAACGCCAAAGATGTTCAACGGAGATTCGGGATACCATTCACTTCGGTCAGTGAGGCGCTGCAGAGAGACAGTGCGAAAGTCCTAGAATGTTTGCCAGGCAAGCGTTCAGCCTAGGGGTTCGGATTCTAAATATAAAGCACCCATTCACATCTTATAGCTATCCTATTAAGTGCCACAACACGCTAGAAAACCCTAGTATAGGGTACTACTAATTAGGGGCTATAGTCTAATATTTTCTACTTAATATAAGGCCTAAATAGCT